CCCTCCTTTTCCCCCTTCCCTTTCTTTAGCACTCCTTCCATCTCGTCCGAAACCATCTGGAATCATACTAACGCAACTCAACTAGATGTGGATATCCAAGAAGGAATACGACGAGCACGGCGCCGGCATCGTCGAAAAGCGGTGCAAGTAGTGCCGGATCCCTTGGAAATTTTGTTCTCTGTTTTCTCTTTATTTCTACTTCTCTTTTCATTGTTTCCATTTTCGTTGTTTCCCTTTCTCTTTTCCTTAGTCTATTCCCCGACGCGACCCCAATCCTTCCTCATGTGAAGACTTTTCCCCCCAACAGACTTTTGGTCTTTTCGGATCATAGGAGGGAAAAAAGAAAAAGTTTCTTTTCATTCATATCAAAAGAAAAGCGTCGCCTCCAACAGCCCAGCCCAGCCCACGGAACACGGACCAGAGCGAGCTCTTTCTTTTCTTTTCTATACTTCCCAAATCGATTGTGGCTTGCGGGCCATGTGTTACACTACAAGGCAGTATAGTTTGGCGTTCTTATCTTGTTGAAAGCGGTTCTGGGAATAAATATCCCCCCTACGATACAAATTAGACGAAAATCGAATTCGATGTGAGATACTTTTATCTCGTACGAGATAATTGTGCAGTAATGCAGTAATGCAGTAATGCAGTAATGCGGTAATGAAGTATATAGTATACAGTATACAGTATACAGTGAGGAAAGGAAGCTTATTTGGTTGATTGGCAGATTTGGATCATTATAGAAGTTCTTTGTTATTTTTTACCGTAGCATCCATCATCTATTCTCGTGTTTTCAATGATTTGAACGCGGTATAGAAAGCGCATGGAATATAAAAAGAGAAATATCAACGGATAAGGGATAAGGGAAATGGAGACATGTAGAGAAATATGGATCGGGCAAAAAAAGAAAAGAGGAGTTGAAAAAGGATATTTCATTGATATAAGACCTGGGTATCTAGATAGAAGAGAAGTTGAGGAGGCAATGACCAGATTGCAAGTGGAGTAAATCGTGAGAAAGTGAAGAGGTACTAGTAAAACATGAAGTGGGGGAAGGTAAAAGCCAGAAAAGGTACGAGATATTGGGGGAAACAATGAACATCAAGAACCAACGGGGAATCATCAAGGTCATGACCAGAGACATAAAATCATAAACAAGAAGTCTTAAAACACGTGAATGAGAAAAGAGAGGGACAGTGTAGACTCCAGCACCAGCCCCATGACTCCTGTTTGTCCTCTGTCAATTGTAGGGAAGAAAAAAAAAAAAAGAAAGAAGACAAAAAAATGACAAGAAGCTAGGTCTTTCAGCTTATGCGGCAACTTCAAGCCCGAGCTCAGACTTGCTCTCAGTCTCGGCTTCTTCACCTAAACTGCTCAGACGCTTCAACTGCGGTGCAGAGGGGTGATGGCGGAGTTTGCCTATTGCAAGGGTGTCAGTCGATGGCTTACACGCTAATATTACTCAGCAGGATTGTTACTTACGGCGAAAAAGAGACTTGAGACTTGGAACACTTGAGCGGCGTCTAAGGCCATGTTGAGGCGGTATAAATTCAGATAGTTGATGGCAGTCATTTGCATCCTGCAGCACTGGCGCCGTGGTTGATGACCGAGATGGGCTTGAAGACTGCGCCGGCGTCGGGACTTCTGCCTCAAATGGCAACTCGGGCGTCTCTTGCTCCAGAATTGTTTCCATCACAGGCTGACTCGACTCGTCGACCACATCCGTTGTGGTGACCGGATGCGAGGCAAGTGGTGAAGGCTGGGGCTCGTTAGCAGGTGACGTGTCCGTTCGAACAGGTTCTTCTGCGGTCGAGCTCTTGCGCGGAGAAACGTTGGCATTGGAGTCGTGGGAGGATTGCCGTGAAGATTTCTCGGGACGGCCTCCTTGTCGTTTCCGTAGGGAGAATCGACGGACTAGCGAGCCTGTTCGAGAGAGAGGAGGTGCAGCTTCAAGGGCCGCCTGCATTACTTCCTCGGCCGCTGGCTCTGTTGATAGCCTTGGGAACGGCTCGTTAGGTGTTGAGGTAGGCTCTTGGGGCTTTTCTCCAAAGGCTCCCAAGTCGGGAGGGGGCAAAGGTAAAGGCGAAGATATTTGCAGTGTCCGCCGTGGACGCTGTCGCCGGGACAAACGCCGCCTTAGATTGGATGCGCCTGATGCTGGCGCTTCCGAGGCAGGAGTAGAATCCTCTACCGTAGGGCCTGGCTCTCCAGGATGCCCTTCTTCTTGTCCAAGGGACTCCTGAGCTGTCAGTTGCTGCTCCGCATGTCGTCTTCTGCGAACCGAAAGATGACGAGTGATGGAATTTGACTTTGAAAACGGACGATCAGCCGCGTGAGGAATGACCGAGCCTTGGTTGGTGGATGGATTTTCTTGCTGAGACGAGGATTCTGGGCGCGAATCCGCTGTGTGGTTGGAGTTGCCAGAAGAGTAAGTAGAGTCTTGTCGTTTCCGAGTTTGACTGTTTCCTTTGGGTTTGCGCCGCGAGAGCTTGCGAACAATAGAACTTGTCTTTGACATTGGTGGGGTGGAAAGGGGAGGAATCCTGGTGGCTGGGTAATTTGACTCCATTTCACGTTGCGGCCGAGTCTGCAAGCAAATATCCGCGGATGCCCTTGACTCCTGAACCACAAAAGCAGACCCCAGTGCAGTTGGCATCTGTTGTTGATCTTGCTGCTGCCTTTTGCTTGGTCTTGGCCTCTTGCGAAGGGAGAATTTGCGTGCAAGAGAGCCCGCTCGTGCAATCGTCTGGACTGCAGATGTCGGAGCCTCTCCATTGAGTTTCTCAAACGTATCAACAGCGTTGGAAATTTGCAACTGCTCCGAATTGTCAAAGGATTGCCGCTTATGAGATCCTGCATTCTCCTTGAAATGAAAATCGAAGCGATCGAACTCAATTGATAGGGATCTTGCCGGTAACGCAGTTGGTGAGAGCGGCGGGGATGGTGGAATGTCAATCATCGATGCTCTCTGTTGCACCAAAGTAGCATTGGCGCCCGCAGCAAACTAAAATTCATTTATCAGCCTCATCTCATTCAGCTCACACGGGATGCAAGTGCCTTACCCTAGTCCTCCGGCTCGCATTCCCAGCACGGCGTTGAATTTCCTCCACAAGGCTGCCTAACTGTGACAGCGCTACTGCGAGGGTATTACCCTTCATTTGCAACGAGCAGAATGCACGATACCATCCATCTGCATTGCCCCGCATTGCCGAGAAGAAATTAGATAATTCACCCTCCGGGTCCTCTGAGACGATATCGTTCTCGTCAATCTTATTCAGATAGCCGTTCAGTTCCAAAATCGCGGCTACACCACTCAAAACATCCTTTAAAGCATCAGCCATGGCGCTCGAGGTCCGATTGATGATGTGGTCAATCATTTCGTTTCCCTCAACAATCGATCGTCGAAATCTGCGGTCTTCGAGCATGGTGTCGAAAACGTCAGAATGTTGGAGGGGCAAGCGAAGGTATTCCATCCTTTCTTGGATATCTTTTTGTGCCAGATCAAAGTCATCGAACGTCTTCTCAATAAATGAATCTATCTCGTCCACATGTGTCTGCAAGATTCGAAAGACTTCTTCATCTGATTTCGCTAACCGCTGGTGGACCAGATGGACGCCAAATGAAATCTGCGCAACAAGTTTCCACAGCGGGTCGAATCGCTCATCTGCCTTTTTCTGCCATCGACTGGCTCCAGTGGACTCAAACGAATTTTGCCGTAGAAGCCGCTTTCGTTTCGACGCGGCATCGCCAGTTTCTAGACGGGACTGCGCTTCGGCACATTCAAGAGTTTCCAGCAATGACTCCTCAAAGGCGCCTTGCATGGACGACAATGGGTGTATAGGTGGTTGATCCATAATACCATTACTGTCTGACGCAGCTGTCATTGCGGATGAGTCAAAACTTGCCAAACTGGCGTGGTGAGCATGAGCTCCCATTCTCCTTTTCTGGGTTGTTGATGATCGTCAGTCACAGTATGTAGGAGTTATGCCAATCACACCGCATCCGTCGCGCGGCGACAGGGGTGTTATAAGGCGGGGAATTTTCCCCATCTTGCGGGCTCCAAAGGGATCGGCCTTTTTCCAGAAAAAAGGGGCGGACGCGCAACGTTCGCGGAGCATCGTGCAAGTGTGAAACAGCGCCAGGAGGGCAAGAAAGGGTCCAGTTTGGCCGAAGGGGCGGAACCTGACAGTTAGCCTATGTTCCGTCTTTGTCGAAGACCACACACAAGGGCTCAGCTGTCTGGTACCGAAGCTTAGCTTTGACCGTGTCGAGGTCCGTACCCTTGGTCAAGCCGGGAACGCACGTTGGAATGGACTGCTCGCTTTCGTAACTAGATACGGTTGTGGTTTAGCCGTCCTTTAAATAAAATTTTTTTGAAAGAGATTTATCCACTTGTCAACTCCCAGAATCATTTCTCGGCTTCTCATTATCTTCCCCTTTCAAATATTAAATATATTCGTGCATATACTGCGTATGTGACAAACGGCAAAGTTCAGTATTCCGTGTGAGACACAAGGTCATGGCCAGTTGGGGGACAAGCAAGCCCCCAGATTCGTCGTAAAGTACTCGTACTCCGTATTCGTCAGAGGGCTCTCATTTGCTGGTTCCTGAAGGCGACCGAAATTAACTGTGGGCCGCATGAGGCACACAACCAAATATCGAGCTGGCTTAATGAGAATAAAGCCGAGAAAAATTATGCGTCGTCCCCACTTGATCATGTCAGCGTATTTTTTCTTCTGCCCATGAAAGCCAACTCTGCATATTCGAACAAAGAACCCATTGAATATTGTTCCTGCGTCGCAAGGTAGAATCCAGATACGTCTTTGTGCCCTGGGTTTGGGACGCATCAAGTTGTCATTCGCGTGTAACGTTCGCATGGTCTAAGCACAACGACCACGCATCAGGGGCATCAAGAGGCCGCTTCCCTTTCACATATAAGCTTCGCACTAAGCGGACACTTGTTACGCTAGGGGATGATCATCACCATCACCCTCGCCTTTGAGCCTTATTGTCCAGGATCTTGTTTTGCTCATCATCTTGGGTCGGACTGGTTATCATCCATTTCCATACCAGTGAGAGGCGCATGGGGATGTCCAGACCGACTTTTTTTTTTTTTTTTTTTTCGTTTTCGCCTTTATGCATGACACGAGGCCATGTTCCTAGCTTATCTCTGCAACCGTGAGACCTGATTCAGGGCCCTCGTGTGAATCGATGCACCCTTCGTATTTAACGGAAACCATACATCTCTGTTCCAGTGGGGCTTCAATACAGCTCACGCACAAAGCCTAAAAAAAGGCCTTGCAGAAGTGGTAGCATCGGGCGGCCCCCGAAGAGGTCAAAGGGCTGGCAATTCTAAACCGTGTCATCAAAGCGACCCCAGAAGATGAGATTGCGTCATTTGGGGATCTGAAAGAAGATGTGTACCACGTGAGACTGAACTGCTGGATATCGAAATAAGGGTAAACTCGAGCACCTCATTCGTTGTTATATCTGTATTGTGACTTGAAAAGTATCGATCATTAATATAAGGGTTTCTATTCCGTGATGATTTGCGCGACCCAAAGCAGATCCTCCAATCGAAATTTCGGTCCGATGTCGCCTAGGTCGCGCCGTTAAGCATCACAAATCTCGGGCTTTGAATGCCCATCATTCGGGCTGCCAGCCTTACGGCACCTGCTTTTCTTCTGCCATTCTTGGTCGAACTGCTCCATTTCAATCCTTGATAAATAAAGCATGGCTGTAGAAGGTTTTGCGGTTTGCCAATTCTATTGTGTGCCGATTTTCCTTGCCTCGTATACGTCCAGAGATCTGTCACGCAATCACAGAGCCACTTATACAGTGCTCTCCATTGCAGCCCCAAATCGCGGATGATTTGATGCAAAGCTTGCAACTGAGGTTTTGCATCAGCTGGAATATTGAAATCATTCGAATTAATGCACGAAAGCCACTTGTTTAGCTTTCTTTGTCCAGTAGAAAAACGTAGCATGGTTAAAAGCACTTGGTGGCAAAATTCAGCTGCTCATCAAGATTTTGTCGCTCTCACAAGTAGATCTTCCTAACACCGTAGGACTAGACTCTGACATTGGCATTTTTGTTGTGGCTTCAATAGGTCCAAAGTCGGGGGAGGCGACTTTGTCAGCCGCGGATACAATTTAAATGACGATAACGATTGAGGTAGGATCATCGTGGCACAACCAGCAATGGGAAAGCTGTCAGTGCGTATCGTGATGCTATCGATGGAATAGAGTAAGTCCACTTCAGTCATCATAGACAAAATCGCGGTTTTCAAGAGATTCTTTGCACGTATCGAGGCTGCGCGTCCCGTTATCTTTCCCAGTCTGTATTAATCCCATCGGCGACACGGACCTCGCACCTCATCTAGGAAGAAGCTGCAGATCAAAGTTGGCAATGTAATTCAGCTGTATCGTTTAGTACCTTGAAAGTCTTCATGTGAGCGTGACGCCAGTTTTACACCAAGTTCCAAACTGCCAGAGTGCTTTCGGCTGTGGCCTCCGACCGCGAAAATTTTTTCTCACAATTGCAAGATGGAAACTCACCGTGAGCGTTTCAACATCGTCGCAAGATGACTACGATACAACGGACAAAAGAAACCCTTCTCAGAATGCTGGAGATTGAAAAGCCACGGTCGGCACATCAGATCCTATAGCCGAGGATTTCTGCTTTGGTGGTTTGATGACATACAAGCAATTCCCCTTGTTCTACCCAGTTTCTGCAAGTCCATGAAGATCTGAGAAGAGGTGGTTGATAATGACAGGCTTCAAAAAGGACAACAGCCACGATGCAGAGTTCAGAGTGAAGGGTCTCGGGGCTTGTCATGAAGAAGAAAGCTACATTCTCGCTCCAAAAGGCGGGTCGGTCGTCATCACATCTCTGTTTGTCTTGTCATCTTCAAATCTATTGCATCTCCCTCGCATCAATGAAAACGACAGTTGCAGACTTTCATACGATAAATCGACCAAAGTGCGAACCGTTGCTACGAATTCTCAGGAGACAGAACCTCAGCTCTATGATTCGGTCAGAAATTTACAGCCGAGTATGAACCAGCCTTTCATCCTCTCTAGACAAGAGCTCAGAGTAGGGACGTCATGCTTTCAAATACGTCGTCTATCAGTGGATGAAGCCATTATCCCGGGTTCAATGATCGATGGTGCCTGGACTCATCTCCACGGGCATGATCCGACATTCCGAGATAGACGCGGTATGCCACGCATGACATGGGCTTGAACAACACCTCACGGTCAATTCCAATGGACTGACACAGTAAACATGAGAGATGGGCTGCTTTCGATTATTATTATGCGAATTACCTACGTCTACCGGAGATGCTGACCGCGGAGAAACAAAATACGTGGGTCCAACGCGTTTCTTATCGTTATCTTTCCGGTCTGAAAATAATCAGACATGGCGATCCTCTCGCGGCATGACATCGCTGACAGCTTTGGCCCTGGGCTTCTGAAAGATAAGGCTCCCGGTACAGGAACGCCAAGGGGGAAGAGGCTACATGCTAATTTGTCCAATATCTTCACCTTTCCTAAAAAGTTGCAAGCCATTCTCTGAAAGCGTATAGCTCCCGGTCACTGCGCTGATAAGGGTTTCGGCAAGTCTTATTGGTTCTTTGGTTCCTTGCGCCTTGATCAACACTGGATTTTCCGTCCCACGCATGTGAAACATCATCGTTTTTTTTGGCCATGGACTTGCTGGATCCAATTGAATTTTCTTCGAGCCGCTTCGACAGATCCTACCATGACTAGATGAGCATGACACCGTGACCGTCCTTTTGACGTGCAGCATTAGCAAAAATGAGAAAGGCCGGCGATCTAGATTCAACTATATGGTATTTGCATTCTCCAAGCCACAATCCGATCGACAATAAAGGCGGTTGGCCTTTGCCAAAAGATCTAGTGGAACCCCTTATCGGCAATTCATCTCGCATCACTTTCTGGGGGTGGTCGAACTAAATACAGAGCCGTCATTCTGGGGCTTGATCGTCTCGGCCGTCACTTGTGGGGTTCCGGACAAGGTCTCCTACGCAAATCCGCGGATTTACTTTGCATCTCTTCTGCGTTGACCAAATGCCTGTCTTTAATTCGGTAGGCTAAGTCGTCCAAACTATTAAAACCAAGTCGATGCTCTTGATATCCACCGGCTCTATCACCATTCTCCAACAAGCAAAGCATACTAGGGGAATATTTTCCATTATTTTTTTCTGGTGTTGTTTGTTTTGCTCAACTGCAACCGCCAGAAGTGTTTCTGAGAGACTATATACCATCTCGAGGCTTCTTGCCGTCATAATCCCCTGTCGACATGGGTGTTGATCTAGCAATTATTTTCAAGGCCCCTAGGGTCAATCCCATCAACCGAAAAGCGCAAACGATTCCTGCCCTTAACCCTATCAACACATATGGACGTGTCTTCTTTTTCTCCTGGTTTGGTTTCATGATTGCATTCTGGTCGTGGTATGATGGAATTGTTCTCTTCGTCCGTTTCTAAAGGATTGCTTCGCTAATGAGATGATAGGTATGCTTTTCCACCATTGGTGCGTCTAAACAAAATCCCTTTGACAAGACTCAATATCTTATGGGGCCTAAACTAATCGTGCACAGATGACCTTGACCATTTCAAAAGACTTGAAATTGTCTCAGGCAGATGTTTCCAACTCGAACATTATTGCATTGGCAGCAACGTAAGTTCCAATCGTAATAAACAACTCTCCTTTAAATATAAGCTAAACTAATCTTTTAATTTTAGGTTAATTGTTCGTCTCGTCGCTGGCCCTGCCTGTGACCGCTGGGGTCCTCGATATACCTTTGCGGGATGTCTTCTTGCTGGGGCCGTTCCCACTGTTCTTGCCGGCTGTGTATTCAATGCCAAGGGACTTTTGGCTCTCCGCTTCTTCATCGGTATCCTTGGCGGGTCCTTTGTACCTTGCCAGGTCTGGTCGACGGGGTTCTTTGACAAGAACATTGTCGGAACCGCCAATGCCTTGACTGGCGGTCTAGGTAACGCTGGCGGTGGTATCACGTACTTTGTCATGCCCGCCATTTTCGAGTCGCTTGTCAAAAACCAACACTTGAGCCCCCACACGGCCTGGCGTGTTGCTTTTGTTGTGCCATTTATCCTCATTACTGCCACTGCCATTGCGCTTGTTCTCCTCTGCCCTGACACCCCGACTGGCAAATGGAGTGAGCGTCACCTCGCAGCCGAACAGAATCTCGAAGCTCACCAAGTCGACCGTCACGAGGTTGAGGGTCAAGTCGTCGACATTCCCGAACACCAGGCCGGCGAGCGCAAGGAGAGTCAACCAGACTCCATCACTCCGCCGGCCATTGACATGGACGAAAAGGCCAATACTGAAGGCAAGGCATACGCCGATCGAGAAGCCCAACTCGGCGAGCAGCAAATGCTTGACACCGCCAAAGGCGAGGTCATTTCCAAGCCAACCTTCCGCGAAGCTCTTCCCGTCATTTTCTCTTTGCCTACGCTTACTTTGGCCGGCTGCTACTTTTGCACGTTTGGCGCTGAGCTCTCCATCAACAGCATCCTCGGCGCATACTACCTCCACAAATTTCCTCGTCTGGGCCAGAGCGAGTCAGGAAATTGGGCTGCCATGTTCGGTCTGCTCAACGTCGTGTGCCGTCCCATTGGCGGTTTCTTCTCCGACTTTGCTTACCGCCGCAGCAAAAACCTCTGGGTCAAGAAGATCCTGGTGCACAGCTACTCGATCATCAACGGTGCCTTTTTATTGGCTATTGGTCTAACTAACCCGTCTAAAGAGGCTACCATGTTTGGTCTCTTTGCTGGAATGGCTTTCTTTCTTGAGGGCGCCAACGGCGCCAACTTTTCTCTCGTTCCCCACGTCCATCCTTTTGCCAATGGTACGTACCCACCACACTCTTAGACTTTGTGAATCATGTTCATATCAGTTAAACTAACATGGCATTTCAATAGGTATCGTCTCCGGTCTCACCGGCGCTGCAGGCAACCTTGGCGGTATCATTTTCGCCATCATCTTCCGTTACAACGGCAAAGATTACGCCCGAAGCATTTGGATCATTGGTGTCATCACCCTCGCCATCAACGTCTCTTTGTCTTGGATTAGACCTATTCCCCGCAGCCAAATCGGCGGAACATTATAAACACGCGATAGACATTCTCATTCCTTTGTTTCTTTCTTCAGTCTTCCTTTTTTTCTTCAAGACTCTGGATTTTATTTTCTCTTTATTCTCGTTCTTGAGATATCCGATGGTAAGCTGGGCTAAGCACAAAGCAAGCGTTGTATTGAAGATCTTTTTTTTTTTCGGTCTCCCCTTCCCTTACGTAACTCTTTTTTTCCCCTATAAAGCTTTTCGGGGGTATATCAGTTATACCTATGACGGATCATCGGACGGATCGCGGATCAGTTATTTTCTTTTCTATTTTTTTTTCTTTTCTCTTTCTTCCCCCGATCATATTATTACACTCGGAGTAGGGCAGAAAGCGGGATACCATCTAAGACTCGTATCACCAGTCGACTGTATTCAATTCACCTAAGAATTAAAAACGATGAATATTTTCTTCTTCTAAACCTCCTCCTGCTCCTCGTCGTCGTGGTCGTCGTCTCGAAATTTTTGTCGCGCCACCTCTCATCTTTCCTCCTTTTCATGATAATCGTTTGCTTGTTCTTGAGTCTCTAATTCCCCTTATGGTCTATCACTGTATTCCCTTATTCCCTTATGGCATATTACTGTATTTCCCTATGATCAACCACTGTATCAGCTGTACGGTGTACTGTAATCCTTCAGCGAGATTAGGGCCTTTGTAGTAAGGAAAAAAAATAAATAAATTATAATAATAACATGAGCGACAAAAAGGGTTCGGATGCCCCGTCTTCTCTCATTCGAAGAACGGTTAAGACATCCTACATCTCTACCCCTTCCCCGATGCGGCCTCATGAGGGGCACCAGTGAGGCAGTGGAATAAATCCCAGCTGCGATTGTGGTGACACCCCGACTCGAACTCACCTCGGGAAATTCCAGGACGTTGAGAGAGCTATTAACCACTCTGGCACCGTCCCTTCTGGTTCAGATGGGTAGTGTTTGACTTGCTATTTATGTTTGGTGGACAGTGAATGAAAAGGGCAAGCGAAGGCAGGAGCTGTGTGGTGTATCCGGGCAAACCGCAACGTGACAAGAGTTTGACTCGCCGCTTATACATATAGATAGATAGCAAAGCCATCAAGTCGTACAACTCTTGGCCCATCATGGCTCATGAGTCGTGAGTTATTAGCACATGCCGTGTCATAGACTATAGTATGTCTAAAAGTCCTATCATGCGTGCGGCGTGCAGAGTGCCTGCAGGTCCCAAAATGTGTCTGGGCCTGAATGGCCGAATACCTGAATGCCTGAATGCCCCATGGTCCATGGAATGTAACGAACGTTCATACCAACCTACCAGGTATATTGTATACATCCCTCCACCGTTCTACGGGTCTGGGCCGCAAGGGTAGGCTGCCGGAGCCAAGTCCCAGGTCAAGACGCAGACTTTACTCCATCGAGTCCATCTGGGACTTAGAGACGACAAGTAGTGCCATGGAATCTTGGAATCTTGCTGCCTTACAGCCTCACAGCTCACAGCCTCGCGGTCCTGCAGTCTCGCAGTTTTAGTTTCACAATCCACAGTCAACAGTCCACAGTTCGAGTCAGCTGATTCTAAAATTTCGAAAAGCTTAAAGTTTGAAGTTTGAAGGGCAAAAGCAAAAGTAAAAATGTTCCTCATATATATCCCGCGGAGAGAAGGGGCGAAAATCCAAAGGAACCAATAGAACTGAAAGGACCGAAAAAGGAGGGTGAAAAACGAGGGAGAGACAAAAAACACAAATGATCAGAAGAGAAAAGAAAAGAAAGCAAAGGAAAGGAAAGGGAAGGAAAAACAAGATAGTAGAGTGAAGAATAGAAACACCAATAACAACCACAACACACTCTGAATCATGGACAGAGTCACAGAAAACATCGGAACATGTGGACAGGGAAACATCAAATGGGAACTGAGCGCCTGAAACTCAAAGACTCAAAGAGTCAAGTCGCATAAATGATATCAATATAATCAAAATGAGCGTCAATGCGTCCTATCGAAAATTTTGCAGCATTATAGATGGCCCGTGGCTGCACTGCTGCAGTGTGTTTCGATTGCGAATTCTGCGAGATAGTACTCCTGCCTCCAGGTTCGGGGGTCTGGATTGCGATAACTAGAAGGGGGAAAAGATAATATCAAGGAAAAGCAGAAGGAGAGGGAAATGGAGGGGAATAGAGGGGAAATAAAAAGGAAAAGAACAGTGAAAAGAAAGAAGTGAAAAGCGAAAAAAGAAAAAAGAAGAGAGTAAGAAGAGGAAATGAAGGAAGAAGGAAAGAAAGAAAGAAAACACGACATCTCCGACTCTGTAAGAAAATGCACATAAAAATAAATAGAGCACAAGACAGACAGATACAAGTCGAACACAGAGACAACCATGTATTGATCATTTAATTCAAAGTCTATTGTTCCATAAATCTAAGCGTAGATTCCATGTCAATATTCAAATCCGCATCTTCTGGGATGCATAGCTATTATATGAATTAGCAAATAGAAAGAGGGCTGTAATGGTGCCGCTGTTTTCCCCTTGAAAGGCCGAAAAGAAGTACAGTATGACCAGACCGAGACTGTAGGATCCACCGTCATGTGAAAAAGAAATATTTCATTCGAAAAGGGAACCAGGGGCACACCGTGACAGTTCCATGTGAGACTCTAGGTCATATAATCTGATAACTTGTTAGACACAAGGTGATCCAAGCCTGGATATGCCATGAATGTGCTGGATCACTCAAAAGAAGAGTCGAAGAATGACTTGTCCCTCTCATAAGAGACTAAGCCAAAAAGAAAGGATTATGGCACGTGTGATGATGCTGGAGATGTCTTCTCGCCTAGCATGAATCGTGTTTTGAAGAGAGGTTGACTTTGAGATTTGAAAAATCAAAAGCTCCATGACGCTCGATCGGCACAGCCTGTTTGGCTGATATGCCATATCCGCCTTCGCTTCTCTGTATATAGTGTGACCTCGTGAATGTATCGGCTCGGAAAGGATTGAAGATGAGATGTCTCGAGATAGGTTCGAATAAGTCTATGACTGGTGCTTTCTAAGTAGCATATGACGGAGGACAGAAGATGAATTGGTAGACGCCTAGGCGCAGTATGAGCGGACATAAGCCAAGTCCCCCATGAAAGTGCCAGTGTAGGATCGTTTTGCGAGGAAGTATGAAAATTATATTTTCCGCCGGGAATAGGACGATTTCGGTTCGAATGGAGAGCTCGAAGGATTGTATGGGTATAACCGTCCAACTAAGACAGTGACACGTATTGAAACGGGATGGTGATTGGGAAATATTGAATATTTGGACGGATAAAAGATGGTTGGTGCGCAGAACGGACATCTCTATAAAGACTCAAAGGTATGGTATAATGCTTCATGATCATGATGGCTTCGGTCGGGGTTGTGATACGACGTCTTCGGGTTTTCGGCCCCAGACAACGAATCTAATGAAAAAATCAAATCAGCAATCTTTCCTTTGAAATTGATACCTTTGAATAAAACAAGGATGAGCAGGGGAGGGGAAATAGGGGAAATAAATGAGGGCCCAACGCACATCTTATGGTACGCATGGACGCTGCGGTCTTGCAATGCCTTTCGAACTTCCACAAGATACACTTCGACCTCCTCCTTTGTCCAGCCTAGTGCACGGTGAAATGTGGCCATACTTAGACCCTGTAAACCTTCAAGAATATTTCGCATAGAAAGTCTTCCTAATCGTTTCATATGCTCATCCTTGGGCCAAGGGTTCGCCGCAACCTTGAAAACCTCTTCGTGTACATCGACAAAACCAGCTTCCTCATACCAGCGCTTCAACTTATTGGCAATACGAATAGGTCGATCATTGCGTATTGCCGCGTCGTCGAGATCCCTGCTCCATGTCACAAAGGGCCACGTGTCGGGCATGGTGCCGTCGTCGCAATACACCTTTGACATAATCTCTTGGGATTCGAGCCATGCGCCGGGTTTCAGATAGAAGAATGCTTGTCGAATTATATGTCGGAAATCCTCAAACGAGCCTGCCATGGCGCGCGTATGAATATAATCAAAGTGGTTGGGCGGGTAGAGCCAATCCTCTTCTGCGGCGTCATCAATGAAAAAGTGTACGTTTTCGGCAACCCTGACGGTAATCGTGAGTAAAATAACATAGAGAATCGAGCGCTGGCAAAATGAAAGGTAGGAAATGCGACCGTCTAGTAGTGTTGGGATATACTCACATTTGAGGTTGAATTGGTGATAAGTCTGTTCCGATGATCTACTCGCGGAGTCAGACCGAGCCACACGATAATTTTGCACACGATCCAGAGCAACCTACTTCGCAGTCGGGAAACTCCTCCGCTGTCGAAATTTGTCAGTTAATCAATTCTCATCGCCCTACCAGTGCAAGGTTTGCAAAGAAAAGCTTACCCATTTCCAGCGGCCACACACCCGTCCCTGTGCCAATGTCTAACATCCTTTTTGGGTTCCTCAATGGTGCGAAATAGGATCTTCCTCCAAACGCCTGTTGCAGAATGAAATGTTGTAGATTGAGACGTTCAAGCTCGGGCTGGGGGTTGAAACTTAGTAACATAACTTGTCATAAGTTGGGAACCCACTCACTTCGTCATTTGGATAAACATATGCTACATGAAATGCGGTAATTAGCATAGCAGCGCCAACGATTGCAATTGACATGCACTCACCACCCTCGCGATACCGGTGGTAACGCCTGCCATTTTCCATAGGAAAATTATACATGCTCGAGGTCAAAGATCTGTTGCGGATGACGACACGACGATGTCAGCCATGTACTTTCCAATGCCGCTTCTTGCGGGCTTTTTACAGAGTCCACGATGAACCAACACGACCAGAATAATTATCTGCTTTCTGATGACCGTGCAGACCAAATCTTCTGCCAGAAATTCGGAGCTGATGCAACTTACAAACCATCTTCTTCATTTCCTGAATCATGCGACTATATTCAAGTTAGTTTTTGAGTGTGTGATTTGGAGCAAGGATCATTTGCGAATTCGCCACTCGTAACTCACGGCAGTGACCAATGTAAACTCGCCCAATTACAAATTTTTGAAAGGAATAAGAAGGTCACTCACATCAGCCTCAATGAAGGAGGATGCTGGCTTCGACGATGGACTTCGAGACAACCTCTTCAATTGATTCGCCTCGGCGCTCATCTTGTTGGACGGGGATTTGGAAAGGGCGGGTTTGGTTCACCAAAACCGGACCAAATTCACAGACAAAAGGGGATAAAATAAGAATATACGCGACAGATTTTGAGAGGCCCTCTACCGTGGATTTGGGTTTAAAGGTTGAAAAAAGACAGGCGTTAGGGTGTCAGAAGTTGAATGACTTGGCCCAAGAACGCGAGGCGCCAAGTGCCAGGTGAAACAGTTCCCACGATAATGGAATCAAGACCCAAAGCTATGGAAATGGGAAAAAGAAACAGAAAGGGGGAAAAGGGAAAACGAAAAGGCAGAACGACGATCAAACGTCACCAACAAATAAGATTGGAGATATCAATACTGAAACCGAGCGGTGAGCTGTACAAATATATATAACAAATTTTTTTTTGTTCACACTTCCCTGCGAAATCTGCCTTCCCATACCTTAGTAGCAGCCAAGTCCCAAGTTGTATACAGGCGGTGCGCAAGGCGGATAGAATCGCCATGGCCCTTGCGACGGGGCCGAGGGGACGCCGCTTTCTAGGTGGTAAGATTTGGTAGCCAGTCAGAGATGGTGTCTCCCCAGCAAACGTGGGGCCAGCGAGCCCAAGTGCCTCATCGTCGGTCCCTCGAACCCCCGGCCATGAAGACCCGCCGACGTGGTCGGGGGGTAATAGGTTGGAGGAGAGGGGGGACGGTTGTGAAAGAAGTCCGTGTGTCTTTTCTGACCGCATGCGGGAGGGGTGCAGTGAAAGACCCATGGAAAATGGGGTGGGGACGGAAGGGGTGAAAGCAGAAGGACTGGAAAGCGCGAAAAATGGGATCAGTTGGCCCAAAGACCATGCTATCGAAATGCAAGTATTGCTGTCCTTGTCATACTCCGTTTCCAATCCAAAGTACTTCTCTAATGATGACGAGAAATAATCGCAGATAAGCCGTCCAAAAATTTCCATTCTCAGTCTGCTCTCCGAGAAATGTGTTTTTCGAGGGGTCCAATTTTCGCCTTTTTGGACCCACGGTCCGCCCGCTAATTTAACGTTGAACTATTCTTTGACTGTCGAGGGTCCCACGTCCCAAATCTTCCTTCTTCGGTCAATCGGGCTTACTGCTGACAAAAGTGGTGACCCGGAGCTTGTGTGCATCAAAGATAAAAGTCCGAATCAAGCCAGCCCCGTGCATGATTCTGCTCCTCTCTCCATCGATGCTGCTGGTTGTTTCATGTATGTTTGTTATGATCTAGTTATTCCTCAATCCCGCCTGCCTTTTCCTGACTTGTCTCCGGGAACCACCTTGGCCGACGGAGATGGGTATCATCTCCGAATTCTGCCACTAAATGCGCGACATGAGACAAGAACGATGTTGATAATGGAGTCAAGCGTAACGAGAGAATTGAGAGCGATTGCAACACACCAGGACGCGAATGCGGAGGCGCGATGATCTGTGAATTCGTGCTAAGACTTAGGATGATGCTGCTTCTGCTGCATTGGCCGAACACTTCCCTTGTGCCAGTCGCAGGGTGCAGCACCGGAGATGTTTTAGTGGGTATATCTGAAAAAAATGACGGCTACTTGGAGTGACCAGCAGGTAAGCGTGTCTGTCCCGACCTAAAAAGTACCGGACATGTCCACTGCGATACGTTCAGCCATGCCAAGATGCGGCCGAACGTAACCCTGTTCCTTCCCACGAGGATTTCAAGTCACTAGCAAGCTTCTCTTGCTTTTGCGGCGTCGGATGGAACACATTTCTGCGTCACAGTTGATTTCATGGATGCGTTGCGTAGTCTAGTTCTGAGCAGCCATTTGACCACATGGCATGGGAGACGATCCCTTCCCAGCTCGAACGAGTCATGTTTTGGCTTTTCTCTTTCGTCTTGTTCAGGTTTTGTGTTCACCAAGCTCACCCGACCCATCGTCGGGTGCCGGATCCAGGCCGAAGCCGTCCGAGGCACGGGCCTTCGTTGTCCCAAGGGAAAGGGTTTAGCTACTGAGACTTAACCCAGCGTTACTCTGTAGAGCAAAGTAGCAGAGACTGGACTGGCCCCTAGGGACCCGCCAGCCGCGTCAGTAGGGACTGGACCGACCGGAGGAAAGACAGACTCCCCTAGCAGCTCAACTGTTATCCAAGGTGAATTGCAAGGGTGACCTATGGAGCTCAGATTCGCAAGGAGAAGGTTCCACTAAGAATAATGATAACCAATGAGTAGATACGTTCCCTTACTCGGTGGAGCCATTTTTTGGTTCAGGGAGCTTCCCCCAGCACCGTCATTGAGGTAAGCCCTGGGTTGAACGCTCTGATGTCCCGACGTTGCGGTCGCGGGACGACTTGATCCTCGGCCACGGGACTCGGTGTCAGTGGCTGAAAGTTCCTTCTCTTTGGATCACTACGTGCTAGAAGATCCCCACTCACGAAACTCTCATCTGCTTCCAACCACTTATCTTCGAGCTGCGCCGCAGAGCTGCTTTTCTGAGCTCGAACCATGATGAGCTCACAAAAGGCAAAACGGCTTTCCCGAGAAACCTAAAGCAGGTCAATTCAACTCATATGCAAGTACAGGACAGACGAGTACAGAACGGTGCAGCCACTTACTCTGCCATGCCGTCTACAACGTATGTTCTACTTCTGCAGATTTTTGTAAATTTTCGTAAGCGCATACGCTACTCGTTGTGTACTCGGCACTTTTTGTCATAGCTTCTTGGGGCGGCTCTGTGTTGTCCCCCGTACAGATGATACTGTTCACTGCGGAGCACTTCCCTACACGGTTACGAAGATAATAAGCATTCGTCTTGCTCATGCAATGGCAATCAAATAGAATCCAGGACACCGTAATCACACAATAGTGCAACGTACCAAAAAGGACCCGCAGTGCTAACTTAGGTAGCACGATCCCTCAGCAAGCACCTGAGATTGGTACTCAGTACAGGATTTCGTAACAACTCGAGACGGACTCCGTCTCGGCCGTCCGACAAGTGGCCGCGCCAAGAAATAGGTTGAAAGTCCTGTACCCATACCACGGCCCAGGGATACCCAGTTACGTGGAACAGGGACGGGAGGAGAACGAAGCCATTCGCGTCTAGAAGAGCTCCACAGACGTTATTTCCCCTCTTTTCTTCTTGGTGCTGGACTATTTGCACGCCGTCACTCCCAAATTGTATCGTTTCCATCATGGTGGGACATCTAAATCTATGCCCGAGATCGCAATTTCTGCAATCGATCAAACTGGTTTAATGCACGGAGCAACACACGCTGTCCCGTAGAGCATAAAGCTTTCTGCTCCTGACTGTTATTCAATTTTTGTTAGAGAACGACTAAAAGGCACACGATCGTCTTCTTCACCGCCTCTCTGAATGAAGGACGCTCAGAAAGAAAGACTAGATGAGATAACGTAATAGTTGCTGCACACCGTGTGCGACGGGTCGACGACGGCCTCGTTTTGAATGAGAAAAGGTTTGGTTGTAAGGACACCAGGAAAATACAGAGTCAACGAGTTGGAGCCTATTGCTGAGACGACGCTCATTGCATGTAATGTGTAGGAGGAATCTCGATCCCCCATCAGCATATGCCGGGCTAATCGATGCCCCGAATAGCGAATATCTGCTCCAGGGTGTGGCCTCACTTCATTTGATACGCTGAGAACTCCTCCCATCTTTGACTACACTCTCCGCAATCCTGGTCCAGTCTTCAATATTCCCCGTAGCCGACGCCATGTTCTGCTTACCCATTTGGTGGTCACTTGATATTTGTTTGTTACAAATTGCGGCTGAAGATAAATAAATTTCTATCTGATATCACATATGCATCCTTTGTAGATAATCCTTTAACCAGCTCTTCATCTTAATACTCAAGCACGCTGGACATGCTCCCAAAAGTGGGTTTCCCGAGTATTTGTGCATCCACAGACTCCAAAGCGCCGCGCCCCAATGCGCCATCCCTAAATGATGCGTCTGAACGGTATTGGAATAGAAATCAATGATCAAACAAGACACGGAAGACTAATATACAAGAGACGAAATTTAAAATCCCCATTAACGGGAAGACTTCCCGTAGAATGATGAAATAATAATACGCCGAATGCGACGCGACAGCCGTGTTGCTAAAGAATATATCCATGGCAATGACTATCACTTAGGAAAGTAATATTCATAGGCAAATCTGGATTGGTGCTGCCGCTTCTTCTTCCCCTTTGCCCACGCTAAATCGCGGGCGAAGGCTGGATCCCAAGCGCAAATTGGCCCTTGCAAATGCCGACACGTAGAGTACCGGGTCCACAGTTCAGCTCCCGTCTGTGGCGCCGGCTATACCGACAAAATAGTGCTGAGGATTGACGCTCTAGTGCGGTGTATGGTAGCAAAAGGGTTGCAAAAAATGGTTTAATCAACAACCACCGAAAAAGTACTCAGGGGCAACTCTAGGACAAAGTGACTGACCATGGCTCTCACTCTTCACCCAAAAAGGAAAGTATTAGCCCCTCTGAAAGCCTTGCACCTTGTTATGGACCCAAAGTCGTCCGCGAATGCTTGTCAGTAGAAACACTAATACTAGGCTGTTTGAGGGCGTTTGGCACGAGTCAAGAAAAAATGGTCACCATGTGTGGCAATGAGAAAAGCGATCGGTGATCGGTCCCAATATTTTTTCAAGCAATGAGTCGATAGTTACCCCCGGAGAGGTCCAGCTTGCCTTCCTCGACCATCCGACCCAAAAAGTCTTTTAGCTCTTCGTCGCCAAAGGGGAAACCACCAGGCATGGCGAACCTCAGCATCATGACTATCCGAGGCAAGGGCATGGCTCCCTGGTTGGTCAGCATACCCACGATGAATTGCCAGAACACCTTCATCTTTTCCATTGCGACGTCTTCGGCCGACTTGACCGAAGACATAGCTGCGTTTGACTCCGCCTCTGCGGCGGCGGCCATTGCCGCCTGAGCTTGGTCTTCTCCGGCATCGTCTGGTGATAGAGTCTCAATGACGGTGAATGTGTCTTTTTCTGACTCGCGCAGTACCATTTTAGCTACCCAATAGGTCAAGGCGTTTCTCACCAGAGCCTCCTCCATCTCAAGTCGCTCTATTAGCTGTGCGACAGTTCGAGTCTGTGGATTCGGACCATCTGAACCCTGGAAAGCATAAATGACAGATGCTTGCCACGTCTGGACATCATCGGTGATGACCCGGTCGTCAAGGTCCAGTTCCACCGTGACTTGGCCAAGCGCATCAAGCCACGTCAATTTGCGGGATTGCTTCAGCGTCTCAAAACCTTGTTCGTACCGCTGCCGGACACGAGCAATTTCATTCGGCACCGAGAAGGTATCTTCGTGCAACGCCGGCCAAAAAAGCCGGGATAAAATTTTGGCGTGCATCTCGGGAACTTCGACATTCCCCTCGCTGTCTGACCCTGGCTGATCGAGCTGCTGCTCTCTGCGGATTGCACTGTCAACTCTCTTCGAATCGAGCACGTCCCGAAGCATGACTTCACAAGATTGCAGGGAGCTCTCGCCGAACCGAAGCTTGAGCAGCTCAAGGACCCGAACCTAAAGGCCTTAGTCAGTAGACAAGAGAGGAACAAAAGGCCTTTGTAAGGGAATTACCTCTTTATCCAAATCAAGCTCCCGCTTCAAAAGGCGCTCCCCCATGACGTTTTGGAATTCTTTGATGAAAACATCTTTCGAATCAAACAAGCTTATCATGCTACCGATCACGTCGGATGACTTGATCTTTTTGTAGTCTAATGCGTAAAGGCAAGTTTTAGCTTAGGCATTCTTAAAAGAAGAGCATCGTTGCTTACCTGGCCCAGCATCCACAGGATCAGGCACCCAATCCATGTCATCCCAGTCAAAGTCAGCGTCATTTTCGTCATGTCCGGTAAGCTCAATAGCCCTGCTCAACTCAACGGCAAGCTCAACCAAAACCTCGGGAGTCATCGGAGAGTGTTCTTCGTCGGCGGTTTCCACGTCGGCAAGCAAGCCGCTGACAATGACCTTGACGGTATCATCTCTGTCTCTAAGATACCTTCGTAGAGGTCGAGCAATGCGGTCAAGGAGGACGCCTTTCGGGTCCAAAATGGCGAAAGCCCGGATCAAAGAGATGTAAATCTGAAGTATTTCAGCCGTGGAGGCACCTGGCTGCAAAAGTCGCTGGGATATTGCTTTTGAGAAGGAGGAGGTGAGATGCAGTCTGGTAATTGGATTCGTCACATATTGCTATAATATTTATCATCAGTCGATGCCATCAATACAGTCGCTACAGGACTTGCCTTCAAATCTTCAACTGCTCCCAGGCTTGCGTCCCATTCGACGATGACTGAAAAGAGCTCATCGACGCGCAGCCTACCCAATCTCTCAATGCCCATTTCTTGCCACTTATCTATAGTGCTTGTCATAAAGTCGGCATTGTCATAAAAGCTACCGGTATCTCCTCTCATGCTTGTCTCTGTTTTTCTAAGGCATTCCAAAGCTTCGAGAATAAGCTTCGCAAAGCGATGTTCAATCCACGTCCGCAGACGAGCTGGCACTGATGATGGTGACTCCCACTTTCTTGCATAAGCACAATTTACATAGTCTGTCATCAGAAGATCCATGACTTCTGCGAAGACTCGTTGCGCGTTATGACCACCCAGACCGACCTCTTCCGTCATTTGCATAACAGTCAGGATGCTATCGCGATAGTGGATGATCTGAGAGGGGTCTTCTGACGTTCGCAGATTTTCCGGACCGATGTCATCGAGACTGTCGTCATCGAAAGCGCCTTCGCTCCAGTCAATTCCAAGAACGACAGATGCTTCAGCAAAAATATGGGTGGAAAGCGCTTCCGCAATGTCACTTTGGGGAAGAGAGTACGAGACCAGCGCGTGCAAATCTCTCCGAAATCGCGATTGTATTTGCAAATTCTTTGCTTGTAAATTATCCGGATCGGCAGCAGACACCGGGGCTAGGAAATGAAATATCGGGTAGAGATAGACTTTTTGGGCGTTTTGAAGAGTTCGCAGAAAATCAAATATCCAACCGTTATGGCGATCTCGATGCAATGTCTAGTTCAATTAGCATTTGTATCTGAACAATTGAGGCAATCTTCGGTACTTTTGTCGCTTCAGGCTTTGTCCATGCTAGAAAATGTCGTCGAACTTCATCCATATACCACAGTATAAGGGGACTAGTTACGCCACTAAATCGTGCATCGTGCGTGAGAGAAGCCATTGCCCTCATATCCTTTGAGCTTGGGTTCTTGATCCAATGACCACCCGATCTGAGGTTGTGTCTGCTACTTCCTTCAGAAAACTTTGAATCGATTGGTGCTTGAGGTAAAGCCAGAAAGGTAGTTGCTGCCTGCCACGTGTGGTCCCATTGTATTTGATCTTTCGCAGCATCGAATGCAGGAGACTTTGGTGTTTGGAACGCCGAATGATAACGACTAGAAGGCGATTCTGGCACTAATTGAGTCACTTTAACTGTTGAAGCCTGTGTGGAGAGTTTCCCAGATCGTGAAGCTGTTGGAAACACAGAGGAGAAAGCGCGTTTTGGCCGAGTTGATGAGCTTGGCATGTTCGCCATCATGCCTGCTACAATGTCATAGGAATGAACGAGTATTCTTGGCTGTTGACTATTTGGTCCTAATGTGCCCAGTGCGCATGGAAGGACAACAAATAGTCGACATTAAATCAGGCCTTTGATGTGGGGAAGCAGTCGAAGAGATAAAACGACGGGTTTTGTTTACATTGCAGCTTCTATGGTGTGAAGGTGGCGCATGATCGGCAAGGATCAGTTACAGTTAAGGGACTCAATTAAAATTCAGTTAAAGATCCACCAGGCGGGTGTTAGCGGGACAAGATCAAGTGTCCTGCCGGGTAACCCCTTTGGAAGTGCCGTTCGCAATCAACCAAATGCGTCATTGGGTGCCTTTCTCCGGGTTGACTCAGTCATCCTCATATCTTTTGTGACTCTATCTCCTATAACTCCAGTATCCTGGGGCCGACGAGTGACCATTGTGCTCCTTTCCTAATCTTTGATTCAACCACAACACTTGTGCCCTCGAATATGTCTCCCCCATAAGTAGTCTTCACAGGCTCCTGTTCCCACTCCTCTGCCCAGCTTGAAGCTTCCGTTGTCACATATTGATAGGCCTGCAAAAAGCGATAGACAATCAGACATCAAGATGTTCCAAACTCTGAATCAGCTTTTTCGGAAACGCTTCTCTCACACTAATACTACGCTGTTACGAGTCAACTGCTGAAAATAGTCATTATCTGCGGGAAATATACCGCTGTGCTATATTGGACTTGCTGTTGGAGTCAATAAATCAACGAGTTCGACATGGCTTCTATATTTACATTCGACCCTGATCCGCCCACAATATCATCTCCTTGGCCACGATCCCTTGCACCGACTCCCGTCTCATTTGCGGTGAATGAGCATGCTGCGCCCATTGCAAACAGTGGTCATGGACGCCCTCTTCCGAGTCCAAACCCTATCGAACTGGCCGATTGTGGAATAACAAAACTCGAGCCAGAACCACAAGAGGGTCCGACAGAATACAAATTACATCTTTTGCTGCGACCAAGGAGACTCTTCTCTGCTTACAGTACTGGCTCGTTTGTATCTGGTTCGCACCGTTCCGGTTTGCAGCAGTCCTCTGCTCGCAATGATATCTCGGCATCTCCAAGTGCATCTCCCCACCCGGCTCCTTCGGGGTCATCAAGGCAAGCGCGCTTGCAGCAACTTACCACGCAACTGCTCTGGCGCCTACAGCAGTCCTCCCCGTATCATTCCTCTTCGACTGGTGATTTGATTCTTCCTATGCTGCCTGATACTTCCACGCCTATTGGGTCTTCCGTTCGGCCTAGGCGACTTTTGCCAGGATTAGAGGAAAGCAAGGGTGCTCTGTATGAGATTGGAGTGTCTGATGATGGCAGTTTCAAAGGTCTAACAAGGGAAGAGATGGAAGAGAGCCTCCAAACCCTCTCCCTGATGGCGGCTAGTCTGGGTTGTAGCATCGAAATTCAACGGATGGTTCTAGTCGGAGACTGTGAATGGATCGAAGACGACGCGTCGGTTCCTCCGCGGCGTGTCACTCATGCAGAGCTACTCTGGGTTACTGAAGTATTGGTGAAACCTGATTTGTTCCGTGGGACAGGACAAGCTGAGCCGGCAACGTCATCTTCATCAACGCCAAGGCTCCCAAGCTTGGACGAGGCCACTCCAAATCCAGAGGAGGTGCAATGTCTCACCGAGCAAGTACGAGTGTCGCTCACTGGACCAACCATGTCCGGGAAGTCTAGTCTTTTGGGTACGCTATCCACCAATACTGCAGACAACGGTCGTGGTAAAAGTAGATTAAGTCTACTCAAACACAGACATGAGATCGAATCTGGCGTGACAAGCTCGGTATCCCAGGAGCTCATTGGCTACAAGACAGCGACACCAGCGACTTCCGGCGGGTCAGCTGGGACGGATATTGTCAATTATGCCTCAGGAAACGTGTCTTCATGGAATGACATTCATTCGGCATCAGAGTCTGGAAGACTTGTATTTCTCTCGGATTCTGCGGGGCATCCTCGATACCACCGAACCACCATACGTGGGCTCGTCGGATGTGCTCCTCATTGGACCGCTCTGTGTGTTGCAGCCAATGATGGAGACGCAAAAAGAACCTCTGGGATCAATCTTTCTGAGCAAGATCACCTTGGCCGTGCTGAGAGTAGCTTAGATCTCGCCGAAGCGCATCTCTCCCTTTGCTTGAAGCTTAGACTTCCGTTGATGATAATTGTTACAAAATTAGACCTGGCTTCCAAAGCAGGGTTAAAGAACACGCTTGGCAAGTTACTTTCGGCATTGAAAGCTGCCGGCAGGAAACCAATCATGCTAGCGGCGGCCAACGATCAGGTCTCTCAATCGATATCTATACCTCTCAGCGCTGAGCATGAGGTCAAAAAGTTTCTAAGCCCAACAGAAGTCGAGATTGAGCAAAAGGTTCCAATCGTATTGACTAGTGTTGTCACCGGGGCAGGTATTGGAACTGTTCATGCTCTGCTTCGAACTCTTCCGATACCACATCCATTGCCTCTTGCGCCATCTCTGACAGCAACCCTACGGTCATCACCTAATGTTGTCTTTCATGTAGAAGAAGTCTATGCCATGTCGAAATCTTCTTTTCGGCTTGATTCAAACTCGACCCTGTCGTCCAAACTTATCCTCAGCGGTCATCTTCGCCACGGCGACATCAGCATTGGTGACGAGCTAGACCTCGGCCCCTTTCAGCTCGCCACGATGGAACAAGAAAGCAGTAGCAGTCCTTGCCTGGGACCAATACGACAAGACAGCTCACCAAAATCCTCAACTTTAGATCTATCTTCTGCCATGGAGTGGAAACGTGCCCGCGTAATCAGCATACGCAACTTACGACTTCCTGTCCGTAGCCTCGTCGCCGATCAAGCAGGCACGCTAGGTATCGCATTCCTACCTAGCCCATCCGCCTCTGTAAAAGACGCCTCTCGCTCCTCTTCCTCCAACCTACCCAGCCTGCGTATCCGACGAGGAATGGTCCTCGCTCGCAACTCTCCAGAACGCCCTCTCCAAGCTTCCACTGGGATTGTAGCCCATTTTGACCAATGCGATGCAGGAGCTTTGACACCAGGTAGCACTGCAGTGGCCTACTTTGCCAGTGTCAGGACTTCGGTCAGAGTAGTCGGCATTGAAGAAGACGTCATCTCAAAGAAGAACAGCTTCGATGATGGTCATGGCCATCCAGAGGGCGTCTTTCACTTTGGAGACAGCGATGCCGATGATGATCAAGATGGCCATGAGCATGATACATCTTCTGCCGCTGCTGCTCGCCGTCATCGAATCTCCGCCGCCACGCTCGAGTTTGTTTCCTCCCGCGAGTGGGTTGAGGTTGGCGGTCCCGTGCTTCTCGTGCCTAGCGGTGGAACAGGCTTGTATAAAGGAACAGAGATTGGCGGAAGAGGCATCAGTCGACTTGATGGCGTTGTGGGAACAATCGCAGACGTTCTTGGGCCGTGATTTGGATAGACTCTCGCGTATATATTATTTTGCTGTGTATATAGTACTGTAAATAATTTTCTTTTCTTTTCGGTATCTCTCCCATCATGTGACAAGCAGAGGTGTCCGGCTGTCAAGTCCAACGTCTCTACGCACGAGAGACCAAATCTTTTTTTTTTCTCTTCCCCACTTTCACTCTAGACTCAAACACGTATATGAGAATTGTATGCTTCCCTCTGGAGATCTATTAAGTCAAGCAATTCGGCTTGTTTTCGGCAACTCCACCGATCAAAATGTCACACATGAGATGCCTCTTTTCTTCACAAAGATAGACGTGGATGGGATGTGGAAACCCTCAGTACATCAGGTACACTACCAACTGCATTCTTACCGTACAGCAATCCAAGTATGGGGAGAAGTCAAGAGACTCTGGAACGGCAGATCTTGGGATTATCGAGACCTCAAGGGGCGTTTTAAGTGTTCTGGTTTCACAAGTTCATTCGACTTCTTCACTGTGATATCATATATGTGCTGAAGGAAGAGCCGTCATAGGTACGGTGAACGAAAGAAATAAATAAATAAATAAAAAGGGAAGCAAAGACCGAAAACTATACTTGAGCTACCTAGAAGAAATATGTCTGAAATTGCGATGATTTGTAACGGTCTGCGCTATTGATCAAGGCTGCGGACGATTGATTAAATGTAGCTGTGACAGTTTGCAGGCAGGCTGAACCTCGGAAAATGACAGTCTAGCAACCTTCCATTGTCGATTGTCAATATTTACCAATTTTTTGGATATGTCGCTCGACCGTCTAAGCCTGGAGACCTTGATAAGTCTCAAAGAAGTTGAATAACTCCGATTTTCAATCTTCCATATTATCTCCCAAAAAATATTCAACTTCTGGTAAAATTGTGTCTGTCAATTTTCTCATCGTAAAATACCCGGGACATGCATATGGTTCAGGTCTGTATTCGCCCCTTATTGTAAATGATGACTTATCAAACTCGCCCACCATCATCCTCTCGAAAGGACTCACAAGAAGGACAATTTCATTGTTGAGAATCTGACCATATATTTCTCTTTGATGGTACATCGGAAGCACCGATTTTCGTTCAACGCCGCTGAAAAAGGGAAACTGAGCGAGCGTCTTGTTGTTGGTAGATTTGTTGATATCGAAGGTTATCTTTACTCCTCTCTCAAAAACAGTGTTAAATGGAAGCTCGCTAATAGAAAAGGGCATCTCCCAGGCACTCAGTTCCCAGGTACCGGCCATTTCATTCCCTACGCTTTCATTAGCGTGTATGATCATAAAACATCTCTGGTAAAGTCAAAATTCTCTTACAGGCATCATTTCTTACGCGAAATAGAGTATTGGGGAGAGAGTTGAAAAGTGAGACGTGATCAAAACTATGGACAAGCAACTGAAGCATTGCAGAAGTAGACTCTCCGGATCCTGGGGACACCAAATCGAATGCCGTATGTTGAAAGTCATCTTCTTCCCAGGCATGTGCGCCGTATCGAATCAGCAGTTCAGCAAGAACCACGTTTCCGCTCATGGTGGCGTAGTGTAAAGGCGTACGGCCATTCGGCGATTTAAAATGGATGTTTGCTTTGTTCTCCAGGAGGTTCTTTACCTCAGTGGATCCAACAGCAACCGCCACAATGAGTGCGGAGCCAAGAACGATTTCTGCCATTGAATGTGTCAGGGCCGCTTTTAGTAAGCATTGTGTGCGGCTGCTATCATCTACACAAATAGCTATTTGGAGCTCTCGACCGAGTACGTCTGCATCTCTTTCAGTCTCTTCAAGCCCTGGTGGCTTCATCCCAAGGTAAGGGTTCGCTATTGGCAGTGCATTGTAATGAAGAAGAAGCATAGCCAATTCCTTGTCTTTTAATGAAAAGGCAATATCTAGAGGTGTTGTACCGCTCTGGTCGGATTTTAGGGGATTTGCGCCATGTTCAAGTAGAAACCAAACAATGTGAAGTTTTCGATCAAGCACCGCTTCACATAGCGGCGTTCCTGAATGCACACTTGATAAGTCCAGATCCGCTCCGTGAGCAGCGAGCAGCGATACAAGCTCTAACTCTCCTAATTCGATTGCAGCAAGCAACGGGGTCCCTTCGTCACTTGTGTGGTTGACATCTGCGCCACAACTGATTAGAAGATCAACAGATTTAATTTGACGATGCTGTATTGCTCCGAAAAGCGGTATCTGGTCATAGTCGTTTCTCGAATCAATTCCTTGTACTATGACTGATAGAGACTCCAGTAATGTGCGTCGGTCTCGTTCTCCAAATCTAGCCAGGCAGTAGGCTCCTATATATTCCTCATTAAGTCCCTGTCTGAAGTTGAGAAGTACCTGATCAATATCCCTTTTGCAACAAGTAGCGTTCAATATAAGGGATACAATTTCATGAGCAGCTCTTGACCCTGGACCGATATTATACATTTGTAAGATTTTGATGGCCCTAAAGCATGCTTCATGAATTTTTGAATGATGTGCTGTTGATTTAAGTCGTTTCGTCCGGCTCAAGGAGGCTTGAATCATAGTAGAACACTCTCGCAAATATGGAGAATCCTCGGTGATATTATCAAGGCCTGCTATAAAGGCAGCAGATATATAGTCATTGTCTTCTTGCTCAAAAGTCGCTCCGTTTTCAATGAGATATTTGGCAGTGCTAAAATGTGCTTGAGAAAGTGATGCCTGCAGTGGAAAGCCATAATAGCCGCCCTTCTCATTCAGATCAAAACCCCGAGTGTGAAGCTCCTTCACGATATCCAAGAAGCCCAGGTAGCAAGCATAGTAAAATGGGCTAGGACCTGTCTCGCGGACTCTCAAATTAGAGAGCTCAGGTGATATATCATCTGCCAGGGCCATCTCTAGGATTGTATCTCCAGTCTCATAAATCACTGCCCACGTCTTCCAATTTTTAGTGTTGTTATTGAGAAGTTTCCCTACCAATTTCAAAGTTTCAGGCATCAATTTGTTGCTGTCAGGCGTGTGCTGATACCAATAGAGTGCTGCATATGCAAGAAAAGGATATTTCATGATCATTTCCTTTAAAGACAGACACCGGATCTCGGCTTCGTTTCCAAACACATTACAACATAGGTATTTCAGACACAGTCTAGCCAGGTGTTCATTCTCGAGAGCCAGATCCCGAAAGCACAATTCTTGATTCTGCGAATCTCCAGCTCTGTTCCGGTCATGAAGATATTCCTTGACAGAAAAATGCACAAAGTGCACGGTGTGAAGCGACAGATCCTTTTGCTCTCCATCGCTCCGAATCTCGATCAGAGACCCAAGAGGCTCTCGAATGATATATGTAACGTCATCGTCGCTAACACTGTAAAGCTTCCACTCGTCTGGCAAGTGTTCCATGGGATAAGTATTCTCGTCACTATCGAGATCCACAACTGACGCCTCAATTAATTCCCGAACAGTGAGTGGTCTGAGCGCGAAGAGGATCAAGCGGATCATTTTTATGGTCCGCGCTCTCTTGATCGTGCTCAATTTTGAGACTCGAAGCAGTTCACGCTCATATGCCTCCTCAAATCCAGGAGGCATCTGCGTGATGGAACCCCGAATCTCCTTTGCATTGCTACTTGGATCCAGTCTCTGCGACAGCAAATGAACCCATAACAGCATGCCTTCCGATTTCTGAGCAGCCTGGTGAGAAATGAAAATCCGATCTTCTTCTGATTTTCGAGGAAGCTTGGAGTCAACCAAATTCCTAGACACGGTAATCACGTCTCCAATTGTGTCTTTGGCTGATATCTCGTAGTCGAAGATGAGGACATTTTGGCCGTCTGTTCTGGGGTTGAATATCTCTGTCCTTATATCGGCATGGTCTCGACTAAGAAGGAGTAGTCGTGAATTAGACTTGCTAATTTCTTTTATAAGATTGCGTAAGAAATTGGAGCGGTCAGCTCCTGCAGAGTAACGCATCGTCCGATCAAACTCCCAACACTCATCGAAGCCGTCAATGATGAAGACACATTGTTTGATACGCTGACAAAATTTTCGAAAAAGCCTCCATTGCTCTTCAAGAGTGAAGACGAACCCTTCGTGGTAATCGTCGCATGGTTCTCTTGCAACTTTTAGTGGTTCTCTTACAACTTTTAGTGCTTCTTTGCTTTGGTTAAGTATTTGAGCAAGAAATGATCTGAGAATTGCTTGGGGTTCCCGCTTTGAATCTTCTTCATATTGGCAAAAGAAATATGCCACGAGATTTGAGCGTTCAGCTCGAAGCGACTGTATAATTCTTGCAGCTAAAAACGTCTTCCCAAAGCCCGGCGGACCGTGAATCCAGAAGACCTTGGAAGCCACTAAATCCAGTTCAGCGAAATCAATGAATTCTTCTCGGTTGAATATCCAGTTTGACGTTCCATAATGAATCGCTTCTAGTATTTTATGATAGTGGTCATTTGTATATACTGGTCTAAGTTGCTTCAGAATCCGAGTTCGATCTTTTCGATCAATAATGTCAACTTGTCCAGCCTTGATATCCGCGACATTCGCCGCAATAGATGTTAGAACGTTGGTATGGTGGTTCGTCTGGGTCGATGCCAAGATTCGATGTACAGTCTCCTCCTCTTTTTCCAAATCATCAAGTAATTTGATCACACTTGATTTTGGAATTTGGATCGTGCTTTTTGCGATCCTCTTACCAGTTGAACTTTCAAAATATTGACGAGCTTTGACGAGAAATAACAGTGCTGTTTTATATATTTTTACTAGTGCATCTTGAAGGATCGATCCGGTGGTTGAAGTTTCCCGGAGATTGTTCTTCTCAATCTCTGCATATTGAGTGATGACTCTCGAAACAATCTCAATTCCTTCCAACATAGTGCCATAAACTTGAACATCGTTCAGGGCAAGCTGTTCAATAATTACTCAGTAAAGCTTCATGTTAACCTCTGGGGGATGGTTAAACTCTTACCTGAAGAAGAAACCGTACACCAGCCCATGGAAGGGCAGCATGACCTGGATCATACTGAATCACAACATCTCCAATCTCTTTAAACTTGTTGATCCACCTGGCAATCTTCTCGAAAATGTCTCTTATCATGACTTCGTCCTGATTTCTTTTGCGAAATACCCACCTCTTATTAAGACACTCTTGCTTCTTGTCTTTGACATAATTGAGCATTTGCGAAGGTATAATAGCGATATTCTGGTCGTCAAATTGGAGGTGTGCTTGATCGTTTTGAGACAAAGAACCAAACGCTTCTTGCCAGAGGTTTCTAGAGTTTCTAAACAGGTCAACCTAAGATCTGCAAACACGAACAACACGCGATGAGACTAATTTACGTTGTTACCAGTGATTGCTGAGCCATGGCCCACGGAATGTCTTGCTACTACGGCCTCTCCGCTTGAGCGTATGCAAGATTGCCAATAGCCTGTTCGTTCAAGAAGTACAATTGCCTCCAATGCTTTGAACTCAATAGCAAGAGATGTTGATATTTTTTGAGGAGAGATGAGGAGAGAGCAGTCCAAACTGCTAGATGGTAGCTATTCATATAAATTCAGACGGTACAAAGAAGACAACCCATTATTGCAGATTTTCTGAGATTCTGAAACAGTAAATTTTTACGACGTCCGAGCACTGAGCGTTTAGTGATAAGAGCACAGCCCAATACTGCGGCTCTGGAACCCCCTGTATGTTGCACAAGGCTGAGCATACAATGCTGCCAACGTTGGTACCTGGCCGGCAGTCATTTTCATCTGCCGCGATCACATAGATCGCCGATTGATCATTGAGGCTCCAAGAATCTCTCCGGCTTTGATGGGCTTTAAATTTTAACTTCTAACAAAAGCTCTTGTCAGCATAGGATTAGATGAAGTCCATTTTGTGCGTAATGTAGTTGAAAAGTTAGGTTGTTTATATTCCAGTATTGAGGGGCACGAGTGGGTAGATAGAAATGATCTAGAGATCAGGGTCTAAGTGTCCCGCAGATACCATAGAATCCGTGTTAGTATCAGAGCGTTCTGGGTCTAAACGTATGCCGACAAGTTGGGCCTCCTCCATTGTGAGGCGCAGCTGGAAGCAAGGTCATGGACAGTGTGGCTAACAAGTACAGTACTAGCCCATAAATGACGGCAATTTCCACAAATGCCACCCCAACCATCCTCCGGACCACAAAATATATTCATGGATAACTCAATGAGAAATTGATATTAGAACTTGTATTTTGGCATATAAATAGAGTAGATAGTGACTTTAAAGAATATCAATTTATTATTGCTAAATCCTGGGTCAGTATTTTGTGTACCATCCACCTGCTGCAATTACTGCCTCGATCCGTCGGGGCATACTCTCCACTAAAGAAACAAATATTTCCTCACTAATTGCATCCCAGCCTGCCTTCAAAGCATCAAAAAGTCTTCTCTCAGCCCTCCAATCTACCGATGTATCGTCAAGGAGCTCTGGATGGTGCTTATAAAGCCATTCTTTAAGCATATGCCAGGCGTGCTCTATAGGGTTCAAATCTGGTGAGTACGGGGGCCATTCCATCACTGGTATTCCATGATCCTGAAGCCATTGTCGCGCAATTCTTGCCCGGTGTATTGAGGCATTATCATGCATGAAGGTGAGGCCTGGCTCATAGATCTGGGGGATCCCTTCTTCAAGAACTGAGATATATGATGCTGCACTAGAGCCACCCCGAGCGGAGAGGGGATCTCCTGGCATATCAATTAAATCAGTCCTCCCACCAGTGTAAAATCCACCCCAGACCATGATGGTTAAGTCCCTGCCCTTGCTGTATGGTTGAATCATAACTTTCTTCCATTTTTCATGTGGCTTTCGGAAGACCCAGCAGCGCTGTTTTCCTGCACCACGCTCCACCAAACACTCATCTGTCCATATGATGGAATACCACTCCTGAACCCAGTCGCGACGTGCCAAACACCATTCATATCTCTTCCGTGCAGCCTCAGGACCAAGCCGGGGCTTTTTTTGAGCGATCCATTTTGAAATTCCAGACTCTCCAAGCATTCTTTTGATGGTGTTGCAGGAGACATCAAGCTGAACTTCTTCGATCAATTGCTTATAATTTATAGTTGGGTCTTTGCGAATTAATCGCTCAATTAGTCGTATTGATCGATCGCTCAACTTTTTAGGCCGTCCAGGACGTTTTTCAGGGCTTGGATTGCCTGTATCATGGTAACTTTCCACCGTACGTTTGACAGTGGAGTATGGTATTTTGAACTGCTTAGAGATCTCAGCATTCGTATGCTTCAGTTTTGAGGCCGAACAAACTGCAACGCGTTCAGAGTTACTCAGCTCTCTCCGCCTAACAATATTGCTGGCAATTGGAGCCAGCGGCCTCCTCAGCATGTTGCTGTCTATTGTTGAATAAAAATGCTCATGATGGTGGACGCGACGCGTCGGAAGAATTGCCGTGATTTTTGGCGAGGTACTGTACAAGTCGAGCCCAAAACGGGACTTCTCGCCGACCGCCGAAACTTTCAACCAAGATTAGTTGAAGCTCTTAACTAAATTGAACCGCATCACTCCGTTTAATAATTCTTTCCCAATGATAATCTTGCCTATACCAAAGCCAGAAATAATCTGAGCAAGTTGTAATAAATTCGACTCTCTTTCATAAATGAGATAAATATCCAGCGAGAAGCTACGAGGCGATCGTCAAGAACCTAACTTCGATTAGTTTATATCCAATATGAAGCGCTTTTTAATTTCCCGACTGAATCGTAGATCAATATTGGGAAACGATTCATAAACTGATATGGTCGGGCCTATCGGGCACTGCCGCCCTGGCGACATTCTCGCAGGTAGCCAACCGTTTAGCGCTACGTCCGGCATCATGCACCAAACCGACCATCTCGAAGCCATCTAGACTTGCAGCGACATTATAAGACTCTAAGGGGAATAATTGAGGGCCTAAAAAAGATTTTCCGTAATGCGACAGGCGTAAAATGACAAAATAGGCTATCCAACTATCGAAACCAGAACTAGTGTATACCATTCTAAAGCTCAAATCTGTTACATACGACCATAGACTGAGGAGAACTGGGCATCCCGTCCGCTCTGCCATACATAAGCCTCAGATCGGCGGACTAGTAGTTGGGTCGATGACGACCAGCGAATCCCCGCTGTTGTATATTTTTCTTTTAGTTTATTTTATTTTATTATTTTTTTAATTTTAATTTGGGTTCTCTTTCTCATGTCGCATCTATAGGTTTCCTTGGGAAAATACCATGATATGCAAATAAATTAGAAAAGAAAAAAAGAAAAGAAAAAGGAAGCCACCAAGGGGAAACAGAAAAGTAAGAGTGCATCATCTCATGCGAGTCGTAATAATGCAAGCGAAAGGTCAAATAAGGTATAATCTCCTATCGTCAATAATTATGATTTATTTTAGAGCTCTGATATATAGCCATCTAGCTCGTAGCAAGACTGTATAGCCGAGATGATAGGAAGCAAATGAAGGCGAAACGTAATTAGCTATTTGCACAATGTCATTATAAATGACACGGAATGTACGCTCAGTCGTTGGGGCAGGAGAAGCTTGGAAAAAGAGAACATGTAGGACAGCGACAATAATGATAGATGCGCATAACATTGACGCTGTGCAATGTGTTCATCGTATGATACGTTACCATCCATCCCATCGTAAATTCATGGCTCATCCCAGTTGACATGGACTCGCACGTCCTCTTACATGACATCAAAATCATACTCATTAGTTGCCCACTGCCCGGAGAGCTTGATCAGCCCGCTGTTACGTCCGATCATTGAGTGAGAGCTCATAACATTGTTTCATAGGAGTCTTTATCAGGCTCCCATGTCCAGCAACATGTTGTTATCCATCGGCCTGGACTTTGTGCCTCGAAGCTCACGAACAATCTCCCCACCTCGGTGCCACCAAAACTTCAAACGCCCAATCGCCTTTTTGGCTCTGTATTCAACATTCGACATGCCGACTGTGCCATCGTACGCGTACATGATTGTTACTGGGCCATGGCCAGTTGTTGCGGCACCAGCAGAAGACCTTGACGCTAGAGGATGAAGAAGAGTATTCGTGCGGTCATATCCTCGAATGTCGTCTGTAGATTGGGATCTGGAAGTTGGTAGCTTCGCTCGAAGGTGAGTAATTCTCTTTTTTAGACTATTTCTAGGTTCGATTTGTGAGCTATCGTCCGAGAAGAAACTGCGAACGTCTTCTATGTTGAGCGGCGGTGAAGGAGCCGCCAAGCCAGTGGTAGGATAGCGATCACCTGGACTGTGAGCTCGACTGACGGGCCTTCCGAGCGTCCCCCATGCTCCTCCACTGGATATAGTGTCTGCATCTGAGCTGTTTAGGGCAAGCCTCCTCTGGAAATTTTCAAAGAGACTAAAGTTCTGCGGGCTCTCATCTGCAGCGTTGCTCCTCAAAAACTCCATTAAAGTTGGCATTTCCTGATCCGAGGTGTGAGGGCGAGATAGATCTCTTCTATGCTGTCGAAAAACATCATCTGTTGAAGCCGCTGATCTTACTACTTTGCTTTTCTCTTTTGGCTGTTCATCTCTGGGCTTTGACACTGGGCTTGGCGCTGAGAGAGTTACTTCCATGGTCGGTCCGTCAGAGCTCCAAGGATAGCTTTCATCGAGATTCCAAGGCCGAGACTCCGGTGGCGAATTGGATCGTACGTCAATTGATGAAAGGCTGTTCGTAGCGTCCCCTCGACTCCGTTCACCAATGATGTCGGCGGACGGTTCACAACTTCGGAGTGTCGCCTCCATTTTGGCAACTAGCTCGGCCGCAAATGGCATTTGAGCACTTTCCTCCAGCTGCTGCGGCACAGCAATAAAGCCTGTTTCAGGCGTAGTGGATGAGTGTGTTGTTAAGGTTACTGGAGCTGCTGCACAAGAAACAGGTGGCGGTGAGCTTAAGGTGTCTTGTAGGCTCGGGATTTCCTTCACTTTATTATTTTCCTCGATCCGTGAATGTGACGCATTTACTTTACATATCGCATTCTCTAGTGCATAAAATGTTGGTTTTTGTGTTTCTGAATGATCGTCCATCTCGTTTGACCGCAATGCATTGTTTGATCCCCGTTGGACAAGGGAGGATTTCTCGGCATCCAGTGTGGCCTTCGCAATTCCTGAAACCGGATCGCTCTCAGCTTTGGTGGGATCGAGAGCACTTCGGCTCGTATGAGCAAATCCTAGCTTCCTGGACAATATCGGGTCGTCCAAGTTTTCATCCTCCTGGAAGTGCGGACGACAGAGCGGTACGTCAAATGATACGCGTTTCGCCGTCGAAGCTTTAGATGAACTCCGGGGTCGTAGGTGGATTAGCTCCCCAGCTTCTGATGGACGTCGCCGGTCCTTCAATTGAAGTATATCTACTGATGGCAGCCTCCAATACGGCTTGGAAACTGAGCGACTTCGCCTCGTCAGCTGCTCCAGATTTGCCCAAGTGATTGCATTTCGGTCTTCTTCATGCCAGGAGATTGATGATTTCGGTCGCCGCATGGAACAAGATCCCTGAGACGAGGCTTGACTAAATAGACGACCTCTTTCCAGCCGAGGCAAATGGGAAAGAGCCTGCCGACGCCTCCATTGACGGCGCCTTTCGCCTAGGTCAGACCTAGAGGTAGGCTTTGCATCTGAGTTGGACGTTTTCTGAGCAGCTTCTTTTGTCTGTATTGGCTCCTCAATTTCAATTTTCTTTGATTCAACATCATTATCATTTTCAGATAAAAGGGCGCTCAAATAGGCCGAGCTTGCCAAGAAATCAGCTTGCTCTTCTTCTGATGACTCGATTTTCTCTGCTGACAATTCTGCCACCGGTGAGCTCTCCTCACTGTCACAGTATACCCTTTCCGAGGTGCTTGACGTTTTACTCTCGTCGACGGCTTGATCAGCAGATCCTGAGGTGTATGAAGGTGTCGACATACCCGTCAGATATCGGCGGTCTTCTTCGAAGCGCTCGCTGTAATCATAGAAGAGCGGGGGTGGTACAACATTATCATGAGCGAGTAGAAAGCCTACGGGTTCAACGGATCGAGCGTTGACAGGATGGTACCGGCTGGATTCATAGAAAGCAACCTCATGGCGAGCCGTAGACCTTATATACGGCTGTGGGAGAGGTCTAAACTTCTCATATTGCGTTGCTCCCTTAACTAGCCTTGGTATCCGTGACACTCCAAAGTGCTTGTTTCCGCCAGGAGCTTGTCTCTGAATTGGCAGTGCCGCACCTGTCAAGCCTTTGTGGGTCGCTTTACCATCAGGAAAGTTCCTTGTCTTCTGAGAAGAAGCTGTAAATTCGCTGAGAGAGGGCGAAGAGGGACGGTACCCGAAGCGTTCGAGTTGGGTTGGACGGCCGAGAAGATGGCGGGGGCGAATCGGCCCACTGTATTTGCCAGGATAGACAAGGTTACTATATCCTCTGTTCCCAGTTTGTGATTTTGGGGCCTGCGTCAATGAGTAAGATCTACGGCGATGTCTGCTCTGGACGCGGGAGAATTTTTGACCTCTTTTGCCGGTATTATGAGACGAACCTTGACTGGACGGTGTCGTTCGCTGGGAAACAGGATACGTAGGTGCGCTGGAGGGAGAGTAGGGGCGAGGAGCATAGACATTTCCCCCAGCAGGACGCGGCATTTTGGGCAGTGATCGGGGTTCTCGAGGAAATTGTGAGACTTTATGGGTGTGGTTCTTCCCATACATAGCTAATGATTCGATATCTCCAAGCTCTGTCGTGGTTTTAAGCATCCTGAGCACACCAGGAGATGGAGGTGGGACCGTTTCCCCGGGTATCCCAAGAAGTGGAAGCGGAGAGTTTCCATCTTGTACTCCCTTTTGGCTGCTGATAGCAGATCGGCTGGAATCATTGTTTGAGAGCTGAGGAGACGCCATTGAGGGGGAAATGATTAGACAAACTGAGGTCTCTGAGCAGCATCATGGAAGAACAATTATGAGGGCGCCTTCAGTGGGCTGTCATAATTGTAGCATCCACGCTTTTCCGCCATCTCTTTTTTGGTAGTCACGAGGGGCGACCAGGCCTTTCGACAAATTGAAAATGCTCATGAAATGCTAGATTTGAGGGGACAAATGCTCGTGATTACCTTTACCAGCGATAGACGAGCTAGGAGGTGAGCGAAAATGTGAACCAATTTGCGTGTTCATGCTAGCAAAAGGAAAGAACGTGGCCGAGCTTAGCTTATGGACTGTTCTATCACATCCTCCCATCAGTTCCCTTAAAGCGTGGCAAATCAAAGTGGCTTATCGTTTGTCGAACTTTCATTCCAATTCCAGCTATAATTTGAAAGCTGGATTTCTGATCAGATGACTGACACGGATTTAAGCAATTTTCATTGCCGGTCGAAACAATCCTCGGACACCATGCTGCAACCCTAGATTCTAGCATTGCTCTAAAACTCATATCAGAGCTTGCAAGGTCGATCTGAAGGTACAAGATATGACATCCCGAATGCTAGCATTCAATTCCTCAAGAGGATGGAATGCGTCTCGACGGATTACAGCAAGGAGCTTAAAGCTGGCTGTTTACCCTTTGGCAAGAGCGGCAAAGCTATAGGTCCCGTGAGAGGCAGGCATGGAGAGAGACCATGGCGCGCTGAATGAGTATGAGGTATTTTAAGACAGCTCATTTTCCAAGAAGCAAACAAAGCTAGCTTTGGGTTGGTCCCGCTGTCTAAACCTCTAGAGATTGCCAGAGAAACGACTTTCTCACTGTGGCAACATAGGCTCGAGTGTGATCCATGCAAAGACATCTGTATACTATCTCATCTCTGCTTTAGGCGTAGAATCTCAAGCATCTTCCTTCATCATGTATGCCCTTGCATTCTAACCCACAGACCCTTGTGCCACACTTCAAGCATCGTACTCTTCCCCAATACCCACAGATTTCGCAGAAGTAACGCTGTGGTAAATCCGAATCAGATGGATTGACGCGAGCAGCATTATAAGTGAGCGGAGGGGCCGATACCAGAGCCGAGATTTCTTCCGGTGATGGAGGTGAAGGGACGATGGATTTAAGTAAAGGATCGCTCTCTTCTGGCGAAGGCGGGGTCGTCACAGCTGACGCGGGAAGCTGACATTGTACGCCCGGGGTAACTTGAGCGGAGTTAGGCTCAACTGAAGCTGATGTTGAAGCACGTTTTCCACGAGAGGATGAAGTCTTTGTGAGCTTTGCCGGAGGGGCTTCGATCGCGGAGATTGGGCCCGTCTGGTTGGCAAGTGCTGCCTCTTCATCTCCTAGATGATTGGCAAATGACTTCTGAGACATTAGAATCCTTCGTACGGCCTGCGTAACTTTGCCTTTAGATGCTGTTGAACGTTTTAGCCCGTCAACTCTCTCATGTTTGACTGCATTTAATATTGAGATGTGATTTATCTTACCCCTGCCGGCGGCATCTCTCTGGCGAACAGGTACCGGTATCTGAACATCATGGTAATTATCCTTGTCTAGCTCTGCTAAGTGTTTGGCAATAGCATTATTCTGTCGCGCAGTATTATCTCTTCCGCCAAAGTTGACCTCTCGGGCGGCGCGCTTGCGGCCGCTGGAGGGCTGTATGGGTGCTTTTGATGGATCAAATCCTGTATCGGGGACGTACGCCCAGCCAGGAGCAGCGTTAGAGGACGAGGAATTTGGGACAACTTCAACGAAAGGCATCCTATATCGCTGACTTCGCTCACTTCCAGTTAGCCGTTCAAACTTTCTGAAATGTTTCTTGGTGTGTTTGGCCGACGGTACCCTGCTGGTCTACTGTTTTGCCACCTGCTGTTACCCTGTGCAGACGAGCTCTCACCGCCTTCAAACGTTATGATTTCATTGGCCCCGAGATGATAACTAGCCCAGCCACATTCATAACCTGTGAGGCCGAGGGAGCAAGGCACTCTTTGAGTTTATCCGCATAGAATTTGCTCAAAATGTATTGCAGATATGTACAGGAATAAATAATCGTCATTTACGATCCCAATTCATGTACCTTCATATTTATCGCGAACCATGGCGTAAGAAGCTTTTGCGCGCCAGAGCTACTAATATCCCATGCCATAGCTTTTGACCCTGCTCCAAACATACGCACGATCATTGCGCAATCCAAATTCGCCCCAGTCATCCGTCAGCCTGTTATAACTCCAATAGCCTTTCCAGGCCAGCTTATTGTTTCGAGCCCCGCGCCCACCGCTGCGCATTGCAAATTGCATTCTGTACATGTATTTGGGATCGACACCTTCTGTCTCGACATGCAAATCACCCTCCTCTTCTTCCTCTTCGGTGGAAGACTTGCTGGCAGGTCCAGAAAGTCTCCAACGGCCTCGAAGGGCTGGTTTCATCACAGCCGAAGGCAAGTTACCAGTGTGATTTTTATGTAGGTTTTCTTTCACTAAGTGATGAACAACATCAATTGGCTCTGCAGTGGTAAGGAGGCTGATTGCCGTCCCATCACGGAAAAATCGCAAATACCGATAGTAGGTAACAATATGAATAGGGGTGTTCCAGGTTAATTGCATTGGTGACGCTGAACCAGGGCGAAGATAGTTCACAGTGCTAATATAGCATCCATTAAACCGTATACGTGGCCGAGAACGGAACATAAGTCTCCAGGAAGAAGCATAAGTCTCGTGGAGCAGCGAAAGCGTAAGCGGATCCGTTCCTACAAAGCCCGTACCATCGTGTTTTTCCGGGAAATCTCCGGGACCAAGTAATTGGTCGCCCTCACCGATGTAAGGTTCACCGAGGATAGTGCACTGCCAGTCGTAATGCATCGCGGGAAACCCAAATTTGTCTCCACAACATACGCGTTTCCAAATGCGCTCTTCGGTGCCAACCAGGTAAGCTAATCGTTTGCACACTCGTGCTAGCATTGAAAGTGTTGCAACATCAGTCACAGCAGCGTGGACAAGTATTTCCACCAGCACTTCTTCAGGTATGGCTGCAATCGGGCAAGGTGGGGGAGGTGAGGCGTCAGTTGGTGGTGGCTCTGCGGGTATCGAGAGGCCAGAAAATCCCGAGATGAGCTCTGAGATCGATGCAGGAAGGCCGTGAGTCGAATCCTGAGCGGCGCGTGGCACTGCCGCGGCGGCAGTGGGCGTCGATGATGCTTTGTTGGCCGGCTTTGGCGGGAAAGCCGACGGTGGGAAATGTTTATTCTTGTAGGCTTTATCGACGCTCGAATCAAGCTTTTTACAAATAGTTGTTAGATGGTGATGTGAAATAGTCTCCCAGTGAGATCAAGAAAACCTACTCTGAACGCCTTTCTATACAAGCTCAAACTATCTCCAAGGACACCCTGTGTTTCTCTTTCAACAGCCTTTTCATAGTGCTCCAAGGCAGATTGCGGTTGCCAATTTTCTTGGATCCTCTTGCCAGCATCCGAAAGCTTTCTCCCACCCTGTCTTTTAACTTCCAAGTCATGGTATGCTTTAGGATCCACCTCGTCTTCGCCCTTTTCGTTGGCATAGTCGCGGTTCTCGGTGGGAAGAGGCGGTATCCTTGGTCCCGATCGGGATGCAGATGAACTCGCAAAGGTTTCCGCTGCCGGAAAATTTTGATTTCTTGTAATAGCAGTCTGACCTCTTCTGCCTCCTGTTTGTCTAGTACGAGCTGAGACTTCGTCGCGCCATTTCTGACGGAAAGACTCGAGCTCAGGATTGGACTCGCCGTCCATTATAGCATGGATCTCAAGATCAGGTGGCGGTGGGGAAAAAGTATATATAATAAAGTAATCATGAATGTATTATACAACAGATATTTAGTGATTCAAAAAAAGCAGCTGTGATTTAAATAATGATATGCCGCTCGCCATCCTCGTAATCAACATGACCATTGTTCAATGGTGGTGGAGAAGGTCGAGGTTAGTTGCTTATCCGGGAGATCAGCTTTATCTGATAATAATTTCCTATCTGGGTGATTTAGCCTCCATTCTGAGTCATCGATGGCGTAAAAGAAATGACTGACGTCTTTCATTTTCAGGGCCTAGACATCTCGCTTGATTGTTATCAGATCCGACCCAATGACCGAGTGGAGCAAACTTCGGTTCTAAGCTCAAGGAATCTCCGGAAACTTCTGGCAGGGCGACATCACCACTGAAGAATAAATTACTCCCTACCCGTCATCCACTACTGCGAAAGACCACGTTCCTAGAACCCGCTTTGACTTTTGCATTTCTTTTTTTCCGTTTGACATGCATTCAGCAAATCTGCTGCGGTGACTTCATTATTGCCGCTCTCTCACTCGTCCTGCCGCCATCAGATAATTTGCCTCTGTGGCCTCGGCCAAGCCAATGTCGGCTTTTGACTTGCAATCACCACAATCAGACGGCTTTGTCACGGATCCCAATGTCCACGCTGGATTATCTTTGGAACAGGCGTACGATAGGATGGCGGGCACCAATGCGCCCCCTGCGAAGGTAACGAAGCCTTCGGATACGTCTTCCGATGAAGTTCCCGTTTCCATCGGACAAAAGATGGTCTCTGCAGTATCAGGCAGTCTTCTGACCTCATTACTAGGTATGTAATTGCTCCAGGATAAAGTGTTTGAGCTCCTGCCGCGATATTTGCTGACATTGAGCTTCCCAGTGACTCCCTTGGACGTTGTCCGTGTCCGTTTACAGTCACAGATGACTCCCTCCCCAATCACCACTCTCCGAAATCTCTCTCACATTGACCTCCCCTCATCATCAAACAAACTCCCGCCAAATCTGGGTGTCACTGCCTGCTGCCGAGAAGTCTTCTGGATAAACAACAATACGCAGTTCTGTTTGGCCGGACCAAGCGTAGAAAGTGTAAAGGCCGCCGCCGCTGATTGCGCGGTCGAAGACGTTCAACGCAAGACTTTCACGTCCACCTTTGACGGACTCAAAAAGATAGCTCGCAATGAGGGCATCACGACCCTCTGGAGAGGCTTGAGCCCGACATTGCTCATGGCAATACCCGCCAATGTCATCTATTTTACCGGCTATGATTCTCTCAGATTCTCCAAGCACAGTCCTCTACGAAATCGCGTTTCCGAACCATACCTTCCCCTGGTAGCAGGAAGTGTTGCTCGCATTGGCGCAGCCTTTGCTGTTAGCCCGATTGAGATGTTCCGAACCAGATTACAGGCCACTCCTTCAGATTCGACAACGAACCACTTTCGCGAAACGATCAAAAGCCTTAGTGAGATGGTACACAGGCAAGGCTATGGCTCGCTGTGGAGAGGAGTTGTGTTAACTCTTTGGCGTGATGTGCCGTTTTCTGGTCTTTATTGGTGGGGATATGAAGCGGTTCGTAAGGAACTGGTCGCAATGCGCGAACAATCCAGGGGACATGAGGTCGAGAGTCTCGGATCACCCTTGCAAGCCCATTTCCCCACGCAGAGTCAGGAGAACCATACTGCCACCTTTGTTGACAGCTTCATTGCTGGTGCGGCGTCTGGTGCATTTGCCGCGCTCATCACAACGCCATTTGATGTGGGCAAGACGAGACAGCAGGTCCTTCGACATACTGGAGACGCTGCAACCACTGCTGCATCCAATGCTGTACGCCCAGAGGAACTTCCAATGCTCAAGTTTTTGTGGCATATTTTCAGAGAAGAAGGCGCGGGGGCTCTGTTTAGAGGTTGGATGCCACGCTGCCTGAAGGTGGCGCCTTCATGTGCCATCATGATAAGCAGTTACGAGATCAGCAAGCGCATTGCGCGGGATATCAATGAACGGCGGGAGGAACGAAACAACCTCTAAATAGCACGCTACGGCTGCTCTTTGAGGTCCAAATTTATTAATATCTTCTTTTTTTTTCATCTTCCACTTTGCCCTTTTTTTGCATTTGCGGATACAACGACGCTTTCATATTCATATTGTACTTTAATCATTGGCGCGGCGTTGGTTGGAATCGTTTTTAATTCTCTTTTCGAGATATCTCTTCGTTTTATCTGTCTCTACTCACGGGCTTGTAAGATAGGAATGGAAAAAGGATAGATGGCGAAGGGACAATCATGCATCTCACGATGTTTATTTACGTCATTTGTGTCTTTGAGGACTAATAATTTGCAAAAAGATAAAAGTATCATTAAATATCCCTCAAATTTCTATTAGCACGCTAAATTCTGAGCTGTTGCTGAATTATGAATTATAACTCCGTGTTGTGTCTCGAAGCTTTCAGCCATGCGGCACTTGGACCCGCAACAAACCCTTATCGATAAGGCGCGACCTCGAAGCCAGGCTTCATTCTAAAGTTTATAGACCGCATCCCAATGCTCCTACACCTTAATTTCACTTGTCTTTCATTTGATCATTCCTTATTAGACCCCGGATAGGTGCAGAGATTCTCTCGATTACTTCCCTCTCTTCATGTTCCTTCCAAACTAAATCTCCAGCTCCAACCCTCGCGCTTTCTTGCCGCCGCCACCCTCTCACTGCTCAAGATGCCCATTGGCATCCAGCGCCTCAACGCGCGGCGCCTTCCTCCCAATGAGCGAATCATATTCATCAAGCCACTCGAGGGGCCCGACAAGGCTCTCGCGCAAGACTACCTTGAGCGAATCGCAGCCATATGTGTACCTATCATGCGGACCCACCACCTATCGATCATGACTCTCGAGGAATACGAGCCCAACATGGAATTCGTCGGACGCAACTTCAACGCCGGGGAAGTCATTCAGCTTGTTCTCAAAGCCCCATACACAGGCCACTGGCTACCGTTCCGGTACGTGCAGATGGTCATGATGCACGAACTCGCGCACTGCGTACAAATGAATCATTCCGGGGCCTTTTGGAAAGTTCGGAACCAATACGCCGACGAGCTACGCGGATTATGGACAAAGAATTTCACGGGAGAAGGAATGTGGTCGCGGGGCCAAACCGTAGCGGAAGATGGACACCATGCGGTTGCAGTCCCAGAGACTGAAACCATGCCGCACAGTCTTTGCGGCGGAACGTATCGTTCCCGAAGACGGAAGCGTAGAAGGGGGAGGGCTGCAGGAGGGAAAGGAAATGATGGGAAGGAGTTGACGTATGCGGAGAAAAAGCAGCGCAGAATCGCGAAAAAGTTTGGCATCAATGGCAAAACACTCGGCAATGATGAAGATGCTAGAATCGACTTGGAGGCAGGGAAAATAGTAAAAGGCAAACCCAGAGTAGCGAACAGTGCGAGAGGAAGAGAATTGCGTGCCGCGGCGGCGTTGAAGAGGTTCGGTCAGCAGGTTAAGCGCGAGGAAGAGGAGGAAGAAGAAGAAGAGCAGAAACGAAAAGAATTTGTGAAGAAGGAAGAGGAGGATGACGAGGAGAGTGACCTCGATGATGAGGATGATGAGGATGGAGAGGGCGTGCTGATAAAAGAGGAAGAAGGAGAAGACGCACTTGATTGGAATGGAACGAAATTACTCGACTCTCATGGCCACGGATTAATCAAGGTCTGCGAGGAAGAAGACGGCGACAATGCAGATGTCCGCGCGGAGATGCGCGAGTTGCGACAGGTCAATCTCGATCGATATCTCGAGCGCGATGCTAGTCGCGCTGTCCAGGAGAGAGATCGAACGAGACAGATTAAGAAGGAGGCAGGGGATGAGAATATTGTCAATAAGAAGCTGGCTTCTATTCCTCCAGCTGCAGCTCCTTCTTCTACTTTAGTCTCATCAGACTTATCTACTTCAGCTGCACCATCCTTATCTTCTTTCCTTTTGCCGCGGGCAAAGTCATCATCTTCATCGTCGTCAAAAAGCCCGAACGAGCCAACATCAGAGTCAATAAAGGCAGAACAAGAAGTAAACGACAGGGGCGGCGGCGGCGGCGATGACGATGACGATGTAACAACAAGATCGTGCCCAATATGTTCCCTCTCCAACCCAATCAACAGCCTCACCTGTCTTGCCTGCGCACATGTTCTCGACTTGGACAAAGTAGCTGACCACTGGCGATGCAAGAGCGTCGCGTGTCGTGGTGGTAACAGTGGTGATGGACGCAGCGAGTACGTTAATGCTGGAGACTGCGGACGGTGCGGTGTCTGCGGTGCGCGACGGGATGATCAGTGATCATGGTCATTGGTCAGTGATATTTACGGTCATAGGACTACCGAATATTTCGATTGTCATCTAAATTTGCAATGATACCCTTATTTACTTCTCTTAAGCGTGGCTTTTAACCGCAGGCGTATGCTCAAATGATGTTGAGCCACGTCTTTACGGCTGATACATGTTAAGAAAGAAAGCGTTCTCTGTATTGCGCTTCGTTTGATTTGGAAGGTTAACAATATTAATATTTGCTCTTGATGAATTAAAGGATTTGAACATCCATGATCCGAAAAGGTGGCACAGAAAATAGGAATAATTGATCAGCGCCTCGTCCTGCACGAGAATCTGAGTCCGAGAAGCGGAAGGGAAAAAAGAAAACAGCACCGAGAGGAAGAATGACACATGATACTTGATCAGAATATACCGAAAAAGCACTTGTATGCGCTCAACTATTGTCTAATGAAAATGATATAAAATTGACCAAGAAGGAGAAGGATACCGGAAGAAAATGTTTCTATGAATGTCGTGATCTAAATGGTGAGTTTTAAACGCCCGCTTCTTCCGGCGCAACGTTCAAGTCCCAATTGATCTCTGCCTCGGGGCCATATCTCTCGCGAAGCCATTCGTTGGTCTTTTTGAAGTGGCCGCAATCAAACTAGATGCGTCGTTAGCTTTAATTGCGCGAGTGTTTCGTCAAGTATTAAAGGTCAATGGGACTGGTGGGAGAAGGAGGAGAATTGAAACAGAAGCTCAACAGAGCAAAGACGACTTACAAATCCCCTGGAGGCGCTCAATGGACTCGGATGCACGCTCTGCAATACACAATGTCTCTTTTTATCAATCTTGGCTACTCTCTTGCCGGCCGGGGTGCCCCAGGCGAGAAAAACAACTCCGCGAGTGCGCACTTTGGCCACAGTATCAATGACCTTTTGGGTAAATCTTTCCCAGCCGCGGTTCGCATGGCTATTTGCCTCGTGTGCACGTACGGTCAGACACGTATTCAGCAGCAAGACGCCGCGGTCTGCCCAAGGGGTCAAAAGGCCTCCGTTCTTCGGCGGGGGTTGGAACCCCGGGTAATCCTTCTTCAGCGCAATATAAATGTTCTTGAGAGACGGTGGGGCCGGGGTCGGAGGACGTGTGGAAAATGCTAGGCCATGCGCCTGGTTATAGTTGTGGTAGGGGTCTTGGCCTACCACGACGCATTTGACAGTGTGCAGAGGCGTGTGGCGGGACCTTGGTGGTCATTGTTAGATACTGTCTAGGCATGATCTGGAATATAGTAGAGGTGAAAATTAAAGCCTCACCAAGAATAAACGTCCTCGAAAGGCGGGAAGACCTTCTTCCCACTCTCGCCCTCGCGTTTGAGAAACCGCTTAAGGTCAAGGAATTCCTTGCTCAGGACTTCGTCCTTTAAATGGGCTAGCCAGCTCTCATGCAGAGTCTCGATTTCGAGTTTCAGCAAGTCTTTTTGCTCAACAGTCAGCTTCTCAAGCCATTTATCCTTCTCGAATTTTGCAACAGGTGGTGCTGATGGAGCTGTGGCAGGATTGGTCGAGGACGTCGATGCCACGGGTTTTGGCGGGCCGAAGAAGGAGGTGATGCTGGCGTTGGCTTTTGGTTTCTTGGCCTCGGCGGCAGCGAGGTCAATTGCCTTGCGCTTGAGCGACGACGTGGCCATGTCTGAGTCTCAGGAATAATGTCTCGGAGGGTTTAGAATGAATTGGTAGTACAATGCCCGTGGGAGTACGTGTGATGGTTGAGATAAACGGCTAGAAGGTCCTAAAGAAAAGATAGGACGTCAGGTTGAGGAGTGCAGTCTCGGTACTCAATTATCAGGGTCAATTGCACAAAGACGAAAGAGTTATTGGGTAAATAGTATGGTTCTAATGTGTTTCAATGGGCATGAATCGGATATGTGTATCTGCCCTCAGGGTCCTGGGGAGTCGCGAACAATCGCGTCTCTACGCGCAGAGACGTGTTGCGTGGAATTACCAGACCTGTTAACGCAATTTAGTGAAATTGGGTGGTGTAAATAGATCATTACATCATCCGAGAATAACCTGATCATGATTTCCACTTTGGGATTGGCGCCAAAGAGCTCTCCCGTTTGGGACAGAAATAACAAACAAATCAGAGAAGAGACAAATAATCAAACAGTCTGATGGATGATAGAATTATCACTGTATTCTTCTGCAACTAGCACTTCCATGGAGAGATCAGCTGCCACAATAATTTGCCATCGACTAAGAGGGGCCTCTTTTGCCCCCCAAGTGATATGGTCAGAGACTAAGCCGGCAAAAGGGAAAGCAACGTTTGGTTTTCCCCCTCACGTAGAAGCAAGCTCGGCAAAGCTCGAACGAGGGGGGGGAATTCGGGTGAGGGATCACAAGTAACATAACTATTCCGTCAGCCAAAGCAAATGATTCTAGATGAGACTGATTCTAAACCTAATTGCTGTATGCCAGCCGGGCCGCACGGCTTCTCTGTTCGTCGTAAGGGAGATAAAATAGTATTTGAGGAAAATATAGGGATTCTTGTACAAGATCGCTGCACTCGGCGCTTTGCGCAGACAAAAGTCCCCACCGGCCCGAGATACCTGCAAGCTACCAAGCTACAGTTAGTGACTCCTGTACCTTCTCCCAACGTCACGCTCCAACTCTCTGTCTCTCGCTCACGCACTACGTACTTCTCTTCCCTCCAACCCCCAGCAAAAGCAGAGCGACACACGACCAGTCGGACCTGCGATCCTCAAAGCCTCAATTGCCCATCCAGAGTCATTCTCTCCTCTTCTTCCTTTCTCTCAGAGACACGACTCTCACAGGAGAAGCCCGTCTCTTCGTTTTTCTCTCCTCAATCACAAGATCCCCAATCATGGTACCCAACGCGATAATGCGCACTGTGCTCTCAAGAGGAGGTTACGGCTCACGAGCCTTGTCCACGAGCGCACGACGATTGCAGACGCCTAGCGGTGCTCTGCCCGTGAGAAAGCCCGTCGGCGCTTTCAGAGGAGGGTAAGTGTCCTTTATCCGGGAAGATTTTATTGTCGGCTTTTACGAAGCCATTGGACCCTTTTTCGATTCGAGCCCCCCTCGGCATTTTCGGGTGAGCTCATGTAGAGCTTATCCGGCAATGAGCCCCCATTGTGATGATCGGAATTGATCCCCATGCTCTGCTGTCGCTGACGTGGGGCATATTCTGCTTCCCTATCTTCACTCTGCTTCTTTTTACCCCGTTGAAGACTTATCGCTCCAGACGATCCTTTTCCAAGAGAGCCGATCTCCCGAAATGCGCATAAGGATTAGGATTGGGGACGAGAGCTAATGTTCGCAGTCTCTTCGGCTTCTTGTTCGGCTCTCTCGCTGCTGGCGCAGGCATGTACTTTTACGTTTTGAACGAGTATAAGGTTTCCAATGACCTGCTGCAAGAGGACATTTACGTACGTTTTCCTCGTCCTCGTCTTCTCAATCTCCTTTCCCTCTACACTTGCCACCCGCTGTATTTCCTTACTTCATTACATTGAACGCCCTGCTGCTCCTTCTCTGCGCAGTTACAGAACACAAGTCACACAACGCTACATCCGCATGCGTTTTGAAAGTCCTCATAAACTAACTTTGCGCAATGAATAGAACCTTCAATCCGCCGTCCAGCGCATAGAAGGCTACGTCAAGACCCTCGAGGACCGTGTCGCCAAGCAGATGAAGTAAAAGCCTCGCCCAAACAAGCACATTGTTCGACATCCATACCGTTTCACGGGACGGAAAAAAACGGGGGGCGTGCAAACACCAACCAGTAGCGTGGGGCTCAGTGGGCGCAGATACCATTTTTGTTTTTTTTTCTATTTCAACCTTTTCAGTTCTGATCTTGTTGCTTGGTTGGGGGAGCTGCTCGCGTTCTGCCAGGAACGTTTTGAGATATTGGAAGATTTGTTTACTCCAGTTGACTTGTGTATCGAGTTATATCTACCGCAGGGCGAAACCCGTGCCGTCGATATGCGGCTCGACCTGAGCTGCGGGCAGGGGCAAAGCGAGACGAGGCGAGCGAGCACGTCTTGCGAGCGCTCGTGATGCAAAAGTGAAGGGTGTAGGACAAAGGAGGAACACATAGTAGTTTTATCTGTATATGTATGCAGGGCGTTCTGATTCGATCCAGCCAAACTACCTAACTTATCCACTCAATTGTTTTTACAATATCAAGATCCCAAAAGCCTCGCGAGCAATGAATTCTATTTCCTCTCTCCCTCTTTCTACCACTACTTTAATTCGCACTCTACACGTATCGTCTTATGCTTTGTCTTTCATGTGCATTGCATACGGAAAGTCTTTGAAATCAACATGGTACAATAATATCTTCGTCCCTTGCGCTCGTAGAATGAGGGAGGTGGTACCAAATCCAACGGCGGCAGCCAATGCAGCAAAAGGAGCAATGTCCAATAAAGTTGTCCAAAGTCGTGTTCTAATAGCAGTAATGCAAGTGCTAATAATGATAATATCAATACACAGCAAAGAATTGTTATGTTGCGTATACTACGTTAGCACGCAGCATGGAAGATGAAACCACACAAGGTACTTTTCAAAGGAGGTGGAGGGGGACAAGAAAAAAGAAGAAACCAAGGGAAAAAAGGAGGAAGGAAATTGAAATTTTAATGTGATGCAATGCAATACAATGCACCGAAAATAGAGCGCATGTATGCCATGTATGCATGCCAGCCACCAAGAAGTAATGCTAATAATGCTGATAATGAATCCCAGGGTATGCTCCCCTATACCCTATGCATTGCAGAATCCCCCCTTAGAAACGCCAGCCTGCTCGTCTGTCTTGTATCTTGCAGTGTTTGAATGTATGTGTGTCCTCATGTACATGCCAATGTGTGTGCTCCGCGTGCGTGGGAAGTAATCGTTGTGTCGGCGGAAGGAAGAAAACCAAGGAGAGCGGGAGAAGGAAAAAAAGAGAAGAGAAGAGAAGAGAAGAGAAGAAAAGAGACGAAACAACAAGAACAGGTTTAGAAGGGAAATGCACAAATATGCTGAGAAAGAAAGTAGGAACAAGAAAGAGCCGAAGAAATGTGAACGAGAGAAAAAGAAAAGAAACGATAACCATCGGTGCCAGTTCACTCGACCGATAGGTCAGGCAAAACTACTCGACAATGGTTACATTTCAATCTTCTAATCCTCCCGTCTCCTCATCAACGGCCCCCAACAACGGTCCGTCAGCGAATACATCCATTTAAAGTAACCATCAGGCAACAACAATACAACAAACGCACGGGCATTGGTTCCAGGCCAGTCGTGGCATCAACATCCACATCTTCCTTTCGTCAACCATTGGTGAGAATGGGACAGAAAAGAAAAATGTAAATGGCTCCAAGGACGACTGCGGCTCAACAATATCCAGTGCGACAAGGGTGTCGCTTGTTGTCGACAAGAAACCGAAACAAGAAGAGAAGAACAGAACAGAACAGATTAACATCGAAAGACAATAAGCAAAGACACGCAGGAAACGTTGAAAACAACAGAACCGAACAGAAGATGGAGAACCAAACAGCGGACCAGAGGCACGTGGTATGAGGACAAAAGACACACAAGACCGACACTCCACCATAAAAAATAAAAATCAGTTGTGAAAAAGACAGAAATCAACAAAAAGTAGCCAGGTATCTTCCTGCACCATTCCGTACTGTGTCCCACACCGGAGAACATAAAAACAACCGAAAACCCGAAACGCTTCCCTCCACATGGGGAGATGCTAGACAATCAATTCGCCATCGGCAGGAGCCTGAAGTTAAAGACAAAACGCCGCGCTCAATTGCAGGGAGAGGCTTTTCAAAACGAATTTAAATCCAGAAAAATCCCTTTCTCAGGGTGGGAAAACTGAAAAGTAACGAGGAAGACAGGAAACTGTGAACTGGAAATAAAAAAGAACAAAAAGGTGAAGGCGTGGAAGACACTATGATCATTACTGTGCTTCTCAATCAAGTGTTTAACGCCACTTTGGCTTTTCTCCAAGAAAAGAAGAGGCACGGCTAGTCAACCTGCGTGAAGCCAGCATAGAAGGCGGAGTTTGAACCGGCATATCGAGTTCGATGGCCGGCGGTGACTGCACAGCTGGCGGAGAGGGCAGAGGAATCAAGCTTGCTCGCTTGTTTCTCCCATTGCCGATGCCGTTGGAATTGCTGTATCGTCGAGAGCGCGCCATCCAGGAGGATGCAGGAGAAAACGCGGGGCCCGACGTCAGAGACGAAGTAGCAGGGCCCGCTTTGAAATTGGAGTGTCTGCCCATGGAGGTGGACGGTCTACCAGCAAAAAGGGCAGCCTCACGTTCACGTACTTGGGATACTGATCGATTAGCACCAAAGTAGTCAGATCCCCCGCCAAGATGAGCAGCAGATGCGCGCTTTTTCAGCATAATGGGCCGCTGTATTTCAGTACCAAATGATGAGCGCGGTGTCAGGGGTCCCGGTCCAGGTCGGGTGGTATGCGAGTAGGAATGTAGGTGGGCATAGGATGGGCGTCGGGAGGCCAAGCTTGCTCCAACTGCCGATTCTTCTATCATAAAAGGTGGCGAAATTAGAGCGGGCGACCCAACGCGGCCGCGTTCGAGATTAGCAGCAGTGAGAGGATGCCGAACTGCAGACGGCGAACCACCAGCAAGTGACGAGGATGACCGTGCCGCAGTAGGCGTACCTAGCTGTGGGATATTGTATTTGTGATACGGCGACGGCGTTGTCAGCCCCGAGGATCTGAGTTGATTGCCAACCTTCAGGCCTCTCGGATTGAAACTATAGGCCCATCTTGGCTTAGGTCCCGATGTAGGTCCCGAGTGTCTTATTGAGCTGCCACCTTCGGACGAGCTGAGAGATGGTCGTCTGTTTGACGAGGTAGACGAAAATTTCCGGAGACTCGGGATAGAATGGTTTGTGATAGCTGCGACTGAAGGAACCGATACGTCGCTATCAAGAGACAATTTCCTGCTGCTAGGTGCACTTGCGTCCGAGGTGAGAGCACGCGAGTTAGGAGTAGGTCGCGGAATTCTGCTATAGTAGGCAGTCCCGGTCGGAGTAATTGTGGTAGGCCGGGGTACGCAAAATTTCGGTGAGGTGTGGCCAGGAGTGGGATGCTTCAGGCTGCCATCCTCAGTGTCGACAGTGGTTGCCGGCGTGAGGGGTTCTGAGAGTTTATCGGTGAATTTGGAACAATCCATGGGGGAAAGAGACGACGAAGGGGTAGCGGCCCCGTTTCTCGAATCACGGACGGGAGGCTTGACATTTAATACGTCGTTAGTATTGGTAGAGATCCCTTTTGTATTGACGTAGACCTCATCAACAGCCTTGTCGGTTTGTTGGATTTTGGTGTTGATTCTTAGCCACACTTTTTCGATTTCGGCGTCAAGATTTTTGACCTCACGACTAACTGAAGCCCTGTCCTTCATGGCATCCTTCATGATCGACATGACCTTTAGGATCGAAGGAACATAGTGCTCCTTTTTGGACTGATAATCCGAGAGGCGGTCCCTGTAGAAAGTCGGATTGCTCTTCTGCATCTCGCTGCCAATGCTCTCCATTAGCTTCGAGATGCCTCGATCAATTGACTGCGCCAATTGTCGAGCCTGCTTGAATGCCGACCTAAACGCTACCAAGTAACGGTCCTCCCCAACCTCCTTTTTGAGCGCTTCTGTATCCAAGTGCAGTCTAGCCCACCGTTCCTCGACGCCCTGGGCTCTGGCTTCAAGGAGCGCACAAGCGGACGGGAAAATCGACTTTGCTCGCTCAAGGAAGACTGTGAGTCGGAAGGGCAAAAAGTCGAGCGATGCTCTTAAAGGTTGAAGGCGAGCAAAAAGGGCCAGAAGATTTGAATCATTCGCGGGAATGGGCTGCGGCTGAGTCACGCCCGACGCGTTGGGATATGGTGAAGGAACGCTGAGACGATGAGTTTTGTATTCAAGGGAGTCAAAATCAATAGCCATTTCTTCCCCATTTTGCGCGGAAACAGAACTGTGCGACAGCCAGGCGTGTCTCCGCTCCTCCATTACAAAGACCAGATCTGTAAGAGCATCGGTTTCGGCTTCGATATCACCAACGACGGTATGCCAGAGCTCGTCCCATTCAAGAGCGAGTTCGATTTTTTCCTTAACCGACTTCAAAGCGGCACAGAGTTGGGCCCAATTTTGCTGTGCTCGCTTTACTTGGTTTTCAAAAAGACCAGTAGCCTTCTCGGATGGACTTGTAACCACATTTTGCTTTGTATGACTTTCAAACTCTTCGCGCAGGTTGAAGTTTTCAACTGCCGTGGTCAATTCAGAAGCGAAGGATTTGTAGCGATTGAGGAGACTATCAATGCTATCCAAGCTCGGTCTACCCGCTTGCAAAGCCCAATCAAGGTCATCCTCGCAACCAGCTTGCCTAATAACGTCCCATGTTAGAGATAGCCTCGATTGAATGCCGTTGGCAGCCTCGCAGATGGCTTGTGCGGCTGCGGCTGCGGTGGGTGATTTCGCAATATCCTTTAATAAGGTAGGGCGGGAGATTGTCGCATTCGCCAGTTGGCCGATACGACCCGCAAAAGAGTCTTCCGATAGATCTAAGGGGTTGTTTTGCTGGAAAATAGTAATCGCATGCGCGTCATGCTTTGACTGCGATGCTTTGCCAAATGACACTTCATGTCGTGCTTCACCGCCTACAGCGGCAGAGTCGGGCGTAGAATGATTGATGATGGTCATTGCTTGAGCTGAATCTTGTGTATCCGGGAGACCGCTCAGTCGTGACTCTGTTCTTAGCTGTGACAAAGCTTTTTCAAGATCCGGTATTCGGCACTTTTGAAAGTCAATTTCAGACATGTTTTCGTTATCGCTATCAGACATTTCTGAGAATCCCATCCTGTCGCAAGAGCTTACTATCGAAGAGAGATCACTATCAAGATCGTCGATTTGATGAGTTAACCGGTCTCCGATATGTGCGCGGTATAGAGCTAAACTAGAACCTGACATGCCTCTGGAGGTGCGACGGGTCGATGGTTGGGCAGAGTTCGAGCCCATTGGGGACAACAATGGGCATCCACCGGGAACGCGTATGGGCCCAAACTTTGTGTTGCAGCCGAACAAGGAAGGCGCCGCCCTCTAGAACGCTGCAATTCCAATCCGCTGGGTTGAGCAATTGAGAGCATTCGAGTCACGGCAAGTGCGACCGCACACGGTAGTTGTTGACACGTTCGTTTTTGCAGAGTTACGTTGTTGCTTTCCGGAACGCGCTGCGGATGAAGACCGCGCCGGTCCAAGCTAATTGGGAAAGAGCGAACGAGAGAAGCAGTAGAGCTAACGGTAGAGATTGGTGGGAAGAACAGTTCAAGGTTTTGACTGTAAGCTATAATAGCGGTAAATTCAGTCACGTAGCAAAGCTTTTCATGACTTGCAAATAGAAAGGACCCAGCTTGCAACGAGAATTGAGGTGCAATGTGGCGGATGAGGATTGAAGGGATTCAAATGTTTCAGATGGCGAGATATCGGGTAATGAGCGCAGAAGCAGCGACAGGCACCACCACATCATTTAGGGGGAGCGATGCAAGTAGATTGGGGGGGTTGTTGAACGAAACACCAATTGCACAGCACACAGACCATGACCGCGTCGTCCCATTCACCAACGATATGAATCAACTCCACAGAAAAGGGAAGAGTACAGCAGAAGAGCAACCAATAATGTCAGCAGCGAGAGACTTGGGGCAGAGACAAAATTGGGTTCGGGTGGAAACCAACGAAGCACTTGCAGGGCTTCCTGCAGAAGGTACCCGCTAGGGGGTCCGTCTCGCTGGTTGAGGTCATCATCATCATCACCGTCATCATCAGGAAAAGATACCCTGCCTCACACAATCACCATCAAGATTGAGAAAATCAAAAGATAGGCATCCCATATTCGTCAAGATGAGCAAGAAGAGTCCAATCAAATTATCGTTGCTTTTGCCGTGTCGTTGAAACTAATGGTCGTGTTGTTGACGGAGTTTCCCATTTGGAATTGTACTGCGTGCCGGGTAAGCTGTGGTATCGCCATGCATTGGAAACCCTGGTTAACTTTCCCACGTTGGCGGGCCTCGGCTATTCCAGGCAAGGGCTCCCCCGCTAAAAGTGACGGGTCATCATTCCGTGGACCCTTTAGTGGAGGGGCTTCTTCACTATTTGTCGGAGTAAGGGGTAAGCTGAGGTTGTGCTTCCGCTACTGTCAGGTGCTGTATACTTACCTGAAGTCATCGGGTCTAACACGAATAACTAGATCCTTGCGCCAAACTATGTGGTGCTCTAGCTGCTTCAGCCCCTGAAACTCTAAACTCTCCAAAAGCCTGCACCTTTTTGTCCTTATGTAGTTTTCTGTCACATCTCGTCCCATGGCATTTACTGCAGAAGTCCTCCTTTTGAATTGGTCTGAAGGAGAAGAAAACTGATGAAAAGGTAATATATAAAGTAAGTGAAGTCATGTTCATACTCTATAACCGCTTCTTGTACTCTCACTGTTAGAAATGCAATCTCTTATCAATAATGTCTAAGACTCCAATGCTCATGCAATAACAATAATTTTACCCAATCCTCGACAAATTTTTCAGAAAGGGAATGAAGCAGATTGAGGCTAAACTGATAACTTATGCTGACCAAGAGCAAAGTACTCAATAATCATCAGATTGAGGCCTATACATCGCGGGTCTTAACCGTGTTGTCCTTTTCGCAAGACCCTATGCTCCGCCTCCGGAGACTGTCTGCGCGGTGCCTGGTCGACTAGCCGCTCTTTCAGCCGCCTCTGTCTTCCACTCAATGGTAAGTTCCTCACGAACGCCCTTGCACCATGTGAAAATGGCAGCTTCGAAGGCTGCCCACGCATCGCGATTCTCCCCTAGCACGATGCCCATCACATCGAACTCCAGTTTAAGCTCCCAGCGAATTTCCGCCGCCTTTCGCCAGAATCGGAGATTTTCGGCGCAACGATATGGTTTGGCCGTATCATTGTGGAATACGGCTATTTCGCCAAAGGGTCGCTTGGACTTGCGAACCATCTGATTATGCAGGTTTATCAGCCGCCTTCCATCCCTGAACGCCGCGAGAAACTCTGTGGGTATGCTATTGCTTGAAGCAATTGGCGTCCATGGCGGCAGATCGCAAGGGTCATTGTCAAAGGACTTCAGGAAGAGCCACTCGCGCTCGAGCTCTCGTCCTTGCCATTCTCCATCAAGCCATTCCCGGTTTCTGCGCTCCTTGACCTCTTGTCGTTCTTGAACCTCTTCTAAGTTCACAATCCGATCTACGTCGGATAACCATTTTTGGAGAGTGTCAATCTCGGCTTCGCGGATACCTCCGGCAAAATCTCGCGTGGCCATGCGTTTCAAGACATCAAGGACTGCAAGTAACTCTTCACGAATCTTTCGCTCAGACTTGATAGCCGCCAGTCGTGCTGGGTTCTCGTGGCTAGTGTAATACACCTTTGCCGCACGGATAGCCAAAGTCATGACGTCGACCAGATGAACCCCTTGGATTTCATACCAGCCTTGTGGAGTGGTCGGAGAACTCGGGGATTGTCTCGAGCTGTGTGCTTCTGGAGAAACGTGGTTTGTTTCCTCACCGGCATGATCCTTGTCACTGCCAGCTTCAGCCTGCTTCGGGACGTTTCGTGGGTCCACCTCTTGCAAGGTCTGTCGCGCAATGCGCACCGCTTCCCTCAGCTCCTTTCTCAGCTGCCGTGGGCTCGGTGGCGGGGGAACATATTTGGTTCGGTAATTGTACGTGCTCACAGTAGGAGGAAGCATAGCGGGCTCATTATCATCCCAGTCGTCATCAGTCGCATCGCTTTCGTCAACCGGGCTTCCAACCAAGCCACTGCCCCAGTGCAGTTCATGTGAGGTATCTGCTATCTTTGGGTCCCGTAGATTATTATTATTGTTGTTGTTATAGGATGACTCTGCTGCAGAAGGCGGCGCCGGAAGAGTAAGGAAGAGCTCTGGGGTGCGTATTCGCCGAGACTCATTTTTCTGGTCTGTAGACTTATCGTCGGGACGAGCGAGCTGTGCGCCTTTACCATCAAGCAAGCCGGTTCGTGCGAAGTAATACTGAAGATGGGCGATGCTCCCCAAACTCATTACACTTTCTCTATTTCGAGCTGATTCGGCGAATGAAGTGGGTTGTGGTCGTAGATAGCCTCGGCGCCTGGGGTCGCCATTGCTCGAGACCCGTGATGCAGAAGAGGACCCCGATAGACTCGAAGCTGAGGATGTAGTTGATGCGCAGCGTTCAAGATGTGGAATTGCAGAAATGGCTGGAGTTGGTGATGCCGATGGAGAAGGTGATTGTGATCGAAGGTCTGGCACCACCGCAACAGTCGGCACGGGCGTTGTTGATCTCTCGGCAAACGCCATGTCTGCGTCGTGGCTCGCCGTGGGGGTTCACGAATATAGGAGTCAACAATTGCGGGGAGCTGTGAGGGCGCCAGCCTTAACGTCCCTCTTATCGTGGCTTTGGATGAAGCAGTGAGTTGCGATAGTTTCTGGTGTAGGTTGAACTGTTTGTGTGCCAAATGTGGCGTGGGAGCGGGTCCTCACGAGAGATCTGCGTTGGTTGCTTCAGGGGGTTGATGGTGTTGCCCGGCACTAGAGGAGGAATGGAGGCGTCGATGGTTGGCTGAGCAAACCACGCAGGGATCGGTGGTCAATTTCTTACGATCGCCTCAGCAAGCCTTTGAGAATGAGAGCAATTAGGCTCTCAGATGCGTCAGGGCGTGATTGATATTCATAGGTGAAAGGACAGAATACTAATGGGAAAAAAGTATTTGCCCTGAGGGTGTTACTGTTCCGAAGGAGAGTTAGTTTGATGAACCGTGCTTCAAGAGGCATTTGAGGATGTTTCAACTTTAAAATAATATCAATTTTAGGTAAATTAGTATTACTACCATTATTATTAGAGTACCTTTGTATATTCTTGGATGTATTGTGCATCATCATGGTCCCAGGGGTCAGTCAATGTTATTTTTTCTCTTCTTTCGGCCAAAAGGGGTCCCTCGCCGAATTCCGCCATTGGTTTCTCGAACCGTTTGTTGGCTTCCTCGTTCCGTCCCGTACCGTTTCGTACCGGCCTGTACCTAACATTTTGCCAATTGTCTTCACAACGCTCCATCCAGAAGATGTGACTACCCCAGCTCTACGGAGTACTCAAAGATACTCCAACCTTTTGGGTTTTTAAGCTTTTGAGGGCATGAGGGGGGCTCAGGGGGAAACGCACGGTGGCGGTCTCAATCTAAGTACCTCTACCTTTTTTTTGGGCTTGCCCTTCATAAGCACTTGAGTAGCTATACTCTTTGTTTTGCCCGCTAAGAGAGTGACATCATTCATATGTCGAACGTGTTGCTTCATCCTCATTCGTCTTCATTGACCCCAAGGACTCTTGAACAACAATTGGATCACGATTCAGTGAATTACTTTCTTTCACACTCTATCAGGCAAAATGTCCCAAAGAGTACGTTTACAAGGGTTCTCCAATGGACATGTCAACTATTAACTGCTCTAGATTGCTTTCAAAGTCCACGGGACGGTACAAGGTAGGCAGATATAATCCGCCGAATAGCTCTCATGGTACACTTTCTGCGTTGGCTAACCTTGCTTATTACATTATAATAAATGAAGGTGTCAACTTCCGGTAAATTTTTATTTTTCCATAGTTTCGTAAACGTTCAGCAACCGTACTCATCCGACTATTAGGAGCTTCACCAAATCCAGGGCCGAATCGTACGGCCTTACAGGATGGGTCAAGAACAGCAGTGACGGAAAGGTGCGTGTTATCGTTTGATATGTGGCATTTCCCCAGCAGAGTTATCCAAATCTCTATTCCGCAGAAGCTTCAAATCGGACTGGATTCTAAACTCATTTCCCTAGGTTATTGGAGAAGCTCAAGGAGATCAGCATTCCATTGATAAGTTGGTTCAGGACTTAAACAAAGGTCCAAGTGCTGCCCAGGTCACAAAGTTGGACAAGGAGAGCATTGACACCAAGGTCGGCGAGAGTGGATTTCAAGCGTGAGGCTTTACCCATGCACCCGTTCAACAAAATGGCTTGATATTTATGCGGCACACACATGTGACAGGAAACGAGCGATATAATACAAAATGAGGAAAACTCATTGATGATTTTTTTCCCCTTGAGTGGAGCAGCAAAGACAATCTGAGTCATTGGCTTGTATCTTACTGTGATTTATTTGCAAGGACGCCTTTAGAACGGCTAGTCCTTCCGACTCCACCGGTGCGCCCTGTGTCACTCTGACTGTAATCACAATCCTCCATGATTTGATAGGAGTATATGACTGTGCACATGAAAACTTGCTCAACGCTAGAATATATCATTACAAATGAGCCCTTTGCATCCCGCATATCTGATAGGCTACGTAAAAAGGACCGACGTAAGTCATCATGTACGAGAAATAAAGTCAGCAGCCAGATTTTGGAAGGAATGAGGGCCTGGCAGAGTTTCTGATCAAAGTTCTTTTCCGAAAGGCTCCGATGTACACAGGAAGGGACCTGTAGTTACTATGGGAATAGTTCGGCTTCAATTGTTATCCGATTCCGGGAGGCGACGGTTGCCAGTTACAGTTAAACGGCTAACTATAGGTCGCGGGTAACCTCGCGTGTCGGAACGAGAGAGCTCCCGCTAACTCCAATGCGACGAAGGGCGTAGCTCAGGTCGTCGCCTAGGGCTGCCCCAAGGCATTCCGAGCCTGGATCATATTTCCGCTCTGCTCCGTGCCAGCCAAGAGCAGAGAAGGTCTGATGACTCTTCCAGCAGCAACAACCCTTGGTTGTCCTACTCAACTCTCCGTTCTCTTTTCGCAGCTATACCTTGTTTGCTTGACAGCTGGGGCTCATTGTTCGGATGGCATGGACCTGTCCGCGCCGAGTCTAGCACATGGACCGTAGATCGAGGAAAAGTCGGGCCCTGTCATTTGATTATGTTTGCTGTATATATGATGGCCCTTGAGTTGTGGCATGTTTTTGATATTTACATCTTGTTGTTCTGCAGCCTAATTTGTCCTGAATCATAAGACAATATCACCACTTTTCAAGCCTGTCCTTGTTGCACTACCGTGAAATCCGGATAGTGTTTTTCACCGGTCATGTACCACTCCACAGTATGCATGCCTGCACGGAGTACCCTCTCCAGACAAGCCGGAGCACACATCTTGCGGCTGTCGGCGAATGCATCTTGCCGTCATGGCGGCTACGCGGCTGCGGCTGTCACCACCAAGCTGCGGACAAGCTATGTCAATACCGCAGACTCGAGGCGGCAATTTTCTTCGACCCAAAGGTTCCAACTCAAGGAAGTTTTTCCGGCAGAGAGCACAGCCAGAGTCCGGAAAACCGATCCAGCATGGCCGCATCCAGTGTATGTTCAGCCTGAAATCTTAGTTGATGGCCATCTCAAAGCTAAATTTTCCGCCGCCGATGCACAGATTTACGGAGAAGCAAATGGATGACATTGTAGTTGCTCACCGCGAAGCAAAAGATTGGTCAGACTGGATTGCTCTGGGCACCGTCCGCTTGCTGCGGTGGGGAACAGATTTGTGTACTGGCTACCGCCATGATAAGGAAGTGTCCAAGAGCGAGACAGCTGCGGCTGCCGCCGTTGAAAAGCCTCCCAAATTTACCATGAACGAGCGGAAATGGTTGATCAGATTCATCTTCCTGGAGAGCGTTGCTGGTGTTCCTGGAATGGTTGGAGGAATGCTCCGTCATCTCCGCAGTATGCGGAAGCTCCGACGAGACAATGGATGGTCAGTCACTTTTCTACGAAAAAATAAACAAGCAATCATTCCTGAAATCATTAGCTAACACCTTTGGCCAAAGGATCGAAACGCTCCTTGAAGAAGCCTACAATGAGCGTATGCATCTTCTTACCTTCCTCAAAATGGCCGAGCCAGGCTGGTTCATGCGCATCATGGTCCTCGGAGCGCAGGGTGTCTTCTTCAACGGGTTCTTCTTTGCGTACCTCATCTCGCCGCGCATCTGCCACCGGTTTGTCGGATACCTCGAGGAAGAGGCTGTGCTCACGTACTCGCGAGCTATTGCCGACATTGAGGCTGGAAAGCTTCCAAAGTGGACAAATATGCCTGCGCCTGATATTGCAGTGGGCTATTGGAAGATGCCTGAGGGCAGTCAGACTGTAAAGGACCTGCTGATGTATGTGCGCGCCGATGAGGCCAAGCACCGCGAAGTCAACCACACTCTTGGCAATCTCGATCAGAATGAGGATCCCAATCCTTTCAACAGCAATTACTATAATCCAGAGAAACCGCACCCAACAAAGAGCATCACTCATATGAGGCCCACTGGATGGGAGCGTGATGAAGTCATTTGATTATTTCCTTTTCCTTTATATTTTTGAGCGAATTAGACCCTCTCCACTTGAGCATATACCATATGATATCATGACCGGCGTTTTCTGTGTTCTCAAGTTTATTTATTCTAATAAATTCTATTTCGTCTTGTTTATTTATTTATTTTTTTTTTTAAAAAAAAAATTTTTTTGTGATACGCAAAATGAACTTTATATTGCCGCCGTTAAATATAAGTTTGTTATGACGCTTTACAACATAAGTAAGCCCTTGTTTCGTCCTTCAATTAACGCTGTAAACATGTCATTGCTATTTAAAGGCATCTACAGAACTCCTTTACCGGAGTAAGCAATCCATTTCATGATAAAATTTTCAAATTCATACGCATTTTTACACTAGTCCAGCAGGTCAAAATTTCCAGTCATTGTTTATGCCTGGGAGTCTGACCGCCTTCCGGCAAGTTCCGAACCCAGCCCTGTTCATAGTGAAAGTCGAACCGAGGCAACGCAACAAGGCATGAAGTCAGTTTCGCCATAACAGCTCCATTATCGACTTCTTTTTCCTCCTACCCTACCTCAAAATGGCGGACGTCGAAACCCAAACGGACACACCTAGAGAAGATCTGGTACCTCGGCCTTTCAAGCGCCGAAAATTCTATCGCAAACGAGTCGAAGAGGCAAATGACGACGATGGAAATGCGGTCGGAACCACAATGACGGCCGAAGCTCCCGCCGCAGCGCCACCAACCGATCCTGAAGGCCGCGAAAACGACCAAGGCTCCGACAATGAAGGGCCCGATAAGAAATTATCTGTGCAAGAGATTCTGCGATTGAGAAAAGCAGCAAGGAACCGACGAGGCGGGATCGGGTTCGCCAACTCTACATCCAGCACATCGGCGAGTGTTGGATCGGGTACGGTGGCATCGTCGGATGCACTTATGGAGTCGGCTGCCACCGCCGAGGAAGTTCAGGCAGCTGTCAATCGATTTGCGCCGCAGACAGGAATGGCAGCCGATGTCGATAAGCATATGTAAGTTGACCATTGCTTCATCTACTTGGATGGACAAATACACGGAGACTGACGCGGGAAAGGATGGCCTATGTAGAGGCTGAGCTAGCTAAACGTCGCGAGGGAGTCTCTTCCAACGTCCAAAATTCTAGTACCGCGGCTGCACAGCAAGAAAACCTCGCGAAAACGGCAGGCGAAGCGCGCAACAACAAACAGCCAGCTGCGCTTGGAAAATTGCACGAGATCGATCTTGGCCCGGATGCTAAGATGCGAAATATCGAGCGCACTGAGGCAGCTAAAAGACGGATTGGAGGCGAAGAGTTAGAGGTCATTGATGACCCTACTAAGAGCCGCAAGTTAGGAAAGGACGGAAAGCCCTTACGAGACCGCAGACGGCGGAACAGTGATGACATGAAGAGAGATCAGCTTGTCGAGGAGATTTTGCGGGAGAGTAGATGTATGATGTCCCCTTTCTTTGCTTCTACCTCTGTGTTTTATTATACCTTTGATCATGAAGCTAATTCGATTCACTCTCCCCAGTGGAAATTTACGATGAGCCACAGGCAGATCAGCACCCAGATGATGAAATGGCAGCGGATGAACGAATTGCAGAGCAGTTCCGACGAGAATTTATGGACGCCATCTCAACCCGTCGTCGGCGCGCCGCGCCTGCTGCATCATCCTCTGCAGCCACCCGAGGGAAAAAGGACGACAGACCAAAGGGACCGAAGCTGGGAGGTAGCAGAAGCGCACGTGCGGCTATGCGGGAACAGCAAGAAAAATCAGCGAAGAGATGAATTCGAGAGTCTTCATACTGCATCGTTGAGAGATAAGCTTAATTTACCCTTGGTGTTTATTTGAGTGTTCTTTGCGTCGTTCACTTGGGTTCTCTTGGTTATTACGACAGGTTTGCGCATGGTCGCATATTTGAAGACTCTGGATTCTTTCTCTTTTACGGGAGCCGAAAAGACATGTACTATATCCAGGAAATTACTGCTATGATCTATCATCTGGAGAAAATCCATATCCGCTGGTGAATGCTGGACGTCACTTCGCATCATCGCTACATCCTCGACTTTTGGTCTAGACTCCTGCCGCCCCACTAAACACCAAATGGCCTTATAGCCGGCACTTTCCGCCCCGCAATCCTTAAAAAGAAGATACCATAACACATCCACTTTATTCGCAAATTACTGTAATCTCCTCTTCTACATTTACCTGCTTTCACGCAGGTTTTATCTTACGATTCTACTGACCGACAAATCTAACGGCCGAATCAGTTACAAAATCCGTCTCTTTCCACCAAAAGTCTGACGCTTTGCCCCCCTCGGCTGGTCCGAGGTCCCCAAACAATCGCAATCCCCTCCATCCACCAGTCCTCCGAGAGCAGCAACGTAAATACACAAAACAATACAAAGTCTGCTCAAATTCAACGACATCCCTAACGACCGCGAACATACTTTACAACAATGACCGACAAGACCAGCATGAGCACCCCATCCCCTCGCCGCGCGAGCTTCACGTCCTCCGAATTCGTACTTTCCCGACGGCAATGGATCGTCGAAACACCCCTTCCCTCAAGCAGCGTGGCCGTACACAACCTCTCCTTCTCCGCGCCCATCGCACACGACGCATGGGGTCGCAAAGCCGTCAAGCCGCAGCCCGTCTTAGTATCCGTCAAAATCGGACTCAACAACAAGGGTTTCGGGAGCGCCGCGTCCAGCGACACCGTGGACTCGAGCACTGTCCACTACGGCATTCTTTCCAAGAACCTACTTGCTGCAATCGAGCACGAATGGCAGGGACCCCGCGGCGACGAACTGACATGGCTGCCCATGTCGCGGCTTCTCCAAGTAATCTATACCACTGTCGGCGCGATCGTGCCTCATCCGCCCACACTCCAGACGGTTGAGATCACCGTCTCTCTACCCAAAGCGAGCCTGCTGGGTTCGAGCTGCGGGGCGTGGCATTGCACCGCGGCGCTGTCGAAAAAGTTCACGCTCGGCTTATTCGTCAGGGATATCAAGCTGCCTTGTCTGATCGGCGTGAACCCCAACGAGCGGCTGCGCAAACAGAGCCTGCTGACCACGGTGGAAGTCGAGCCCGTGTTTGATGGCGAGGTGCTTGAGAAGGCGGATGCTTTGGAAACAGTCGTCGTGCAGACGATAGAGGCTGCGAAGCCCGAGACGCTGGAGACCCTGTTGGGTCTTATCGCGAGGAATATCTTTATTAGATTTATTTTCCCCTTCTCGAGAGGATCCAGATTACGCATTGCGATTGCGAAACCCTCGGCTGTCCCATCGGCCGATGCCCCTGTGGTTGAAGTCCATCATGGCACGCCAGAAGATGATGAGTTTGTGAAAAAGTGTTGGAGTGATTATCAATTTTAGTTTCTCGTTATCATTTACCTTTTGATCGGTGCCACTTGTCAACAGCATTTACCTCTTTTTATGGGTGTCACTTGATGTTTAAATCCATATATCCGCATCAAGTCTTCAATCCTTCTCAAAATAGCGTGCAAATCTCTTTCACCTCTCTAGCAAAGCAAACGCACAGTTTTTACCTCATTCTAACAATCACAATGCGGCTATTTTCTTTTCCGTTCTGGCCCAATATAGCTGCCGCATTGTAACACTTGACACGGGATGTGACAACAAAGTAACAAATTGACCGTCCATGTATCACTGAGAATGCTGATTAATTTTTTAAAAAAGAGAAAAAGACAGGGAACACTCAGCATGGTGTCACTGCATCTTTTATACTAAGCAGACACCTGTAATATAATAAATCATGAGCATTATTCGGCATATATTGAACTCTTCCCTTGATGATTAGCATCACAGAAAGAACATAGCGACATATGACATCAAATTGATGTCATTCATGCAAATTAAGCTAATGGTCGTTCCATCCTTGAGAATAATGGATAAAAGTAAGAATAAGGTATGAGGTATAGTGAGACAAATAAATAAATAAAGAGCCAAAAGGAAATAAGACGGTAGAAAAAAAAATTGGAAAAGGGCATGGGGCCACGAGATTACATATCATGATTAGTGGTAGAAACTCAAGTGCCAAGCGTTAGACAATTCGACGTGCCATCAATGTGGTTTCCCCTTAGGAGTTCACTGCCGATGACAGACACAACCATCTTTCACTTTCTTGATCCCAAGAAGCTCTTACGCGTGCTCTTTGGGCTGGAGTTGACGCTTGCGCCGTCAGCAGAGGTAAAGTTGGTTCGGAGTGTGACACTGCCGCTACCAGCCTTCACAATCTTTTCACCGCCAGAGGCAGAATCATCAATGAAGAACAAGGCCTCGCCCAGATCGTCGCCGGAGCCGAACAATCCGTGGTCCTTGACTTGCACCTGAAATTGCGTGTCAGCCGCGCAGTTGACATTGAATGCCTCGTGGTCCCATTGGACTTGGCCTGAGCTCGACTTGATTGCCTTGGTCTTGTGTATATCTTTAGCACCCTTGGCCGAGACTTGCTTAATGTGCACGCGGACGTGAGCGCCGGGAGGGTATCCGGATGCAGACAGGATGGTGAAGCTAGCAGATCCCTGTTCACCGCCACCAGGCGTAGTTGCTCGCATGGATTGCTGACCAACGCTGCGCACACGGTGGTGAGACGAGCTCATAGAACCGCCATCATTCTGGCTATTCGCTACAGCGCCAGCATCTTTCTCCTGGATAGAGTCAGGGACTTCGATAGAGTCGGCAATTGCGCCATCTTCCATGGCCCCATCCACGCCGTTGCCGTCATCGCTCTTCTTCTTGCCGCGAATGCCTCGAGTCAAGAACGACGCGCCCTTGACGACACCACCGCCAACCATGCCAACGCCTTTGACGGGAGCACCGACAATCTTGCCGGGCGCGGCAAATGTTCCAGAAAACGTTGACGAGCCTTGACGCGAGCGGGTAACATAGTCGGGCTTGAAGAGGAGCTTCAACCGTATCGTACCCGATTTGCCATCGAGCCCGAGGCTGATCTCCTGCGGCGTAAAAGGTTCCAGCATATCAAGATTAATATCTGCCGCGCCGAGGAAGTCGGCCTTGTCACCAAAATCCCAATCGTAAACAGTGACCTTGAAGTTTGCAGCAATCCGCGATTTCACAGGGACCTCGAAAAATTCGTTCCATGCTGGGTGAAGTGTTTTCTTCTGAACCTTGGTCTTGAAGACGTCCTTTCCGTCAAGCATGAACTTGCAGTACGGGTCACTCTTTCCGTTGCGGTCGGCCGAAGGAAGATCAGCAGCATCAAGAACATCGACACGGAGGTTACCCATGTTGTTAATACTCTCGCTAGGATCAAGGTGCATTTTGACCGGAATGTACTTGAGCAAAACAGTGATCTGGCTGGAACCGCCGTTTGAGTCTTTCAATGTTAGAGTCGTCGGCTTGTACTGTAGGCAACGATTAGCAATCTGTTAACTGGCTGGGACCAAAAGAAATACGAACTAGGCAACGCCGAAGCGTGTCAATTGTGTTTCCTTGAAGCTTGGCAACAATGTGGTCACCCTTGTCCCCTTCGCCCTTCTTGTCAATCTTCTCGCGAAGTCTCAAAGTGATCTTTGAAAAGTCCAATTCTCGGACGAAAGCCTCGCCAGCTGCACGCCAATAAGCCTCAAAATTCTCGATCATTGTTAGATCAGGTAACTTACTCTCATTAAAAGTCATCTTCCTGGTCGTAGCCCGTGAGGAAGTGTAAGACGGGAAGGCCATATCATCCATCAAAATTTCCACGTGAACATTAGCCTCTGAGAGTTGTGCCTCAATCAACTTGAAGACGATAAGGCCAGACTCTAAAACACATAATCAGTTTCTGCTCTCAAAAAAAAAAAATAACTTGAAGGAATTTTACCATAATTTTGAAGCTCTTCGGCGTTTACACGAATCTTTGGTGCTTCCTTGGGCTCGTCGCTTGCCTTTTCGTCTTGATCGAGCATCTTGGCAAGATTGGTGTCAATGGTCCCAGCCTTCTTGTCTTTCTCATTCTCGCGAGTGACTGCGTCCTTTTCAGAGCTCTTTCTTCCTTCGGTGCTGCTGGTGCCATTGGTGCCGTTGGTGCCGTTTTCCTGTGCCTTTTGTTCGTCCTGCTTTTCCTTCTTCTCCTTTTCTTCCTCTTCGGGATCAACAACATTATAGCACGGGTAAAAAGCGGCCGTAAAATTGAGCTTGCCTTTAGGCACGCCCTTACCTTGCAAACGCAAAAGTTCAGACCGAGGTTCTTTCTTGTCGTGCGTCAGATATTCCCCATTTTCGGCCTGAGACATGAAATCGCCGACAGAGATGTCGGTGGAACCTAGTGAGCGATCTTTGCCAAGGGTCTCCTCATCCATGACATCAAACGTCAGGCGTTCGCGGGTAGAATGCACAGGCACGTAGATAACCTCATCCCAGTCAGGATTGAGGTTATTCTTGAACGTGACCGTTCTTCCCTTTTCGATGCCGGAAAGTAGAACACGAACATATGGGTCAGACTTGCCCATGGTCTCAAGGTTGCGCAAGTCTCGAGCGCCCTTGAGATGGAGACGCATGACACCAACTGGGGTCACATAGCCACCCGAACCAGCAAGATCACCCTTCAAAGCAACGGGCTTCCATTGAAGTGACATCTTGGCGCGACCAGTCTTTACTCCAGACAAGTTGTACCACTCTTGTCCCTTTTCCATCATCGTAATCATGTCATCCAATTTGATTTGGTACATGCCTACAACGGGGTCAGTGGCCAAATCTCGATCATCCTTTATGACGAGACCAAGCCGAGCCGATTTCCGATCAGTAACAAGAAATTCCTTTGAACCATTGTCCCAGATGGGGTTGTTCGTCCGCTTGAGCTTTCTGGTTACGTGAACTTCTTTGCCATTCAATAACAGTGCTGCATACGGATTGAGCTGTCCAATCAAACTCTTCGTTCCATCAAGATCCTTGGCTTGCTCAATGGTGAATCGGGCAATCCCAGTGTTTGACTCTGGGGGAGGTTGCTCTGTTCCATCTTCGAGCTTAGCGCCCCCCAAAACAGGGAAATAACGAACGTCAGCTTGAATGGCACCGCGATGTTTGCCATTTGCCATCACTTCAAGTTGCAAATTCTCGTGTTCAGGTTGAGCCTCCAGCTGATCGAGAGCAAACGTGGCCGTGCCAAGCTCTTTGTCCTTGCGATAATCATTGAAATCGAACGCCTGCAGCGTCAAGCTGTCGGAAAGTGAAGTGATGATGACATATAGGGTCTCGTTCCATCGCGGGTTTGCATTCTCCTTTACAATCTTCGTCTTTCCAAGAGGGGTTCTGCCGTTCAAGGAAGCCACGCAGTAAGGGTCAGGAGTGCCAGAAAACTTGTCAGGGTTCTTCAACCCAAATGCGCCATGCACGGTGATGGCAACAACTCCAATAGCCTGGTCAATAGGGTTTCCAGCCAGCATCTTGGCAATCTCAATCGGGAAGACGTTCGGATCATACATCATAGGCCCCAAGTTGGCATGGACCTGCTCCATAATGAAGCTTTCCAAACCAGGAATGAAATTGATGTCAAACCCAAACGTATCACCGCCTAGAGGCTTGCAGACGTAGTCAATGGTAGGGCGTTCCAGAAAGCAGATTTCGACCTTTTCAATGTGCGGGAAGGGGATCTGGAGCTTGACCTTGACCCGCATCAAGCCTGAAAAGGCAAAGTCTTCCACAATGACATCCAAGCCTTTGCTGACCATTGCTTTACCAACGCGGACTTCCAAGACGACCTTGGGATTAATCTTGTTTTTGATCTGCCGAGCCGTCATGTCGGCGACATCATTTGGCGTAAAACTGAATTTCCAGTCCATGAGAACAACATCGTCTTCGGCCTTGGGATAGGTCTTGACGTGCTCCAATCGAGGGGGTTTCGTTCCCAAAATAAACGTCTTCATACGCATGCTGTCTAAGAATGCGGGCGTGGAGGTACTCAGTACTTGATCGACGGAAGCAATGATAGTGTCGCAGAGAACGGGCGCATAAATCGGCCAGAATTTCACCATGAAGCTGTTTATCCATTCGAGACTTTCGTGGTCCGTCTCGAGCCGTTGCTTGGCCATTTCTCGGTTCACATCATCACGAAAGTTGCGCCTCACTCGTCGCAGTGAGGTACGGTAATACGTACCGCATACGACCATGACGAGAATGACCCAGGCCAACCCACCGCCAATAACCGCAATGAGCCATGAAGCTAAACATGCAAAGATGATAACAGCCGTGTTGTGATACCAGTCTGTCATAGCATTAGTTGGAATTATTAGCGGTTGACAAACATGCTTGGATGATTCCAAAGGCCGACTTACCACCGTAGAACTTGTCCGGCAGTTTACTCTCAACCCAAGTTTGATGATCGAGCATGCTGACCTCCTCCTCGTCGCCTTCGACGAAACTTCCGGGTCCAAATCGAGGCGCCCAACCTACGCGATCACGGGCCCACCTCTCATCCTCGGGCACCTGGCCATTGGCCCCAGTGGGCTTGCCGTTGGCGGCGGTCTTTGGAGGGGTCACAGCACCGGCTTTGCTGGGTGGGGGAAGATCATATTGGTCTGGAGTGTTATCATTCTATTGATTTTCATGAATTAGAATCTCCAACGACGCTTTCCAAAAAAAAATAATTGCCGAGCTCGCTGCATATCACTCACAATGTCAGTTACGACGCCTACGGCCTGTGGTTTTTTCTCGTGGTGGAATCCTGGAGGGAGACGCTAATCAAACTCCAAGTTAGTCGCCGTAGATGCCTAAATGTGTTCTCCATTTGCAAAGCACACACCGATTGAGCTTGGGCAGCCTTCTCTTCTGGTGAAGCATCGGGATCGAATTGATAGGCTGCACCACCAGCCTTCCTGGTCTCGTTTACTATTGCCTTTTCGGCATCCTCCGAAGTGACGTTGGTGTCTGGATCACGAGCGGCCTCAGCAACGCCTTGTTGCTTGAGCTCGTCGGCACGAGAGGACAGCTCCCCAGGCATGGCTCAAGTCGTGGAAGCCAGAGAAAAAGGTAAACAGTTTCTTTCTTCTTTTTCTTCTTCCGCTGTTTGGTTTTGTATTGTTGAGAGGGGATGGAGAAGAAGTGGAGCAAGGAGGTAGGGATTGGAGAATCGAGAGAATAATTAGGAGAATCTAAGGAGAGGTGAGCATGGGCCGCAATGACCTCACGAAAAAAATGGAGAAGGCAGGAGATTGCGTACCGTACTAATTGGAGGCAGAGCAGCAGCCCACTCAATAATAATCAGCTCAGCCCAGCGATCTCCCGGCCACAGCTTCTACGTAACAAGTAGTAGGGATCCTGGGATCTGACTTGGTGCGGAGTTTGGGCTTGTTGTCGACTTTCCTAGAACAGGCGTTAGCGAGATGGATTAGCTGTAGATCCACAGCTTGGGATGAGGGGACTGCACGGCTAAGGAAAGCACTATCACAGCCCGCTCCTCCCACTACCCTTCTCCTCGCGTGGGGCTCTTCCGTTTCCGGCCACTCCAGCTCAGATCACTGTTTGCAAATCCTATACGTTCTCTAGGTTGCTGGAAGAGCTAATCTCCTAAAATCTAACCTTCAGGGTCCAGCTATCCAACCGTCAGAAATACGCCGGGCTTTTCGGAAGGTGATCCGAGACAAAGAGGAAGCTGTGAGAGAAAAAGTCAAATTTTCAAAAACGTGTGGTCGCGGCCACTGAACCTTGTGCCCGACCCTTCGTGCGGACTAAGTAGGGTCGATAAATAGCCGTAGCAGGAAGCTTCGACAGTAGCCGATGAATCATTCAGACAATCAAGATTCAAGGGCCACGTAAATAATAAATATACGCAGAAGCCTCATATTGATGGCGATATTCCTTGGACAGATAGGCGAACCAAAGCGTTCCAATGACCTCACAGCCACAATTGCTACCGAAGCTCCAATTCACAAGCCACGGAATTGCTTGCTTGCGTGCTTGAGGACAGATGCATGGGCAGTGCCAAGAAACACTTGGGACGGAGCACGTTCTATTCAAACGGCGAGGGGCGTAAGCGCATAATTCACACTTCAGTACGGAGTACTCTGTCCTGTTCTAAAATTATTGGGTAGTTGTGTATACATAGAGGATCGTACTGTACGCATCCCCTGTTGTTGGCTGTGGCTGGGTCACTCAGCTTCAGCTGGGCAAAAGGGTCCAGGGGTTTTGCCCACAACAAGTTTTGGCCCACTTCGGCGCCCTCGGTGACTCCGAGGAAATTCCAGCTACGTAATGCAGCATTCAAGCTAAAGAATAAACCCAACAAGCATCAATTTTTCACGCTTTTTTCAACAATACTCAGTTGACGTTAGTTACTTTGATCCTAGATAAGTCTCGCCGAATATACCCACTAGTTCGCCAACCCCTGACTATTCCGTATACTATGATACGTAAATACGGAGTACTCCCTTCTTCGAAAGGCCCACATAGCCATGGGCTAATCAAAAAGAATCTACAAAGCTACAGCAAATCAAAATTACTGCAAAGCCTGCCTTCCGTAGGGCTCTGTACAGACGCTTGCCCATGGTTCCGCGACCCAGCGATTTTTCACTCAGCTCGCCTTCTTTTCTTTGGATGCGGCGCTGTTATCGCTGTGCCGTGATCGCGGGTCGGGGCGAAACTGGGCCAGCGATCGATAGGGCGTGATTGGTTGCAATTAGAAAAGAATGTTCCGAAGCACCTTTTTCACTACCAATCTCCGTAAAGCCGTCTGTTATCGAGGAAAGAAAGAAATATATCAGATTACAGTAATTTTACTAGGTACGCTAAGCTGGCAGAAGATAGTCATGTACACATGCAGTCATGCAATTAGTAAGAAAACGAAAATTTCGTACAATGGGACCCCACGTCAGAGACGATGCATGCAAAAACAAAACTTCAAACATATGCAAATATTTCCAGCTCCAATGGCACTGTCCCATCAAGTGTTTTACCGGCCAACGCGAATGACACCCGCCGCGATCAGTTTCTGAATCTTATTTCTAACAGCAGTGTTCTTCATGTGTTCTTGAAGGGCAGTCGGGTCACCCTTGGCCTGCTGCAGGATGCTCTGCATCACAGGGTCTTGAATGATGCTCAAAATCTATACAGTGAAGAATATTAGCGATTGAAGAAAACCCTTCAAGTAAAATACCGATGATCCCACTCACCTCTGGGTCCCGCTGAATTCTCTCCATGGTCTGCTCCTCGGTCTCTCCCTCACGTGCGCTGAACTGAGCCTGAAGAGCCTTTTGCTGCTGCTGCTCAATCTCCCTGGCGTTGGCACCGCCCTCGTCGTTCTCCATCGCTTCGGTGCACACGTCAAGGCACTTGTTGTATTCTCTCATGGCGAAGAGCGCTTGAGCCTTCCGCAGGTAAGCACGAATGAACTTGGAGTCACGCTTGATGGCTTCATCGCAGTCCTGAACAGCGCTGGGGAATGTCATGAGCTTGATGAACGCGGCAGCGCGGTTGCTGTAGCCTCTGGGGTCGTGAGGAGCACGCTTGATCATCTCGCCGTACGCCTCGACAGCGCCTGGCCAGTCCGCCTCCTTGAACTTTTGATTTCCGAGTTCACGAGCCTTTTCAGCCTCTTCGGGGCTAATATATGCAGATCTTTCGGCTTCGATCTTGGACTTTTCGACGGCCCGAAGTTTAGCCAATATATCGGGAGTGCGATGCTCGGTCAAGGACTTTTGATAGTTGACAATTGCATTGGGGAGATCTCCCATCTTTTCGTAGGTGGTGCCAATACGGCCAAATGCCCTGTTAGATAGTTAGCTAGAAATGGGTAGTATATATCGGATAAAGCACTGACTTTGCGATCAGCTTAAAATCGGCAAGGATTTCTCTGCCCTCCTGAACGGCCTTTGTACAAGCCTCAATCGCACCGGAGTAATCACCCTTCTCGAATTTGGCAGCTCCGAGGTTGTTGAGATAAGTAATGTCCTTGTGGAGTTCCCAAGCCTTGCCGTAGTGCTCAATAGCAGCATCGAACTGACGCTTCTTGTAGTTCTCCGTACCAAGCTTCTTCTCAGCCTCGGCTTCCTCTTTGGCCTTCTTCTTGGCAAGTGCTTCTTCATCTTCGGGCTCGGGTTCGGGCTGAGGCGCTGGCTTCGACGTAGATGGTCTAGCATCCGGCATAGGGACATCTTCCTCAGTATCCTTGGCTGGCTGGCTGGCTGACTCTCCAGTAGAAGGCTCCTCGCCAGGTGCGCCAAATTGCATGTCGATGCCCAAAAGTACGCTCATAACCTGAAGGAAGCGGGGGTCGCGCATCTCTTCACCAACGCTGTTCGGGTTTTGCTTCAATTTCTGAAGCTTTTGCATAAAGGTAGGGTCCCCCAACAGTCCGCTAGTCTTCGGGTTGTTGGCAAGTTTCTGATATAGCTGGGGGTCGTTGAACAGGCCGCCCAGTCCACCACTTGGGTCACCACCAAAACCGTCTGCCTGAGCTTCAGCATCAATGGCGCGCTGAACAGCTGCAAGCCCAGACTTGGCTTGAGCATTAGCAGGCTCAAGCTTAAGCGCCTCTTCAAACGCATCCTTGGAGCCAACTAATTTCGCAAATCAGCCATGTATTAACAAAGAACTATAGAGGTGATCTTACCAAGATCTCCTTGACCGTGAAGCGCGGCACCCTTCCTTCCCCAGCCCTTGGCCCAGTCGGGCTTCAGCTCCGTCACCTTATTTGCGTCCTCCAAGGCATGCGGGAAGTCCTTAATTGAAGCATAGGCGCCTGATCGGTTCGAGTAAAGAACCTGGTTAGTCGGCTCAATGTTGATAGCCTCAGTAAATTTTTCACTGTTCTTGCATTAGACATTGGCTGCAAAGATTCGGCGCATACTGCCGGCGGACTCACATGGCTTGGTCGAACTTCTTCTCGGCAAACAGCTTGTTGCCTTCCGCCTTAAGTGCGTCGGCCATGATTTCAAATAATGTAGGATTGTCGTAAGATCGTCACTAATTAAGGTTTGAGAAAAATTGACCGTGACGGAAAAGGACTGTGGTTGTGTAGAGAGTAAAATGTGAGAAGAAACAATTATTGCAGCACTTTACAGCTTTGGCATCACCAGCCCACTGTTGCATGGAAATTCTATGGCTTTCGACATCACCACCGACGAACGGCGCTTGCCGTCTCGGCTAGGGGAGTGGACAGCAGGTTGACGCTTTACCGTATAAAGGAACTTATCTGGGGAGGGCCTAGGCGGGATCTGCCGGTACTGTAATGTTCACGCGGGCGTTGTTCACAGCTGCCAACCGCCCAGGTGGATAAGTGCACCTCCCTAATTTCACCCGTAAGGTAAATCCCATTAGTTATCTGTACGCGAGGGGGGGCCCTGAACCATCCGCGTTGACCAGTCCCCTCAAGACCTCGATCTCCACCGTCGGAGATGGGGGAAAGTTCAACTGCTCATCGAAGGCGGAAGAGTTCCTTGGTCGGCGGATCACCCACTGAAGATTTATCCAATCCCTCCAGGACGTCAACTACTATAGCCGAATACCCTGAGCCCCCAACTAGCGGTCACGGGGAGCTTGTGCACACGACAACAACCGATGAAGACATTCTATCTGACCACGGTTCGCAAGTTCCCAGCGAGGAGCTAGAGCTTGGAAGTCTTGCCTCAGACGAAGAAGCAATGGAAGACGAAGAGCTTGGCTTGACGAGACACGAGCGGCGGGACAGGAGGACGAGGAAGCGGCGACATATGCGCATGGACGAAAGAGTGGTTGAGGATCCAAAATATTCTAGGGAAGAGGAGCAGGTTGCAGATCGTGCTGTGGTCAAGAAATCCATTGTTAATGGGATCCTGATATGTCTCTGGTGGGTTCAAATTCGTTTGCTCGTTTGTTACCTCTTGTCTAACACTGCTCTCAGGTATTTCTTCTCGCTCTCGATTTCCCTCGTAAGTCAAATGCACTCCTTCCGGCCGTTCAACCATTGTCACGGTACTCATTAATATCAAAACAGTACAACAAATGGATGTTTTCAGAGAAGCATTTGAATTTCAAATATCCGCTCTTTACCACCTGCTTGCACATGCTTGTTCAATTCACACTTGCATCTCTTGTGTTATTTTTCTTCCCTCATTTCCGGCCTCGCCACGACTCCCTAAATCCTCGGTACACCCATCACCATTCGCATGCACGGAATGACTCCGCAGATGCCCATCGTCCTATTATGACCAGGTATTTTTACATCACTCGGATTGGACCCTGCGGAGCTGCGACAGGATTAGACATTGGATTAGGAAACATGAGCCTGAAGTTTATCCGCCTGACTTTCTACAGTAAGGCCTCTTTTCTTTAATCTGTCAACTAATATAGGCAAATGACTGACTCTTGCCCTATTAAGCCATGTGCAAATCGTCAGCACTTGCCTTCGTCCTACTTTTTGCTTTTATTTTCAAACTAGAAACTCCGTCGACGAAGCTAGTTTTGATCATCTTCACCATGACCGTTGGCGTCATCATGATGGTTGCAGGAGAGACAGCATTCAACGCTCTTGGATTCATCTTGATCATCTCTTCCGCCTTTTGCTCTGGGTTTCGCTGGGCCCTAACGCAAATTCTCCTTCTCCGCAACCCTGCCACGTCCAATCCTTTCAGTAGCATCTTTTTTCTTGCCCCCGTCATGTTTACCAGTCTCTTCATCATTGCTCTCCCTGTTGAAGGCCCTAGTGAAATTGGTGCTGGTCTGGCTGATCTTTTCGAAAGAAAAGGGACCCCCGTTTCCATTGGCCTTCTCTTGTTCCCAGGAACACTTGCTTTCCTAATGACGTCTTCCGAATTTGCGCTCCTTCAGCGCACCTCGGTTGTAACGCTTAGCATATGCGGCATCTTCAAAGAAGTCGTCACAATCATTGCTGCCAATTTGACGTTCAAAGAACACTCTCTGACACCTATCAACTTCTCCGGTCTCCTCGTCACGATGGGAAGCATTGCCGCTTATAACTATATCAAGGTAGTCAAGATGCGACAAGACGCTCGAGCAGATGCGTACCTTGGTCACGAAGACGCCGACGGATATACGCCCATCGCCGGCGGCCCAGATGGATTGTCGTCCGAGGCGGACACCTTGGAAGCTCGACCAAGAAGCGCTGTTCGAGCCAAGTCTGCTACTTTTGGGCCTCACGGTTCCCATCTGACCGGCGTTTCTCATGAGGTTCAAACTTCAGGCAATTCGTCTCCCGTCAAGAGACCTGAAGATCAGGAATGACCTATATTTCCTTTTGTTCGGCATCCCATTTAGTCATATCATCATTCATATATTATTTCTTCACTTCATTTGCTGCTTTGTTTTCGTTACAAGGTCGTCTTGGGCGTCACATGGGCCTGGTTTGACATTGAAACAATATACACGTGCGCGTCACCGGGATTGCAGGCAGAACAACGGCACTGACTTGATTTTTCTTTTGGAACTCTCTCATCTCTAGACTCAGAAATGGTCTCTTTTCTATGTTACAATTGCGGCAAAGTTATGATCGCTAATACCCATATTCCCTTTTTTCCTCCCTTGGTCGGTGCGCAAGGCTCACAAGTCTAGAGAAGAAAATGGCCATGCTTGGTATCATCAAGGCTCCTCCATACACCCATATTTCCCTTTTGAAACATTTTCCAGGATAGTCGTTAGAATATCAAGAAAGATCCTTGGATCTATTTATTTGATCGTGTGTTGCAGGTTATGTCATTGGCCCTGCGGGATCCACCCAAGTGATAATTCATTCCGGCGTGGGATGAATCATTGTCGATGTCACTGCAAGTTAGTTTCACAATTGCGCCCGATTTGTTCCTCCGCTCCCTCGTCTTTATGTCCACGTAAAACTTAGACGTGAGCAAAAGTGTTGGCAGCGTAGGTGTGCGCCCATGTTCCTCCAGTATGCAGGATGCCGGGCTTAGCTCATCCGCCCTTCCTTATGGGACCTTTATCCGCTCCAGTAACCGTGGCAGTTCCATTTCTCTCGGAGATCTTCTTGCGTTCATTCTCAAGCTGAAGATAAATGCGTATCAGCCCGATAGTCCCATTCAATGATAGCGTGGTACGGCATGAAAGGCAAAGAGATGGGATATCTCTATGGTCATCAACTTACTACCCGTCGAACCCTCATCAACGTACGGTGCTCTCTCGGAGGTGCGTCGCAATCACTCGGTCGGTAAGGCGCCGCAATTGTAACACTATCTAACACCACAATGGAAGTGCCCGCCCATCGGGTAGGAAGCCTATAGTCATTCATTGTAATTTGTTAGCCACAATGTCTCTTTCCTTCCGGAGCCCACAAGTGAAGATCTCTGATTTGCGGAGAAAGGGAGAGTAGAGGATAGTGAAATACTGAAAATGCATACGTTCTTGAAAGTGCATCGAAGATGTCCTGGCCTTCCTTCCCAACGCCTTTTCCTCGTCTAGCTTCCTTCTCGTGCAGCTTTCTTACTGCATTCTCCTCTCTGACCTTTAGTGCCTTGAGGTCCAAAGACTCGATGGAAGGCTGAACATTCTCGAATCCGCCAGGGGAAGCGCCATTGGGTGCAATTCCGAGAAGTGCAAAGGACTGAATCCTAGAAATAGGAATGACGTGATAATCGCCCAGCTGTTGCTGCTGCATGGACACGGATGTGGGAGTAGGCGTCGGCGGCGGGGGAGCGGTATTGAGCGCAAGTAAGTGCGTGAACGGGCAGTAAGTGAATACGGTGCCTTCAAGCGCTTGTGGATGGGATTCAGTAGTCACAACACGAATCCTGCCATGCCAGTTGGATTGTCAGTCATTCGGCTTCATTTCTAATAGTTATCTGCTATGAATGCGGGTAGGCTTAAGGCGAGGAAGAGCAGCACACCATGGACGATGAACACCGTGAATGGCAATTCTTCAATACCATTTTAAAAAAGAAATGAAGGAGCAGGAAGAGGGCCGAAGAATGACTGCATGTTAAATAAAGTATACTTACCGTGCACCAACAACACCACTAAGAGCAGCCTCAATGGACACCATGTTCGGAGTGCCTAAGCTGGGGGTTGCCGCAGCTGACTTATTTCCCGCCTGACGTTTTGTGTCTGCCATCTCCGGGAGAGCGAACGCTATTTCGTCCTTCTCTATCTCTCTGTACCTGATCTTGATACGGTCCTGAGGGGAAAGGACCTCCGGTCAAATCATCGACAATTCAGAGCCGTAGGGCAAACTTGCAAGAAACAGATTCAAAAGCAGTCTAGCGGAAGGTCAAAAGAGTGACAAAGTAGAATCTGGACAGGACTGCGCATCCGATATATACGGACGAGCCGAGAGAGTTGCGTGTATGAACGGTCCCTGCGCGTTGATGTATTACCATGGTGGTTGACATGCCATGATGGATCAGTGCAAGTGCGCCGCTTCCAAATCGGGCATAGCGGGTCCTAGACCAGGCGTGAGCTCAAGCAATTCACCTTGAACATGTGGGAAACCCCCTTTTACGAAGCGACAAAATGTGGATATGTACAACTGCATTCACTTCACCAAAGAATTGCAAATTAATGAGGAATATTCTTTTTGAACTTTCGACTTATATCATAAGACGTGAAACTGAAAACTGACATTCTAACCAAGTCATAAGCCCGTCAGGTCTCATCATTTACAACTTCCAACGGACGCTGGAATGGGGAGCAGCTAGACGCAAAAAAAGATATATTAGCTGCTTTAGAGTATACTTCTTGTAAGCATGTTTCTGTGACATGCTGACAAGTCAAAATTTCCCCTCAATCATCCACAAGGCCGGCAAGTTGAATACACTTAAGCCTGGTAAGTGGATGCGGAGACGTTACCTCCTCTTCCGGTCCAGTTGACGTGGATGTTCTGGCCCTCAGGGTACTTCTCGCTAGCGAACTCAGGCTTGATCTTAAAGGTGTGGGCACCGAAGTAGTCACGCTGGGCCTGGAGAATGTTGGCAGGGAGGTCCTTGGTGCGGTAGCCATCGAAGAAGCTGAGGGCAGTGCTGAAAGCAGGAGTGGGGATACCCCAGAGAGCGCCCTTGCTGACAACCTCTCTCCAGCCAGGCTGGGCCTTCTGGATAGCCTTCTTGAAGAAGTCGTCGAAGAGGAGGTTCTCAAGCTCAGGGTTGTTCCTGTAGGCGTTGGTGATGTCCTTCAAGAAGACGGAACGGATAATGCAGCCACCGCGCCACATGAGGGCGATAGAGGGCTTGTTGAGCTTCCACGAGTAGGACTTGGCAGCCTAGATAACAATGTGAGCGCTTATCCAGCGATGTGCGCGCGCCAAGAAAAATGACTTTACTTACCTCCTGGATCAGCATGAAGCCCTGGGTATACGAAATGATCTTGGAGGCATAGAGAGCCTGCTCAAGGTCCTCAAGGAACTTCTCCTTGTCACCCTCGAAGTGGGGAACGCGGCCCTCGTATCCAATCAACTTGGAGGCACGGGTACGCTCGGCCTTGAGAGAGCTCAAGCAACGAGCGAAGACAGCCTCACCGATCAGGGTGACGGGCATGCCAAGGTCCAAAGCGTTGATGGCGGTCCACTTGCCGGTACCCTTCTGGCCAGCAGAGTCGAGAATCTTCTCGACCAAGGGAGTGCCATCATCGTCGTTGAAGTAAAGGACATCGCGAGTAACCTCAATGAGGAAAGAGTCAAGAACACCCTTGTTCCACTTGGCGAAGACATCACCAATCTCCTTGTCCTTCAAGCCGAGACCACGCTTCATAATGTCATAGGCCTTAATTGCTTGTTAATCATTGCCCTGCTGCCAAATCGAAGCAATGGAATCGCTTACCTCAGAGATGAGCTGCATGTCACCGTATTCAATACCGTTGTGGACCATCTTGACGTAGTGACCAGCACCCTCGTCGCCGACCCACTCGCAGCAAGCCTCGCCGTCGCTCTTGGCGGAAATGCTCTGGAAAACATCCTTGATATAGGGCCAGGCTTCCTCGTGGCCACCAGGCATCAAGCTGGGACCATAACGGGCGCCCTCCTCACCACCAGAAACACCAGTGCCGACAAAGCGGATGCCCTTGCTGGCAAGGTACTGGGTACGGCGGTTGGTGTCGGGGAAGTGAGAGTTACCGCCGTCAATGATGATGTCACCAGGCTCGATGAAAGGCAGGAGAGCCTCAATGAAGCTGTCAACAGGAGCACCAGCCATGACAAGGAGCATCATTCTTCTGGGCTTCTTGAGCTTGGCAACGAACTCCTGGATGGAGTGGGCGCCGACAATGGACTTGCCTGTGAAAATCGAAAATCAGTGAGAGCTCTTTACAATGGCACTCCATTGTAACCCAGATAATGTGGTTTACGTACCCTTGGCCTCGTTCGCCAAGAAGTGGTCGACCTTGGAGGTGGTACGGTTGAAGGCAACGACAGTGAAGCCGTGGTCAGCGGCGTTCAAGATCAGGTTCTGGCCCATAACGGCCAGACCGATGAGACCAAAATCTCCACTGCAAGATATGCAACGCAAACCGGCCGACATCATTGCCGGCCGGGAGCGGATCAAGTCAGTCCAAAGATCTTTCCAAATCTACAATCATCTTCAAAAACATCATGCCAATTGCACCACGAGGGCATCGTGGAGGGGTCAACGACCGCAGCAATTGGCATTACAAGGTCGCCCGGAAGAAGCAGCTAACAAAAGAGAAAGGCCAGAAAGGAAACTTACACAGCCTCGTTGCTCATGATGATGATGATTCTAAATGGAATTCAGATGAACAAATCTCGACGGACAAAGGGCAATGCAAGCTGTCAATCTCTGATCAGCGCGAGGAGGAAGGGGTGATATGATGTGCTGGAGAGAGAAAGTTGAGGGAATGTAATGGGGCAGGTAATAGCCAAGTGGGGGAGGGGCTGTTTTACATTAACCCCCATGTGGTAAGATGGTCTATCACGTCGAGTGGGTAACCGTAGCTAGTGGAGCTCTCAATATCTCGCCAGGCCAAGAGCGAAGAGAGCGGTACCGTCATCGGTGGAGACAGCATACACAGGCACAAAGGTAGCAAAACTGTACTGCACAGTACCTCATAATTATTCATGGAGGGGTTTCTGCGGCAGTGTAGGCGAGAAAATGTTGCGATGGGTCCCCTCCCCTCGCTCCTTTTGCCATTGGGCTCCGCTAACAGCCAACAGGTACAAGCTGTCTGTAACTCCTCGGTGAGGCCTCCCCTTGAGAACTGGCTAGATCTAGCGCACACCACAGAGGTACCGATACCGGGATGGAACCACGATGACGTTGTAGGCTGCAAAAGGTCACTGTAGGTACCCACTTTAATATGATGACGGCTTTTCTGTGCTCTTTTGTGCTTTTTTGTTTCCTTCGCTGTCTCTCTCTACAGAGTATGTTTCACTGCGGCAATGGTCTGACTAGCATGACCAAATCAAGTATGATTTGACTGCTCCCAGTTGCCGTTCGTTTGCTCGGGCCTCAAGCCGAAACCCCTCGTGGTTCTCAGCCCGACGCAGTAGTACTGTAGTAAACAAATCACAGCATCAGAGAAAAGGTGATTTACTTGGTAATCTGATAGAAAGGCTTCCCAGATAGAACCTGTATACTGAGTAATCATTTGCTCGAGTGGGATATTACCCCCACGCTCTACGGCGTTCGAAATATACCTGAATAGAAACTCTCCCACTGAAAATGGATGGATAATCGGACTAACCAAGTATACCCCGGCCGCAAATCCCCGTCAACCTGCCATTTTCAGTCACCTTGCGGTATCACTCTCCGTGTTCTCGACTCTCCGTCTCTACTAATCCTCTCACTTCTGCACGAATCGTCAAATCAACAACAGCAAAGACTGTGGGTGACGGTTGATATCGCCTGACGGGACAGGTACGTACTGCTTGCTATTGCAAGAGACTCTGCCGCACAGCCGTTCATCATGTCGTATCCCCCGCCTCCAGGTCTGAAAAGCGCCCAGCAATCCATATCAGCTTCATCAACCCCACCACCTCACGCCTCTCTCCCTCCACGCCCGCCACCTCCGGCCGCTCCACTTTCGAACTTTAAGCCCGCATTTTCCTCCACGCCATCCTTTCTCTCGGGAGCAACTGGTTCTCGACCGGGCACCAATGGCGCAGCGACTCCTGTTGGGACGTTCACGGGCTTCCGACCCCGTACCATAGCCAATAACCAATCTTGGAGATCTTACAGTCCAACCGTCTCAGCTCCACCAACTCCTGTCGCTTCTACAGTCTCAACTACACCTGCATCTGGATATGCAACTGCCGGTTATCCAACGAACTCATATGCGCAAGTACAAACCCCGTACTATCAAACGCCGCAAGATGCACATGCGCACGCTACCCCGCCTCAGATCCAGAACCCTTTTCCTGCTCCTGGGCGAGGAAATGGCAATGCGCGATATCACGAGAGCGGTGCTGATCCAGAGATGGAAGCGCAAATAGCGCAATGGCAAAGTGCATATACAACTAGAGAGGCGGAGCCGCCAGGAAGCAAAAGCGGCGTGCGGGGAACAACTAGATTTGGCGAAGGATCTGCAGCAAATACTGGTGGACAAGTGTTTCGAATAGATTCCGGGACTGCAATCAACACGGATGCGACGACAGCAACCACTCCTGATAGTGCAGCGGCGCCTGTCGCGCTTGGCCCTGATGGGAAGCAGAAGACTGTCGTAAGGAGCGGAGGTGGACAAGTCTGGCAGGACTCTTCGTTGCTCGAATGGGATCCGGCGCACTTCCGATTCTTTGTGGGAAATCTGGCTGGTGAGGTCACAGATGATTCTTTGCTGAAAGCATTTTCAAAATACCCTTCGGTCCAAAAGGCACGGGTTGTGAGAGACAAGCGTACTACCAAAAGCAAAGGGTTTGGGTTTGTCAGCTTCAGCGATGGCGATGAATATTTTCGAGCGGCGCGAGAAATGCAAGGCAAATACGTTGGAAGTCATCCCATCCTCCTCAGAAGGAGCACTACAGAGATTAGGCCTACCGCTCCGGGGTCTAATAAGGGTGGGAAGCATGGTAAAGGCGGCCAAGACAATAAGCAAAACGGCTCAGGTGCAAAGACTGGAGCGGGTATTCAAAAGAAGCAGAGTAAGACCAAGGGCGGGCTACGGATTATTGGTTAAAGTGCAGATAGGGACCGCCTGCCAGGTTCTTTCTACTGTTGTGTTCTGGCGCAATTTTTGTCATAAATTCTTTATATTGCTGTTAAATTCAGCTTTTACGCATAGATGGCCACAGCATGTTCATGTGGCCACTATCTATTTAATAATTGAATATCAGTACGCAAAATATCCTTTATACGTTTGAAAGTGTATTGTCGTTGAAGAGCGTTGTAGCCAATGGGATAATGGTCCAGAGATATCAGACAACTATAGGGCTATCTCTCTAAACCCTTAATAAAGGCCCTGGAACTGACTATTAAACCAATGCAGAGCCTGTTCCTGGCATTCATTTGCCTGTTTTTGGGCATCCAACAGGACAAGATCTGCACGCACACCGAACCCATGACTAGCACCATAATAGACCTTTACCTCTCCCTTGGCCTCTTCGCTCTGTTTCTCTACTATCTGCTTAATCTGTTCAATCTGCGGAGCCTTGATCACAATGTCCTTATCGCCGAGAGCAAAGCTAACTGGTTTCTTCATCTGCTCAATCTCAGTCGGCAGGACAAGATTGCTAGGATGCGCCGTGAAGCCTGCATCGATGAGAGGCTTGCCATTAGATGCTTCATAGCCATGTGCCAACACCACCGTGTGTTTCCCGCCCCAGCAGAACCCTGCTGCGCCAACTGGAAGGTTTGCGCCCTCGTTTTCCCGGATAGATTCAAAAAAGGACTTGACTGGGGGCCAGGTTTTGGAAAAGGTGTTTGCAAGCATGAATGGAATCATGAGGTAGAGCATCTTTGCAAAGTAGTATCTGTAATTTCGATGGTAAGTGAAATTAGGTTTTGAATATCGCGTGAATGCACTTACGGTTTGAGTAACGTATCAGTCCAACTTCCGTTATTGAATGCTTTGCGCATCACGTCCACCGCCGAAATAGGAGCAGCATACCCTTATATCAACAATGTTAGCCTATTTCTGCCTTTTTTTTTAAAAAATATATATAACCTCCATATTCGTGTATAAATGGGTTAAAGCTAGTGCTTTGAGATGTGACGCCAATGCTCTTTTGACAATCGAGAGGCGAACTCACCATCCATGAATTCAGGTAGATACACTTTGTAACCTCCAGTCTCGGCATACCCATCTGCCAAGAGCCTCAAATTGACAAACTCCCAACCAAATGCATCAGGAAGGATTACGATGATGCCCTTGACAGGTGCGCCTGAAGTAGGCTCGGCAACGTATGCATCAAGTCCATGGACTTTTGTGACCTGCCCTTTGGGTGTACCTTCATGAACAGAACCACGGAAGCAGTCAGGACAGGACATTTTCCTTCTTTTTTCTTTTCTTCTCCCGATGGACAGTCGATGATAATATCTCGAAAATAGCGGTAGTCTTCGGGGTTTTGTATTTGCCGCGGCTCTTGTCAGCTTGCTGCAGAGATCGGCACAAACTAGGTAGTGGTGGGTGACGGGACGAGTATTATATATTTTGAGGACCGTGGACAAAATTCACAGAAAAACCTGAAATTGTGGAAAAAAGGTACATTAGACTGTTAGGCTACAATCATATCACCGGTTACTCAGGACGAGGCTCAAAATAATAGGACTCTCAGACGGATGGAATAATAGTCCGTCATGGAGATAAGAGGAGTTAAAGTGCGGAATGGACAGTTATCGCCATCCCACTAAACTCCTTAAGTGAAGTCGGAGGAATGGGAAGCCGACAATAACTACAGCAGGGAAGGCTGAAGGGTATCAGTATATTTTCAGCTGCACTGTGTTGGCTATTAAGTTACGGACCCTTGATATTACATTGCCCTACATTTTGGGCTGTACAGTTCGATGTGTCATTGTGTCATGGCGGGGATTTATTGTCCTTGCACTTCGTATGTGTATACACCGTTTTGCGTGCAGCGATGGCTCTACATCTCACGAGTGCGCTTGCACTGTATCTGGTTAATTCGGTAAAATTAGCGAAGGCGCCTGGGGGCTGAAATCGCGTTCGCATCGCGCCTCATGTTAGATGATAACCAGTTGCTAGGCCGTGAGATTCAAGCGGCAGCATTGTGGAGCGTCTTCCTATTTCTGACCATATTCATTGAGGGTTTCGGAATCATGAATGATCCGAGTGACGGAGTGCCGCAGCATCTGGTAAATGAAGTGTCCTTTCCGCGTCTCAGCCGTTAGCAACTAACCACGAGCTCTGCAGCTGCCACATGTGCATCTGGTCTCTTCGTATCGGTACCCAATACTTGCCTCTCTCAGTGTTGAGACTGTAGTAGATTATCTACTTCAGGCTCCGAAGGTCGTCAAAGATGTTGCGCCGATGAATTGGACTTTCCTGGACGGCCCCTCCGACGGCTCTGTGCTGCTTGTCTGGCAACCCTTTAAGCTTGGTACTCATTTTGCCAGTGATGGCTATGTATGGGCAGATGCGGAGCAAGCTTTTACCTCTGACGTCCGGGGATATGTAAGAAGCAAAGCCCAAGCATGTCAAATACGAAGGCTAACAATGCGATTGGACAGACTGTCGAAATGTATTATCATAGGACCGGCTACCGCCCCGGCAGTGAAGCAGTGGCCACGCATTCCAGGAAGCGCTATCGCATATCTCTTTCCAAAAATTCCACCAATTCACCAGCCGATCCTTCGCTGTGGATTGTCCATTATTCTCAAGCTGAGCCTCAGAACCGAATTCCGGTCAATCGAATCCCCGTCATTCCGCAAATCCAGACTCTCTTTGCTCAGCGCCGCGCTTTGCAAAGCCAGGGGCAGCTTATGCGCAAGGAGTTTATGCTCCATGATCGCGGCAGCTGGCCAAGCATAAACATACCCGCTGGTCAAGCACCTGGTGGATTCCCTCAAGCGCCAGTGTACGGTTCGGGCTCCGTGCCACTTGGTCGCAATCAACAGCCTTACTATCCGCCTCCTGCACAAGGAGCATCTCAACCCGGAGTTGGTGCATCCCCTGCGGCAAAGCGACCAAGACATACTCCGCCAACCCATGCGATTGGATCCGCTGGGGGGCCTTCCGTCTCGCAAGCCATCATTCATGAATCTACCATCGAAGATGAGGAGGATAACTCTCGCGGTGACATATTCGACCACCTAACGCCTCGTGAGCTCAGCATCATGAGATATACACAGCATCATGAATGGATGGAAGAGATATTTTCGTCGCCGTATTCCATGCAGCAGATTGTGCCTGTAGATCTCGGTCTGGGCTTGAAGGGCGAGCTCGAGGGTCTCACCAAAGGCGCTTTTGAGCCTGCATCAAGCGACTCCAGAGGCGCGAGTTCCGACGACAAGAATAAAATTGACTCTGGAACAGCCGAATTGTTCACGCAGCGTGCCACCGAGAGAATGCAGCAATTGAATGCAGAGATGGAAAAAATGAAGAAGGTTCATGCCAGAAGGATGGAGAAGATGCGCCGAGGAGCGAAGATTTCAGAGGCAGAAAAACGCGTGAGGATTGCTATTACAGATCCAACTCTGGCAGACTCCGAAATATGGATACCGGATGCTGGATTGGATGCTGTGAAAGATTCTGAGGGTCACACGAGCCCTCGTGCCAATCGTAAACCCAGAGAGAATGCCGAGGATGTCATCAAAGAGGTCCAGGATGACCTTGGCAAGCATATTGGTGTTTTTCAAGACATCAACTGTGTGCAAGCCGGTGGACTCGAGGAAAAGTACATCACAGGAAATGATGGCGATCATGAGATGACGCAAGATTCTTCTGTTAACGGAAACTCAAGAGAAGCGGAGATGCAGGCGGGTGACTCCACAATGACAGGTATGGACGAGCTGCCTTCCACGACCTCAGCCTCACAAGATGCTCATGCTTCCCCTCGAAACGATGCTGCAAACACTCAACCCGTAGTGGAGACTTCTGGTCCTGCTACGACCGAGACCACCTCTGGGGTTGCTCCGCCCGCTCAAAAGGAGGCTACCCCAGCTGAGAAGGCGCCAATTGCGGAAGCGATTCCGGAAGCCAAGCCAGACGTGGAAATGTCAGGCACCGCCCATGAGGTCACTCCCAAGGCTGGGGAAGAATCGAGTGACTGGGTGATGGTCAATAAAGATGCGGCAAGTGCTTCGAATGCCGAACCGGCAACTGCAAATAAACCTGAACAACAGCTGGACGCTCAACCTTCAGATGCAGCACCAGCCGATGACACCACAGGGGCAGCGTCCGGCGACTCCGCGATTCCAGGGACAGCCCCTACGCACGCAGACGACATGCTTGACACCAATGACTTTGGTGATTTCAGTAACTTAGACACTGCTGGCGAAGCTCTTGCCCACTACGACGAAAATCAGAGTCATGATCTTAGCCTGGGCTTAGATAATTCGGCCTTTGGTGACGCTTTTCATGGAACAGAGCCTCACAACGAGGACGAAGCAATGCTTTAGATTCTCCCCAAGCACGTGACAGTGGCCATTCTGATATCTTTTTCCTTACCATTTTTGTTTTCAGCCTTTGCAAAATTGTTTCCTATATTCTCGGCGATCGGCGAGCATCTTGTCTTGCTCTTTCTGGGCGCATGTTTAGGTTACACGATTAATCATACCACGAAAAGGAATGAGTTAAATCCTTCACTAGAAATCTTTGAAGGCCCTCTATCATGAAATACGATTAAAATCCATATTTTTAATTGTGAAATATTCGAGGCCTAATTTTTTCGTGTTTTTGAAAATTAATCTCTGTTCGATTCACCCGAAATTGAATACGTGGGAAGAAAAAGTACTTAACTTGGTGGCATGGCGTTTCTCACAAACCGGCGTATTTCTAATAAAATTTAATGTCTAAGGATTTGTTTTCGTATGTATTCTTTACAGCATTTGACGTTCAATTTTAGATTCAAGGAGGATTCAAGACCAAATTCGAATTACGAGGTGTTTTAGAATATTGGAGGAGTTTCTTTATTTTTAGCCTGGCTCTGTCGCACTTTCCATGGCTGGAGTAATAAACGACCCGACGTGCCGGCCCAGTGACATCATATAACGCCCCGGGTATTCCAAGGCGCGTGCAGGACCACTTAGACGCCTAGTTGCAACTGCTTCATATTATTCTCCGACCAGCTCTTGGCAGAACTCGATCAAACAATCAGTCTCTGTCTAGAGTATTATCAGGACTTCTTTCCTGAGGTGTCAAGGTCAAGGCTAGTGCTGTTTGAGTCCGGCGTATCGCCTGTGAATGCGAACTGTTACAAATCTTGCAGCAAACAGGTACAGTGCGCTCTGGAACGTTTCAGAATTATTTCTGACAATTTGCACCATAGAAACATTCAAAAGCTCGCTGAGGACTTCTCTTTCACTATAAAAAGTCAGAGTTGCTTGCACCTCTTTCACAATGTAAGCTGGTCTTCACTTGTTTTACGCTGCTCCTGATTTCGATTCTACATCACCCTTCCATTTATTACTGCCGGACAGTTTCCAGACGCTGGGACTTGTTGCCTTCTCAATTTGTTTTTGAATATTTTCCCTTGTCCGTAATCTCGTGCAGTTGTACCAGTTGAAATCTTCAACATGGCAATTCTCCCACCGCCTTATTCCCCTCGCAAACCGTCACCTCTTCCTCGTTCAAGATCGCTAAGCATTTTGCCTACTCGTGAAAGGAACCGATCACTTTCGATCAGATCTAAAAAGGGCGATGGAAGCGGCGCTGGGCACGCCGAGAAAAGTGCTCCCAAGCACCGTTTCACTATGGCTACTCTGCGAGGCATGCAGCAGCCTGAACTGAGTCGAAAGCTTTTCAAAATGATTAAGACTGAGAACCACGTTATCAATGCGTATGAGGCTGCTAGTCGTGAACGTGTTGCTATTGGCACTCAACTTTCTGAGTGGGGCGAATCTACTGGAGACGATTCTGTCTCTGAAATTGCCGACAAGCTCGGTGTAGTCCTCGCAGAGATTGGAGAGCAGGAAGATGTATTTGCACAAAATCTTGAGGACTATCGAGCGGTTCTGAAGCAGATCAGAAATACCGAAAGTTCAGTGCAACCAAGCAGGGACCACAAGACAAAGGTCGCCGACGAGATCCAGAAGTTGAAGAATAAGGAGCCGCAAAGCACGAAGCTCGTTCAGCTTGAGCAGGAGCTAGTCAGAGCGGAAGCCCAGAACCTTGTTGCTGAGGCTCAATTAACCAACGTGGTGAGTAATTTACAGCTCAAATCACCGTAGAGAGCATGTGTTAACTAGCTGGCCTAGACACGTCAGAAATTGAAGGAAGCCTATGACATCCATTTCGCTGCTACAATTGAGCGTGCTGAAAAGCAAATCATGCTTGCTCGCCATGGTCGGCGCCTACTCAATCTCTTAGATGACACTCCAATTGTTCCCGGCGATAGCCGTCCGGCATTTGAGTATGGCCATGAGGCGCGTCAGGTCCTCAGCGATGCGGAGGAGGACCTGCGCGATTGGCATCCGACTGTAGAGCCAGTTCCAACGGCTTCAGGCTTACTTGAACAGAACCTGATGCCTGTAGTAGCTGGCTCCGCGGCCAACAGTTCCGTCGGACCGGTCCCTGGCGCGGGCTCTCCCCCTCGAAGTGGAAGCCCGTTGCAGGCACAGGGCATCTCTGAAACTGCACCTGTTGCCGAGGACGAAATTCACCCAGCGTACAGGAAGGGAAGCGGAAGTGGTTCACCAAGTCGCAGGGAAGCCAGCGGCAGCACCGCCGTGGACCCCGGCCTGTACACTGGTCCACAAGAGGAGGCACCAGCAACTGTTGCTTAAATCTGATGTGTTGTGACTAATGCTTTGGCATGCATGCATGTGTTAAGAGCTTTGTTGCAGCTTTGTTTCTGGCATGAGATCATGTGTGATGTGAATTCGCCCAACCTGGCTCGGCGTTGTTGAGTACTTTCGACATGATTTTACGTATCCGACCAATGACCTATTACATTCATAATATATTGATTTAACAATTGTAAAAGAATTGTGACCAAAATTCTCGTTGGATATTCGGCAAATTTGAAGCAAATAAATTGTTTGTGTCGATATTGATGTTTTAGGAGCTTGCGGATCCATATCACGTGCAGCCATGCTCTCTAGCAGGCAGCTCGTCAGTGACGCGGCGAGGCAAGTCGACCTTGGGCGCATCTCCGAACCACAGCTTGTATCGCCTCAACTTCGTCGTCTCCGTTTCGTCACCATTCCATTGATAAACTTTTGATCGTTACGGGATTGGCATCATGGACTCGTTAGTAGCGCAATACTCTCGACCTGCTTTCCACAATGAAGGATACTCGCAAGAGGAGCAGCAGGAGCTTTCGCAGACAATGCCTGGCGACATCTCGCTGAAGTTCGCTTTGCCTCCGGTAGCACAGGTAAGGTGTTTGGATTGTCAGAGTCGATGCAAAAATAAGCTTCTGGCTCCGATGAAGCTATGTGAATCTTCATTTAGTCATCGACTGACGTCTTCTCCTTCTAAAATCATCTAGCCGCACGCCTGGCTCCGAGCTCAGACCGATGACCATGCGAACCCAAGCTGCCCGATCAAGCTTGCCCACGGTACGACAACGCTGGCATTCAGATTCCAAGGAGGAATTATCGTTGCAACAGACTCGAGAGCTACAGCAGGTGACTGGATTGCCAGTCAGACAGTGAAGAAGGTTATTGAGATTAACAACTGCCTGCTGGGTACTATGGCCGGAGGTGCAGCGGTACGTTTTCTTTCGACGATTCTCATCCCTGTTCTGCGGCGGCACTGTGTTGGAACCGGCATTTGTTTCATCACGCTGGGTTGAAATGGGCCACTTCATGGAAGGATGATCCTTATAGCGCTCGGAAACTTTGAATACCGGCTGACAAAGGTCTGTCTGTGGAATATAGGACTGCCAGTACTGGCTTGCATACCTAGGAATGCAGTGTCGATTGCACGAGCTTCGACACAAGCGCCGTATCACCGTCGCAGCTGCTTCAAAGATTCTCGCCAACCTGGTCTACTCTTATAAGGGCTATGGTTTGAGTATGGTACGTTTACCTGACGGCCTCCTGATATACCTGCAAAGCAACGACAACACTACGTCCATGAAGCTTCTCTTCTCTTTATCAATTTTGCCTCCATTACATCAAGTCGTTACGTTTAAACCGCTACAAATGAGAAATCCCGCAAGACCCCGAATGTGTGAGACTAACCGTGTGCTTTGAAATGATACTAGGGAACCATGTGCGCAGGTGTCACTCCTCAGGAAGGTCCTGCGCTCTACTACATTGACTCCGACGGTACCAGATTGGCCGGCAACTTATTCTGTGTCGGATCCGGTCAGACGTTTGCCTATGGTGTTCTGGATGCCGAATACAAATACGATTTGAGTGAAGAGGATGCGCTTGAGCTTGGCCGGAGAAGTATTCTCGCGGCTACGCACAGAGACGCGTACTCCGGAGGATACATTAACTTGTACCACGTCAAAGAAGACGGTTGGGTCAAGCATGGCTTTAATGTATGCATTTCCCTTGTCATGAATTTTTTTTAATTCTGTTCCTTCCCTTCTTTCCTCTCGCTGTCTCTACTTTCTTTTATCCGCGCGTGAAAAGAACTAAACGCGGTTACGTACTCGATCGAAACCATACTAATGCTTTCTGCTCTTTTTGCAGGACACCAACCCCATCTTCTGGAAGACCAAGTTAGAAAAGGGCGAATTCTCAAACGTTACTTCGGAGTTGGTTTAATCACGGAAAGTGGGAATGGGACTTTCATTTCAAATTAGAATCAAAGAATAAGCAAGCGGCTCGAGCTTATGGCATACTCGAGGGGGTTGTCTATCTCACTTTGTGGAGACTGCGTGTACCTTTATACGTTTTTGCTTTTTTCTCCCTCTTTCATATTTATCTCTTTTCCTATTTTCCATTTTCGATTTCATCTTACCGCCATCCTACCTCTCCTCGTCCCGCTTTTCCTCAATTACATAGGTAATCATCCCTGAATATTACGAATGAATAGTGTACGATTTAAGAGCTTGCACGGTGTTGTAATGCCATATCAATGTTATATTTAGTTGTTGTCTGAAATTCTTTTGCACAATAAATTTCAAGGTGCTGTGGAACGGTATGTCAACAGAGAAAAGCCATGGTCAGGGTTTATACAGGGAGTATGATGCACCATCTTGGATCAGAGCAAATTGGGAGAACTGCAGTGTGTGCAAAGATGATATTCAATGCAGAATGTGTGGAATAAGTAAAAATATGTATGAAGATAGTATGTGAATACATCAAAATCAAAGCTAAAGCTGTGCATATGAGTAAAGTGCGTTGCCAAGGATATACAAAAGATAATTGAGGTATTGAGAACGAGGTATTGAGAACGAGGTATTGATCAGCAAAAGCAACACAAGAAAGAGCCTGCAAGCTTCCACCTTCAAGCATACGGGCGCCTTCACAAAATACATACAGCAAAACCTCTTTGAACGGAATCGTAAAGCAGAATAAACAGAATGTGCATACAGGCGACAGAGGTAAATTGTATGTTACATTGCACAACATGGTTACACGCTCCTCAACGCCATGCAATGCCAACAAGACAGAAAAAGAAACAAGACTCGGGCGCTGCGACCTCATATTGCTACTAACTCTGAGTAGCAGAGGAATAATCAAAGGAACTTCAAGAAGAACACGCTAGATTGGGAGGAGGAAAAGGGAATCAGATAATAAGACGCTGATCAAACGCAATGCCACGCCAAGTATATCATACATTTGAAATCTGCATAATGAAAAAGCAAAGAAATGTGACAGTGGAACAAATCGCCGATACAAAATGGTTATTCCAGGGGCTTGAGCTCTTTGGCTCGCGGCGCCCGCAGCGCGTCCTCTCGGCTTTGCGATTGTTCATCCCCGTCCGTATCAGGGTTGTACTCTTCGAGCACTTGTGGATGCCGTCTGGAGCTGGATCGGGCCTTTGACAGAGAACTGGCGCCACGTTTGGAGCTGTTTCTTGTCGAGCCGATCTCTCTGGTCGTGGTGCTGACGGAACGCTTAGTTGTTTCGGCATCAGTGGCGAAGCTGGAAGAAACCGCAGCAGTTGAAGCTCCTCGAGAATCACGACGCCGGCCACGGGTTTCCTCATCCGATGCACCTTGATCACTGTCATTGTCATCGTGATCTTCTTCATCGCTATCCTGGTTATGGAGCGGTCGGTGTGGATGTTCCTCCGTGACCTGGCCCTTGATGAAGCTATCGATAATGTAGTACTGCAGCGCGTTCATTATAACAGGGAAGAGCAACATCACGAAAAAGACTTGCACTCTTTCGTTTCCTTCTGTCCATCTCAGCGCCCAGTCGCCGACGCGCCCAAGCCAGGGAAGCAGCTCGAAGAGAAAGAAGACGCATATCTTCATTCCAAGGAGTCCGCAGAAGTAGATAAAACATTGCTTGACCCACCATCCGGCGCGAGGTGGAGTATCATAGTTGCCAGACTTGATCGACTCTGGGGGATTCCCAAGTGGAGTTCCAGAGAATGCATGGGTCAAAACGCGAAGGAATATAACAAGGATTGGAATGCCAATTGTTGTCTGGAGCAGCAAGCAATGTCAGTGGGACGCCTTAAACGAAGCTGTACGGGAGTCTCCTATCAGGGAAGAGACCGGAAAGACTTACATCGACTGCGATATTGAGCAGGTAGAATGAGCACGGATTGGGCGTGTACTTTTTGTTGGAGACTTGTATGCCGGACTCAGCGGTTACTTGAAACTGCCCAGCAGAGAGCATGGACATGAGCAAGTTGGCCAGATGCAGCAGCGCAGAGCCGACAACTTGTTTAGACACATCGAACCACCAGACTTTCAGTGGCCGTTGCGGCCGTTCGCGATACCGCTTCCACACGAGAGCAAGTAGTGCAAAGGCTCCAAGAGCTGCCTGGACGAGCAGCGCAAAAGGTCCAAGCAGCTTGCACTCTCCATTATCGCCGCCATCTTTTGGTCCGTCATCTGGTCCCTGCATAACAGCCGCAGTGCTTGCAGCTACAGCTGTTATTGTCGCAGCTGGGACGAAATTTTCGCCGCTTATGGTAGTGGAGAGTAACGCAGCTATAGCTGTAGCAAGTGGGGTTGCAGTAACATCAGATGGTAGCGCATGATCATAGACAGTGGGAGGGCGAGGTGGTGGGTACATCGGCAAGATGGTCGAAGACGCAATGGTGCAAAAGTAGTTGATGAATGGGATAAGCAAACAGCTGAGTTCTGGAGGCGCCGTCTAGCGGTAGAGCATCGGGAGGGTTCGAGCAAGGGTGCAAGAGATCGTGGAAATTATGGACGAGGAAGTGTGATATCTATGATAGATGGCTCAAGGTTTAATGTCGGGCGCCTGGCGGAGGTGGATTCAATGCTGATGTCGAGAAACAAAACAGAGATGTAATAAGAAATACGAGGATATCGAAAAGATAATGAGTCTTGCTAGATATTCATTCGGATTTGGACAAATAGCCGGTTAGATACGCATTAATCCGATCATGAGGGCAGATCGAGTGCAGTTGGATGCAGCTGAAACAGTTGGCGGTGAGCTGGTGTCAGAGGGGAGTTTTGGTGGTTTAACTGGACGGGTGCGGAGGCGAGAGCATGACGCCCATACTCTTTCCCAATCCGGCTAGCGACCCGTTTTTCCCACGCCACAGCCCTTCCAGCCTGGAAAATTAATCCGATATTCCCATGGTTGTCTAATCTTATCCTGCAATACGGTAATATACGGTAATTACGTCTTTCGGCCTCCAAAAGCAGAAGTAGACTATAGGCACGACTCTTCTCCTCCTGGAGCATACTAAACTTCATGTTTGCATATATACGCTTGGATCATGATTGAGTGGAGTAGAAACAATGTCAAGTTATATTGCTCGCTATGGCAGCCATCGTGAGCGAAAAGCCACCTGCTTGTTCATATTTGATATACCCGCCCGAATAAGCTAAATCGAGGCAATGAACCCAAAGCACATAGAAAAAAGAGAGGACTTCAACCCAGAGTCCTCTCTCCTCAGCCCAAGGGCGAGCCGTCCCAGAATCGGCCGCCAATATAATAATCCGCCCTGAACGCCGAACAACCATAGAAAGCAAGGATGAGAGATGGCCTGCCCCACGTTCCGTGGCCTCTCATTTTCCACGCGCCCAAATAACTCTCGACCCACAGATAGACGCTGTGGGCTGCAGAAATGTTATTCTATACCGTGTTGCTGTTTGAGCTTTTCTAATTCTTCTCGGCGCTCGGCCAAATCTCTACTTGACTTCATCATCTTCTCGGGCTGGTGATATAATACTAATAAAAAATACGTGTCAGTAAATGGAGTAGAGACAGTGCAAAAATTGATTGCGCGTCTTGGCGGTTGCAGTAACAGGTATGCAGGGGTATCGAATGACATACCGACTAGATAACGATTTTGAAAGTTGAAGCCGTTCAACTTATCACAGGCTTGCTTTGCATCTAATACGTCCTCATATACAACAAATGCAGTGCCCTTTGTGTTGTTCGCGATACCCGAACGTATTTGACTAACCCTTCAATCAGCACATGTCCAAATGAGTTTGTGAGCACCCTTTTGATGGGCGTCACTGAGTGACAATAGGTGTACGACGTACCGCACAGGTCCAAACTTGCCAAAGAGGTCGAAGAGCTCCTCGGGAGTTACGTTGTAGCTGAAGTGAGGCTATTAGCACCAGGATAAAGGCGAGATGATTTCCGATGACGGTGATGGCTCCTTGCCACGTCCACGCAATCGGGTTGGTCAACAGGACGGACAAACCTTAGATTCTTGACAAACAAAGCGCTATGAAGAGACATATCTTGTCAGTATCGACTCCCTCATGAATTGAAGTAGAACGAATATGAAAGCGGATGTGGAGACGACATGGGGTCGACGGGGATGAGTGATCAAGTGACCTGGGATGACTTGGATTCCCGACGTACCGATTGACTTCAGGCGCCAATTTCCCGCCGCGACTCATATCTCTCTTGATTGATAGCAAGACAGCTCTTGGCTGATTCGCGCAAATGAGAATGGTTGATAGAACCGGGATGTTGTTGATATAGCGGGGGAGAAATAATGTCGAGATTCCACGGACCCAGAGCTTCGATGGCGATCAGACGCCCAGCGTTGATCGGCTTAGTCATCATACGGAGGAAGGCTGATCCTCGCCGAGAGCGAAGGCGGAGACCCGAGACCGAGAAACAAAGACCGGGAGCGACACAGTCAACAATGAATTAACGTCATGTATTCTCTATGCAACCAATTGAGCGCAAAAAATATAATTGAAAATATGAGGTTATTGCTCTTTTATTTGAATATCCAGACCTATTACTCCCTCGTACCAAATGTGATTTAGTATACTGCCGGTGTGGAAGCCCTCTCTGTTACTCTCAATTACGCCGTAGCACGGCCCAAGGGAGATGAGATCAATACCGACAGCAGGTACCTTAATTAGGCATGAGCGATTGCACATCATTGGCATAACTTCATCACATTCATCTATGATTTCTACGAAACGACATGTATATAGAGCACCAAAAAGGGAAACATTATTGTGAGGAAGGATGCATTGGGTGTAGAGGCCATGATGATGTCCCGAGTCGCTGCTTCCTTTCTTGTGACTGGAATGATAGTGGAAGAGGTACTACTGGGTACCTCCGAGCGACCATGTCCAGTGAGCCCTCATTGTAAGAAATTTCAGTAGCGAGAGGTACTGTTTTCCCACAAACATGTTCCTGTTGACTCTTTGAACGAGAAGAGGGATCCCACCTTCCTCCATCGCCGCCTCCTCCTCCGCCGCCCGCCGCTGCTGCCGACTCTGCGACAGAAACACCCCCCCTCCATCCCCAGTCCTCTCTGGGATCTCCTTCCACCCCACAACAACGCGACTTGAACCTATCACTCTCATACAGCTCTGCTGCGATTCAGAGGTCAAAGTCTTGTCTAGTATGACTCTCAGAGTTACTTCAACATCATTCTTTTCCGCGGGCGAGCTGTGGTGAAGTAAACGCGCTACAACAAACAACGCTTCCGAGCTCCGCAACCTGTCTACGCAGGACTTGATTGCCCTTCCGTCGCTCGCGCAATGAGTTTCAATTCGTTTAGAATCGATATTCCGGGGCCTCCGCACCGATATGCGACTCCCTCTCCTCCGCTATCCGCTGTCGAACCCATTTCCCCCGCCTTCCCGCGAGGCCTCCTTGACGAAGCGTCTTTTCTTGAGGTTAGCACCAAGCTTGGAGCGCAGAATAGATTGAGACCGGATGCGAGATACACTTCAACATGGAATGCGAACAATGGTGACGAGACTGAATCAGAAGATGGTTCGCCAGATTTGCCGACTGAGGAGGACGGGTCGCGGACAGTCTTTGAAGGTCCTAGGGAGAGGAAGGATTCCGCATCGACAATCGACGCGCTCGCAACCATTGCTCTGGCTACAAGCCCGACCTTTGCATCACAATTTCCCGCGCCATCCATGTCACCTGCGCCGAGCCTGTTCTCGCGCGACAGCTTCAGACAGAGTGTCGAGAGGCAGTATGGGTATCCCTTGCAAGGCCCCGGCGGAACATATGAGGGTAAAGCAAGATCTTCGAAACGTGCGCGATCAGAAGCGATTTCTCCACAAAAGACGTTTGATAATTTACGGCGACCGATGATGAGTCCGTTCACACCATCATCTGGCTCCCTTCATCAGCATCACCATTCAGTCGATTCGGCCCTAGATGACCGTACTGAGCGCGATTTGGCGGCAAAAAATTCGCGATACGAGGCGATGAATACTGATGCTGAGTTGCTGCTTAATTTGGCAAGGGGTGTCAGCTTCTCACCAGTTCAAGAAAGGAGCGCGCCAATTTCTCGACACCAATGGGGTAATCCGTCTGGGGGACTCGGTGAATCCAGTGATTCACTGAGCCAGCCACCGATTTCTCAGGCCCGCAAGCCCTTGGGCTACAACAAAGACAACGCTGGAAATAGGGTTTCATCTGAACAAAAATCTTCAATGAGTGCAATTGACTCAACCATGGTCAACGGCCGTCCATCTGCAGAGGCAATCGAAAATCGAAACCACAATTCATCAAGCACGAAGCATTGGCGAATGAATCCCTCAGCATCCCCTACCATCGAGCGGTTGGTGTCAAAACACGTTTCTCAACATCCAGAAATGGGAGAATTTAGTTCAACCACTGTGTACACTCAACAGAACGCCGACGAAGTGACACCTTCGCCAACGAAACCGAAGATGGAGAGTCAAGGTTCAAACGCAATACAATATTCTATTCCTGTGCCTTCGCAGATGAAAATTGAAGAACGTCATGCCCTGCTCCTAGCAGCATCTTCACCAGCTAATGGTATGGACGATGTGCTGAGAGATGACCAGAACAACACTCACCTCTCGCACGAAGCGGAAACCTTGGCGGGACAAGGAGCCGTCTGCGCAGGGTGCAATTTCTCCCGAAACACTCTTGACGGGGACACAAATGATGCAACTTCTTGGATCAGTTGTGATGGGTGTAAACGATGGTTCCATTTTGCCTGTGCCGGATTCAAGAATGAAAGGGAAGTCCGCAGCGTCGATAAGTTCAACTGTCGGGAATGTAGGCCCACTTGCGGTCCAACCACTTGTAAGGACGAACTCGTAACTCAACGTTTCTGCGTTGTTGCTAATTTTATCAAGTTGTGCGAAAGTCTTCTAGGGCGCACACTGCGATTGACTACGCAGAGCTCAATGAAGGAATCATAAGGGTGACAGATGAGAGCCCGGAGCACCACTACATCAAGCCCATCAAGGAGGGTACAATCAAGTTTTTACCTGATAATTTCCTAAGGATGCCGCCAGAGCTTGTCACAGCCGATTTCTTCGAGAAAGGAAATGGGATGAAGGAGCCTGTGGTAATACCCGCACATTTGAATCCCCGACCTCAAGTTTGGGCCTCAGCCGAAGACGTGAAGCGCTACCCTGAGCAACCTCAAGAGCCAGCAATTGAAAATGGGGATGATGGATCTTCGGATATTCTGTACGACGAAGTCCCTGACGTAGGTCAAGATGCTCTTGATATGGTGATCCCACAAAATCTGTCGGTACAGGACGTTGCCGAGCTCTACGGTCCTGAAGAGAAGGTTGAAGTTATCGACGTGAAGTCTCAGGAAGGAGAGGGAAAGAACTGGAATATGCGACGATGGGCCGATTACTACGAGAGCAAGGGAGATAAGGTAATCCGGAACGTGATTAGCCTGGAAGTCTCATCAAGTAAGTTGGGGAGGCTCATCAGGCGCCCAAAGGTCGTACGGGATCTGGATCTTCAAGATTCAGTCTGGCCCGCAGAAGGCAAGGCCAAGGGTGACTTCCCCAAGGTCCAATTTTACTGCCTAATGTCTGTTGCGGACTGCTTCACAGATTTTCATATTGATTTCGGAGGATCTTCCGTCTTCTATCACGTTCTCAAAGGCAAGAAGACGTTCTTTTTCATATCGCCAAAGCAGAAAAACCTGAAGAAGTACGAGGAGTGGTGTATGTCTCCTGCTCAGAACTGGACATTTTTGCCAGACCAGACAAAGGAATGCTATCGAGTGGACTTGTCAGAAGGCGACACAATGCTTATCCCGTCTGGTTGGATCCACGCGGTCTGGACACCGGAGAACAGCTTGGTCATTGGTGGAAATTTTCTCACAAGACTGAATTACGGTATGCAAATCCGTATTGCAGAAGTTGAAAAGGCCACCAAGGTCGCTCGCAAGTTCCGCTATCCGCACTTTCAGAAAGTTCTCTGGTACACCGCAATCAAGTATCTTGAAGATGATCCGCTCCCCGAGAGTGTTATCAATGACTTCTATAGCGGACGGAAGTTTTCTCGGGAAACGCCTACTTACTACGATTTCAACAAGTGGGGAGATAATTCAACTCCAGGAGCAGAAAATTATCATAGTCGATACTATTCGCAGTACGAGCTCGAAGGACTTCCGGACCTCGCGCGCTATTTACTTAGGACTGCTCTTATTTCGATGGGCAACATTACCGATGGCATTACTGTCGATACTAGGAATGCAGTCACCCGCTCGATACCAAAAGGGCATGGTGAGCCCCTTCAGATTGTGAAAAATTTCGCAATGTGGTCTGCCTGGAAACGTGGCAATGAGCATATCCCCCACTGGGCGTATCCCGATGTTGTTCCCGCGGAAGCTCTTCCAAAGTCACAGGGAAAGAAGCTTAGCGCAGCTGCCATCAAAAAGCTCGAACGGCAAGCGGCAATGGAAGCCTACCGAGCTGCACCTGAGCGCCAATCAGTAAGACAACAATCCCAGGCTGAAGCCGCTGCTTTGAAGAGAGCCGATGGTAGTCCGACCAAGGTGGAGCCCGTCTGGGGCGAAGATCGAAAGCGCAAGGCCTCTACAAGCAGTACAGCCAACGGCGTCATGGACGGGCATACGCCGAAACGTCCCAAGAAAGCTTTAAGTACACCGAAGACGTCCGTGCTGGGGCCACGTAGAGTAGCGTGTGATGCGTGTCGTAGACGACGCATCCGCTGTAAGCACAAGGACGATCTCTTGTCTGGGTCAGCCACTAGCCACCATGGTGCACCTTCGGTTTTTGTGCCTGTTACCGGCTATCCCACCTTTTCAAGGGATCTAAATAGCGATTTCGGGCCGGATTACAGTGTACAGAATGGCGAAGTTCCCTCATTTGTCACGAACTCGTCCCGCCTTCCTACCGAAGCAATTCAAGCGACGAATGTTGCATCAGGCGATCAAGCACCTATGCAAACACCGGACGCTAGGAAGATTAGAAACAAAGCGTGCAGTAATTGCCGTAAAAGCAAAGTAAGTTGCAGAAGAAGCCTATTCAGGGTTCAGCGGCTAATCTTGAATAAACAGCGGCGATGCATTCATGACGAGTACGGCAATGTAGATCCCATCAAGGTTCAGGAAGCGTCTATGAGTCGAACTTCTGGTGCGTCTGCGAAACGCCGCGCTAAGGTAGACGAGCAGGATCCTCGTGCACCGAAGAAGGTGAAGAGGGAAGTTGGAATCTCAAATGAGCCCGCCATAATTTGGCCAAGTGACGAGAAAGATGGACGGGTTCCCGTGCCAGCCATCGATTCTAATACCATGGGTACAACACAGCCCCTTGGATCAGCGATGAGCGAGGCTGCTCCTGCAGGTTTTGGATACTCCTGCCCTGTCAGCTCCTCGGACATTGGCCAGTCCTTGGAGTTTGACCAAGTCGACGGTTTGATACAGCCAAAGGATGCTCATGACAAGGTTATGAGCCGGTCATCTACTCCGTCGACGATTATTGCTGATGATATTCCCGAGTCTGGTTTTTCAGAAACGCGACGTCGATCAGTTGAATCCTCAGATGACGTCCAACTTGTACCGGCCTCGCCTAGTAAACAAACTACTGCAACCGATGATCCAGAGGATATGCGGTACCCGTTTGTTCCTGACACCGAAGAACAAATTGAGCCAACCATTGCCACGAAAGTTGACGGTATCCAGAACCTCGCCGCGAACTTGCCCTCTGCAGCAAATGACGATCATCCTATGCCCGATGCCAGCATGTCTCATGCCGATGTTAACAAGGAGGATGCACAGAAGCAACAGAATCAGGAGCAAAAGCGAATCGTGGCCGAACTTGATGTTGAAAATGGACTGTCCAAAGGGCCGGCAACCGTGGTGGAAGACCAACAGGTAAAGATTGAGTTGAACCGAGATCAAGAGATGGACGTTGAATCGCCACTCACGTCTCCGCTTTCTGACGGCCGACTCTCAACACCGTCAGTGCGTCATTCTTCACCCCTATCAGTCGCAGAAAGCGATCATCAAAACTTGTTAAGCGCCGAAACTGATCATCAAAGACAACTCCCACCAGCTCTTAACAGCCGTGATCCCGATTCTTCCAACGTAACAGCACGTCATTCTTCCCGCCAGCCCAAGGCCGTCCAGCGGTTCTCCACTGAAACTCTCCAAGGGAGCTACAACGCCAGGCAGATGCCGAACGAAGCCTCACCGCCTTCAGCAAGCCCTAATTCTTCTAACAAAGTCAAACCTTCCTCGGCATCAGGTATCGCATCCTCGCGCAAATCATCAAAGTCTAAGAAATCACGCAGTCACGTTTCTCCTAACAAAATCAACAAGCGCACCCAGCCTTCATCAGCTTCTCCATCCCACTCTCGTCACGGGCTAAGCATTTCTCCGACTGCAACTGTAAAATCTGCAGCTGTGCGATCATCATCTTCGGCTTCGCTTTCTCCATCGTTAAGAAGGACTATTAATCTTGTTGACAAGCGTGAAGAAGATAGCGTGCGGCTTGCTCGAGAACTTGCCGCTACGCAATTCAGTCTTCGTCGACGGTCCTAAATTCTCATCTCCCGGCTAGCCTACGGAATGCGAAGATTCCTCTAACTCAAGTCTCTTTCTTCTAGTTCTCCGCCAGTATCCTTGGCATGGCCTTTATATCTTTCTCTGCGATGGATTTTACAATATTACCCTTTTCATTCTTCCTGTGCGGGCGATTCAGTGACAGTTTTCTCACTTGAGCATTGTTTATTCTCACTCGGGCGCATCCTTTGGTCGCGACCCACAAGTTTCTTATATCCATCTCTAGTGTCCTCTCCCGCATCACATTAACCACACGATGCCATTTCGAGAACCCTAACACTACGATTACTTCTATTCGGCGTCCTCTGGGTTTATACTTCTCGCTACTTTACTACGTTACACTTTATCCGCATTGCAGCGCCATCAACGCCAGCAGCGTTGGGCGCTTCACGTTTCGACTTACAATTTGGCGTTTCTCTTATTTTCTTCCTCGCCCCGTTCTACAAAGCGTGGGAAGGGAAAGAGAGTAGAGTCTTTTTTCTGCGTTTTGCTTGCAGGCTTATTTATCCAACGTCACTCGTCTGCCTTACTATCACGCGGATACGCCCCTTCTTTTATATGGGCTCTTGAAGTTCTTGTTTTTTCTTTGCGCACTGGGGGAAAAGGGGGTTGTGAAATGACACTCTTCTTCATTCGATTTCATCGTGGGCGATTCAATCAAAACGGGGAGTTTTTTGTATTTCTTATTCTTCGTCCTTGTTTATTATCAATACCTCCTGCCCTTTCTAGTCATTCTACTTATTACCAGACCGGTGTTTTTTTTTTTTTTTTTTGATTTTTCCCTGTTTGCTCCTCTTCTTTCAGACGTTGAGAACGGGCCGGCAGGGGGGGGGGGGGTTGTTAATGCCGGCACAAGTTACTATGCAGTGCAAAGGGAAAGGGGTGTTTACAAGGACTTTATGCTCACATTAAATCCAATCCTAAATTAGAAAATTGAAAATTGGTTTGATTATTCAAATGGCGGATTCCTTTTCCTACTTCAGTCATGCAAACAGCTGAAGCATGTTTAACTAGGGGGCCCGTGAGATGTGATTCTTGATACGCAGCGAGCAAGTGTTGAAAGAAATAAAGTATCGTAAATTGCCATCATAATATCCAAAAGAGTATACTCCAAAGAGGTGACGGTGACGTGAATCCCTAAAGTGGGGGAAAGGGTAGCAGAGAACGCCGAGGCTTCCAGAGACAGATATAATCGCCTCTATACCATCCAAAATTGATAAAACAAGATATACCAAATATACTACCGCCAATCTTCACCCGCCCCGGTCCAGACCGCGCCATAATAAAAGTTTCCAACATGAAGTAAACCGCCATTTGTCATCCACACCCAGTATCGCTAAACAAAACACCAATATACCGTTATACCGTTAATATTTTCCACCCAAAATCCTCATTCACTCCCGGTTGCCATGTCCATGTCCGAATTCCGTTGTGTGTATATGTATCTCGTTGCCTCGTAAATGGGTTTTAGGATGAGAAAAATTGCACGTGCCGAAGAGAATAAATAGGAACGCCATTATCGAATATCCAGCTGGAGCGGCTTGAATTTACCGCCCACAGTTCCACATCGTGGGCAGCGGCTAATCTTGTCGCGGCTCTGTTGGACGAGCAGGACATCAACACAGTCATGGCATATGCCACAAATGCACTCGGTGCATGCGTAGCTTTGTTTGAGGAAGCTAGGGCGCGAGCATGCAGCGCAATAGATCTGGACCATTTGAGAGGGAGAAGTAGGCGACGAGTCGGAAAGGCCATGTGCTTGCATATGAAAATTTCTGCCGGACTGGGTGGTCGAGTCAATGGAAGACTCCACAGAAGGAAAGGGTTGTATATACGGATCGGCAGGAGGGGGCGTCAAAGCTTGTTGCAAAGGCGATGCCACATAAGATTGAAAGTGAGAATTGGAAAATGGGGGCATCGAGCCCCGACTGATGAGCAGCGGCGACTGCGGGACCTAATTCCGGGTCTCAGAAACTATTTTAAAAAATAATAAAACTAAGAAAAATACTTACTGGGGTGGAATCCTGCTCATCTTCAGCTTCGGTGGCTGACGCTGCCGCATCAATAAGGTCTTCCCATCTCTTGCCCAACGCCAAAGCATGACCCTGAGGTTCTGCAGAATATGCTTTTCGTCCTTCATAGCTCATCCTTCTCGCATGCTCCTTTGACTTTGTCCTCTCATGCTTGGCTTTTCGTGCATGTGAAGTAATGGAGGACTTGCGGGGCCTTGCATGTTTATCTCGCCGATGAAGTGGCGGAAGGGTGGATGAACGCCCCGGTGGTGAACGTGGGATGATAGAAGGAAGTAATTCACGTGGTTTGTGGGAGAGATGGAAAGGCTCATCCTTGAACATGCGAACTTCGTGACGAGAAAAATCAGGCGATAGCTTAAGTCGGGAATGATTCCCTTCCAGATCAGATTGTGCTTCCTGAAGAAGGACATTGTCAGAAACCCGTGAAAATATGGAGATTTCAAGATTCGACTCACCGTCTCTGACTCCCAATCAGAATCCGGTCGGTGGGTATGCAGCTGCGCCAGAGCCGCTGCAGCACTTGCGGCCGGCAAAAGGGCCGAAGGGTATATCTCATCCGAAGTCCTAGGCGTAGCAGGCGAGCTTATATCGCCTTCATATGCCATTTTGGAGCGACCAGCGCCTGTTTAAAATGAAATGACCGACAATGTCAGTTGTGGAGGCTTGGGATGCAGGGGCAAACAGCAAGCACTGACCCGACGAGCGGATAGATGCTCCAACCGGTTGTGGAGGACGCTCGGATGGAGGCGAGTTTATCATTAGAAGAAAGCTCTCCTCAGTGGCAGGGAGCTTTGCAATATAATGTTCTGGGTGCGCACGGCGGATATGCTCCTGCATTGAGCGATATCGCTTCTCCTACTCATCCGACATCACGTTATTACTCATGTCTCCAAAATGGCTAGAACAAATCATGCGAGCAAGAGCACAGTCCCAAGCACAAATAAAATTAAGAAATCAATTAGAACGAGAGACGGGAAAGACTCACGCCGAGGCAGCGTTTTCGGCAGCTTGAGCCATCTTGATTCCTCAGCGGACAGACCACTTCATTATTTGCGTCCGTAACGGAGAAAGAGCTGGTGAGGGAGGATCGCGGCGGCATGGCCTGCATGTATCCTCTGCGCAAGCAGCTATCATGCAATGGTGTGGATTGGGTATCCGGATGGTGAGTAGTCTAGTCGACTGCTGGAAAAATTCACTCGAGAGACCAGAGCCAGGTTGAGCAGGAGTAGCTAGCTGGCGGGGGAGCAAGAGCACGATAGGGAACAAAGTAAATACGATAGGATTTGCGGCAGGGATAATCGATAAGGAACGATTAGAAATGGTTCGCGTCCCACAAAAGCTAGAATGGGAGACACTTCAAAGGAGATGAAGAGGTAAAAAGAGGGCAGGTTTTCATCAGAAGAGCTTGGACACTCAAATTGGAGGTCGACCATTCAAAGGTCAGGACAGGATAGTAATGGTGTGCAGTACCAAAGCCTGTCAGAAATGTGATGCGGTGTGGTGATTTGTTCCTGAGGGCCGCTGGTGTTGAGGGGCAAGCACAGGGCGACCCCACCACATAAGAGGGGTTGGACTCTCTTTCTATATCAATGCCAATCCCAAAGAGCCTTTTCTGATCAAACAGCACCTCTTCTGAAGCAAAGAGGCGAAAAAGCTGAGCAAGAGGAATTAGGGCCGAACAAGGGCCAAAGCTAAACAGCTAACTTGCAAAAGGCACAAAAACGCAACTCAACTTACCTCTCCTCATCGGCCAGCTCTCTTGCTTTTTTTTCTCATCCAGCTCCGCTGCAACCATCTCCCCCGGTCCGCCCGTATCATTGGTCCAAGCGAGAGAAACGAAGGAGGTGGTTGCCCGATTAAGACTAACCCGGGGAAAACCTCGAGGAATGGGGCGTGCTGACTTTTTCGCCACGCATGCCATTCCCCCAATGCATTTGCTGGTCCGAGAAAAGACATCATAGTTTCACGAGCTCCCATTAAGCGAGCTGCTCCTGAAGGTGTGCAGGAGTACCGGTACTTTTGATAGGTAGATATTACCTGTGTCTTAGACCCTCAACGTGGAGCATCCTACTAAGGTACGAAAGTTGAAAGTACCACTACTGATTGCGCTTGGTGCGCCGAACAAACGCCGAGAGCTATAGCTAGTTGATAGAGGATGCCAGGATGCATGGTGAAAAATTCTCTGACAGGAAAGAAAGATTTTTCAATGCTACCATTGCATTAGCCGTTCATATTTCATTGAAAGGCCTGTCTGTACACCTTTAAGCAGAGTACATTTTCTCGGCATGTCAAAAATGAGGGCTGACCTTTCCATGGGTGGATTAGGAGGAAAATTAACAATGGTTAATGTGCCCATGTTGAAAATCCGACACATCCACTGCTTCACAATCGGCAAAGGGCACCTCCGCATAGGAACTAAAATGAATACCAAGTTTGCCAGACTCAACAGTCAATGTATGCGATTTATACAGATCCAATACACTGGCCGCGGGTGGTCATGTTTTTACCAATTTCGCAGCCTGTCGTAACGATTGCTTCAAGCTAGATGTATCATTGTCTCTATTGTTTTGCAAAAGCTCAACGAAGAAAAAAGTCGTCACATAGTACTACGTAAAACCTCTCCAATCGTCTGCATGTGAAAGAGGGTTCTGGGTGGACCTATCAATTGAAAGGGAAATTAGTAGGACAATCTGGAGCAACCCGGTCTTGGGGTGACCCTGCATCTTCATAACACGATAAAGTCCGCTAATTTTCCCATTCTTCAATTCTTTTCGCTGGCAAGTCTAGAATGGGGAAATTTTTGGTACGTTTCGCAGGGACCGAAGCTGCCTGTTGCACCGTTGGGCGCCACCACGGGAAGGGGGAAGTTCGATAACCGCCAAAACTTGCCCATACCGCCATTGCCGGGACGTCTTGTGTCATGCAAGTCCAACCAAATCAAAGAACCCCAAACAAAGGGTTCTCATTAATATATATGGAAACACTTTCCGACCGGACGTACGGGGTACTGTAATCAGACAACCCTCCCGGAATGGATGCCGAGATCATGCGTGAGATGGTTCCGGATTCTCGGAGCTGCTGAAATCCGACTTTTATCATTCTGTGCCTACCCCGTCTCCCCAGAATTGAAGCTCCATGCTCAAATCTGAACATTCCCAGCTACCGCAAGAGCTTAGGCTGCTTATTGTCGTGTGCTCTTTTTTTACCCCTCCTAGATGACACCCTATCGATTAACCTATTGCTTGAATCAATCTCAAGCCAAGACAGGACAACATGTCACTGACGATCAAGCACCTTAACGCCGACGCGTCATTTTTGCTTACTTTTCAACCATTTACTACGCCAGCACCTACAGCCTCAGCTCATGGAAAAGGGAAAGCACCGGCCCATGTGCCTGGAAGCTTCTCCATAGTTATTGATCCCTGGCTTTCCGGCTCGGTGGAGAACGTTCACCCAAAGGTCCAATATACACGGAATCTCGTTCCATCATGCATTTCATCCTTGAAAGAGCTGGCTGAGGCCCCGGACGTGGTTCTCATTTCGCAAGCTAAGTCGGATCATTGTCATGAGGAAACGCTGGTCCAGCTCCCGACCACGGGCAAAAAGACGACATATATCCTGGCTGAGCCAGCCGCGGCGAAAAAGATCAAAGGATGGAAGCACTTTCTGCCGTCACTTGTGCACCCTCTTGAGGCCTTTGACGAGAAGAAAAAGGACAAGAGTCTCCATCGGTTTACCTTGCCGGCTCTACATCAGGAGCGAGGGACCCCAGGAGAAGTAGCTATAGCTTTTATTCCGGATAAATGGGACATGACCGGCCTCCACAATGCTGTCGGCATAACCTATCGCGCCCCAACAGCTACAGGTCGAAAGGATGGCAAGCCTGGTCCCTGCCTTTCAATCATCTACACTCCTCATGGTATCCCGTACCCGCTCTTAGAGCGCTACGTCTCTTCCCATCTAGCAAAGGAAGGCGCTCTCCCACTTTCACTGCTGCTGCATTCGTTCGATCGCGTTGAGAACCCCTGGTGGCTCGGTGGAACTCTCTTGGCTGGCCTGCCTGGTGGGATTGATATCGCCAAGAACCTCTACCCGCGGGCTTGGATCAGTGCACATGATGGCGAAAAGGAAAACCGCGGCGCAGTGGTCCACAATTTGAAGACGGTAAGATACAGTCACACCGACGTCGAGGCAGCTCTCAAGGATGAATACTCCGCACATACAGATGTGTTGGTCATGGAACCTGGAGCAGAATACAAGATAAGCGTTGCGTGATATTGACGCTGGGCGTCTCGGACTTTTTTTCGTTCGTACAATTTGGACTCATTACCGGGAGGCTTTTTCCCGCCTATGATCCATTTGTTCTCGCAGACTTCATGATTATATGTGCTTGATGGTGTTAATCACAGGAGGGTTTTCAGCACACGCATAATTCGAAATATGTGATCACGCCATGATGTGGTCCTCCTTTAATCATCAACTTAGACTCGACTAAACATCTCACGTTTTAATTTCAATAGATTCTTGCTTTCACATAGGAAATGTCAAACAAGTAAGCAGTGACTCTGTCGGCCCACAAGCAAGAAAATATGGAGGTCTGTTTGAGCTGCAAGCTGGTGAATCATTGGTCTGTCATATTGTACTGAACCCAACATGAGCTTAAGCACCTTGTCTCATCTACTGTGTATCGAGTGACGCTGACGTAACTCGGCCCTGTCACAAATCTGGCATGTACATACGCGGGCCCTTTACCCCACATTCTACGACCCCTGGATCATGGTGTAAAAGTATCCGATGTCACTGCTAAAATCGAAATGAAATCGGAAGATTTGAGGCCATAGAAGACTAATGAGAATCCGCACGACAGAAAATATCATATGCACATCCGCTACTTTCACAAGTTGAAAAATTTTGCAGCAATCGAATCTAAGTATTAGTGATGGAGTTTCTGTCTGAAAACTTTTACGTTCCATACATCTATTGCAGATGCGGATAAGTAAACAACTAACGAAATTGACTGCCACAAAATCAACATGTCTCGATATTGACGCTCAGCCTTGAAGGCATAGTTGCATCACATCAAGACAGGCCATCCTCCGCAGGCGCAATCCATTTACAGCTGACCAGCGGCAGCGATAGTGGGGCGCTTGTTGTAGCGGATAGCACCGGAGCTGCTGCCGCAAGCCTCAATGGCCTTGACAATGCGCAGCGACTCCTGGTCAGCAACCTCACCGAAGACGACGTGCTTGCCATCCAACCAGGAGGTGACAACGGTGGTGACGAAGAACTGAGAGCCGTTGCTGGGGGATAGGTCAGCAAGAAGTAAAGGGCATGGTATTTTAAATTTGGACATACGTGTTGGGACCAGCGTTGGCCATGGAGAGAAGACCGGGGCGGTCGTGGCGGAGCTTAAAGTTCTCGTCAGGGAAGCGCTCGCCGTAGATGGAGCGGCCACCGACACCCTACCAGAACGGAGATTAGTTCAGAAGCTCAAAAAAGCCAACTCGCTGTTATCAAATCCCAAAAAAGGGGACCCATGAGTCTGCGTAGCGAAGTTGGGTTACTTACAGTGCCCTTGGTGAAGTCACCACCCTGAAGCATGAACTGGGGGATCACACGGTGGAAGGTGGAGGGCTTGGGGGTAGCGTAGCCAAAGCCCTTCTCACCAGTGCAGAGAGCACGGAAGTTCTCGGCGGTCTTAGGGACGACATCGTCGAAGAGGTTGAAGGTGATACGGCCGCTCTGAGCTATAATTTGCCATTAGCCTACGTCTAAATAGAGCAATTGCCAAATCCAAAGCTTTTCGAAGCGGGAAAAAAAAAAGTCGGTGAAGCTTACCCTTAACCTCACGGGTAGGGTTGTTGTTGGCGTCGAGGACGGGGCCCTCCCACTCGCAGTCGAAATAGGTCTGGATAGTCATGATGGGTGAAGATGCGTGGAAAGATCGAGTGTAGGAATTGAGAGAAGATTGTTGAAGGAAAGAAGAACGAGAGCGAAGTAAAGACAACGGGGAGGAGGTCGAGAAAAGGAAGGTGGGGTTCCGAATGAGGGGCATGATTCTGATCTAATGGCGAGGTAAGTAAACGAAGCGCTCTCCTTTGCTTTGTTTTAGGGTAGAAGAGGGGTCCCCAAGTACAGTACGACACTGGGTGTCCGTGAACAGGCTCCGGCACAGGTACCGGTACTTTGGGGGGTGAGATTTCTCAAGGTGCATGCATCAATCAACAGCCCGGATCTCAGAATCGAGACCAAACGAAGCTCCACAGACCAACCGCTCGACTGCAAAGCAACATGTGCAAGGGGGTGGGGCCCACTGAGCTCACCTTTTGGCTGCTTTCGATCTAGAGCTCGTGCGATACGGGATGGAATAATTGGGCCGCGCGTAATGGCCGGACAGGTACTGCTACAGAGAGCTTGTACCAGTGGATGGAAGAGGCAAATTCGGGGCACAAGGGAAGCAGCAGCAGCTGGCAGTAATAGCAAAAGGGTCCTCGGATTATGGGAAGAAAAGGGCCACCGCGTAGCCGGGGGTAATGGCTTCTATATAGAAAAGATGGTTTCAATTGAGAGTAAACTAAGATGCACCAGCAACGAATAACAATTCCCGAATAGTTTCCGTTTGCTGAGAGGAAAAGGAGAGAACCAAGGGAAAAGGGAGGATTTTGCGTTAGACTGGGGAAAGTTGGTGGGGCTTTAGACGGGACTGAGAAGGAAATCTAGAAAAGCTCTTTAACCCACTGGAGCATTGACTGTTCTGCAAGGCACGCAAAGCGAAGGTACCGGTACTTTGTCGTCGCCTCGGCCGGCACATGCCTGGCGTATCGGTACTCGGGCTTTGTTTTTCCATTAGCTGAGTGATGAACCTTAGTAACATGGAATTGTCATGGAAACCGCTGGAGGGTTTTGGGGAAGCTTCATTAAGTTATGACACTTTATCCACGTTTGCACCTGACAATGCAACTTTACTACTTGAGAACTTGTGCTAATGTGACAAATCATTGCTATTAAAAAAATCCCAAAATGATCATTGATGTTTAATTCATCTTCAGGAAATGCGAATCATATTCGAGCTAGAGCGTCCATACCATAGGTGAAGGGAAGCTTACAGCACATGAATAAGCTGCCACTATTGCTCTTGTCGTCTGACGTAGTTATCCAGCCGCAGAGGCCACTCATCGGGTTTCCTGAAGCCGATGCCCAACAGTGAGCTCGACCGAGGACCTCAGACGTCAAGCATTGGTGACCAGGCTTTGGCTACCTATCAAACTCAGCTGGCACGGCGAAGAAAGCTCATCATGGACTTCAGTAATCTTAGAGATCAGGTTTCTAACCTGACAATGTACGACCTCAAGGCGGGTGTGCGGAAGGTCCAGAATGGTAAGCCAACCGTCTATTCGCGGATGAACCACCCCTGACTGATCGATCGATGTAGTGGTCATGAACTACACGGAAATGGAGGGCAAGGTTCGCATTTCTAAAGAGCAATGGTGCTTTTCTTGACTTTGTAAATTAACGATCCGCCAGGTCCGGGAGGCAACGAACAATGAGCCATGGGGCGCTTCGTCGACACTGATGCAGGAGATTGCTAATGCAACATATAATTAGTATGTTTCTCATTTCTCTGTCTGGAGCATACTTATTGAACATTATCTAGCCAGCAGTTGAATGAAATTATGCCAATGATTTACAAACGATTTACGGAGAAAGCTGTCGAGGAGTGGAGGCAGATATACAAGGTGAGTCCCTCCAAGGCATATCAGATCCCATGACCATGCAGCTAATTTGCTTCTCCTAGGCTCTTCAACTTCTTGAATTCCTTGTGAAGAATGGTTCAGAACGCGTGATTGACGATGCCAGATCGCATCTTTCTCTCCTCAAAATGCTCCGTCAGTTCCATTACATCGACCCCAATGGCAAAGACCAGGGTATCAATGTCCGTAATCGCGCAAAGGAGCTGGCAGAGTTATTGAGTGATGTTGACCGCATAAGGATGGAGAGAAAGAAATCTCGATCGACAAGGAATAAATACGGCGGATATGAAGGTAGCAGCGCCAGCATGGGCACTGGAAGTAGCCGATATGGAGGCTTCGGCAGTGGCTCCGCAGCAGGCTTCGGAGGCTACAGTGGCGGTGTATATGGTGATGGTGGAGGATTTGGTGGAAACGCCGAGTCCTTTGACGATATCGCTCCCCGCGGTGATCGATTTGAGGAATATAACGAGTATGACGAGGGTGCTGTTGCAGCCCCCGGACGTCGCAAGGCGGACATGCCATCGGCATCGCAAGTCCGCCGGGAAGCTGCGGCCAAGGCCGAGCCGCCGAAAAAGAAGGAGCCTGAAGTAGATCTCTTTTCATTCGGTGACGATGACGTATCGCAGCCCGCTGCACAACCATCCACAATCGCCAATGGCAAGAAACCCGCAATCAATGACACCTTTGGTTCCTTGCAGTCGGCAGCGGCTGATGATGACGACTTTGACGATTTCCAATCTGCTGCGCCACCATCACAAACTGCTCCTCAACCGTCTCTAAGTAATATTCATCCACCAGCATCAACTTCTACGACCACAGCCTCCACCCAATTCGCGGCTCCAAAGCCAGTTTCCGTATCCCAGGGTACGAATATCAACGATCTTGTCGGATTCGCGTCGATTTCTCCTGCCGCAAGCAACACTAATACGCCCTCCAACACGTCCGCATTTTCTCCGCCATCTCTAGCAGCATCTCAAGCGCAAACGGCCCCAAGACCGACCGGATATCAAGCCGCTCAGCCAAACTATTTCACCTCTGTTACTGCCAACACATCACAACAACCTCAGCTAGGTAGGAGCTTGTCTTCTACCTCAAGTCTGCACTCTGCTACAACAAGTGCCAACAATCCTCTCTCTGCGCAGCCGGCTAGCAAACCGGCCCCTACGGGAGATGTATTTGGTTCTCTGTGGAGCAGTGCAAGTGCCGGTATCAAAAAGCCCAGCACGTCGGGACAGCAAGGACCGAATCTCGCCAGTATGGCCAAGGAAAAGGCCAGTGCGGGCATTTGGGGAGCCAGCCCAGCAGGGTCAACGGTTTCATCGCCTCAAAAGCCACGCGCTCCTCCTGCGGGAGCATCTGCCAACCAGCCAGCCGCAGGACAAAAGCTTGGAGGCGGCCTTGATGATCTACTCGGGTGAAATGAGAAAAGCGAAAAGGCACGACAGTGTTCTTCCCAATTGACTGCCTCCGATAAATAATACCCAGTTTCTTCTTCCCCGCACGAAAGCTTCCGCTGCATTACACATTGCAGTGCAACAATCCGCTTCATCTCATTTTACCAATCTTTATATGCCCATTTGTGCCCTATGGCGTCCTCATTTTTTGCCTGCTCGTCCCTTACTGCCCTCCTTCTATGCGCTTGGCTCTACAAAAAACTTTCTATCAGGCATGCCATTTGTATCACCATACACAATATATCTTTCCCCTCAACAAAAATAATTTGACCCGTGAAAGAGCTATTCGCTTTGCCGTGATACCATGCCGTGGCCCACTGGCATTCGATCTTTTCATATGTAATATCCCTACGACTCCACTGCATTTGCTCTGTACATCAACCTGGTGTGCCGGAAAGGGCGATGTCTCTCCGATCGGCCTCCATAAGGTTTTCTCCAAAAAGCTCAGGTCTCTTCCAGGCCAGTACTAAGTATATCTCATGCTGTACTGTATACGCATAAGCTGAACGTGACTAGCTTGGCTTTAGCATGCCATTCAATCATAAAAGGCTCCAAAAAGCTATCTGAAATTGCAATTCTTGTCGAAATCGGGTTCAACGGGCGAGAAGTAGCAGGAGCAAGGGGAGGGGCATTGTATGATTAAATTTTTGAAATCGACCCAATTCACGCATAATGAAGATACAGAGTGCGATAGTGAGATTTAAATTCCTCATCATATTCTTTTCTTCGGATATTCAATGTAATGTTGATTTCAGGCGTGAAGAACCTCTCCTCTTTTTCAAACGATTGGACAGCGCTTCCTTCCTTTCGTCAAAGTTTAGATTTTGACGAAGACGGAGGCAAAAGAGCCTCAAAAGGTTGGATGGGGGACTGAAACAACAAAAAATGCGAGCAGGGTTTGTTGTGCTCAAAACGGGAGAAGAGTGGTATTGGGTGAATATAAAATGAATTGTATTGTCTGGAGTAGTAGGGATGGTTTAGGGGAGAGGGCCGAAAGGCCCAAAAGGCTGATATGGGAAGCATCATGCCCGAAGATGGGCTACTCAATAGACACCAAGTATGACGAAGGAAGATGAGGATGAGAGAAGCAGCTGCCATTACTCACAAGAAAGAGCGGAAATGGGCCTCCTCGACCAAAAGTAACCGTGAAGGTTGGAGCGAAGAGTGGAACGGTAAAGGCAAATAGATAGTAAAAAGGAGAAAAGAAAAAGAAAAAGAAATGGAAAAGAGCCCTGAATCGGAAGAAAATAACAAGAGATGCAAGTAGAATGGGTAGAAAACTGAAAAGGGGAACAGCAAAAAGCGGGTAAATTGGGGAATAATGAGAAAATGAACTCGTAGACGGACGTGCCCGGCGCGAGTATAAAATCAAACGGATGCCAGTAAAATGCTTGAACGCTGTATGGGTGAAACGAGAGAGCTTTCGAGTCTCGGCCAAGGGCACTGATCGAGAGGTTGCAGTAATAAATGTACATAGAAAGCAATTGCCGAATAAAAAACAAATATTCCAAGATATGGCACTCCACTGAAAAAAGAGAGTTGGTAACAAAAGGCGAAAAGGGGTATTGCGAAATCTCCTCTACGCTTCTCAGGGTGAAGACTCTGATCTAGCTAGGAAAGTTGCACATGAAGAAGGGAAGAGCGCTTGGGTTCAAGAAGTCTGGTCCACAAAGAGTTTAAGAGGCCCAGTACAACTTCACTTGAAGATCAGAGCAACAACCCTAATGCGCATGCCACAAGACCGAAACTGATGGAAGCTAATGCTTGGTTTCGGTTGGAGTTTCAGCGCCGCTCTCGTCCGGCGGGCTCTGTGAAAAGTTCATTTCGTTCATTGCATCATCGAGGCTCGACCCAGAATCCTCTGCAGAGATTGAACCCGCAGGCGTATGATGGGAACCATTTCGGTCAATCAAGGGGGGTGTCTGCCCAGATTGGGTGCCGAGGAGATGAGGTGGGTAAGGGTTGAAATCTTTTGAGGACGTCGAAAACGTCGACACCGTTGGAGGATGCTGATATGAACTACCGTCATTGCCGACATGGCCCCTAATATGCTGCTCCTTCTGGGGTGGGGGGCTGGTAGACTGGGGTTCAGGGTCCATTGGGCTCATAGCGTCCCCTTCCATATCAAAGTCACCATTTAAGCTACTCCACCCGCCTTCGATATCACGTAATAGACGGACGTATTCCTCTGGAACCAGGCCACTCTCTCCAGATCTGGGATCTTCTGCGACGAGCCATCCCTGCCCATGCCTATAGGAGACCAATATCACCTGGCCCTCAACGAGGGGAAGCTCATTATCATTTTCCCGCGTGAAGTCAAACAATGCAACGGCCTTCCCATGCATCTCTTCGTCAGGAGAAGCTATTGTAAACTGATAGTCTTTCGAATATCGAGAATCGTCATCACGGTACATAAAGGGCGACTCATCGGATTCGGAAATATCGTCATCAAGCTGGTCTGGGTGAGAATAAGAACGGTTTGGGAGCAAGGCAGCAAAATGCGAATCTCTCTTTGTTGACATGCGATGAGAGCTCGAATCATATGACTGTTCCGGAGGATACGTGATGAATTCTCCGCCAGGTCCACCTGCAGCTTCGTCTGCTTCGCGAACGTAGTATGTTTCACTGCCGTCTTTATGTGTTCCTGCATACAAACCATACACGTCATCGTCGAAATGACCTTCTCCGCGAGGTCCCCCGTGGTCTGTGGACGATTTCTGTTTCCTATGCCGAGAGCTCACAACGACAGGGCTATGGAGATCTTCGTCTTCGCTCCATGGAGGCCCATCATGAAAAGAAGTTGCTGGAAGCTGTTCGCTTCCCGGATAGCTTTCGTCTCCCCATGAACCCGTTGACCAATTCCCCTTTGCATCGTCCCATGAGGACGGGGCTGGGTCGGATAGCCTTCGATACGGTTCGTCAATAGGTGTAGATTGACCAGAAGAGAGTTCTTCCGGCTGAGGGCCGTAATGAAGGGGATGTATTGATGGATAAGCAAAATCTCGGACCAAGGCGTACGGCAGACTCGAATGAAATGCAGGAAAAACATGGGACCCAGGTCTGGACAGGTCATAGAGAGGGCCGGAAAGGGATGAAAAGGTCGACATACGTGCCCTCGGAGTGGGAGACTGTCGCACTGGACTGGGGCTCGGACGTCTCGGCGGAGGATTTGTATTCAGAGGCGGGAGCATTGTATGGCTAGGAGGCGCCGATTCGTGTCTCGCGGATTCGGGTGCTGTAGGAGGCGAAGGTGAGGAGCGCCGTGATAGAACGGCCGTCATGGTGGACGAGAGCTCCTCTTGTGTCGCAGCGTTGAAGCAGAGCGAGAAGTGGCGACCAATATAAAAAAGAGTTAATGTTAACAAATAGATATTATCTGAAGTGGTCCGGCCACGTTGGAGAAAAGGTCCTTTCGAATGGTACAGACACAGCCAGACGAAGTGAAGGAGAGACTGAGAAAATGAGAGCGGATGGAAATGCTGCCGGTGTCACTGAACGTACACGCGGTCTAAAGGAGCGGTATTGGAGTTGGGGTGCAGAGTTGGATGCCAACACAATGTCGAAGGATCGTGCACAAGGCCCCCAAGGCGGCGTAAACCTTTTCCTGGGCCAGTGGTTGTCCGGAAGATGGAAGCTTGCGAAGCAGTCTTCAATCGAGATGCGCAGCAGCTCGTATTGGTAGTATGCCCAAGCAACAAAAAGGATTCGGGTTGAACGGGTTATGCTGTACAATACATTCGACGTGCTTGTGAGCACTGGTTAGGGGTGTAGAGTGAAGAGAACCCGGTCGAGGGAGAAGAGGGTCTGGTAAATTCAATCAATGAATACCAGAACTACTGATTTGCTGCTGCCACAATGAGTGGGAGATAATGCTCTTCGACCACACGCACCCCCGCGCTTAGAGTGGTCGAGGTATCGACTGAGAGTGGTGATGATGATGGTGGGGAGAACGCACCCTCGCCAGGGGAACGCGACCCACCGACTTCGACGGGAGGCCGATTTGGGGCAGCACCCTAGTGTAAGTTACCGCACGGGGCACAGAGAGGAAGATTAGAGCGGATAGAATGAACGGGCCAGGAGATAGACAAGAGTCGCAGAAGGTCTGCTAAAGGATAATCCGTCAAATCGAACTTACGCCCAAAGTGAGGCATGCGTCGGGAAGTTCATGAGGGCTGCTCTCTGTGGTTCCTTGTGAACTTTGAGAGCTCGTAAACGCTGGCGGGTCCGCTATTTTTAGAAAGGGGTCGACATCTTATATCTGCCAGGAACGTCCACAATCGGGGAAATAACTGCAACCAGCGCCATCACGAAATGACTTCTACCTTTCCGCTCATCCGCATCGTAAAGCAAAAATGAAACAATTGTATAGAGAAGGGCCAGGCACATGGATTTACAATTTGTGAAAGCTCCATCCAGGTCGGCCGCCAATCAGAGAAAGGTGGATTTGTAACCAATTCGGGATTGGATTAGTAGCGTATTCAAGTGGCCTATACTCTACCTCCGCTCTCGTTATGATAACAGTTACAGCCAGAATATCCTGTCAGCCAATATTTTAAGACTCAAAGCACGTTGAGAAGGTGACATCAAAAAGTCATTCTGAACCGTGGGAATTACACATGTGCACTGACATTATCAGTGCATGGTTTGAAGTTGCCGGTATCAAAGCTACTTTTTCCATATTCTGCGATCTGGACCCTGCTCCTTCTGCAAAGCTAGTGTTTCAGGTGGGAGTAGTAGCTCATAGTATCGTTTTCTTTTTCTTTTTTCCGATCTTTCATGCATCTCAGCGCGGGACGAAAAAGGTGAAGAACCACACAGTACCTTCCTACAACGATTGCCCTGAAGGAGATTACCGGATACATTCTAGCGCCATTCCGTCAGTCGCTTAAGCTCACTGAGAAACCCTTCCTCTCCTCGCTCCCTTGTCCCCTGGCTCGGTCCTCGCCAGTTGTCGCTCGCTCGTCCCCTCGTCCCTTGTCCCTTCTCATTGCTCTTCCAGCGACAGGGCTTGTTCCGATTTCCTTTGTTCTGATTATGTAATCAACGGCTAGAGCTCGCCTCGTGGCAGAGTAGAAACAAAACCATCGCTGAGAGAGAATCTGAACCTCATCTCATCAATCATTCTGTATCGCCCATAGATTCTCTCGAGTTCTCAAGCAGCTCAAGTCGGACAGGTATGGACGACTATAATTGCAAGTGACTTTTGAGACCATATTGGCATCTTATGGTAAGCTTAGAACCTTCTCCCGCTCGCTCTTCCCTTTGCATGATGATTCTCATTATTGGAGCTGTCCTATGTCATATACGAATGAGGACACTACAAATTACATACGCAACTTTATATACCTGAACCTAATCTCAGTATCTTCCGATGCTTCTGATTTCTGTTTGTGGCGTTAGAGCTAATGGATTTCGCTCTCTAGGTGCCTTTTATCATCCCAGTCCTCTCACTGATCGTAAATTTCATCTTGGTTGGGTGATCGTGATGTCGTCAGACCCTAGGCTGACTCGGGCTGGCTCTCGAACTGCTACCCCGACTCACCCGCCTCCCCCTCCGCCCCCTGTAGGGCCTGCACCAATTGTATCATCCGACGGAGGGGTTGATGGCACGCGCATTGATGGCAGCCAGCCTGTTGATGCGAGCGGGCAAGACAATTTCAAGCTGAAGTTTTGCACTGTCTGTGCAAGCAATCAGAACAGGTAAGCTCATAAGCTCATGGAATGGCGTGTTAGGTTCCTGCTCAGTAAGCTGCTTGTTGAGATGCCCCTTGAACCGTGTGCCAATTTTCCAAACTAGCATCTGTTTACCTGCCTTGAACTCCACCGTATCAACTTCGTGTATGTATGGTATCAGCGACAATGTGCTTAGGTTATTGGCCTTCGGTCTATTGATAGAGTTCCCTTTCCATGAAAATATTTGGCGAACCTCATACCCAAGGACGGGAGGCTTGTTGAAAATAAGCTAACTAGGCCGTCGGTAGATCGATGGAGGCACATTTGCGACTTTCAGCAGCGCATTATCCGGTCGTGTCATTTGGGACAGGCTCGCTAGTCCGTCTACCAGGCCCTACCATCACACAACCGAACGTATACGCGTTCAATACAACAAGCTACGATAGCATGTACAAGGAATTGGAAGGCAAAGATCCGCGCTTGTATCGGGCCAATGGGCTATTGAATATGTTGGAGCGCAATCGAGGTGTCAAGTGGGGGCCCGAACGATGGCAGGACTGGCGAATCGGTGTGCCTCGACTGAATCACCAGCAGGACAGGGGCAGCATCGGCGTAGAGGGTGGAGTGGTTGACATTGTCATTACTTGCGAGGAAAGATGCTTTGATGCTGTCGTCGATGACCTTCTCAACCGCGGCTCCCCTCTCAACCGGCCGGTGCACGTGTTCAATGTGGATATCAGAGACAATCACGAAGAAGCACTGGTCGGTGGCAAGGCTATTCTGGATCTTGCAGATTCTCTGAATCGTGCAGCTGCTGAGGAGCGTATTATTCACGGAGATAGTGGATGGGAAGAAGGCAATGGTGCGAGCCGCACAAACTTTGATGAACGAGTGCCCGAGATTCTCGGAGATTGGCAAGAACGATGGCCGCAAATGCCTGCACTCTGGACGTTAGCATGGTTCTGAGATACCTATTTTCTATCGGGTGCATTAATGATTTGCTTGCTCCCCTCTGTCCAGACTTGGGATGCATCGGTCCGGGCGTCTGGCGTTTTTAAAAACATGTTGTAGCAAATCTCTCTCATAGTCTGCTTTAGGGTCAGGTGTCCCTCGTTCGGAAGATGATCACTGATTAGGTCGCCTGGGACGAGCGGCTACGGCTATTTTGTCTTGAACGAAGGAAAGGAGGAGAACACTTATGCATCGATATCCCTCGTGCATCATTGAAGAGATCTCAGCCCAGAGCCGTTGCCACCGGAGAAGCTCAATTGTCCTACACTGTCTGCTTCTCTACAGTATTCTACCAAACAATCATCTTAGTGCCTGTCAATCAAGGTGATACGGTCAAATGAGCAATTCAATCACGACATGGTGTGGCCGGTGAGCGTATAGTTGGTGTCTCTGGTGCGGAGGGGCCAATTGTGAGCGCTTAATAAGTGTACCATCGTTGAAATACAGTACTGTATGGGTAGCAACAGGTGCCCTAGGTTACCTGAGGTAAGCATCGCTTCCCTTATCGGACCCTGCCAACCCATGTTCGGTCCCGAGCAGGTGAGCCAGTCAAGAGGCTTCATTGTCCGTATGATCTCGCTTAACCCGGATAACCCCTGGCCAAGCGTCAACAGCAGCGAGCCCATCAGAGCTCAGCCTGTCAGGTACTTTGGTACCCTCAGGGGATGATCGAGAACCCTGGGAAATCTCCCCTATTCGTTGCCCGGGAATGTTCTGTTGAAATCGCCTTGGGCAAAAAGGAAGCGTGAAAGTCGGTTCAAAGAGACACCATTTCGTATTCCTGAAGCTTTGAAACTTCTCCAGGTCGGTCGAGGTGTGATCGACCTCCACATTTTTCTTTCCCCCATAATTTCTTCGTCTCCGCTTTGGATGCACTATCTCCACCCGTGCTCGAACATCCCGCCATTCCGCAAGAGGGGACCTTTCCCGTTGACGATTCAACTTTTGGCAACGAACAAAGAACTCGAATTCACGCCTGCAAACCTCTTGATCAGTTTCTGACAATAGCCCTTTAATCCTGGGGACTATCAATTCTATATACTCCACAAAACAAAGGAGTTCTACGGCAAGCTGTTGCTGAGGCCTTTTATGATTTTGGAACTGCGGCGATTAGCAAAGGTATCTCGTCATTTCTTGTCCAGATTTGGCATTCCCTCTCTCTGAAGAACAATGGGACTAATTAAGACTGGCAGCCTATACCATAATTTAGTTGGATTGTCGACAAGCTGTGGCTTGACGTACATTGTTACCTCAAAAACCCGAAAGGCTCTCCTCACCCGCAGTGGTGTAGCCCAATCAATACATCATGAATGGACCCTCTCGTACACTCTCACCCGTCTCTGTGGCAGGCAGTGAATGGTCAGGCATCTCGAAATATCAATCTGTCAACGGTGCAGAACCTCCATATTCACCTTCGTTGCCACAGAGCTACGGTGGCTCTGTGGTTACCCCGCCGCCGCAACTACCTGGCTCCTCAGCCGGCCCGATACTCGGAAATATCCCCCCTACTCCAGGCCAAGCACCCGAGAGTCATCCATCTCCTCCGAGCTCCGTTGCGCGCTCGAGTACAGGCACCGGGTTATCGACGATGAGCGAGGGCACACGAAGTCGTCGAAAGGCCGCCTTGGAGGAAATTCTCTCTGAGCATTATATCGTGTTGCGCAAATATCTCGAGCAAAATCGCGACGAGAAATCAGCCCCAAGACCAAACCGAGCGAGAGACAAGCTCTTGAGACTTTCAGCCGTACAATTTCAAGAATTGAGTACGGACGTTTTTGATGAGCTACTGAGGAGGGAACCCCGTTGGGGCCGCTGGCCAGCAAGTGCCGCAAATCCTCCTGCGGATAGACCAGCTACCGCCTTCTTGCAGCCAAAAGACGAATTCCACCCAAAACGCAACCAGGCTAGACAGAAGCTCTCAACGTTGCCCCCGCCTCGCTTTAGGGATCTTGCTACGGATGTCTTTTATGAACTAGAGCGTCGGTTTCCAAAGTTTGCCGTTGGCGACCTCGACAGCCCCTCTTCGACCAGAGGTCCACCTTCTCGCATTGGAGGCCCCAACGGAGCCCCAAACGGTGGCCCGAGACCTGATTCTCGTTCTGGCTCTAAGGGACCGGCATACAGAGGGCCCGGTGGCCCAGGGATGCCAGGAATGGGCCCGGGTGGACAAGTGACCTATGGCTCAGGGGCCGCACCCAGATCGGAATCTATTGGCCCACCATCAAGCCCGGGGTTGGCAACTCCAGGAGAGAGCCCGAGTAGTGACTACGGTCGGCCACAGCCAAAGACATTTCAAAGTAATACAATAATTCCTAATAAAAGTACACTTATCGAGGACGATGATGATCAAACGGGCGTTGAGGATGATGATGAAGACGAAGAGGATGACGACCATTTTGAGATTGAAGGTGCAGTAAACGGCAGGCAAAGTAAAATCTCAACGGAGGCCGAGGTACGTTGATGATTGGAAAAAGGGATCTTCCTCCGGTCCACTAACGGGGCAGCAGGTTGATAAGAAGCTCGTTTCGGACTACAAGCACCAAATTGGCGAGCTTCAAGAGGAAGTCGACAATTTGAAGCTTCGCATGCGGGAAAAAGAAGAGGAAGTAGGTAGACTTCAAAGCTTTTACAGTGATCGGGACAGCGTGCGTCCCAGCTGCTAATTCATCCCACGATTTTGATCTGGCTCTAATCTAGTCTGCAGGCTACCGACATTGAACGCAAGGAATGGTCTGATCTTCGCTCAGATTTGGAGCATCGGCTCTCGGACGCGCAAAGCTTAAACGAATCGCTGAAAACCGAATTGGAAAAGGTTCGCACAGAACATACAGATGTCGAAAGCAGTCTACGTGAGCAGCTTGAGAATGCCAGAAGCTCTGACGCCGATAATGTCTGGAAAAGCCGGCATGAAGACCTGGAAAAGGACCATACCGTATTACAAACGACTTTAGCAGAACAAGAACAAGTTACAGAAGAGGTCCGACAGCAAGCTTCACTGTTTCTGGAGGAGATGAAGGCAATTTCAGAACGCAGTACTCAGTCACTTGAGCGAGAGGAGAGCCTTGTGCACCAGATTAAGACGCTAGAGCAAGAGGTCGAGGAATGGAAAGACCGCTACGCACGAACCAAGACTCAACTTCGAACCCTTCGCGCCTCTTCGATTGGTTTACCGCTTCAGCCTCAAGATGTTAGCCAATATGCGCGCGACAGTGCCTTCGTCGAGACAGACGGTCTAGTACGAGACGTCCACGTCACGAAGTTTCAGATCGCCATTGATCAATTGTTGCGAGCTGCAAGAGGAAATACACCCGCATCTGTGCTGGATCATATGAAGATTGTGGTGTTGTCTGTACGACGAATTACACAGGATCTATCGAGCGCTCCAACAGCGAATGGTGAGGCGGTGCAACAGTGGAGCAAGCTTAAAGCTCGCGTCTCTGCGACAGCGAATAATCTGATCATTGCATCCAAAAATTTCTCAGCCGCCGGTGGCCTTTCACCCGTCTCGCTGCTTGATGCTGCTGTTTCACATCTGACCGCTGCTGTCGTTGATCTGCTTCGAGCAGTGAAGATCAGACCAAGCGCGGCGAATGAGCTTGAGGACGACGAAGAATCTAGCACTCCGATGGCGGGATCCGTAGGATATCCATCTGGTGCAAACTCAAGGGTGAGCGGCGGTTCAAGTTACAGCAGTGCAAGCTCGCACCACAGTTCTCAAAGTTTGTCTCGGGTCCAAGGCCGGGAAGCCTGGAGTCCTCGTCGCCAAGCTTCGCGAGGCAATGGAACAACTACTCCTAAAACACATAACCCGCCATTGCGATTTGGATCACAACGACACTCCGAGTCAAACGGGACCGATGACCTAAAGGTTTGTCATCTAGCAATTGGCCAATGCTGTTTCGATGCAACCTGCTAACCTCCCTCTTCCTTAGCTTTACCTCGACAAAGAAGTGGACCCTCTTGTCGAAGCCATCCGACGTCTTGTGGACAGTATTCAGTCCGATGACCGGCCGTCAACCATTAGAAATCACCTTGAAAACATCACGTCAATGATAGGCAAGATTGTTTCCGCCACAGATGAGGCCATGGACTCGCCTGGAAATGAAAGTTTGCGTGAAAATGCGGGACCGATCATCAAGATTTTGTCCAGTCGGCGCTCAGACTTGATGACCGCCCTGGCCCAGGCCGAGAATGTGGAACAGGAACAGGAGCCGGCTGTGACAAAGGAATTCAGATACAAGCTTCGACCATTGGCGTTCGAAGTGGCCAAGCAAATAAAGGTATCTTGAGAGATTTCTTTTTCCGTTCTTATTTTTGTTTAACTTCGTATTCTAACAAAACATCAGGAACTTGTTAGCCAAGTAGAGGCCGTGGATGAGGCCAATGAGGATGATAATTTCCGATGATTCTTAAGATCTTTACACCGATCGTGCTATAAATATCCGACAGAATTATTGCAGAGTCTTGGAAGCAGCATATACATGAAGATTATCTTGGGTGGTCTCGGGCTATACCAACGCTTTTACGAATTGTTCATATACCTTTTATTAATTCTTTTTGGCGGCATTTCCTTCGCAAATAAAGTAACGACGTATTTCCGTCCAGCCGTGGCAGGTAAAGCCCACTGCTCGAAACAGTACAGCGATATAGTGATATCCATCTTAATTCAAGAAACTTGTTATTTTCTTGCTCGGCAGAGTTTGGCAAAAGGATGTGACACCGTTGAACAGATCCGAGATTGCTATCAGCTCAATGTCCAACGGCTCGCGTCGGCCCGACATGACGAGTTCCATGCTTTCTTACCATCTAAATTGGCCGTGCTTCTTGGTCGCCGATCTCTCAACCCGTGGCACTATCTCATCGTGGAATACGTAAAGCAAGATATGACGAATGTGACGGGTTAGATCTTAAGTCATCCGCTGTGCGGGAGTGGATGTTATGAGGATTACTACTTTGATGTTAATATGATAAGTGTGACGGCGCTTAATGGCTGCGCTCTTGATAGGGCCAACCACAGATGCATCGCGGCTACAGAACCTGGCGAAGCTTTGAATTGATCGCACGGGCTCTTACCCGTGGGGGATGCCGGAGTCACGAGTCAGATGCCTTGGAATCCGGGCCTCTCTAGATTAAGCTGGGCCATGGCTCTTTGCTGATAAGCTGCTCTGCTCTGAGCCAGGTGCCTGCCCCTGCGGCGGCCTCCGAAGATAAGGTCTCCCCTTGATTATTATGGAGGGAAACATGAAACAGGCAATATGCTTTGGTCTCTCCTGTTCTAGTTACGGCCCGATTCGTCTTGCAAGCTGCTATCCAAGAAGAAGATCAGATTCATCTATCGCTTGTTTTCAATTTGATTTTCAAGCACAATGGATTCGTAGGACCACAGCCGGAGTGGACGAGGATATTGCTCTCGTTGAGTCTATTGCAGGAATCTGCCAGAGCCCTAAGGTCAACGTTATTCACTGATGGTGCCATTTGGTAATAATTTATTTCACCGGCAGTTTTTGATCGAGATACAAGAGGAATTGGTGATAATTTCTCACGATGCAAGCCGGCGCCCAATTAGGCCGGAAGCAGCTCAGGTGCGTCACTAGGAATAGAGCCAAAGAGGCGCTGGGGCCCGTGAGCTTCCCTCCCGGCCTAAACATACGCCTTCCCCATATTTTGGTTCCTGATCAGTTTAGGGGGCTGACATTCCACCTCCGTTCGAAAAAGATCGAGTTTAGGGGACACCAATGCCTTGAGCTTGTGTGGCTCGCTCAGCCATATGTCGGTCATGACCGATGAAAGGGGTCGACGTTTACTATTGAGGTCTTGGGAAGGCTGGAGGTAACGAGAGCGTACATCAAAGTACTCAGTACCCTTGTGCCTCCTCTCTAGGGTTCATAAGCAACAAATGTGAGTGGTGTGACTGGCATAAGGCGCGACATGATTGGCACGATAGCAGAACGACTTGAACCTCGTGGCAACTGAAAAAGTATACAATACTTTCAAGTAATGACTACGTACATGTACCGCTTTGAGTATAAAGGCCGAAAGATAACCTGGCCCTGGGGCGGGGCTAAGCTCGAGACTAGAAGTTGGCAAACTGCTTCGTCTCCAACAGAGAGGGGCGACTAAAGTGGAAGGTTGACTCTGCTATTGATCCAGCAAAAGGCCCGTCTCGTAATACCATTTCACTTTGTCATTGGATGCCGTGGCATTTCTTATCTCTACCACCGGCCGGTGAGAGTCTCTCGCCTACCCAAGTAGTGTCACCTTAGTCCATTCGTTCCGATGAATTAGTCGTTGCTTCTTCGCTCCACATACTTTTTTCGTGTTTTCTGGCGTCACCTCACAGCCAATTGCCGACCATCTCTGGCCCCGGTCCCTGGAGATTTTCTAGAAAAAAAGATTTTGCGAGACATGTGCGGCCTTATCACCTGTGAATCCTCTCCTTCCTGGAAGGGTTGTCCTGCCCATGGGCTGCCACCCGCAAGATCTCGAACCCTAGAGGCTCACGGTCCTAACCGATTGCTTTTTGCAATCCTCTCGCCGCCCCGAGGCCTGTCTCCCAGATAATTTCTCCAGCAAAAAGGGAGTTCATCCTTGGCTTATCAGCAACCCACCAACACACGTCCTGTAGGACCCGGCCGAAAGCCCTACCTGGCTATCCTGCAAGATTACTCGCTGGGCAAATCTCTCCACAAGGACGCCAGTCCTAGACCTATATTATCGACCCACGACCCGCGCCTTAATTATCAGAGACCAGGCAAGCACTTGAGCTCCCGGGATTCAATCATCTGCCAAAATTCGTTGGACTCCTGTGTTCACTTTTTCAATATCATACCCCTCTACATTCCTTTTTCACCTCTGCGTGACACGGGTACGAAGGACGCTTGCGTCTGTTGATCGCAAGGCCTGTGAAAATGGGTGTTCCCGACTATGACATTGAGAATGGCGGCGCCGCCTCGTCCGAAAAGCAGACCTATACCGACACACCAGGTGCCGTTAGAGGCGAGAGCTTTGAATACGGCAATGGCTTCTACGCCAAGGTCCAGAGGTTGGCTGGCAAGCTAAAGATTGAACAACGTGGTATCGAGCGTGTGCCAGAGGATGAGCGGAATGACACCTCCATTCTCAACGTCGGCTCCATGGTAAGTTACCCTTAAAACATCCTTCTTGCGGGGTTGAGAATGTAGTTGTGCTAAACCTTTGCCTAATAGTGGCTTGCTGCCAACATGGTGGTTAGCTCTTTTGCCATTGGTGTCCTCGGCACTGCGCTCTTTGGCTGCGGGTTTGTCGATTCCATTTTGACCATTTTGTTCTTCAACATTATTGGAGCTTTGCCCGTGGCCTACTTTTCAACCTTCGGACCCGTCTTTGGCTTGCGTCAAATGGTCCTTTCGCGATTCTGGTTTGGCTGGTATGGTGTCAAGATTAGTATGCGTCCCGTCGAACACCTAATATTTGCTGGAACACAGGGCACCGCCGCTGACTCTTTTAAACCTTAGTTGCCTTCTTCAACGTGCTCGCATGTTTGGGTTGGTCTGCTGTCAACGTCATTGTCGGCGCCGAGTTGATCCATACCGTCAACTCCGACGTACCAGACTACGCCGGCATCATCATCATTGCTATCATTACCTTTCTCATCACCCTCTTTGGATACAAGGTTGTCCACACTTATGAGTTCTGGAGCTGGATTCCTTGCTTCATCATCTTCTTGATTGTTCTCGGTGTATTTGCTCATTCGGGCGACTTTTCCAATGTTCCCTGGACTACGGGCAAATTCGAGGCCGGAAACGTTCTGTCCTTTGGTGCTACCGTCTACGGTTTTGCCACCGGATGGACCAGCTATGCTGCCGATTATACAGTCTACCAACCTCCAACCCAAAATCGGCTCAAGGTGTTCTTGTCCACTCTGATTGGCGTCTTGTTCCCTCTTTTCTTTACAGAAATGTTGGGTGCTGCCGTCATCACTGCCTCCACCACTGGTGATCCGAACACCAACCCTTACATGGTGGGATATAAAGCCGCTGGCACTGGCGGCCTCTTGGGCGCGGTCCTGGTTCCCCGTCTTGGACGCTTTGGCGAGTTTTGTTTGGTCATTCTGGCGCTGTCCATTATCGCCAACAATTGCCCGAATATCTACTCTGTCAGTCTGAGTTTGCAGGTCATGGCTCGCTGGACCCAGCGCGTTCCTCGCTTTATTTGGACCCTAATTGCTACCGGTGTTTACATTGCAATTTCCATTCCTGGTTACAACCACTTTGAAGCCGTCCTGGAAAACTTTATGAACTTTATTGTAAGTCTTTCCAAATAGTGGCCCAAGGAGAAAATTCTTTTTGCTAATGTGCTTGGTTTTTAGGGATACTGGCTTGCCATTTACGAAGGCATCTCGCTTCCCGAGCACTGGTTCTTCAAGAAAGGTATCTCTGGATACGTTCCTGAAAATTATGATAAGCCCGGCAAACTTCCTGTCGGTATCGCCGCTATAACCGGCTTCCTTTTTGGTGTGCTTGGTGCCGTCATGGGTATGGCCCAAGTCTGGTTCATTGGCCCCATTGCCAAGCATACTGGCAATCCCTTGTACGGTGGCGATATCGGCTCCATTTTGGGCTTTTCTTTTGCGTTCGTCACCTATTGTGCGATGCGGCCTATTGAACTCAAGTACTTTGGTCGGTAAAATTTCTTGCGCGAGAAAAATCTTCCTTTTTTGATTTTAGTTTCATGTTGGGACAGGATACCTCTAGACGTTCAGTTTCCTTTTTCCTTTCTCCTTTTTTTTTTGACTACCTTTGATTCTCCATTTACAGAGGCTGCATAGGGGAAGAGCCCTTGTTTCTTTCTTTTTGTTCGGACATAGCGATTCTATTGGTTTATAAATATTACCTAAGATGGTTGTTCATATCGATCGAAGACATTTTTTTTTATATCTGCTATATCGGAAAATATGAATGCCAATTTCATCCTAATTCATTGAGCATTTAATGCCCATATCCATCGCTTGGCCTAAGTGACAATTGCGATTACCCCAGATTTTTATGCATGATGTCAGAGTCCACCCGCATGGACTGATTCTAAGGGCAAAGAAAGCTTGGCCTCCGCGTTGTGGCTTTTGTACCTTCCACGTTGCTTGGGCTTTCATGTCGTGTGTGTTCTTTCCTGTCTTGGCATCTTGGCATCTTACCGGTCCATGGTATCGGAGGTGGCTTGGTGATCCTGCTGGTGGCCTTTGTCATAAGCGTTGACGAACCTTCCATATAGATTCAGCGACAGAAAAGGTTCTCTCAACTGATTTACTATTTTATAAATATATATATCTATATATATTTGACGGGATCGACTATATACCTACTTCCCTGTACGATAACTGCCGGTGGCAATGGTCTATCTTGAGGTAGTGTGGCAGCCAACCGCTCCAAAAAGCGGTCGCTACGGGTATTAGCGCCGCGATCAAGCGGAGAACAAAGATGCCCTAACGTAGGACAGATAGCGTAACCCCACGGCTCCGCTGATATACTGCACCGCAAGCTATAGCTTATTGCCGCACATTTTCATTGCACGTGTTTTCCATCTACGGAGAGTCTTCGTTCCGGTCGTCTTGGCCTCAGCGTCTGTTCTAATTAAATAGAAACCGGTATCGCTTGTACATTGCTATTCGGCGCAGGCCAGTGTGACCTCCGTTTCCATTGTGATTTTGGTACGTAAAGTTGCTGTGAACTATTTTATTTCTCGATGCATTCAAGGCTTCATTGATACTGCGAGGTTTTGAATGAAAATGGAGCTGTGTCTTTGTCGTCATTTTGTTTTTGACATAACTGAAGCTTGCTTCTGACGAATGTTTTCTGAGATAGTTGTGGAAGATTCAGGATGAGTGCTGGATCAATATCCGAAACGTTCAAGCCGGCGTTGCTCGTGATTGATATGCAAGAAGACTTTTGTCCTCCAGTACGTATTTTCCTGTTTCTTATATTTGGTTTGTGCTTGTAATGCGGCGGCCTCGGACTCTCTTATGAGACGTGTGACTGAGCTTTTATCTAATATCGTTTTGGTGTACTCGACACTGGTATCTTCTTTGTTTTTCGGGCTCGTAAATTTCATGTTATTGTGCTATTTTTCTTGATCATAAAGAGATACTAATATGGCCAGAACGGTTCTCTTGCTGTCACCGGCGGCAGGGACATTGTCCCCGTGATCAACAACCTTCTGCGTCTACCATTCATATTGCGTATCGCAACCAAAGATTTCCACCCGGCCGACCATGTCTCATTTGCTTCGAACCATTCCGCCCCCAACAACGTCCCCTTTTCTTCAGTCGTGACGATTGCCAATCCGTCTAATCCAGACGAGACGGAGACGACGAAATTATGGCCCGTTCACTGCGTCCAGGGCACTCCCGGCGCTGAATTGCTGCCTGAACTAGACGCCTCTCGACTCGACCGCGTCATTGAAAAGGGCACAGACTCCCGCGTCGAAATGTATTCTGCTTTCCGGACGCCTTTTCGCAATCCAGCCATGGCAGGTAGCGGCCTCACTGCCGTGCTCAAGGAAAATGGCATCACGCATGTCTTTGTCGCAGGTTTGGCTGCAGATTACTGCGTATGTTACTCTGCGTTGGATTCCGCTGAAGATGGGTTCACTACGTACCTCCTTGAGGAGGGAACACGAGCTGTCGACCCAAGTCAGGACGGATGGGGTCAACGGCGTCAGGAGCTGGAAAGTAAGGGAGTCAAGATTGTAAGCGTTGATGGGGAAGAGGTGCGGAGGGTAAAGAATTTGCTGGCCTGAGTTTGCAGTATGAGTATTCTTCTGATGATTCATTTGAGTATTGCCTCTCAGCTAAATTGACCGACTTGGACTAAGGTCATTAAAGTAGATCGCATCCACTAGATACTTGGGATGTCTTGAGCGTCGAAGTCACTGATACCCTTATTATCACTATCCCGATTTTCTTGGTCATCAATGACTGCTAATGTTATACAATTATGGTCACTCAGATTCGAAGATACTATATCACTATATTACTCTCTCTTTGCGGTATTACTGCCAATATTCCAGTTTCGTGTCACAAAGTTTCTGTCAATACCAAAGCCAGAAAACTGACCACGAGGCTTTACGGGGGAGTGAATCTGGCTCCACGCAGAGCTTTATCCATTGCCCATTCTATGCGTCATAACAAGGCGACGTATCCCTATTCAATTCACTCTCATCACGAGGCACCCCATTTTACGTCTCCGATATTCGGACCCAGTCACTCCGCTACATGACGTGGCTTCATTCACTTCAAGTTCTTACCAACCCAAGGCATCCTCCCCCACGAACCACTTCATCTCCCCCTTCTTCTTTCCGGTAATTTTGAAGCCTGCAACGACTATATCAACTGCCTCGCTATCCTGCTGTACCCTGTGACCTGTCCGCCACTAGCTCACAGGGCCTCGTCAGTCACTTTCGTAAACTTGCAGCCACATTGCATATATATATTCACTTCACTACATGCAACATTTTCACACCTTCCTTGATTTTGAACCTCAATAACCCACGGGGAAAGCTGACGCGGCCTTTTTCAGTCTGCGTGAGATAATCATGGAAGCCTGGAAACTCGAAAGATATTCACTGCATTTACAAGCTTCAAAATAGTAGTCTCAGACTGTCACTCTCTAGAATCTCGCACGGCCACACTGCATCGCCTGGTATTAAATCGAAAAGATCGAGACATGATACACTAGAAGTCTACGACAATACAAGCCCCGGCGTGTCTAGCGTGTCTCCAGCTACCGTAGATATCCAGTCTCAAGCTTCTTCTAATAGCTACCACGAGACGAGCCCGTCGCCTACGGGATTCATTAAGATAAATACTGACCCCCAAGGGGTCCGAGAACTCCGAGAACTCCGAGAGCCCGAGAACCCGAAAGCCCGAGAATTTGAAATCTCGTCGTATTCGAGCTCGTTCGTAGTCGAATTTTTGGCCTCGTCAATAGCTCAATAGTTCAATAAGATATACATGTATATTGACAATGACTTTCTTCCATCAACAATCAATATGGCTTTTGCGGAACTGGGAGGCAATCGAGTATGTATTTAATAAAAGAAAATCGCAACAATAAATAAAATCCCAGAGAAAAGAAAAACACATTCCCTCTTCCCTGGGAAGACGAAATTAAGGCTCGTATGCCCGGTCCCCGGAAATAAGAAAATACTACAGTGCTGTAAACCAAACTGCCACGTGCGTGCAGGGATAAAGGAGCAGACTAGAGTTTCATCATCAAGACTAGGGGAATTTTCCACGTGGGTGATGGGTGATGTGGGGACAGGCCGTGTTAAATTTAGCACAGCCACGTGGGGTCTAGAACTTCAGTTCTATACCGTTGGTCTATATTCACCATGTGAAAGAGAGATTTCTGTTCATTCACACAATCATGTAGGCAGTCATTGAGGGAAAAACGTGCATGTGCATTCACGGTTTAATGAATTATATCCTGGGCCACCTACGCTGGGACTTGGGAGTAGGACTATGGACTACGAATCAACGAATATAAGTGTAAGAAGTATCTTACGCAGTAGAAAGATCTCTTTCTTTAGGAAGGGGAAGAGAGACTAGGAAAATAGGGGCTATAAGAAAATAATTCACTGACTAAACGCTGAGCAGCAATGGAAAGGATGTATAGATTTAGCAAGGTTGCGCATTGCACTATACAGGTAACATATTGCTCAATATCTGAAATCCGAAAAGACGGTCCTTGGCTGGCAGTTTTATTCAGGATAAAGAGACCCGAGATATCAAGGGAAGAATAGGTTTTCTTTCTTCTGCAAGCCGGCCGTCTCCATATTTTTCAATAAGAAAAAGGAGGAAAAAGCTCACTGCCGCTGGGAATAACAGGACGATGCAATAATGTGACAATGTGACGTGTGACTACTATTGTTACATTCATCGACAGCGCATGATGCACATGCGTGCGGGGATGTTGAGCAGGATTTCTATTGACGATGAGTAAGACAATAGGGCAGAAGGAATGAATATGTAAAGTCCGAAAGCGGAGGAAGCTGCAAGACGCAGAAAACAGGGAACAATACCACCATTCAAGGAATTGAAGAATAAGATACATCGTCACTTCAAATTCGTCAACTCGGCTACAACCTCTTCGATCCTTTCATCTCTTCTTTGCTGCTATTAGCTCTCGGGTGCTCATCTCTTTCGTAGCTTCGAGAGTCCACGGGTTCCGTAATGATTGCTGCTTTTGCCTTTGCATTTTCTTTTTGCCTTTAACTTGGTTTTCTTCTCTATCTTCCAATCTTCAGCGCTTTTCCTTTTCGTCGTCTGGTATACCTGGACTTCAGAGCGAGTCCGGGACCCAATTCATCCCAGCCTAGGGACATCGTTGGCTTAGAAAATCGCTTCAACGTTTCTTGCTTTGCTTCACTTTGCCTATTTTGCTTGCTCTTCCGTGTTTATCGACATTACCTCGCTCGGGATATCTATTTTTGCAATACACGTTAGCTCTTGTGAAGAGTGGAGGTGAGTAGACAGCTTCACTATCATTGACCCCTGGAGCAGATCATGACAGACAGTGACGCAGGAAATTGAATTTTTTCTGTGCTTCAATAAGAGCAAGAATTGAATCATACTCGGTGAGTTCCAATCCTTTTATTTCTTGGAACAAAACTATCCCCCAGCAGCTGGTTTGGCCGCTTTCTTTCATCCCATTCTTGGCATCACATACGAACCGGGAAAGACCGTTTCTGATCAAGCGTTGTCCATGATGGCCCTTTGCCCGAGGGATCTGCTTTTCCCGTCCCTCGACAGTGAGCTGTGGCTCGCTGCGTTTGGGGAATACGCCGAAGAATGTCCGAGATTGAATGAATCTGACTATCTAACCCCTCAAATAGAAGATATGGATTCCATAATGGACACCTCCGAAGATGGTGGCACGGCTACTGCCTGCTTTTTGAAGCATATGCCGGTGGAGATTTTTTTTAAGATTGCATCTGAACTACCCGCAGTCAGCGTAGTAGACCTCGCCAATACTTGCAAGACGTTCAAAGAATATCTCTCGTTCAGACACGGGAATAGGGTTTGGTATGATGTGCTCCCAGCGCGGCTTTTCACTGCCGAGGAATGCTTCCAGGATGAGGCCGAACTTGAAATGGCTAGGTGGACGCGATATTATGCCATCCATGAGAACTCAATCAACAACCAAGATTCTTATTCTCTGTAAGTCTTTGGTGATTCCAGCTCATGCATAGATCACGTCCTTTGCTAAACCCTCAATTCGCAGTGAAAAAATGACCATGCACGCGAATTGGGAACTGGGAGACATAACCGAACCATCTTCCCCTACTGCTCGGGAAATTTTCAAGCACACTCTTTTAATGCAGTCTGCTTCAAGCCGGGTTGGACTTGCGGCGCAAATTTCCAGTTTCGGATTTCAATTTGATCGACCAACGAACCGTCTGCTAGGTGGCCCGTACGATCCGTTTTTCAATTACCAACGTGAAATCATTGGACATTTGAATATGCGATCCCGATGTTTCATCTGCTTTACCCACAAGGATGCGAGAGCGAAGGCGGTAAAGGATTGGCGCTGGGGCATGCTCTGGTGTACCGAATGTTTGAAGCAATACACGATAAGTAAGTTGACCCAAAGGAGAGTAAAGCCCCCGTTCGCACCGAAAATAAGGCTGACTCTGCTTCGACACTGAAGCACTTGCCGCCCTCCGGTCCATAGTAGGAGAGCTTCCGCTATTGCTTAGCCTAATGAATAAGCCGTATTACCGAAACAACTCGACGCGGCCGAACGCGATATTCTTTCGTCCAGAAATCGACTGCATTCTCAAGGGCATGACAGGGTATGACGCCACTACCAACATTCTTCTCGAAAAGAAGGAGCAGTTTTTCTTGACCAATATGCGGCTAGAACACTCTGAACTTGAGAGTCGTCGTCGCCTGGTTCGCCTCGAGATTGTTTATGTGGCCGAGAGATTGTGGGAAGGGGACGACCCGTATCCTGAGGTCCGACCGGATCCGGTGACGGGAGAAATGGTCCTCTATCGTGACCCCAAAGTACCCCAACCTGGTGTTTTTCGAATTTATCGCGAACGCTTCGCACCGACTGATAAGCTCAGGCATTTCCTATTCCCATGCTCCGCATTAGCGCACGAGCCTTCAAAGCTGCCCTATTCCGCCGCACGTGGTTGGCTGTTCGACCCAACCCTGAGGCTCCGCAGCACTGAGGACTTTGCGAAGCTAGGAAAGCATTGGTACATAAACACCGCATTGTTCATGTTGAACAGACTGATCGATTTTCGCCATGAATGTTATTACATGAAAGGACGTGGCGGTTTCGTGACCGGCTGGGTCGAGGCTGCCAAAGATTGGCACCTAAAACGTCTCGAAAACGAACTAGTTTCTGGTGCGACATTCAGACTTGAGAAGTTGAGCAATGGTCAGAGGGAACACAAACTTCACTATAACCTTTTCAAAGTTATGGACAGGCTCGGCCTTGAACCCAACGACCAGTGCAGAGTCCCCGCCGTGCCTCGACGGCCTGAGTTTTCAGATAATCTCAGTGATGAGGATTTCCTCCAGCTCGATGAAGCAGCCCTTGTGGCACAAGGCAAGCGGGCACTACAGATCAAACAGTTTGAAAAGGTTATCAGGTACAGCTGTACTCGATGTCCTGAAACTGGCGGATTGTATTATCCAATCGGCTTCGAAGGCCTGATCGAGCACATGAGAATCGGCCATGCCACACTCTTCTGGGAGGGCTGCTTCCATTCTGTTGGTTAAATGCCTGAACCTGCGGCAAATATCCTCTTTTGGCCGCCACCAACGGAAGAAGGACTCTGATTCCTTGTTTATTCCCAACCTGTCAGTTGCTGTCAACACCATCGTTGTCCTTTCGCCGGAATTGGACAACTAGAATCGTCTCAAGTTCAGGCAGATGAACCTATTTGCGAAGATTAGTCAGATGCAATGCGAACAGATGAGCCGATTGCTTCATAAGGGTGATAGGTAAGACGTGGACGATCTATCTCCTGTCATCAGAAGTGTTTCAAAATCTCAGTTGTTCGCATATTTTATGTTGCTCATATTTGCTTTTTTTCTTTTGTGTGTGCTCACTCTCAAAGCTTAAAATTTTCAGCTCTGAGATCTACCGCGATCAAGATGGTTGTTGACGCACTCAATACGATCTTCGGTATCTCGGCTTCAAGACTCCTTTCTTGCTCTGATATCAGTTTTCACTCATCTAGCTTCCTTTGCTCAAAAGTCTTTTGTGCCCCTTGCAATTCGGCGAATGCTGGAGCAAACCAGGCTGAGTTTCATTTCTTTTTTTGCTTCAAGATGGATTTTGGGAAAAGCTGTCGCAGTCTTCAGTTTCCGCTTTCTTTGTTTTGTCAGTCTCCGAGCGCTCAGGAACATCACGCTATTAACTTTTTATTATTCATTTCTTTCCTTTTGTGATTGTTTTATCTTCGTTTCCAATCTTTGTTCACCTCTTCGTGTTCTTCATGTTCTTTGTTGGAATGGCACGTGGCCATGTAGTCTGCAAGAAAAGACGCCATCATTATGGAATTGATCCATTATGCAGATTAGCTTCAAATTAAATTGATTATCGTTCTTTCTACCATGAAAATGGTTCCCAGGACAATCATAAAGCAACGCCCTTGGAGGGCACGAGAGAATCCCGTACAATAGTCACGACCAAAGGACGCGTTGTTTGGAATTGAAAGTGTTGCTCAGCGAGTCGGCCAGCGGACACCAATAATCATCTTTGACCAATGATCTTTGGTACCGCGAATAAGCGCACCTTTCAGCATGAGAGATCAGGGAAATGAGATTGATTACGTAAGAATGAAACGAGATTGGCTGTTGCTGTTGATTTGGCAGCCGAGATTATTTCGGGTGCCTGAGGACATATTACTCAATACGGCCTAGCTTTCCATTCGGACACTCCACGCTGGAAGAAAGGAAAATGGTGAGACTCTCTCACTACTCAATTAGTGACATGGTTTACTGCGGGAAAAAGTATGCAAGCGTATGTATTTTGTATCGGCTCCTGTAACAAGCACCTCCTCATCCTTTGTCATACTATCGTGGATCATTATGAATTACGTATAAAAGTAGATTTATCCTTCTCTTTGCCTAATTGATCAGGGAAGACTACGATGAACATTTGATTCCTTGATAAAGTCTTTTCAGTTGACTCGCAATGGTCCTCAATCTCCAACTGCCAGCAGCCCATGCACGCTAGCAAGGCACTACCTGGGCACTAAAACCTCCACCCTGGGCCCTCTCCTTGCCATGCCGGCTGCTAATTGGTAAAGAAGGAAATTTCATGGTCTGCGCTGCTGGTGTTACTGCTCCTCTTACGACGACTACCACTGCTACAATACGGGTACCTCACAGAGTACTCCAACAGCACTACCTCCACACTTCTCTTACCTGCTTCTCATATTTTGAAATTATTATTTTATTATTATGCTGGTCTTTTGGCCCTAAACTTTGATCCCACGTTTGGCTCTTTCCCGCTCAGTCAAACATTGTCGGGTCCCGGTACTTTGTACGATAACTGTGAATCCACCTCAAATCAACGGTTCGTACTTGGGTACCACCACCTTCAGCTCGGGGTTCTACGCCAATCGTCTTCTCTTGACCGCCTCCTTTGACCTGATTGATTCGGTGGGTAAGCAAATTCCCTCCCATTGTCGCGCTTTTGGTCCGCACATTTGAACGTGTTTCGGCGCATTTTACCTTGTCGCGGCCGGCTGCCTTGGACCCTTTCTTCAAACGTCAGAACTTCTTTAGTTATCACCATCATCAGATCTCATCCTATGCCGCTTACATGCTAAACCACGCTTTCCAGCCGCATCCCGTTACAGGTTGATCTCGCACTTCTTGTGCCCAAATGTCTATCTAATTTATGCCTGATCGCCCGACACCTCTCGATTCACCCAACGAAAGCATACTCGCCATCCGGATATATGCCGATCGAGTGAAATGAAATAGACTGTGCTCAAGAGACTCTCCTCCAGCCTCATCCGAAATGATTGGAGCATCACTTCTGCCTGCCCGCTTCCGCAAGACGGATTCGGGCAAATCCACACCCCCAAGCTGGTTCAATCGAAAAGTCACCTCCATTGTCGAATCGCTCTCTGGAAGAGCATGTACGCACCCGATTCATACCATTGTCTTCGTCGCCTTGTTGGCGAGCACCACCTACATTGGACTTTTGGAAGGAAGTTTATTTGATCACATCCCTTCGTCGAACCACCTACCTAGGAGAGCTGATTTGCCCTCCCTCCTCGAAGGCAGTCGTGTGGTGAGAGCAGGCGAAGATACCGCTTGGAAATGGCAGATTGAAGACCAGGGCTTTGGAACAACTGACAATGAAGTATGTCGTTATGAATCACCTTCATCATGGGTACTCAACTCAACGCTGACAATTTGTTCAGACTATGCGCCATCTGGCCGTGTCGACACTCGTCTTCCCAGGCTCCTTGTCTGCAAGATCCGCACAGACCGCGCCGCTCGCGCATGAAGTCCATCTTCCCAATAACTCCTCCGCCAAACTCTTACCGACTACGCTGAATCCACTATCGCCTTTGTCACAAGATTCAACATTGGCCTTTTTCATGCCTTACGATGAAGCGTCGGCTTTCTTGAGTGCTGTCCAGGAGATTCCTGACCCCGCGAGTGGTCTGTCGGAGACTAGGGAACAAGACCCGGCCACAGAAGAGAAGAGATGGATTATGAGGGCGGCTAGAGGCGACGCAAACGCTCCCCAATGGACACTTCGTCGAAGGGTGTCGAACGCTTGGAATGAATTTGTTGATCTTCTCAAGGTAAAGAAGCAGCCTCTTCTCCTCGCACGCAAACAATGGCACAAGCTAATTCAACCTCCACTTTCTAGAACGCGGATTCTCTCGACATTTTTATTGTAACCTTGGGTTACATACTGATGCACCTGACTTTTGTGTCACTCTTCTTGTCCATGCGAAGAATGGGCTCCAACTTCTGGCTAGCCGCCACTGTCCTTTGTTCCTCCGTCTTCGCGTTCCTTTTTGGATTGACCGTGACCACTAAGCTTGGTGTCCCCATGAATATGGTTCTCCTTTCCGAAGGTCTACCGTTCCTCGTCATTACAATCGGCTTCGAGAAGCCTATTCTTCTGACAAAGGCCGTCCTTTCTGCTTCCCTTAATGCTAGGCGCCACGCGCCTCAGTCGGACAATGCTTCACGCAGTCAGGGCGATTACTCGCCCAACTCGATCCTCTACGCAGTCCAAATTGCCGTCAAAGACAAGGGTTTTGAAATCGTCCGGGATTACTTCGTCGAGATTGTCATCTTGATTGGCGGTGCCGTTTCGGGAGTCCAGGGTGGTCTGCGTCAATTCTGCTTCCTTGCCGCATGGATCCTAGCTTTCGACTGTCTTCTGCTCTTTACCTTCTACACTGCCATTCTCTGCATCAAGCTTGAGATCAATCGTATCAAGCGCCATGTGGCTCTGCGAAAGGCGCTAGAGGATGACGGGGTCAGTCGAAAAGTTGCCGAGAATGTCGCCTCCAGCAACGACTGGCCTAGATTCAAGAGCGGCACCGACGAGGACCGGCCGTCTTCCACATTCGAAGGTTTCTCAATTTTCGGACGCAAAGTGAAAGACAGCAGCGTGCCAACCTTCAAGGTCCTTATGGTTTCTGGATTCGTCTTGATTAACATACTTAACCTCTGTACGATACCCTTCCGCGCAACCCATCAAAATGGGTCGCCACCGACGGTTTCTGGCCTTTCCAGTGTGGTTATCCCTCCCCCAATGGATCCATTCAAGGTTGCCGGCAATGGATTACACGCCCTTCTCAAAGCTGCCAAGGTTCAGAAGATTACTACTGTTGTCACCGTTCTCCCCCCCATAAAGTATGCCCTCGAATATCCCTCTGTTCATTATGCGCCATCAGAGGGACCTAGTGCCTCGATTTTGGAAATTGAGTATGCCGACCAGTTCCTCGACTCTGTCGGCGGCAGAATTATGAGCAGCGTTCTGAAGAGCCTCGAGAGTCCTCTCCTTAGCAAATGGATTATCCTGGCCCTGGCCATGAGCCTTTTCATGAACGGTTACCTCTTTAACGCTGCTCGATGGAGCTTCAAAGATCTTTCCGACACCAGTGGCGTCGATGGCACGACTAGACGCCCAGCCGCTCGGCAATTGCCTCTTGCACCTGTCGATACTTCGGACAAGGCTGCAATCGACCATCACACGAACGGCAAAGCTATATCGTCGACGGAAACAATCGTCGGTGAGCAGGCTAGTGAGGCCCAGCCTTCAGGGGATGCCCGAACGTTTGAAGAATGCGATCAGATGGTCAAGGACAAGAAAGCGATGCTACTGACCGACGCAGAGTTGGTGGAGTTGTCACTCAAAGGGAAAATTCCGGGCTATGCCCTGGAGAAAACTCTGGGCGACAAGACTCGTGCTGTCAAGGTCCGTAGAATGGTTGTCTCACGCACACCGTCTACAATGGAGACCACTGCTCTCCTTGCCCAGTCCCTTCTACCCTATGAGAACTACAACTATGATCTCGTTCACGGAGCATGTTGCGAAAACGTCATTGGCTATATGCCTTTGCCTGTTGGCATTGCTGGCCCAGTATTCATTGATGGCCGGAGTTACTTCCTTCCGATGGCAACTACTGAGGGTGTTTTGGTAGCTAGTACTAGCCGTGGCTGCAAAGCTATCAATGCAGGCGGCGGAGCATTTACCGTCCTCACTGGAGATGGCATGACACGTGGTCCCTGCATAGGATTTCCGACGGTGTCGCGCGCTGGAGAAGCAAAGCTCTGGATCGACTCGGAGGAGGGCCAAAATGTCATGAGAAAGGCTTTCAATTCTACTAGTCGTTTTGCGCGTCTTCAGTCGATGAAGACTGCTCTCGCAGGAACTTATCTCTATATCCGTTTCAAGACTACGACAGGAGATGCTATGGGTATGAATATGATCTCAAAGGGTGTCGAAAATGCTTTGGCAGTTATGTCCAAGGAAAGCGGATTTGACGATATGTCAATCATATCAGTTTCTGGTAATTTCTGTATCGACAAGAAGCCGGCCGCTATCAACTGGGTTGATGGCAGAGGCAAGAGCGTCGTTGCTGAAGCCATCATCCCCGGCGATGTGGTCAAAAGCGTTCTCAAGAGTGACGTCGACGCTCTGGTCGAGCTGAATATCAGCAAAAACCTGATTGGAAGTGCTATGGCAGGTAGCATTGGTGGGTTCAACGCGCACGCAGCGAACATTGTCACTGCTATCTTCCTCGCTACTGGCCAAGACCCAGCTCAAAACGTTGAGAGTAGTAATTGTATTACTGTCATGAAGAAGTGAGCTTGAACCCATTTTCCCCATTTTCCTCCCTTGACCTTTGTCAACACAAGCTAACGCTCTACTCTAGCCTCAATGGAAATCTTCAAATAAGCGTTTCGATGCCCTCGATTGAGGTCGGTACCATCGGTGGTGGAACTGTTCTTGAGCCCCAAAGCGCTATGCTTGACCTTCTTGGCGTCCGGGGCTCGCATCCCATCAACCCGGGCGACAATGCCCGGCAACTTGCTCGGATTGTGGCTGCTGGTGTACTCGCCGGCGAGCTCAGCTTGTGCAGCGCTCTCGCTGCTGGCCATCTTGTGAAAAGTCACATGGCGCATAACCGAAGTGCGGCTCCTTCGCGGGCTGCGACGCCAGTCAGCGCTGCAATCAGGGAAATGCCTGGCGGCATTGGCCGCTCTGCTGCCTTGGCTCTCACGGCTGCTCGGAAACCAGAAGGAAGATAACAGGTTAATTATTTTATTCCACTGTTATTCTCCGTTCTCTTTCCAGCCTTTTTCAATTACCACTGTCTAAAGAGGAGTTGCGGGTAAAGAGGACTTTAGCTTCACAGCTTTGTGGCTCCAATGAGCTTTCCCCAATGAGCACATATGTTCGCACTGCCAATGTGGCCGTGTGCTTGATTTATATCTTGCATATTTTAATTGTCTTTTCACTTTGTAATATATGCGCATATGGCCCTGGCAGCTCATCTGAGTTTGTCATTGTCGGTGTTTCAAAAGAAAACAAAAGCTCACTGGCATTGGGGAAGGGTAACCTTGTCTTCTATTTCATATACTTTTACTTCACTGCACATATTTATTGCATGTCCAATGTTTCTCATGTTCGTCTCTGTTCCGACAACACAGTCATTTATGGAGAATTTTGCAGTCGAATATTTAATCATGTAGCGGGGAGCTGATCAGTTCACAAGAAATGTGAAGGTAATGAAAGGAAACTTATTCATATCTTCGATTGTCCTGGTCTTGACGCTTGACACTTTTTATGCTAGAGCCTTAAAATTGGGCCGGGATTCAAGGGCAATACCTTGGCATATAAATACATGCAATAAGTGCAATTGATGCATTGTCCTTCATCTATTCAACCTGTAGACGCCAGGGGTATGAGGTGGAGAGTGAAACGCGACCACTCTGCTTGCTTGATGAGATGGACCAATCAGCAAGCGAGGAACGTTGAGCGCGTAGTTGAGACTTCAAGCCTCGAGAGCCCTAATATGTTAGACATCACCGCTGTCAGTCCTCGCCGACGGTCTGGATTTAAGAAATTAAGCTGCAGGTCCTGGCGCTACTTGCAACAGTAATATTGACTGTTGCACAGAGAGCGCATGTGCGACGATGATGTTCCGACTATTGACGTGACCAGACGTTTCTTCAGCCAACTTCTGTACAAAGCGAACTAGCCAACCTTATGGTTGCTTCACATGCATGCAGGAATCGATGTCGTCCTGTTTCCTCCGGGAAAGTACTAGAAGGCAGAGTAACAGGTTGATCTGCAAGCAAGTTTTACGTATTCTATTCTCAGACGGCTTGTGATGAGGCTTCGCTTCGTTTGTAAGGGGTGATTTTCCAGTTACCAGCTCTTGGAATGAGTTGATATATTTTCAAGGTATTATGAATACTTTCGACTCGAGACGCTGACGCCTCCGTGTGGGTCTACCGTTTTGCTTCAGTTTATCGGTGTCACGACAAGAGCAGCAACAATTTAAGTATTGCAATCTGGGCGGCTGTTATTCATGGGCATTGTTTGACACTCGCGCCATGGGACGTTTGACGCCATGCTTGAAGCTTGGGCGCTGTATCATGCGACAGAGGGGAGAATCACAGCATCTCAGGAACTGACCCTCACTTGCGCTTTATTGGTCAGAGGGTGGGCTGTTCTCCTCGATAACATTGCGTACTGTCTCGGATCATCTGGATGAACAAGGTCTGCTGTCTCGAAAGCATTCACTTTTGCCGCGTACCACCATATTCGAAAGGTGATATAGAATATGCCATTCCCTAACCGGCAAAAGTCGTTTCTGTCTCGTTCAAGTCAGGCCTGACTGTCGCCATACTAGACAATTGACCTGTTCATTGTTTTGGGCCCTTGTGCACTAACCCCACTAACTGCATTCATTTTGGGCAGACAATGGCCGGACATATAGGAAGTTGTTCCCACTCTTTTCAATGCCATTGTTCAATAACAACCTCCTGTTATTGACTGTCTTTTCATTTTAGTCATCTTGACTGTTTACTTTTTGTTCAATATCATTTCCCTTCACTACGCTGAGCGTATCGAGGAAAGCGAGAATAGATTTATACCATAAAGTTCCTGCCATCGCTGGCTTCTCTTGCATTTTCCCCCTCTTCATATCCAAATCCATTTCGTTAAAAGCTATCAGTCAGTTACCCACCGTTTTTTTTCACGTCGTCCCTCGCAGGTTCGAGAGACAGAAATTTTCGATTTATTTCGCCTCCTCTATATTGACTCTGCTTGTTTATTCCTTTCCTCTCTACGTTCTCGCAGCAGTCATGCATTTCTTCTCGCAACAAAATAGAATTCGAGCAGCCGTGGCTGCGGCAACCCTGGCCGCTTTTGCACGTCATGCCAGTGCTCATTCTTGGGTGGATCAACTGCGAGTTATCTCCTCCAATGGGAGTTTCACAGGTGATCCAGGTTACATGCGTGGATACGGTCCACGTAACGGCGATGGTCCTTTTGTCAATCTCTTGCCCCCAGATGGCCGAAGCCCGGTAAACGGCGAGTGGCTCCTCCCTGATGATCTCATGTGCAAGAGCACACAGCAACCCTACGACCAGACCGATGGATATCCGAGGCTCAATGCTACTGCCGAAGACTGGATTGCCCTCCGGTATCAGGAGAATGGGCACGTTACTCTGCCTTGGAATCAGCCTGGCAAGCCGGTAAATCGCGGAACCGTCTATGTCTACGGTACAACGGACCCTCAGCCTGACGACAAATTCCTTTCGATCCACGGCCAATGGACCGCGGATGGAAACGGGGGTGACAAGCGTGGTCGATTGCTTGCCATGCAGAATTTTGATGATGGCCAGTGCTATCAGGTGAATAGTGGAGGTATCTCTCAGCAACGCCAGAAGCAGTTCCCGCACACCACTGCTGCGGCTGGCGCCGACGTTTGGTGCCAAAACAACCTCCAAATTCCCGCCGATGTTCCCGAGGGCGAGCATGCTTATACCCTATACTGGGTGTGGGACTGGCCCTGGCTAAATCTGAATAAGTCCGAGATCTATACCAGCTGCATGGACCTTGATATCCTATCAGCCAACGTGCAGAAGTCTGTCAACGAGCTCGAGATTCAAGTGCAAGATGTTGATAACGGGGCCATCTCCTACCTCGCCACCTCCACCTCCATCCCAAACTCACAGTCAAGTATCCCCGCCTATACTGTCAGCACTTCGATCATGACGCCGCTGGTCGTGCCGTGGTATGGCAACAAGAATTCTAACGGGGTAGTCTCTGCGGCTCCTACCACTCAGAGCAGCAGTTCTGCGGAAAGCTCCACCCAAGCTGTGGAAAGCTCTTCCCAAGCTGCGCCGTCTTCGACTTCTGCTATGACAACCCAAGCTTTCATTTCAACTCCATCGTCGACTTCAATTGCCCTGCAGCATGCGGCCGAGACGTCTCAGACCTCGCCAAGCTTCGTGACCGTAACGAAGTATGCGACCTTCACGTCGTTGCCATCACCATCAGTTTCGGTTTCAATCTCCGTCTCTACGTCTGTCTCCGTGTCCACCGTTACTGTCACCGAGACTATCTCTCCAATCCCAACTACCTCTCCCTCAATTATGATTTCCCCCAACCTTGCTACGACCCCAGTCAAAACTACTACTGCGGCTATTCAAGGAGCAGACAGCAAGCCCTCAGCCTCGACCACGATTCAAGGAGCAGTTGGAAAGCGTAACCCAGGTGCGACTCCTAAAGCGGCACCACGAATGAGATTCCTAGTCAAGCCCATTGAAGGGTTCTGGGGCTAGCCGAATGCGTTCGTCTTTGCTCACACTGGATTCTTATATTTGACAATTTATATTCAAAGTCGACGACATTGTGGGCGGCTGATCTGCATTGTATATCTTAGTCTGAATGTTAATCTTCGGTCTCAAATTCATGGGAAATACATATGAGATGTGACAATCTATTCTCTGCAAATAGCTTTGACAGTCAGCTTGGTATACTCTTTGCAGGTGTAGATAACTTCAACATATACAAATATTCGAATGATACTATCCCTGACGGGTTGATTTGTAACTACTTCAAGTATTTGAGACCGCATATCCGTAGTTTTATTATTTGCTGCCTATTGCTTGTCTTTCCGATTCCACCAAATAAGGGGGTCGGTGTGGAATGTTGAATGCGACGACTTTCCCAAATTAGTACTTCCAAAAAGTGCACTTGTTGTTCACTTAGTGTTTACACCTGTGCCATTTCTTTTATAAACGTTTCTACATTGAGAAGACATGTCATTATTTACCAATGAGGCCATTCGTTTCTTTGTTCTCATGATTAGAAACAATGAAAGCTTGGGCAATTAGACGGGTTCGATTAATGACTCAAGAGGGGTTAAAAATGGGTACGAATGAAGATACTTGTCAATTTCCGTATCTAAGACTTCAAACTCTTCAGAAAAGCAGCGCAGTTGTGCTGTTGATATTCGGTATTCGTCGGCAGTATATCCTCATCATGCTGTGGTAAACTGCGGTGAGATTTCCCGCGATATGGTTGGCTGACAGAATTCCGCGTAAACTTCGGGATAACCCGCAAACGCCGCGAACTTTTGGAACTTTCGGGACTTTTGAGAAGGCATGACAACGGCCATAAGCATACCTTAGCTACCTTACGTTGCGCACTGTGACTACCAATTGCGCGTCTGAAACCCTTCGCTCCAGGCCTGTCCCTGTTTCGAAAATTCCAGCTGGCACGCTGGGATCTCGGATTCATTCAGGTGATCAAGACTTACCTGCCAAATTTCCACCTTTTCCGCAACTCCACGCTGCTCTACTCCCTCGCCAGCAGCAGTACATAAAACATGCCACTCGACACAAGCACATACGGCCTCGCGCTGCTTCGCCTCGATGGACGACGATGGAATGAGCTCCGCCGCATTGAAGCGCAAATTTCCACTCAGGCCGCTGCCGACGGGAGCAGCTATCTTGAGATGGGCAATACAAAGGTCATTTGCACAGTCGCCGGACCGACAGAAGGTCGGCGAGGCGCTGGCGCAGGCGGTGGCTCAAGTGTAACAACAGCCAGCGGTACGGAAGTGAAGGTTGAGATATCAGTTGCGGGATTTAGTGGTGTGGACAGGAAGAAGCGGGCACGGGGAGATAAGTACGTCTGCCTTTCTTTCTCTCACCTGCCCACGCGAAATAGTGGGCAGGCCTGTGTATTTTGTAATTCTAAATAACGAAAGGCTAACGGGCTTTGATTGCCAGACGTACGGCCGAAATGCAAACCACCATTGCTAATGCATTTGCATCGACACTTTTCACCCATCTCTATCCTCACAGCTCAATCATTATCACTCTGCAGATCCTCTCGCAAGACGGCGCACTGCTCGCGGCGTGCATCAACGCATCTACGCTCGCCCTGATCGATGCGGGAATTCCAATGGCCGACTATACCGTTGCTTGTACAGCTGGGTCGACAAGCTCGTATGCAGCCAACGACGAGTCTGCTGATCCTTTACTCGACTTGAACGGTGTGGAGGAGCAAGAATTGCCTTTCTTGACAGTCGGTACGCTAGGTACGACCGAGAAAGTCAGCGTGCTCGTGATGGAGACCAGATGCCAGGCCTCTAGATTGGAGAGTATGTTGGCCGTCGGAGTAGATGGGTGCAAGCAGGTCAGGGAGATCCTGGATGCGGTAGTGCGCAGTAGAGGCAAGAAAATGTTAGAGGACAAGATTGCATAGCTACAAGCGAGAAGATCTAGTTCAGCTATGATTGCTCAGCAACGATCTGGGATACTGCTGAGGAGCTCGGCCTCCTGAATGCATCGCTAGGTCGTCCACGAGCGGCCGGAATTGCTCTCAAGGTCTCAGAAAGGCTGCTCATGTTTTGAAAAGTAAAGCCCGCAATCTCCATTTGGCTTTTCTTTCACCGGGCGTATGGCGGGGTCTTCAACCGGCCGGGAAGAGGCAAGGGTTTCTTCGACGGCTTCCAAAAAAAATCTGGAAGCCAAGGGAAATGGTCAAAGGCCATTTTACGCCCGGGCTTAGCTGTCGATTAATTATTTACGAAATGACAGCTTTGTCACTTCATGCCATCACTTGCTCTATCCTGGTCTTTGAGAGGCCCCATAATTATATTGTGGAACATCAGAATCGGAGTTAATGGGATGACATAAAGGGCGCGGCGAGCTCGGGAGGTTTTAGCATTTCCATGGGCATAAAATGTTGATCTTATCTTATTATTAATATATGTTCATGAATCAATTGACGGTTAAATTTCACAGTAACTGTTTTTATTCCCAAGGATAACTTGAGGGGACAACTGCTTTCTAAATGTAGGAGTACGACGATCATGTTGATGATCAGATAAGACAAAGAAGAGTGATCTTCGCTAATCTGGCGCCAAGTCGCATTCCCTCGGTCTTCGATCTTCCCGCTCTCTAAGACGTCATGATTCGATACCTTAGCGTAGCTGGGGATCGAAATCTATGTGGGAGATGATCGACTGCATGCATCATTTCGTTAATGCAGCTGCTTAGAGCCCCTTGATTAATCGTAGCGCGTATTAGTTTCAAAAATCCTGCCCTGATGTAACTGCAGCATGAGCTCTCATCCCACTTCCATCAAGAATTGGAAAATCCGAAGTGCCTTCTTTGTTTTCAATACTCTCTTCAGTAACCTGCTCTGAAATAGTTGCTCGTGCAAGCAGTGTATGTTCAATATACGAGGCACTATCGCCCTACAGCATTCCACCGCTCAGTTGGTGCGCAAGGGTTCCGCAGGAATCTGTCGACATTTGATCCCCGCTTGGAAGCAGTCCAGAATCCTGTCACTCGACTTTCTACGATCACGTCCCAATTGCCAAACCTCGTTCCAAAATAGTACCTATATCCTCTCTCAGTACTTGCATACAAGCCAAGTAACTTTGAAGAAAATGCCTCCTTCTCGCACGTCCAACCGCAAGCGCCAGGCTGGCTCCAAGTCTGCCTCGCCCGAACCGCCATCGAAGAGACGCGCCAATGGCAATTCCTCTCCAAAGAAAGGGTCGACACAGGATGATGATGACAACAACGGTTATGTCCTAAGAGAGTTTTATCCCCCAGAGATGAGTAACAAACGATGCCTGGAATACGCGCATGACGAGATTACAAGACCTATCGAGGAGCTCCAAACCGCGATTGAAGAAACAGCAGAGGCTCGCAAAAACATTAAAGTTAAAAACTCCGTTGTACATTGGTTCAAACGAGATCTCCGCACGCAAGACAATAAATCATTGGCTTTGGCAAGTGAGAAGGCGAAGGATGCTGGTGTACCGTTGATCGCGCTGTTTATTGTCAGTCCACAAGATTATCAGGCCCATCTGACCAGCTCGCCTCGCGTCGATTTTGAGCTGCGGACGCTACAGATTCTTAAGAAAGATCTGGCGCAGCTGGATATCCCACTATACGTGGAGACGGTGGAGAAGAGAAAGAAAGTTCCGTCCCGAGTTGTTGAGCTCTGCAACGAGTGGGGCGCCAGTCATGTTTTCTGCAATATCGAATATGAAGTAGACGAGTTACGGCGTGAAGCGAAATTAACACGACTCTGCGCTGAGAAAGGCATTGAATTTTCAGCTGTCCATGATACTTGTGTTGTCCCGCCAGGTGAGCTGGCAAGCCAGCAGGGCAAACAGTACGCTGTTTATAGTCCATGGTTCCGAGCATGGATTGCGCATCTGCATAGCAATCCTGATCTTCTGGAAAAATACGATTCGCCAGGAAAGAATTCAAAAGACTCAAGAGAAAAATTCAAGAATCTGTTTGATAGTTCTATCCCAGATGCGCCGGCTAACAAGATGTTGAACGACGAAGAGAAGAAGCGATTCCACAGTCTTTGGCCGGCCGGCGAGCATGAAGCTCACGACCGACTGGATAAGTTCTTGAATCAGAAGATTGGACACTACACAGAGACAAGGAACTATCCTGCGGCAAACAGTACTGCTTTGCTCAGCGTGCATTTCTCATCTGGAACACTCAGCGCACGGACGGCAGTCCGGCAGGCGCGCGACGCAAACACGACGAAGAAGCTGGACGGAGGGAACTCGGGCATCACTGGGTGGATCAGCGAGGTTGCCTGGAGAGATTTTTACAAGCATGTTCTTGTTCATTGGCCATATATCTGGTAAGACCTCTCTCCAGCAAAAGTGCTTTATAGATGCCAGCGATGCACTGACAAATCGTAGCATGAATAAACCATTCAAACCAGAATATGCAAACATTGAATGGTCCTATTCCGAAGATAATTTTCAGAAGTGGTGCCAAGGTCAAACAGGGTACCCAATCGTTGACGCGGCCATGCACCAACTCAATCACATGGGCTACATGCATAACCGGTGCCGCATGATCGTGGCTTCTTTTCTGTCAAAGCACTTACTCATCGATTGGCGCAAAGGCGAGCGCTACTTTATGGAACACTTGATCGATGGCGATTTTGCCAGCAATAATGGTGGTTGGGGTTTCTCCTCGTCCACCGGTGTCGACCCTCAGCCATATTTTAGAATTTTTAATCCGTTGATGCAGAGTGAGCGATTTGACCCTGAAGGAGAGTATATTCGCAAGTGGCTACCTGAGCTCAAGGACGTGGAAGGAAAAGCGATTCACGCGCCTTATGAGAGAGGAGCCGAGAAAATCGCCGCGAAGAACAATTACCCTAAACCGATGATAGAGCACAAATTTGGCAGAGACCGCGCGCTGTCAAAGTACAAGGAAGGACTAGGAAGGGACACAGCATGAACGTTGACGTTCAGGCACACATTCTTCTATGCCTCGCTAGTTACTTTCACTATACAGTACCATACCTACGTATGTGCCAAGGTTTTCCGAAGAGTCTTTGGAATCCACGCGTCCTGGGCTTGCAGTTTCAGGTTGGTGGCGTTTGGATGGTGTACAACCTGGAAAGGTCTGGGAAGAAGCCGTCAAAGTGTTTGAAGCGAAGAGTACATAGCAGGCATAGATTCCTTAAGTAACCAACCCGGGGATGTGTAACTCAGTGGTACACGCAGGACGCAATATTGCCTTTGATCATTTTGCGCATTGTTTCAAGGCACGTGACAAGGAAATATAGTGAAAGAAAATTTGCATTGCTGCCACATTATTTTTGCTATTGTTTCCCTGACTCTAGACCGAGAGAGAACAGAGTTAGTGGACAATTGTACAGTCGCCAATGTTGGTCTGGGGGCGGGTGGGGGATTCGGCTAGAGATGAGATTTTGTACTTTTGTACATCAAGGGCGCGTACAGCAAGGGGTTTTTCGTATTGAAGAATGGCAGATTGCGTTGTAGCCAAATACTACCGGAATAGAGGCAGAGAACAAGGGGAAGTGCGCAGCAACTGTCTGTATTGATTTGAAAAGCTATCAAGTATCTACCATTTTCAAATACCGTGGGAACTCTTTGATGCTATATATACAGACGTTCTCATGTTGTTTCTTTGTGAGGCTATGCTGATCGTATAGCCCCGTTAACCCGACCAGCTTCGGTGGCGCAGCCAAGAGAGTTATAGCGCGTTGGGCGGCCCCTGGAGGGCGAACCCCGAAAAAGCTTGGCCTCGGTCCCGGCAGCGGTTTGGCCAGAAAAGGTCGAAGCGCGAATTGGGGGATTTATTGGGGCAGATTCTGGCTGGATTCGCCAGATAACGAGAGAGAAGAAAGGGAAAGGGGGTCTGGCTGACACCGCTTTATATCACTTGTGCATTAGATTGTGGTGGTACCATACCGTGACCCTTCGGCGATTAAACGCAGTAATCTTACAGTTAACTGCCATCTCTTCCCACTCCAACGAAACCCCCGGGAAAGCTGGCCCGCCTAAAGTCAGACTAATATAACTGGATTCCCCCACCGCCAAGAAGCCAAGAAACGGATTTCCCCCAATACAGTTCCCTTGCACGCGACATTTGGATTGTTTCTCCGTTCCCTTTCATCATCCGGGCCCATATCTTTGCCTTATCACGCATTCCCTTCAGGACGCGCCCCAGCTCATCTCCCTTATACTCGAGCCACGGTCCATCCCGGCTCTTTATTCCACGACAGATTCACTTCATCCCCGCATCATGCGCGACAGCCGACGATAGATTTAGACCCTCGTCACGACACTAACGGAGGGCATGGTGATTTGAACAATCATTGACCTTGCATACATACGATTCTCTTTTCTTCGCCATGCTCTTCCGACACATCACTCACCTGCTCAGTCTCGCCTGCCTCCTAGTGGGAGTCACGACGGCAGGTCCAATCAAAAAGAGAGACGCCGACTTTGAAAGTGTCCGGACCAAATTGGACAAGGATCACAGCGGAAAGGGCGGTGATCCAAGATCAAAGTATTTTCGTAAGTCATCTTAGAAATTCTTCACACCTCATGACGAGCCCCCAATCACTAACTCGGATTAGATGAGTCTATGTGAGTGCTCAACTGGCCCTTGGTTGCCAGAGGCCTGCTTTGGCCGAATCGTTCAGTCCCGCTAATCTAATTGCTCTGCAACAAACAGCTTTCATCCGCATTATGACGGCAGGCAAGTCTTGAAGCGATGGCATTTCGGATTGGATCTTGACTGACTTTCGAATAGATTTGCCGGAAGGGAATTGACCTACGATGAGAAAAGGGAATCGCTACCTGACCTCGTCCGCACATATCTAGCGACCATGGGCAATATCGGAGCAGAAACATGGCTAATGCATGGCTCGCTCCTGGGTTGGTGGTGGAATCGAAAGGTGTCTTTTCCCCTCATTGATCCCGGGTTTTGCGTTCCTTTTTCGGGAGTGGAGTCTGACCGTAGCCAATGCAGATCATGCCGTGGGATTCGGACATTGACGTACAAGTTTCGGAATCGACGATCCATTTCCTTGCGGAGTACTACAATATGACTGTCTTTCGATACAAAACCCCGAGCGTGCCGACCGGGAAAGAATATATGCTGGAAGTAAATCCTCGCTATACTATCGTTGATATCAGGGATAAGTTGAATGTTATTGATGCACGATGGACGGACATGGATAATGGGCTCTTTATCGATATCACTGCTGTTCGACCGAATGAAACTGCGCGTGCAGAAGGAAACGCAGGGGCTCTGATGTGCAAGGACAGGCATCATTATCAGGTAAGTAACAATACGCTGCTCTCGGTTGGGTTCCTGACTGTCTATGCCGGGACACTGTACTGATGGATACATTTAGGAGGAGGATATTTTCCCGCTAAGAGATAGCTACTTTGAGGGCATGCCCGTGAAGATCCCATATTCTTACGCCGCGATACTTGAAGAGGAATACGGGAAAAAGTCTTTGATAAAGACGGTGTTTCAAGGGTATGTATTCGTCTCGCTATGAAGGGGAGGGGGTCGGTTGCCAGCTATTGGAGCTGTTCGAGGCTGACTTTTACTGTGCAGGCATAGGTTTAATCAAGAGAAGAAAGAATGGGAGCCCGTAAGGCAAGGATTCCGACAGCATGCCTAATCCACTTTACGCCTCACGCTTTCCTTATGACATCCCACGATGAACAAAAACATTGCAGCATTCACGAGCATTCTAACTAATCGTAAATTAGTTTACCAAGACCTCCGGGTCGGCGGCCAAAACCCCCGGTGAACCCTGGAAAGGGTCGGCCCATGCGGCCCAAGCAGCCGGGAAAAAACTAATTAATAAATCTTTGACCTTTCACTACTCCTCCACCGTTTGAAAATGGCGCAGCTTTATTCAGATCATTTGAACCATCTATTCAGGGATCATTTTAAGGGGTTTCACCGTTACTTAGCGATCAAGTATGAAGAAAGCTTTTCTTTGATGGGCAAAGCGGCGTTTGGTTTGTCGTCAGGGGGAGCTACACTCTCTGTCCCGTCTCATAGCATTTGCGTCTACTTTTCTGCAACTGTATTTATGATCTTTGTGTTACGGTCGAGGTTGAGGGGCAGGTGGGGATTGCAGGTCATTTTTATGATTTTCCACCCATATGTTCAGGGTTCTGGAAAGTATGGGGGGATTCATGAAGTGCGAGCAACGTTCATTATTGGCAGCAAAGACTTACTCAGCTTGCCTTGCTTTATAGGTTTTACCCTTTCGAGCATCATGTGGACTGCTGTATTTTTTAATCAGTTGAATAAAATCCGTCTGAACAAGAAGATAAATAATCTGTTGTACGATTATCATCACTGATAAGATAAAAAGAGAGGCGTGAAACCCTGACCGCATTTTATGACTAAGCCCTACCCGCAACCGTGTGGTGGATGAGTAACGTAACCCGCTCATGGTTCCTCAATGAATTTCCAAATCTTGCCAGATGCCCATATGACAAAGGCAACTTATTAGGATCCTTTGTTCTGTCTGTCTTTGATTTTGCACAACGAGAGATCATGAAGCATAAGGTACATACAATCATATAGCCTTTTAGATTGAAAGCCAACGACCACTGCGGGCTTGGTGAGCAGCTCAGCTCCTCTTCCTACCGCCTGTTTGTCAGTCGCAAACAGCCAAAACGCCCCAAGTCCGCCCGAGAAATAAAGTCCGAATGCCCGACATCGTCATCTAACTACTGTCCATCGAGCATCTTTGATTACCAACACGCACTTATCCCACCAATCCTGGGTGGCATGCAATTTCCACCCCTTGCTGACATTAAGGCGAACCCAATTTGAAAAAGAAAATACAAATCGAAATGGAGTTTCCTAGCTCCTTTCAAGCAGCGGGCGCTCATGATAGCCCTCATGAAGATCATGAGGCACGCCGCCCGTCGAACCCATCCTCAACAGCCTCCCCAGCTTCTCACCGTAGCCCGCAAAATACCATTACTTCTCCTCACCAACCGGCCATTAATATTCGCTCTTGCATCACCTGCCGAAAGCGAAAAGTGTTCGTTGATCCGAGTCCACATTGCTTTTTGTGCCGGGGACTTTTCCCCGGAACGTGAAGGAAAAGGTTGCTGACGATAGGATTTGGCTTGGTTCTAGAAAATGCGACAAACGCCAGCCTTGCTCCAATTGTACCAAACAACATATTCCATGCATCTTCCCGTCTCCTGGTCGCGCTCCAAGACGGCCCCGCCATCCGCCTCATGGGGAACTCTTGGCGCGGCTGCGGCGACTCGAGGGAGTCGTGCAGACCATGGGAGGCGCCCAGCCCGAAGTCAATGGAAAGACTGAGGAAAAGCAAGATGACGAAAAGTCTCCTCTCAAATCCGAAACCGGTGTAGATATTGCCAATCCCGAGCTGGATGAATTGACCCTTCCCAAAATCTATCGCATTCCAGGTCTTAAGCCAGAGAACTCAACAGCTGGTGTCGAGCGAGAGTTTGGTCGCCTCATGATTATTGAAGATGGCAGGAGTCAATACGTGAGCAACAGCTTCTGGGCAAACCTGAATGACGAAGTATGTGGACTCTGAATGCAGAAGCGTTGTGCATGCGAATATTGTCAGATTGGGTGGCTAATGCGCATTGCTTTGGTTGCTATACAGGTTCAAAGCCTTCAAGGTATTCTTGAACAAGATTCAGAAGACGAAGAAGACTATTCAACCCCCGATACCAATCCAAGTATTTCAATTCACAATCATCAAGGCTTCTTGTTCGAATACAGCTCACTAGCAACAAATCTTCGCAAATTTCATCCCACACCGGATCAATATGATAAGATGTGGGATTTATACACTACGAACATCGATCCGCTTCTAAAAGTTCTGCACAAGCCTAGTGCCGCAAAGCAGATTCGGCAATGGAGAGATAATCTAGACAATGTCCCCAAAGGAATGGAGGCGTTACTCTTCGCCATATATTATGCCGTTACGACGAGTCTGACGCCCGAAGAGACTGTGCTGCTGTTCAAAGAAGAAAAGTCAACTTTGTTAGAACGATATCGGTTTGGCTGCGAACAAGGTCTTGCTCGGGCTGGCTTTCTCGATACGCAAGAGATGATCACACTCCAAGCCTTCGTCATCTTCCTAGTGTCGGTGAGACGGCACGACGATAGTCGGTTTGTATGGTCGCTTACTGGTCTGGCGATCCGAATCGCTCAATCCCTGGGACTGCACAGAGACGGCACGAATTTCAACTTGTCGCCATTCGAGATTGATCAAAGACGAAGGTTGTGGTGGCAAGTTGTGCTGTTGGACATTCGCTCCTCCGAGGACTATGGGACGGATCCAAGTGTTGTAGAGCAGGCGTTTGATACGCTTCTTCCATATAACGTCAACGATTCTGAGCTTGATCCGGATATGAAGGACCCGCCAACGCCCCATCAAGGCTGTACAGAAATGACGTTTTGCCTGATTCGATTTGAAGTAACGACCACCCTTCGCAGACTCCAGTATATCCCGCCGGGTCCGAGCACATGTCATTACCGGGCAATGACTGCCACGCTTCAAGAAAAGGAAAAATGGATCGAGGAGTGTCATGAATATTTGGAGGAAAAGTATTTGAAGTACTGTAATATGAACGACCCACTTGACTGGGTCAACGCGACGGTGGCACGGTTAATCATGGCCAAGATGTGGCTGATTGTTTATCATCCACTTCAGCGGAGCCCTGACGGACCAAAATTGCCAGATGATACACGCGATCGATTATTCGTCACGAGTGTGGAAATCATCGAATACAGTCGACTGTTGGAGACGGAGCGGCGTACGTTCAAATGGGGTTGGTTGTTCCGCACATATGTGCAATGGCATGCCCTGGCTTTTGTCTTGTCTGAGCTGTGCAATCGAACCGAGGGTGAATTGGTGGACCGAGCATGGCGGGCGATTGAGAGTGTCTTTGACGCATGGGGCGAATTTGTCGTGGAGACCAAAAGGGGCATGCTCTGGCGCCCGATCCGCAAATTGGTTCAGAGAGCAAGAGCTGTGCGAAGTCAAACCGAGTGTGCTCGTTCTGTAGAAGCGGCTGCTGCTGCGACGGCTCCGATCATGGCAAGTCCGTCCACCACGAATAATACTGCAGACTGGGTATCAACCACACCACTTACCACAACAAATTCGCGGCATTCAATTCCGAGCGCTTCTTCTTTGGCCGCTTCACCACTAGAAACGCCCGGGACGACGTCGGCCACGCAAAATATCAATCCTAATGCTAGATACGGCTACACCGGTGGTAGTTTCGGCGTTCTTCCGGCGTCTGGAATATTTGCTGGCGGTGCTGCTCAACAGTCATTCCTTCCATTAACATCAAGTCCCATTACATCAAGTCCGATGACGACGAGTCCTGCTGCGTCGAGGGCGCCACAGCTATCACCGCAACAGCAGCAGCAGCAACAATCATACCATGTAGCACAACAGTCTTTGCCTCATCAACAACAACAACAACAAAACTTTGCGACCGATTTCAATAGTGTTTGGTCCTCGCCACAGGATCTAAGCAATGCCCCTGGTACGGCCATGCTTGACTCCTCCTTGGACGAGCCTGTCGATTGGGAGAATCTGGATGCCTTGATGAGGGATTTTCAGAATAACGCCAATCCTGGCATGACTGTGTTTGAGCCCATGGAGTGGTGGTGAGAGATGAATGCCGACATTTGAGCATGCATTTGTCAAGGCCCTTGGGCGTGCACTCTTTAGTTTCTTCTTTAGTTAATAGCCCTCTTCTCCGTCAACGATAGCAGTCGTGTGTTTGTCATTAACTTTTTTACTTGACCGCGATGGCGAATTGACAAATGAGCGCACGCAAGCACAATGTACGAGATGAAAAGTCACTGACACGATAGATGTTTAACACGGATTTTCGGACATACACGGCGTTGTTATTTTTACGATATTTCGTTATGAGTTTCGTTCGATCTGTATCTATATGTTGCTTACTTGTATCTAGTGTCTCTCTCTTTTATCTCTTCTCTTCCATTATTCCCTTTTTGTCATACTGTATCTTTTTTGGCTCTTTTATTTTTGGAAACAAGGGCGTGATGAATCGCAGGATACCATTTTTTGGTTTTATGTTTATATATCTTATGTTTTATTACAATTCATGTACGGTATTGATACCAAATACGCTTCTGTGGTGTATTGTTTTCGCATACACATTTCAAACTTGCCCGGTCGACGAAACCACAGACAGCCGCTGACCAAGTGAGAAGGCCCAATAAACCTGAAAAGTATAACTAGGCTTCGAGTGCAAATTTGGCTTAAACCCAATGACGTATCTTGTGCGCTAGTTCATTGTTCAGTCATGTATGGGAGCCATGCAGCACAGTGTCAATCCAGTCATTCCGTTTCACAAATTTGGCATATGCTCGTATACCTCTCCCTTCCTCTTTGTGCATTTTCTGAAGAATGTCTCCAGTGGTATCTATGACGCGATGCATGATGTCGCTGTCATTTTGCCGCTGGGTCGTGGTCTCGCACGACTTGAGATATTTTAAACTTTTTCGGAGAGATTCATTCTCCCGCCTCTCCGACTATTTAATCCTCCTATCCGTCCCCGCCTTCATTCAGCTTTCCCGCGCATTTTGTTATCGCACTTTACTATAGTACTCAGCCCTCGTACTAAATTACTCCGTAACCATAGTCACAGGACTGCGTATCAGATCATGTTTGATAGGAACGGCAAATCGAGGCTGTGTAAGGTTTAGATCCCGTAGCGTAAGCGCGAGCGAGTCAGTTCTCGTACGAGGTAGACCTTTAGGGTCTGGGAAACAACGTTGGTACGTCAAAAGGTCCAAAGTTTAATTTGCTTTCTCTGATTTTATTTTCCACGAGCGTTTATTTAGCTCATGGTTCAAGTATAATGCCCGAACTGTTTCGGTGCATCTGCATGGTGCTTCAGAATCGGGAGAGATGTTCACCCGGACCGGCGCTCGTACATGGAGCAGTACTCGTATTAATCTAAATTTTTTAATTTTTTAAAAAAAGTTGAGAAAATTTGGTATGGCTCTGAGAGCAGAACTTCGTTCCTAAATTTGTGGAGACTGTTTCGACCTCGGTACAATATAAGAACAGCATTGGAGTAATATAGGGACGTGGATGATGCTGTCCTCCTAAGGTATATATGTAGATGGTCGAGATGTTGAATTAACGACTACACTAGGTAAAGTGGTGCAGGCTGATTTGCATTTCAGCCATTCATCCTACGCTAGGCGCAAATAATGTAAAATGGTCTTGTATAGTCTGAAGATCTACATTGTGCTTGTTGATTTATTGATCTGCATGCCAAGAGGGAACTTTGATTTGTTTTTTCTATTTGTTTACTGGATAGTCCCCTCGTGCCAATGCACTAGGTTCAAGGCTTCGGACTCCGAGGAGTCCGCAAAATGTATCAAGTGCGGAGCTAACGTGTGTGTGCGTAGCATGCGGCTTAGGTCATAAGGGAATTGTCACTATAGCTGTACATGCTCAGTGGGATAAAGAGGTAATTAGAGGAGGACTAGGATAGGATTTTTACTGACGCGACGAAATGATTGTTATATTTTTCTGTGTAGTATGGTGGTTCGTAGAGAAACACCTTTCCGTACGGTTATGAGTTCCGTTGTAAATAGCTTAGGTTGGCGGGGGTGACTTCACTAATTTTGAACGAAATTCACCACCGATACGTGGCCTGGAGATAAACAGACTCTGAAATAAGAGTAGAAAGATGACTTGTCAACACTGGGATATAACTATTGGTTACTCTGAGACTCCAGATTGAGACAGACCACGTCGGTCTGACTGTTCTATCCCTTGGCTTAGGTATGATTTTGTAGGAGAAGAGTGTTACTATTAATTCGAGTTATATTATTGAGACGACTGAATTAATCCCTTGATAGCTTTCAAATATGTCAGTTGACCACATATCGTATTTTCTCGTCCCTTGAGAAATATATCCTATTCAAGCATCTGACATTTATCCCAAATTAATTAAAGGTCCACGCGCATTTGTTAACTTCTATATTGCAATATTTTGAACGGACTGAAACATGAACAATTGTTGAGTCTTTTCTTCAATTCAACCTAATCCCAAGTCTCAGCGCATGCTTGTACCTGTATGGTCACGATTTATGATCCTATTTTATCCACTCACCACTGGAGATGCAATTCACTCGAGCACAGACGTGATTTATTTATTTAATTAGTTTCTTTTACCATGGTAACCCTGGAGTCCTAGACAGCCCAGGCTGTTTCAATCCCGAGGATCCTCTTACGCCTCTGTCTTTGTTTTCCCTCGGGAAGCGAAAAAGCCAAGAAAACCCGCCCAACAAATCAAGCAAAGATCACTGCCAACAGGTGCCCTGTGCTTAAGTCTAGCGGGAACAAACAAGACCAACCAATTGTAGTTCCGAGCCTAAAAGGAGTCAATGAGCCTTAAAGATAATACGAGTCACTAACCACACAGTACAGAATTATATTGGAGCATCTATAAGGTACCTTGGGAAGAATTAAGGATAACGGTACTTTGTCCCCTAGGTATGAATGCAGAAGCTTTCGGGAGAAAAAAAAAGATGTGTCCAAGGTAGAGTGATTACAGCGCGCAGAGAGCGGAAAGCGGAGAGCGGAGGGATATTGGTTCCCGAGACACGACACGATTCAGTGTGAGATGGGCACACACACTACAGGAAGTGCACCACAACCAGCACCCGCCGACAAAGTACATGGACCCAACCACAGCACAGCCCTAAGTTCAAAACCTGAATCTGAAATCTAAGTTGGTAGTCATGAACTTGGATTCAGCCCATGACTAAGTAACGTAACGTATTTAGTACACATATACATCTCTGCATCAGCACGAGATTAAGGACTTGCAAGACAGGGAGATGTCTGCTTTCAAAGCATCACGTAAATCAGGCACTTGAATGCTCGTGTAGATTTATTTGGAATTTGTCCTGTCTTGGGGAAACCTTGTAATCGCGCATCATCTTAGGCCCATGTGCGCGTGCGTGGTTGTTTTGTGTGGAGGCGTAGTCCCAACCTGTGCATGCTTAAATTGACCATACGCTTTGCACCGAGTCGGAGAATTACAGTGATCCGACTGTGCTAATGCTAAAATACGTGCTATAATAATTTTTCAAGAAAAAGGAAAAGGTTAGAAACGTGGTAGAAACGCCCAAATCAAAATCTCAGGTCGCATGTTACTGGTGTTCGGAGAAAGTGTACATTACGGCGGGAAAATCGCCCGCTCGGTCTGCGTATTTTTATCCTCCAAACAATCAACTATATCTCAATATACTAAACATTGTTGTGGACTTTTGGTAAAGAACAAAATGACAACCAAACTCTGCTCCCCGAAGCTTTCCTCATAATGCCAATCCCTTCCTGATTCTTGTATAGCCTACAATGACATATGAGGTCCCCCTTCGGGACGTGGCTTGCGCCAAAAGGGGTTTGGGAACGAAGGGAGGCGCAGAGGGCGGGATTTGCAGATTACTGCGGGTTGGTGATGCAGTATGGAGAAACCTTTTGGGAGAGATAGTTACGTGTGTGAGACAAAACGCGGGGGGCCAAAGGGAATGGACATTTTGCATATTATATTTCTCCCCCCGTCGTCGTCATCCCTTTCTTGGGAGACTGTAATACCGCACTCCAATCAGCGACAGCGTGATACTAATACCTTGCCTTACAACAAGAGCTTTCATACCAAAAGCATTGTTTCCACGAGCTTCAGAACATAGGCATTGATCCTTCCTAACCCCCCCCCCCCCTCTCTGTCTTGGAGTTAATTGCATGTCACGTCTTTGTCGACGGCGACCATCTCGAACAGCAGACGCGAATACGTGTCTTCTGACCATTCTCCTGCGCTCCTTGGTTTTCTTGGACTTCTTGGAAACCTTGCGCAAAAAGCTCTAGCAAGGCATATCGCATTTTGCAAAAGACACAACAACGCGCATATACGAGGGAGCCTCTGATTCCGCCAATCTGACAAAGGATCATCATCACAATTGAACTTGCTTTAGCCACGAAGGAAAAGTTGGACAGGCGTGAGGATAGTATTAGCAAAACGAAAACCTAACGCGCCTAGCCAGCAAGGCTTTCAAGTCGACGCAATGGTGCTGCCAATTCAGCTTCGTCGCGTCATTCACGCGACCTTGGGTGGTAAGTGCGTTGTCATCTTGGACTTTGATACCTAAAAATGCCTTTTTACGAGACTGTGTGCCGTTTCGCTCTCATGATTCAATACTTTTCCGTGTCATGATATGTTCGTGTGTGGTCGTCGAGTCTCTGGCGGCCTGGTTTTGCCCTGCATCAAAAGACAATTAATGACCGATGTTTGCAGGCCTCGTTCTCTTCCAAAGCATTGTTGATGCCGCGAGCTCTTCGCAGCCGGCCTCGTCCTCTTTCAGCGTGAAAGATGGTAGTGGACAGCTCAGCTTCGCAATTAATGTTCCAGATGATTCCAATGATATCTTCTTCCATATGTCTGCTCCAAGCGACAGTCAGTGGGCAGGTATGATACGCACATCTAATGCCCTTCAAAGAGGACGATGCTCGATGATGCTAATACCACACGTTGGCATTTAAAGCTGTCGGTGCCGGGGGTGGAATGACTGGCGCATTGATGTTTGTGATTTACCCAGCAAAGTCTGATTCTTCCAGTAAGTCGTCCGTAGTTCTATTTAATATGAGCGTCTGTTCTTGTGTTGTTTGATAAACCTAATTGTAAGTGATCTAGATGTCACGCTCAGCCCCCGCATTGGCCGAGGGCATTTTATGCCAACGTTTGCTCCAAGCATTGACATTGAAGTCCTTGATGGCACAAGCATCTCGGATGACGTATGGACTGTCAATGCCAAATGCTCCAACTGTCGCAACTGGAACGGAGGTTCTCTTGATGTAACTTCAAAAACGCAGCCGTGGATTTATGCCGTGGGCCCATCTGGTAGTATGGCAAGTGATTCACAGGAAGCCAATATTCAACAACACCAATTCTTCGGTATGTCTCGTCCGCTGAAATTCTCTTCTTGCTTTATCGGCAAGGGGTATAAGATCCGAGTATGGCTGACATGAGACATGCTGAACAGGCCACTTCACACTGGATATGGTTGCAGCAACAGGCAAGTCCGGTGTGCCAGGAGGAGGCACGTCAAGCGCTTCACCGAGCTCCTCAACATCAACCTCCCCGTCTAAAACAAGTAAGACCAGCACGGCTAGTCCAACAAGCGGTGGTAAAGGAAGCCACAGCGGAGATGATAATAACAGCGGCAACTACTCCAGCGGCCCAATTACTAGCCCCCCGCATTGGGGCATTGTTGCTCATGCAGTGCTCATGTCACTTGCCTTTGTCATTTTCTTCCCTTTTGGTATTCTTTGCCTGCGAGCCTTTGGCAAAGTCCGACTGCACTGGATTGCTCAAGCCTTTTCGACAATGGTTCTCATTGCTGGTTTCGGGCTTGGCATCTATATCAGCAAAAAGGGATCTATGGTAATAACCCGCAGAAATTTCGCGCAACCAGATTAAGTATACTGATATAGACCTCAACAGTTCAACAAGTTCAACGCGCCACATCAGATCATTGGTTTGATCGTCTTCGGATGCTGCATTTTGCAGATCCCTTTTGGCACTGTTCATCACATGATCTTCAAGCGCACCAGAAAATCCACGGCCATGGGCCTCCTCCATCGCTGGAACGGCCGCATATTCCTTACTTTAGGTTTCATCAACGGCATTGTGTAAGTTAATTTTGGCTAGATCCATCGACGCCTCTTGCTGAGACAGTTTCACTGTAGTGGTCTGAACTGGGCCGGCGATAATCGTCAAATTATCCCCTATGCAGTTGTCGGTGGCGTGCTTGCGATCATGCTGGCCGCTGCTATCATCTTCACGGAACGCAGGAATAAACGCAAAGGCAATTATCAAGCGCAACGTCAGTCGAGCGTGAGCCACGAAAGGCACGGCTCGTCCGATGACAATGTCCGGCTGACAGATCTAGGTGACCACTCATCACCAGAAAGAAAAATCAGGGTGTAGGACATTACACCTCTGAAGGGTTGCACGGATGCAACAGGCGTGATAATATTTTGCATGAACTTTGATGGTCAGGTCTTTGTTGTTTTCCTGGAGTAGCAAGGCATGACTCGGTCCGGGAAATTAGGATAGTTTCTGATTGTTACATTAGGAGCTTAGATCGAATTGCACAAGCATGGTTTGATTGAGCTCAATCAGCGTCTGTCCCGATGGGGACTTTGTCCTTTGGGCTCAAACCATTATGATTGTATCAAGCTGTAGTTTCAATCTGGCATTTGTCGTCGCTGGATCCTGGATCCTTGCTCTCCTTAGACGTAAAATCACGCAGCCCTTTGTTTGAATGGGCAACGCTTTCAGTAGTCAGCCGTATCAGCCAAGTCAACCCGAGCAAGGATCTAGATGTGCAGTCAGGAAATCAGCCGGGGCGCTCAACTGCTGCCCAACCTCTCGCGGCGAGCTTTATAAAATTTGTCGAGGCAATTGCGTCTTTGTGCGGCCGTCCAGCTCTCAACGACAAAAGCGAATTCAATAGGATCCGTAAACCCGAACTCTTTGGCCATGGTGCAAAATTGGCGCTTCATTACTTGTGGTGGCGGGCGATATCGATATCGAAAGGGGGCATCTTCAGATTGAGCCACTTGGCTACTGCGTTGAAAGACATATTCCTGAGCCATGTCAACATCGTTACCAGCCTCCTGAGCTCGTTTACTCAGTCGAGTTTCAATTTTTGAAGAGCCAACAACTTCGGAATTCTCATGCGTATATTCAACTCCAGCGCCCGCAAGAATGGCTTGGACCGCGTCCACTTTTTTGTTCCCCTTAGGCGTAGCTTGGCCACCTCCAGCGGTGTCAGATGGCAAATCTGCTTCACCTGTGACCAAAGCAGCAAGCTGGCTCATAGCCCTGTCCTCATCCGTATTGTCTGACCCTTTGCTGCGCCGAAAATTCAGAGGGTCACCATCATTATCAGCGTCATCGTCGTCAAGGTCGAGGCCTACAACAGCTACCCCGGCTTTCGATTCCGCGACGTTGGTCTTATTAACAATTTCTCGGAGGACTATATTATCACCTTGATAAGAAAAAAGGTTTCGCAGACCAAAGATCTCGCCTTTTTGATCATGCTTTTCCTGTACTCCACGAAAATATCGACGCTCCATCGAGGCATTGTATCCAATATTTGCCTGCTGCTGCTTGTAAATCTGACGGGCGTAGACAATCTCCTCAATAGTTCCAGCTGAAACGAGTCGGAACACCTCGACATCCCGAAGTTGTCCAATCCGATACGCGCGATCCTGCGCTTGCAAGTCGTAGCTTGGGTTCCAATTTGGGTCAACTACAACGACCTTGTTTGCCGATGTTATGTTCAAGCCAACACCTCCGGCGCGGGTGGAAATGAGAAAGACAAATTGGGTAGGATCGCTGTTGAAATCATCCACTGTCTTCGACCGCTCCTCATAGCTCATGGCACCATCTAGATAGCTGACATTATAGCTTGTATGAGTGAAAAGCGTCTGCAACATTTTCAGTAGGCGGACGCTGTGTGAGAATACAAGCACCTTGTCCCCATTACCATGCCAAAAACGGAGAAGCTTCTTCAAAACCTTCCATTTACCACAAAATTCTGGGTTAGAAAAGGTCACGATAGAGTCACGGTTTCGGTATAGCTCCCGCCATTGCTCCGGTACCGCCAGCTCTAGCGTTTCGAGATCCTTTTCTTGCCTTTCCCTGGCGTCGCTGCCTTGCGGTATGAGAAGTGCAAGGTGGTTGCTCAGCTTCTGAAGATTCATTATGGCCGGAAAAACGTATTGCTGCCACTTTTTATCTCTGACAAGCTGGTGGCAGCACCAGCCAGCCTTGTGCCCAGAGCCACAGGGGCATGATTCAGATGAGATTCGGATGGCTGCAACGATATCGCTGTCAAGGTATGATTCATACGCTTCGGCCTGTGTCGGTGTAAGTGGGCAGAATACGACGCGGTCAGTCTTCTTGGGGAGCTGGTCAGCTATTAGTGATTTCATCCGGCGCAGGAAATATTCTGGCAATAAATTCTCGACAAGTTTCTTCGCAGTCTTGCGCGCCTTGCTGAGCTGAGAAATAGTCGCATCATGAGACTGGCCGATCTTGAGGGGATCGCTGATGCTTGTCCTCCATGTTGAGATTGGCCCAAAATGCCCAGGATTTGTCCAGTTGAGAAGTGTCCAGAGTTCTTCGTACTTATTCTGAATTGCTGTTCCAGACAAGCCTATTCTGCAGAGAGCATTGATCTCGACCATTGACTTGGTGATTTCAGAAGAACGTTCCTTTATAACATGGCATTCATCGGCAATAACACAATCCCAATCCACCAAGTTGATTGCCTCTCTGTTCAGCCGGTAGGTAGTGTAGGTTGTAATCATAATCTCCGTTCTCCCGGTTTTTGCAGCTTCTAATGCCTCCACTTTCGTATCCCCATGAAAGATATCGACATGCCACCAGCCCCATCGTTCCAATTCAGCTCGCCAATTTTCTATCAGCGTTCCCGGACAGATGATCAAGGTGATGGGATACCATCGATCATCACCAGCTCTTCGCATTTTCCGCATCCTCTTCCCGTCCCTCTCATCTCCTGTCTTTCCATACGCTGCAGCCAGAAACGCAATTACTTGGATCGTTTTACCAAGACCCATGTCATCACCAAGGATACCGCCTCTTTGGTACACAAAGAGTTCGTGAAGAAAGGCTGCTCCTTTGACTTGATAGTCTCGAAGCCATTGTGCAATTGGGGCAGGAATTATCCCAAGTGAATGAGGTAATATTATATCTTCGTATCGAGAAGCTGGTTTGCCCATTGGAAAATCGGGTCTTTCTTTCAAATTTTCGAGCCTGTCGTCGTCAAAGAAATCTATGCCATCGTAGTCAGGAGGCAGTTTTAGCCCAGCGTCTTTTAATCGCTCTCGGCTTTTCTCAAACTCTGCTCGACGGTCTTGAATATGATCTGGGAGAGTGTACTCCATCAGAGCATCATCCTCGTTCGATTCATCGCCATAGTCTCTCTGCCTTTTGGTTGATCCTTGCGCTGAAAAGCCATCTCTCCTGGACCTTTTCCCGACTATCGTATTGCCTTTGCGAGACTTGGACTCTTTCTCACTGACGGGTGCACGTTTTCGCCGCGCTGAGTTACGGTGTTTGAACTTTTGATAAGCAGACTCCGGATCATCATCATCATCTGAGAATGCGACCTTCACGCCTTCCAATTCTCCATCTTGAACTCGAGCCTTGCCCTTTGCCTGTTTAAGACGGCCATCGTCACTCTCAGTCTTGCTACCTGAGGCGGCGCCAGCATCTTGTAAGTCTTTGCTGACGACATTTGTTATCAAAAGATCATCATCACTTTCTTCCATTGCTCTGCACAAACGCGTTTGGCGCGAGAATGGATAAAGCTGAACGCGAAGCGATGCAGGGAGACGCGACAGATGACGTTGATCCTCCCGATAATATCAAAGTACGGTGCTCAGTAACTTGTCCCAAAAATTTCCCAAGAATTTGTGCATGGGAATTTATATTTGACGGCAGGTTCAAAATGCATATCTGATTTATTTACAACATTCTGTTTAATTTCAAATCCATGTGTATTACTGGATGAGCGTGGTCTACAGTGATTGACCTTTTGGTCTTTTACTCTTTTCAAATGGGTCTCTAATATACCGGTGTCTTCCGTCATTCCGTTTAACGCAGGCATAAAAGCAGTTGCTAAAAATACCAGCGCGAAACTAGGCCCATACATTGAAGCCCATCACATTTGAAGATTCTGGGCTGGGGAAAAGCCAAAAATATATGGTGCGGTATTTCAGACAAAGCAATTTGGTAATTGGGACAGCCGGCTCAAATATGTGTTTTCGTTGTGAATACCCAAAAGCATATAGCAAAGGAACAGACAACTCTTCGGATTTCCGAATTGCAGGTGGCTAATAGTAATTGGGCGCATTCAGAAATAGGGCGTGTTGGGGAAATGGTCATGGCTTTTTGGATATTATCATTCCATGAGGTATGGTTTTAATGCATGTCCGACCCGTATCTGTGCTCCAGAGAGATGCTCTGACACTGCAGCTCTTCAGAAGGTCAGAGATCGATCTGCGGCTACGGAGAAATGATCTCCACTTCCTCATTCACAATGATCACCGAAGTGGGAATGAGAAAGCCTTTTGAAGCCGGGAGAAGAAATAATCGGAAACATGCACGATCGCACAGGGAAAGCGTTCGTTAGACACAGGTCAAATGCGTTGAGAAACGAGAGAGATGTTCATAAAGATATTTTCCGACTAAGATGATGGATAGTCATTAGAAAACTGCTGCATGCCTGACCAGCAACTCAGCTATCGAAGTATCATCCAGCTCAAATTCCAGACTCCCATCCGTCCCGAAGACATCTGAATCAGCAGTGTCAGCCTCCATCCTTTTCCCACAAGACCTGTACAGTGTATACCCACCTCTAACGCACCCAAAATTTACCCGACAAAAGTTTTAACGGTTGGCGCTCCAGACGTTCTTGAGGAAGCCATCCCGCTGGGCAAGGCGGTTGAAGCTGTCGTCACCCTCACCCATGGCACGGACGAAACCGCAGAGGGCGTAGCTCTGGTTCTCACCAGTGTATCTGCCGTTCTCATCGACCTTGCCGACGGAGATCTGAACCGAGGCGTGATCCTTGGCCTTGATGATGCGGTTGGTCGCCGAGCACTTGCGCGGGACGTAACTGAAGAATAATCTGTTAGCCGGGTTGATTTTCCATGATGCGACGATCGAATTTCTCAAGTCGGATTTTGGCGGGATCGGGAGAGGAGGGGAAATGTGACATACAGGTCGACGAGCTCGCCCCTGTCGTTCTCCATTTTGACGGTGAGGTAGAGGTATAATTTGACGGACTGGGAGAAACGGCGCTTTACGATGAGGGATCGTTGTTGGCTGCACAGAGATTGAAATTCGCGATCTCGCTTCTGCCCTACATTCGACCTCTCGACGGGATTTGTGGGTCATGTGACCGCAATCTTGATCTAGCCGAGCTCGACAATATTGTCGTTTTGGCCCGGGTAAGCCTGCGTTCCTGCTAAGGGTGGTGCCTTTGGTCAGGAAGTCGAATGGCAGGTGCAAATGGCTGCTGTAGAAATAGTGATCAGGCGCCTGGCAAATTTTCTCGTTTCCAACGACGTTACAAAATAAGATGTCTTAAGAAAGATTTTGTGTGGGTTTATTCCGTGGATTGTTTCAAAAATATTTCTACATATGCGACTTGTTCTTCATTCTTCAAAATTCTATGTTAAACGTCATTATAATGGTGCCTTTAATAGAGTGATCATGATGATATACAAGGACCAAAAGTCCAACGAGCAATCCTACTAGATAAGACGTCTTTCCGCGATAGTTTAGGATTTTCTTTCTTAGTTGCCAATTGTCACCTTTCTGTTCTCTGGTTAGAGCTTCTCTCGTGCTGCCTTGAGCACATTAGTTTTTGATGAAATTTCCAGATCTCTTGGACCATTCTTCCCAAAATTGACGAGGATTACTTGATCAGGAATTCCAGACTTTCCACAATCTTCAAGTTCTTTTCCAGCTTTGTCTAATGCTAATGCGGCACGACCACTCCCCTTCTCCCAGAGAATCACCCGAGGACACACGTATCTTTCGCCCCATGGAGGATGTCCGGACTTGATGAAAGACAACAGCTCGGCCCTCTGACGCTTGAGCTCTTCAACACTATCGATTGACTCCTGAGATGGCATGTGTAAGAATTGAGAAATGATATGCAAAAGATAAAACTGCGGGGGAAATAATATAATATCATTAGCACGTGCCATGGAGAGCCACCGAGCAGCGGGAAGAAATTCAGCGCTGGTGTGCTCAATTCCACCATCCGATGTAGGGATCGGGACCGTAGTCTCATGAGGTATGAGGTTTGCATCATGGCAGACGGCTGGATTTGTGGTCCCTTGAAGTGGCAGGAAATACAAGTACATCTGCGTTGTAAATCGGCGAGAAATGTTCGTCGGAGTGATCCAACGAGTAAACGGTATGAGATTGTCTGAGTTCGTTTAGAAAAAAAAAAGACCACTTGAAAAAGGTGAGTTATATACCGGTGTCAGGCACTGCCTCCAAACCTTCAAGCCAGTCCACAAACTTCAGATCGGCTTGGTGTATGGCTTTTCGTGCTCGTTCTCTCTCGTGCTCAATCACAGAAATCATCCTAGAGCCATCCCTCTGTTTCGCAAGAAGTATGCCACTCTCCTCGAAGCATTCTCTAATTGCTCCAATTCTGTAGGCCTGCGAGTCCTCGTGCGCGGCTGGGTCAGCCGGGGTCGGCAGTTGACCATCTTGACTTGCTGAAAGATTTCCGCCAGGGAATACATGTGCAGAAGGAAAAGAAGTAGAAGATTGAACTCGATGTAGAAGCAGTATCTCGTTCGATGGTGATATCAGAAGTATACTTGGACTATTTAGCTTGCTATAATGGAAGTATCCAGCTGAAGAAAATGGCACCTAGAACTTGGTCGCGGAACACTTGGAGGCTTCGGAAATCCCATTGGTCTCTTGGTAGAGTAGCGTCTACTTTCTGACCTGCTCGCACAATACCCAATTGTCGTAAGTCCGCTCTCCAGCCTTACAGCAACACCGTTTCCTGTGCGTGCGTTATGACTGGCTCCTCGGCCAGAGTTGCTCCTACCTGGGTTAACTAGAAGTGGTGCTCGCACTGCCCAGTTCGAGAGGGCAGCAGAAATTTGAATGAGATCAAGATGATGTGCAAAACGCAAAAGCCGAAAATGGCCATTTAATGCCATGTGAATTACAAACAGATGTGCGTATCACTTTTATGGCAGTTTTGAGAAACATACCGGCTAACATCAAGTGGTCGCGGGGTCGTCTGAGAAATGATGGTTTCTGAACCGAAGGAATGGGTCGGGTATTGACCCGAGCTTTTGAATTACTAGCCATAATAGAACACAGAACCCTCCGCAAAAAAACGCCCCAAATTTTTGCATGCTACCTTAGGCGTGCTACATGAATGATGCCTTAAAACTGAAGGTAGATTTCATACTCTAATCATCTCGCGTTGCCCATGGTCTCTTTGCAGGAAAGAAAAAGGGACTCAATTAAGAGTAAAGCTTCTTGTCGAAGCTGTGGAGACCGTGCACGTTACCCTCGGCCTGAGCGCTCACAGTTCGGAGCTCGAAACGGACCTTGCCGTTACGGACATTCTCTCTGAGCTCCGACAAACTCTTCTCACCAATGTCCTGCAGCGAGTGCTGAAGACCGGCGAGGAGATAGGGCACGAATTTAGTGATCGAACTATCGAATTGTTAGCACCCAAATTTACTCGGTTTTGTCGCCAGTATAGCTGGCAAGTGAGAGACCATACCCTCTATCGAGCACAGATCCAGAGACACCTTGAGCGACAAGGAGACGGTCGCCCTCGGAGAAGTAACGAGCAGTTCCAGCATTGCTGGCCTTAGAATTGGCAGCGCCAGCACCAGCCTTCTTATCCTCCATGGCATCGATACTGCCCATGCCACGGTAAGCCTTGACAAGCTTGCCCTCACTGCTAACAAAGTACTCGCCGGGAGACTCCGTGGTACCGGCAAGGAGGCCACCCATCATGACGGTCGAGGCGCCCAGCGCCAGACCCTTAACAATGTGGCCAACGTTCTGGATGCCACCGTCGGCGATGCAAGGAACGCCGAAACGAGCAGCGAAGCTGGAAACGTAGTGAACAGAAGCAGCTTGGGGTCTTCCGACAGCCATGACTTCCTGAGTAATGCAGGCACTTCCGCTACCCATTCCAATGCGCAGACCATCAACGCCAGCCGCGATGAGAGCGGCAGCCTGCTCTTGAGTAACGACGTTTCCGCCGATCACGTCAAGGTCAGGGTAGGTCTTCTTGATGTATTTGATCATCTCGATCTGGAAGATGCTGTTGCCCTGACTGCTGTCCAGGATGGCAACATCAAGTCCGGCATCGACAAGCTTGGCCAAGCGAGCCTTGTCCTCCTCGCGGGTGCCGATAGCGGCAGCGCAGAGCAGCTGCTTGGAGTGGGGCAGCTTGGAGGCGAGGGGGAAGTGAAGGTTCTTCGTAAGATCAGAACGGGAGAGAAGAGAGACAAGGTTTCCCTGCTCATCAACAATAGGAAGCTTGCCCTTCTTCGACTCTCTCAAGACGGTGTTAGCCTCAGAGAGAGTAGTGCCGGCGGGAGCAGTAACGAGGTTGGTCGACATGACAACCGTAACAGGGTCATCGAGGTTGTTATGGAACTGAATGTCGCGGTTCGTGACCATACCTACAAGCTTAGAGCGGAGAGTGCCATTCTCTGCATGAATTCAGCATTAGTCATTTATCCCCAATATAGTAAGGTATACTGAGAATAAAGTGAGTGTCCACTTTCGCTTTCAGTCAAAATCATTTTCTCCCCAAGACAACGTGATCGTTGCGGATGAACGAAAGTTATGAATTTTTTTAGATGGAAACATCATGGCAATCTGGACAAAGGGGTAGTGAATGGAAAAGTAAACTCACCGGTGACGGGGAAACCACCAAAACCCCATCTTTCCTTCAGCTGTTTGACCTCGGCAACGGTGGTCTTGGGCGAGAGCACAACAGGGTCAGAGATGAAACCGTTCTCATAGCGCTTCACCTTGCGGACCATCTCAGCCTGTGCGTCAGGAGAGCAGTTGTGGTGAATGACACCCAGGCCGCCAAGAAGGGCCATGTGAATGGCCATGTTTTCCTCAGTGACAGTGTCCATTGGAGAGGACACAAGAGGAGTCTTAAGCGTAATACGCTTGGTGACTGGGGTATCCAGAGCCACAGCAGACGCGGGAAAGCCTGGAAAGAAGTGTCAGACCAGCAATTAGGCATCTTTGGAGATCATTCATAATTACCAATGTAGCCAGGCAAGATTAAAAAGTCGTTATAGGTGAGACCGCCATTGTTGGCCGAGTCAAGAAGAGTCTTGACATCGATTCCATCGCGGAGCGGGTACTCCTTCTCGAAAACTTGGAGGGCAGTCTTGTAGTCCAGAGTCTCCTTGGACAGCATGGACGCCGGAGCGGAAGAGGCGTCGCCGTTGGCAAGAACCATTTTGATTCAAGAATATATAAATTAAAAAGAAATATCAACAGGTGCTTGTTTTGAATCTGAGAATGAATACGTTCTACAGGTCGTAATGATCTCTGATCAAGACGGTCCTGTTGACGGGGTCAAAGTTTACCTTCTCCCAAGAAAGAAAAGAAAAAAAAGTTCCGCTGGGAAGCTGTAACGACCCTTTTGCTGTGGGGATCGCCAACCGAAAAAAAAGCTAAACCTTTTCCGTCTTTGAAATCACGGGGTCCTCGGCGTGATTTGTCTCTGAGTGCATTTATGGTTTTCTTACTGCCCCGTACAGCGCGGTGGCGATTACTCTCGGTTGTTAACTGGGGAGCCGCTGGGGGACAATGAGTTGTCCACCCCCCAGGGACCCTACACAAAATTTGGTGCAATAACCTGTAAATCTATGAAATGAGAAGGATATTTCATTTGCAATTGGTAAAATCTAGTGCCTTCTATAGCATGTAACATGCTATATCAATCATATCAGATTTGAATTATCTGCTGTTTGCTTCAGTCCTATATTGCTCAGACAATCTGTCTCTCTTCCTCGTTCCATCTGATCCTGATATCGACGCCCTCGCTAATTCCAGGATAGGAAGTAACGCTAGTCTCAATACGGATATCTGTCAACAGTTCCTTCCCTCCCCTCCAACCTACGAAAACAAATCGCGACCCATTACCGCTTGGGCCCTGTACACGGCACAACCCACCATCTCTTGTCTATTCTGCTTTTGCTTCATCTTCTTTCATTCCAGCTAGTTTCACCATCGCTTCATTCCGTACTTGACATGCAGTTTTGCGCTTGGCGGCACTCGGAAGTTCGAGTGAATTGAGTTATCTTGACTGAACTGGCAGATCCTAAAGTGATATCGCTCCATCATGGCTTCTCTACACGGGCGATCTGGTTCGCACGCATCGGCAATTCTATCGAGACCCGAGCTCGAAAACCTAGGTCGTTCATCCACTGGCCATTTGCGAACCTTATCTAAATTCGCCAAAAATGCCCCAAACGAAGACTTCACGATAACAAGCCCCACACAAGAGGTGACGGGTCTCGCTGGTCGTCGCAGACTGCAACGAAGCGACTCGGTTCGAACCGGCTCAGCTGTTGCGCCTAATGGAAGACCCGGAGGGTTCAGCTGGGACCGTACATGGATGGACGCCCAGAGGCAATTTCTCCAGGCTTACGAATATCTTTGTCATATTGGCGAGGCCAAAGAATGGATCGAAGAAGTCATTCAGCGGCCTATACCTCCGATTATCGAGTTAGAAGAAGCGCTTCGTGACGGTGTTACACTTGCAGAGATCGTTCAAACGCTCCAACCGCATAAGAGAACACGAATATTCCGACATCCGAGACTGCAATATCGTCATTCTGATAACATCGCGATCTTTTTTCAATATCTAGCAGATGTTGAGCTGCCAGAGCTTTTCCGCTTTGAGCTCGTGGATCTCTATGAGAAGAAAAATATTCCCAAGGTCATCTATTGCATCCACGCCCTGTCATGGTTGCTGTTGCGGAAGGGAATTACCACGTTTCGTATCGGCAACTTGGTTGGCCAGCTTCAGTTCGAACATCATGAGCTGGAAGCCATGCAGAAAGGTCTTGATAAGGCTGGAGTCAGCATGCCTAGTTTCTCTGGCATAGGTGCCAACTTCGGCCCTGAACCGGCTCTGGATCCTGAGCCTGAGCCGATCGAAACGGAAGAAGAACGAATAGATCGGGAGCTTGGCGAAAATCATGACGCTATTGTTGACTTTCAGGCCCAAATTCGAGGGGCTCTCTTGCGACAGAAGCTCGGCTACATGATGCAGGAGCTCTGGGATTGCGAAATTATGCTCATTGATTTGCAATCCCGAATCCGAGGAGACTGGGCACGACAAATTTCTTCTTATAGACAAAGCATGCGGCAATTCGCCATTCAACTGCAATCGGCGGCGAGAGGCTACTTGGCCCGAAGACGTCAGCTGGGCAAAGAAAATGCCCTCGTTGATAGCGAGCCACAGATCACTCAGTTGCAGAGTCTGATCCGAGCTAAAGTCGTTAGAGCTCAGTTTCAGTCACTTCAGATCCGAGCCCAAGCGGAGGAGAATGGCATTAAGAAATTTCAGGCTGCTGTAAAAGGCGCTCTTCAGAGGAGACATGTTGCGCAACAATTATCTCAGACGCAAAAGTCCGAACATTATGTGCCTCTCCTACAAGCAGCAATAAGAGGCGCACTACAACGACAAAAATTGCAAGCAGATCTAAATGATGCACGAGCTGCCGCCGCCCAAGTCGCATTGTTGCAGGCGGCCGCGAGAGGTATGATTGTTCGGCACCGAAATCAGGCGGAAATGGCCGCTCTCCTTCGGACGCAGGAAGGAATTGTGATTTTCCAAGCCGCTGCACGGGGTGCGCTTCAGCGAAGCCATCTATCTCAAAAGATGGGTCAAATAAAGAGGTCCGATCAGTCCCTGAACGACTTGCAGGCCACCGCAAGGGGTGCCATTGTGCGTAATGATCTCCACACTGTCAAAACAAAGCTTGCTCAAGCAGAGAGCTCCATAAGCTATTTGCAAGCGGCACTGAGAGGAGCGAATGCTAGGAGAGCCGTGAAGGAAAAGTTGCAAACCTTGGACAATTTCCTGGATATCCACACTAGTATCCAGTCAGCGATCCGGGGAAATGCTCTGAGGAAAGACTTACAGACTCTCCGTGAAGGCTTGTATGCTGAAGAAGATCGAGTAGCAGTTCTCCAAGCTTCAATACGAGGAAGAACTCTTCGACAAGAAGTATTCGAGCTGAAGGATGCTATGAAGCAGGAAGAGCCGGCCATAACTGAACTTCAGGCAAGGATTCGTGGATTGCTCTTCCGTCGCAGTTTCAGCTCAGACCTTGGGGCTCTCCGTAAAGAGACGAAGGCAGTCACGGACCTACAAGGCCGAATTCGTGGAATGCTCACCAGACGGAACCAGCTTGAACTAAGAACCGATCTTCATGCCCATACCAGTGAAATAGTTCAGCTTCAGAGTCTAACAAGGGCAATGCTTGTTCGAGGCAACGTCGAGTCTATTCTCTCACGACTTGAGGCCGAAGACGATGTCATCACAGAGCTGCAGGCGGCTGCGCGCGGAGTGATTGTGCGTCGTCGCTTCTTAGAGAAGCAGCAATATTACAGGAAAAATATGGAAAAGGTTATCAAGGTGCAAAGTTTCGTTCGTGGAAGGCTCCAAGGTGAAGCGTACAAGAGCCTCACAAATGGGAAAAACCCCCCCGTTGGGACCGTCAAAGGATTTGTCCATTTATTAAACGACAGTGATTTTGATTTTGACGAGGAAATCGGTGAGTGGTGACCACCAAGACGAAATGGGATATTTGCTAAATTTTGCAGAATGCGAACGTCTTCGCAAGTCCGTTGTACAGCATGTGCGACAAAATGAGATGTTGGAGCAATATATCGATCAACTTGATATCAAGATTGCTCTACTTGTCAAGAATAAAATTACTTTGGACGAAGTTGTTCGCCATCAGAAGCATTTTGGCGGTAGTCTTACTGCTCTGATGAACAAGGATCTTGTGTCCCAAGATCCTTCAGATCTTAAAGCACTCAATAAAAATTCGCGCAAGAAGCTCGAGCACTATCAACAGCTCTTCTTCATTTTGCAAACACGTTCCCGATACCTTGCGAGATTATTCAAGCGCATTCGCGAACAGGGACTTGCGGAAAAGGAAGCGAAGCGCATTGAGAATCTGATGATGAGTCTTTTTGGATACGCACAGAAGAGACGCGAAGAATACTACCTTGTGAAGCTGCTGGTGAGATCCATGAGGGAAGAAGTTAGCGACTGTGAAACATTGCAAGATTATCTACGCGGTAACTTTTTCTGGAGTAAACTCTTAGGAAGCTATATTCGTTCCGCAAGAGATCGAAAATACCTACGAGATCTACTCGGGCCCATGATTCGAGAGAGCATCATTGATAATGAAGAATTGGATTTGGAAAGCGATCCAATGCAGATCTATAAAGCGGCCATCAATAACGAGGAACTTCGTACTGGGAGACGAAGCCCCCGCAAGTCAAGTATTTCTCGCGAAGAAGCAATTCGTGATTCCGAGACACGGGAGACGTTTATTCGTCATCTCCAGGACCTTCGGGATATCGTGGACCAGTTTCTTACCGCGCTTGAGGATCAACTCTCCAAAATGCCCTATGGACTTCGATTCATTGCGCAGCAAATTTTTGAAGCACTAAGTGCACGCTTTCCTCATGAGAGTCCACCTCATATCCTGCAAATAACAGGGCATTGGATCTGGAAAATCTATTTACAGCCCGCTCTCACTCAACCAGAGGCCTGGGGGGTAGTCGATCGAGGACTTACCCCACTTCAAAAGCGAAATTTGAGTGAGGTTGGCAAGGTATTGAGCCAAATCGCCGTTGGAAGGCTCTTCGGGGGTGAAAATGTATATCTACAACCTCTCAACACATTCATCGGCGAGGCGGTCGACAGACTCGGGCACATATGGGAAGAGCGTAAGTATAAGCTCCTCGTCTATTCACAATATATATTTGGCTAACGGTAACGTTTATAAAGTCATTTCGGTTCCAATGCCCGAGTCTCATTATGATATTGATGAGTACAATGATCTTTACGCAAAGACTAAGCCGACACTTTATATTAAAATGGTAGACGTCTTTGCTATTCACCAGCTTGTCGCATCAGAGGTTTCTCATTTATGCCCAACCAACGACGATGTGCTTCGAGAAGTGATTCGTGAACTTGGCAGTCCCAAGCACAACGAAAATGAAATGATGACGGTTGGGTCAACTGAGATAAATCTTACCCTCACCCCTAAAATGCATGATGTTGATGGTAGGATTCAAAATCCCTCTTCATAAGCGCATAGTGCTAATATAACACAATTTAGACCCAGAGGCCGAAGTCAATGCCCTCTTTACAGAAACAAAAAGATGTATACTTTATATTATCCGAGTCCAATCCGGCAAAAGCCTAATGGAGATTATGGTTAAGCCAATAACAAGAGAAGACGAGGAAAAATGGTATGCTTTACTAAATGAAGAAGAAACCGCCAACGGCAGGAAAAGGGGCGCATATTCGGAAGCCAACACTCTGCTCGACCTGACGTCAATGTCATATTCTGAGTTGAAGCGTATAGCGCTGGAGAATATTATCAAGCTTGAGCATTTGGGAAGGTTGACACGGCATAATCAATACCAAGACCTTCTAAACGCCATTGCATCAGATATTAGAACAAAGCATCGACGCAGAGTACAACGACAACGAGAGCTCGAGGGCATCAAACTTACACTGGCCAATCTTCGCGAAAAGGCCGTCTGGTTGGACGTGCAATTACAGAGCTACAACAGCTATATTGAGCAAGCTATGATGACCTTGCAAAACAAAAAAGGGTAAGTTTAAGAAATCTGTAGCCATTTGTATCCAAAATACCTGATCCAATGACACTAACTTTTCTGTACCTAACAGAAAGAAGCGTTTCCTGCTACCGTTTACAAAACAATATAACCACGAACGCGAACTCCAGCGCTCAGGCCGAGTCCCGAAGTTTGGGTCCTTCAAATACTCCGCCCGTTCGCTATATGATCGTGGCGTGCTCGTCTCTTGGAAAGGCTACCAAGAGCGGCAATGGGATAAGGTCAACCTCACCATCTCCAGCGACCAAGTCGGTATTTTCTCGCTTGAGGGCTCCGCAGGTCACATTCAGATCCCCGGTGCAAGTGCCGAATTCCCACTCGAGGATCTCTTGCAGGCACAGTTTGATAACCATCAGTTTATGACCCTTTTCGAGGGGAATTTGAGGTTAAATGTCAACTTGTTCCTGCATTTGATCTTCAAAAAGTTTTACCGGGATGAGTAAATTGATCTCCAAGTTTGCTCGCCCTGTGAGAAGTATTCTCTTAGAGGCATTTCCATCGAGGATTGGTCTATTCCAGGAAAGCGTGCGATGGATGAGGGCCCAGAGATTGTATTCTGTTGTTGTATTTGTTCCTGTTCCTGTACCTAAAGCGATTCCCCGCACGTTTTGTTGGATTATTTTATGGCGCATCCCCATTACGACCTGTTCGATCATTTTTCTCAACTCTTCTCATTGACTGAATTTTTTTTTCTGTCTTGTCCCAAGCCTTTGAGCTTGTACATTTGCTAATCCCTCGAGGATGTTTTTGCCCGTCCCGTCATTGAGAGATATTGGGTACGCATGGGGTTGGAGTTTTTTTTGGAATGGGTTTCCTTTGAGTATTTTGCTGCGTCATAGACTTTGAATCCCTTCTTTTTTCGTTCTTATAGTTCCGCCCTTTTGATCGCCGCCGGCCGATGGGATTGGACAGGTGATTCACCTACCACCAAGATTCTGAACAGTACGATAAGTAATGATGGATGACAACGATGTTTCATGATAGGGGTCGGTCGGAATTGGATTACGTACATAGTATGAATATGAATTTCGTTTATTGTCTTATAAAGCTCTACACTGGTCTACGTGTAATGCATTTATGCAGACGTTGCGATGCATACCCCCGTCCAAAAAGTTTAGAATCGTCAATACGTCCAAGGTAATTTATAGTTCTCTATTGCTTTCCCACTAGGATTATTGGGAGACTCATAAAAGTTAGACTTAGATTCAAACTCCATAGCTAAAAGGCAAAGATAAAGCTTCTTGAAATTTTCTTGAAAAGAAATTTTGAAGACATTTTCTTGTTTTCGTGTTTTTTTTTCATGCATGTTGAGCTGCCTGGCGAGAAGGCCATGCACTCTGATAGCTCTTCGGAACCTTGCACTATATAATGTACATTAAACATAGTGGAAGTAACAACAAGCCTAGTTAGCTCAGTTGGCCCAAGGCGACGTGATTCAAACACTTCGCATTCATCTTCCTTGGTCTAGTGGCTATGATTTCCGCTTGTCAATTACCTCACTAGGTAATCGCAAGCGCGGGAGACCGGGGTTCGATTCCCCGAGGGAGAGTTTCTTTTTTTACTTTTTAGTAGGTATTTTCAGTTTGCTTCCTTTATTTTTGAATTGGTTTTGTTTTTATTCTTTTCTCTTCCCCCTCCCTTTTTTTTTTTTTCTTTGAGAGCTATTGTGGTTTTGTTGAGGGGATTGAGATAGGTCTAATCTGAAGGTTATGGCTAATAGCCTCACCGGGGCATACGTGAAGGCGGTCGATAGATTACATTAATATAGTGGGTTTTTTCAAGCGGCAGGTCCAAAATACGGAGTATGTACATAAATGTATAATTGGATAGAAGAATTTACGCTCATATCAAGGAAGGTTATATTAAGAGGAAAATTATCTAATGCCACGAGGTCCCGCCAGCGCCGTATCCATTATTCGTTGGGCCGAGGTTATCGCTCAGCCGGCGCGAGCCGTGCGGTCCAAGGGCATCACGCAGTCCAATTGGGCTAGAGACGCGGTGATGGCGATGATTATGACCAGATTTTTTCTTGTTCAAGGGTCTTTTTGCTCCAAGAAGAGGTGCATTTTCGCGGGATTCGTTATCAGATGAGGAGGACGAAGACGACGATAAGGATGAAGATGAAGAGGAAGAGAGGTCTTCTTCGCCATCTAGGATGGCATTGTCTCGATCACGACGGTTCTTTCTTCCTTGCCGATCATTCTTCTTCGTCTTCGTCTTCTTTGTTGTAGATGGTGAAGAAGGTGTCCATGTCGAATTGTAGGTGTCGGGCTTAGCATCATTCTGATTCAAAGACGCACCAGGCTGTGTGCTTTGAGCAGTGACGTCGTCTTCTGCTTCTTCTTCCAAAAGTCCAGTGTCTGTTTCGCTGGCGTCATCCTCGTCGTCGTCGTCGTCGTCGTCGTCGTCGTCCTTGGCAAAGCCCTTCATCTCCTGCAAGTACAAGACGGGAACGGCAGCAAGAATGCTCAAAAAGGCGAGCACCCACCACGGCAAGATGACGTAGCCCCACTCGACACCAAGGGTGAATGTGCTTCCTCCAATTGCGGGTCCAACGGCTCGGCCTACGGCAGAGACACTGGTGGCGACGCCATTGAGGGTGCCGAGGATGCGCAGGCTGGTGGCCGAGTTGGTGAGCATAATGGTGGAGCAAGGGAACGCGAACATGCCGCAGAGACATTTGATGAGCATGATGGGAATTATGACGCCTTGTTTTGCGGCGGCGGTGGGAAGGAGTGCAGTGAACGGCACGACGAGGTAGATAAAAGGATACACAAAGGCGCAGATTTTGAAGCATTTGAGGATTCCCAGGCGGCGGGCCACGGGAGGGAAAATGGTGAATTGGGTGACCATTCCAAACAGGCCGTAGATGGTGAAGAGAACACCAATGCGTTCGGAGTCTGGAATGAAGAGATATTGTTAGGAGTTGTTGTAAGAACAATCTGGTGACGACTCGAACATGAAAGATGAAGATGCTTTCAAGAAGAAAGAAAAGTATGGGGAATTAACTCACTAATTCCAAAACCACCAGAGAACTTGAAGGGAAGTTGCACATCCTCGTTGAACTCTGCAGCAGGATGATGCATGAAGATGGGGAGTAACTGATCGAATGCGACAGAGTGCAATGCAAGCATACTATATGCGGCGAGGTTGATATTCGACTGAGGTGAAAAGACCTCTCCGTATCCCGGCGGTTTCTGAGGCGTCAGGGGTCTGGTAGCCGCCTGCTTCGCTCGTGGATCATCCTCATTTTGCGAGGGGATAAGGATTGCCCGTTCATCATCGTCCTCGTTATCATCGCCTTTACCATGCTGGCGGTGTTTCAGGCGCTGATCACGTCGGAACGGCCGGAGGAGAGCTTGGCCCAACACGAGGCCATAATCGCGTTGATGTTTTCTTGTTTCCAGTGTTTCCTAGAGTAAGAGAAGCGGTCAATTTAAAAGAGCGCTTGTGTGTGCGCACAATGGGCACTAAGTGAGGTGGAATGGGAAATGATGGAACTTACCCTAAGGAACAAGATTCCCACGACCAAGCCTACGAGGAAAAAGCACGCATTTACCATGTTAGGCAATGCGTAAGGGAATTTCTTGAAGAACTTGCTGTTTCCAAATAATTTAGGGTGTCTTGCGGCGGGATCAGCCAAAGCACCGCCAAATGCCGGCCCGAAGATGCTTCCTATTGACCAGACGAGAGGCATGATACTGAATGCGCGCGGCTGTAGTTCTCTTTCGGGAACCATTTCTGCAACTGTCGTTCTGAGAATTCCCACGTTTCCGTTGGATAGACCTTGAAAGGCTCGGGCAATAATGGCCCACGGAAGGGACTGTGCAAAGCCGAAGATTAAACCGTTGATCATTGTCAGAAACAGTCCAAGCATGATAATGCGCTTGCGACCAAATCTGTCCGATGCCCGGCCCCATGCAATGCCGGTAAGACACTGAGACAGAGAGAAGACAGCGGACGTGATCCCTGCCCATTTGGCAATCTTGTTTTTGGGGACGTTAAAGGATTGGATCATTTCAGGCTGCAGTGGCAGTTAGCATGGAATGGTTGACGCTATCAATTGTGGGGAAATATATTGGGCACCGAGGTGACGAACCAGGTAGGGAAAGACAGAGGTCATAGCAACTGTTCTCGAGGAGAGAAATTGTTAGTTGTGATCATTTGTTTATGCGGGCGATGCCATATGCGGCGTAACTGATATTTTCCAACCGTTGATAAAGGGGACTTACGCGGCTCCGCAAATCTGCATATTGCTTGGTCTTGTCAGTATGGTTCATTGAAAATATGTGTTTAAAGGAGCTGCCCAACATGCCCTTTGCATGAGGCAAGACTATCAATACTTACATAGGATGATCAACTGCTGGACTGGCAGACGAGGAGGTGACTTTTTTGACTTTGGTTTGGCGACTCCAGCCGCCCTTTTCTTCTTGTCGGCTCTAATATTCGCGCCCATTGTGGGATTCTCTTGAGGCAATTTCGAATTTATCTTCTAGGCTAATATCCGAGATGGTCCATTCAGATGTATGCCGCCAGCTATATGCCGTGTGTTTGTTTGTCAACGATCTGACTCAAATGACCGATTAATGCCGTCTTCAATTCGTTCGAATGCTGAGTAAACCAGATAATGATATCTCAAATAGACACTTCAACTTCGTAAATATAACGTTCGACTCGATTCAATTCGATGGTCCAGAGAAAATCTGAGGGTCGTTCCTCAAGGCTTTTTCTCGTAATTGCCAGCGCTTCGCTGCAACTCTATGACAATCTCTGGTCCGATTATATAAAGGTATTTTCGCTCTTTAAACCCCTTCAAATCATCACAGTCGTGAAAGCCCAAATGATAGAGCGCTCAGAACGTTGCAGTCAACCCGGCGCACTAACTGGGCATGAGAGAATAATATCACCACAAATTTGCAGGAGACTCGGCACAGACTTGCAATCAGAAGACTAGTCACAGCGCACAGTACTTTAATTTTATGTACAGTGTAACGTTAGCTCTGAATAAAGCCTCAATGCAGTCCCAAGTCCGCGGAATCAGGGCGCACAATACGTCTTTCGACGGGAAAAGCCCGTTTGCAATTCAGGGCGAGGAAGTTCCTGCAGACCACGACTTGCTCGAGACGTCCAGTGTTGATCGAAATTGCAAAGAAAATCGAAAAACAAGGTGGAAAACGAGAACGCTCAGAGGATAAAAAAAAAGGAAGTAAAAGAAAAGCACGTCAGCAACGATACACAGAGAACAGCGGGTCGGCGACTCATCAATCCATGCCGAAAATACAGCCAACATCTTGACCCAATTGCAGACTAATGAGCCAGCTGATAAGTTAGTGGGAGTGTCACGCAGTTAGCTCCAGCTAATCATTGGGTTGCCGCAGAACCAATAATTCGCACACCGCCTTCGCATACCCACCCCGCCAACTGGCGAATTAGCGGAAGGGAGGGGTAACCTCCGTCAGGATAAGACAAGCATTGCAGAAAAGCCTGATAGGGTTTGCAAAATACGTAAAGGTCAAGAAAAATCCAGGAAAAACAGTGTTTATGCTGCCTGTTCTGGAACCTGAATCTCGGTGTAGGTGGTAGCGAACGAGCAGCAACAGCGGAGGTCGCGGAAGGATGGCGGAAAAACTAACCACATCGGGGCCTTGTCGGGGATTGAGCGCACTACGGATTAAATCTCGAGTCCAATTAATGTTACAGGGTACGCTGCCAACAGCGAAGCAATCATAATTTGAGTATTCACATAATAAATTTCATCCGAGACTACTAAAACATATGTTACAATCCAGGTATTTAGACAAAAATGCTGTGTGTTGCAGAATCAATCATTAAAAACTGGAATGAAATTCTTGGGCTGCTGCGATTATTTTTCGAGTGACTTACATTATTACGCCCATATTGAATAATGCATTATGTTCCCGTCTCTAAATAATTATATGAAGATACATAATAAATATAAAAAAGAAGAGCCTGGTAATTAGAAAGATTATAAATAAACGTTTCACTCATGCTTACGCCAAACAATAGGACGCCTACTCTTTCAGAATTCCTTCTGACCAACTGCAGTGAGCGAAAACGGGTTATGACAGTGGTGTAAATTTGAGAGGTATATAGGTATCGATTACGACCAATCTATTAATCAGCAGCATCAGTAGTGTAGTGGTTATCATTCTTGCCTTCCAAGCATGAGACTCGGGTTCGATTCCCGACTGATGCAACACAATTTCTTTTTTTCTATCTCTTTTCTTTTCCTTTCCTTTTTTTCAAGTTTTCATTTTAATTTGTCTTATCTTATTTTTTTTTTTTTTCATTTTCATCCATATGCCCCTATACTGCTCCGATTTTTCCCCTCTCTTTTAACTCTCCCGCATTGAGCATACGGAGTACATGGGCGTTTCAATTATCGTCGAACTCTGGAGTTCCTTTCTTCATATTTGATTCTATGTCTGGGTTGAGTTCTCTGAAAAATAGCCTGTACAATTAATGACCAAATAACCAAGTCATCCAGAACCACATATTCCTATGTTTCAAGAAGCGCAAAGCTATCAAATCATCAACTTGATTCAGTTCCTCAATTTATTCCCCCCTTACACCATTATTCCACCTGGTATTCTACTCATGTTGAGTTGCCTACAGACTAGGAATCCAGCCACGTGACCACCTCATCCATTTCGTGCCGGAGCCTGTATGGGGATTCATATTATGGGTATGAAAGAGGCATTGACGACCAGGATCACGAAAGGAGATAATACTTCTAAGAGTATAAAGCGAATTATACTACAAAATACTTTTTTAAGATATTTTTTGCTATTAGAGATCCTGTGGATATTCAACGTAGAAAAGATTTTAAAATCAATGACATTGACACAATATAAATCAGTCCAAAACATGCGAGGGGATCATAAAGTTGATGGTATCGAGGTTCTCTATTAATTATGTAGGTCTAGGTAGAGGTAGGTACACGTATGGAAAGGTGTATGCTAAAAAAAAGAGAGCAAAAAGGATATTTAAAAGAAAATCGAAAGAAAGTAAATATAAACCCGAATAAGAATGATGAAAAAAGGTATTAATCTAATCAAGGGTTCGGGTTACATTTACTCCTCTTCCGCCTCCTCCTCGGACTTGGTGACCAGAGTGTACCGGCCCCGGCCGTGCTCGCCGACCTCATGCTCGACAGCAAGCTTAGAGAGACGACCAATCATGTTCTCGAGAGCAGTGTCCTTGACGCTGCGGTTCTTGCGGCCGAGGTTGTCGAGAGCGGGAATACGGTTGAGCAAGTAGTACACAATGGCGACGATGATGGTGACACCAATCGAGTAGGCCCAGATAACGACAACAGTGACAATGTCAACCCAGCCGTCCTGGCGCTGGTGGAAGGGAGTCGGGGGGTTGGTGTGGATTGGGTCGCCGGACAACCAACCGAAGAGACAGAAGATGGTGGCAAGGGCATCGACACCAAGGATAGCACCAACGAGTTGCCACGAGGGGAGGGTCTTGCCGCCACGGGTAACGAAGATGAGCCAGTTCTCAGTCAGGGCAACCTCGAGGAAAAGGATTTCCTGGACGGAACCAAAGTTCTGGACGATACCACCGTTGGGAAGGAACAGGGTACCACGGATAACCCAGGTACCGAGAGCGAGAAGAGCACCAAGAATGGTGGAGATGATCCAAATCTTGGGCAACTGCCACTCGACGGGACGCGGGTCAGAGTGGGCATTGTCGTAAGCGACGGCGACGGTGGCCAAGTCAGCGAACAAGGCAATGAAGACAATTAGGTCGGTACGGATGGTCTCGCGGATAATAATCATCGAGGTGACAAGGTAAATCTCCAAGTGCAAGCAAAGGGCAATACGGTACTGAATGTAAGCCTTCATACGCTGGAAGATCTGACGGGCAGTCTTGATGGCGAAGACGATGGTGCTGAGACCGGGAGCGAGGAAGACAATGTCAGCAGCAGCCTGGGCAGCCTCGGTGGCACCCTCGACAGCAATACCGCAGTCAGCCTTCTTGAGCGAGGGAGCGTCGTTAACACCGTCACCAGTCATGGCAGTCAAGTGACCACGCTGCTGAAGCATCTCGACGACCTGGTACTTGTGCTCGGGGAAAACCTCAGCGAAACCATCGGCACGCTCAACAAGGTCGTGCTGAGTGGTACCGGTAAGACCGCCAGCGATGAGCTTAGTAGAGTTGTAGACCTTGGTACCCATGGCAAGCATCTTGCAAGTCTCCTTGGCGATGGCGATAGCGTCACCAGTAAGCATCTTGACGGGGACACCAAGAGCCTGAGCCTCGAGAATGGTCTGGGCGGTATCCTCACGAGGAGGGTCGAACATGGAAAGCATACCAAGAAGGATCCATCCCTCGTTGTTCTTCTGGTAAGCGACACCAAGCGAACGGAAACCACGGCGGGCAAACTCAGTGGCCTTGTCACGGAAGAGAGCCTCAGTCTCAGCAGAGCAGTCAGTCAGGTTGAGGACAGCCTTGGGAGCACCCTTGGCGCAAGTGTAGGTATCGCCGTTGAGAGTGCAGATGGCAGTAATACGCTTAGAGACGGGGTCGAAAGGAGTGAACTTCTCAGTCTTCCAGGGTTGCTGAAGGATCTCACGGGCCTTGGGGTAGCGCTTGAGAGTCAAGATAGTGACCTTGTCAATAGGGTCAAGCGACTTGATGTTGTGCGAAGAGGCCAGGGCGGCAACAGCCATCATCCAGTTGACGTCCTCACCCTCGGTAACGTAGGGCTCACGGATGGAGAGCTGGTTGGCAGTAAGAGTACCGGTCTTGTCAGAGCAGAGAACGTCAACACCAGCGAGGGACTCAATGGCAGTGAGCTTCTGCACAATGGCGTGCTGGGTGGCAAGGTAGGCAGCACCGACAGCAAGAGTAGTGGTGGTAACGACGGGAAGACCGACGGGAACACCAATGATGAGCAAGATCAAGGCGTACTTGAGCAGGGAGTTTTCAGAATGCTCAGGGGTGGCAATCTTAAGGTGACGGAAGAAACCACCAATCCAGGCAGCCATGATCCAGAAAATGACGAGAACCAGCAGAGCAGTACCAATGGAGTCCATGATGGCCTTGAAGTGACCAGAGTCCTTGGCACCCTGAACGAGCGAGGCAGTACGACCGACGAAAGAGTGCTTGGCAGAGGTGAGGGCAACAGCATAAGCCTTGCCACGCTTGCAACCGGTAGTGTAGTAGCAAATCTCGCCCATGTACTTGTCGACGGCAAGAGACTCTCCAGTGATGGCGGACTGGTCAGTGGCGATGATCGAGGGACCGCTGTGAATGGGGTTCTCCTCTTCGTCGTCCTTCTCGTCATCTGGGTCACCACCATCGGCGAACTTGTCTTCGGCAAGGAGCTCCTTGTAGATAGCAAACTCCTCGGGCTTTTCGTAGTCGCAAATGAGACGGCAGTCAGCGGGAACAGTAGTACCTTCCTCGACGACGAGCTGGAAGCAATCATGTTAGTCTGAGAAATGACAATGGCATGTGTGACCGTCAGATTGTCCGAGACTTACAATGTCACCGGGAACGATCTCACGGGCCTTGATCTCCTGCTCTTGACCGTCACGGATAACAATAGCCTTCATAGCAATATCACCCTTCAAGCTGGCGACGACGTCGGCAGCCTGCTTCTCCTGGTACCAACCGACAATGGCGTTAAGCATCAAGATACCGATGATGACACCCAAGTCAATCCAGTCTCGCAGACCAGCGGCCAACAAGACAGCGATTTCCATGACTGATTACCAATGTTAGCGTGATTTCCCCGCATATCAAGGGCACAAATAGCTGGAGCAAAAACTCACCATAGAGAATGGGACCAGTGAAGAAACCGAGAAACTTCAAAAACATGTTCTCCTTGTCAGAGGAGATTTCATTCCATCCGAAACGCTTCCGACGCGATTCGACATCCGAAGAGTGGATACCCTGGCGGATATCGGCCTCGAGCCACTCATTAGGGACGAAGCCCGAGTCCGAACCGCCAAAGCCGTCATCCTTTCTCCAGAAAGCCCAGAAGGGCTTCTTCTTCGCGGCGGCATCGCCACCCTCCTCCGCAGCGGCCGCCGCCTTGGGATCACGGTAGGTCGTAATGTATTTCTGCAGAGCAGCGTATTCATCGAGCTGGTCGTAGTTCACTTGAGAATTCTGACGGCTGCGGGTGCGAGTGGTGGCAGCGTCGCCATTCTCAACGTCGTGATGCCCAAAGGCCATTGTGACCTATGTTCCCGTGGGAGGGACGGAAGAGGAGCGGGAGACGAACACGAAAAGGGAGTCAGAGAGGAGCTCTATCGAACCTGATGCAACGGAAGGTTGGATGAGAATAAGAAGAGAAAAAGCTTTGCAAGACGGGGGACAAGCTGGGCTTTAGTATTGGAGAGACATCGGCTTGAGCGGGTAGGGGTGGGGGGTTCAGAGTTCGGTTTTGGCGTTGGCGTTGGCGTTGGTGTGCAAAGAGAAGGAGAAGGAAGGTCTCAGACGGGTAAAGCTCAAACAGCTCAAACGCGGTATTTTCGGGCTGCAGGTTGACGTCAAAAAGGCTAGGGCCCATCTCGGTCTGTTGATGCCGCGCGATGCGAATTGCGTCCGATGGGGGGAGGAAGGGCCCCAAGCAGCCATGGGAAAAGCCTCACCTATTGGGGGTGGAAACGGGGGGACTCTGTTGAACGTTGTTCCAACACTGCTCCAGCCTGCCTGCCCCCGAAAACTCCCCGATCAATGCCTATTTTGGTCCCCTAATTCCTGTTCCCACCAATGAAAATCTAGATTGAGCTGTAAATTGAATGAATTCTCCTCATCCTTTGTCCAAAATTGCGCTTTGTGAGAGTTTGACGTTTCGGTGTGTGAATAGCGAAAGAGTACCCATGAAACCACGCGGTAAAAAAAAAAAAACGAGGCACAAACGCGGCAACGGAATCACTCGTAGCTTGGCTCCTTGGTGTACTTACCCAACCGAATATACTACTTGCCGCATACTTTTTCTTCGACATGTTTAGCATTGACAATAGCCTTTTGCAGGCATTTTATCGCTTCGGATACGGGCGGATCGGGTTGCTTTGCGATGGCAACGCCTGACAACAACACTCTTCAATTTGCATTCTACAGAGGTACTTGCTACTGTACGGAAGTACTGTACATAAGGTAGTGGGAGTACAAAGCTACAACACTGCTCATTCATCTTCTGTGCACTCCTGTCTGATCCCAGATTGGACAAGCGCTTGAGAGCATTTTACTCGCGCGACATGAAGAGACTTTTGTATTGTAACGAGCGGTTGTCGTTCTCCGGCAAGAAGAGGGATCGATCGGCCCTTGGACCAACAAACTAGAGGAAAAATTTGTGGAGACCGCAATCATCAGGTAATCCAGGACGTGAATCAAGTACTGGCGTAGTCAGAAAGTCAGGACAATCAAAAGCGAGCGACCGAGCGAACGATTAGTAGTGTCGTCGGCCTAGCGCATCGCTGCGTCGAGGTCGAGCTTAGTGGCCGTCGGCCATATCTGTGGGACAGGGGCTAAAAACTGTCTTTTTTGTCTCGCTGTAGCATAGACCAGGTACGCACTCCAGAAGGTACGGGTACGCTACCCTGAGTATGCGCTAGCGACGAGGACAGCTGGTACTTGGAAGTTACCCCAGCTGGAGGGTTATTCTGAGGCGTTTTTGTGTGGAGTTAGCCGGGAGACCTTTATGTAGCGCAAAAGTACCGCTGTATGCTGAGCCAAGGATTGGGTAAAGGCGTGGAGTAGGTACATGTACGGTACATCTCCCGAGTCATTAAAAACTTCCCTAAAGATGTGTCCCCTTCCGTCTGTGTCTCATGGTTCGTCCATTTCATCCCACTCTCCTTCCTTTCAATTAACCGGATGGACCGGCGCTGTACAGGGGGGTGCCCCTGATAGAAAAAGACGCAACGATTGGTCCGATGATCAGACTAAGCAGGGATGTCAGCCGTGTAATGACCGAGGTCCGGAGATGATGACCGAGCGGCTTCGGGGGGTTTGTGGTTGGCCGCCCTGGGTTTGCCTCTTCAAAATTCAACTGGCGCGCCCCATTGTCCAATAGGATCGCATGGAGTGCACGCGGTCTTCTCCCGGACACACCGGAACGCTGGTTTGTCAATTGCGTGCAGCAGTAGTCAGCAGTCACTCTCTCCTTCCCCAGTACTCACACTCCTTCCCGTACCAACCACTACACGGGCGGCTCTCAGCTTCTGTCAAATCTGTTCCCCCATAGCTGCTCTGTACAATATTGGCATACTAGAGAAAGAGCCCCCCCCCTGCTTAATGGCTCGTTCACGACCTTCCTGCCACCCATTATAGCAAATGCGACCTGTCGAAGCCATCATCGTCATCACCTCTTCCCGCAGTGTCCATCTCGTCATGATCTTCCCTCGCTCACCCTCCGTCCGGTCCGGGTGGTGAGAGATATGGAAGTAGATCTGTCGACAGCCACTCATATGGCGTAAACGTAAACATATCTCGCGCCGAACAAGCCGACCTCGCATCCCATTTCTTACTGTCCGCCTCGGTAGCTTTGTCATGCGGAATTAAGCGTAAGTAGATCTTTCGGCGCGAAGAAGGCGTGGCCCACCGTACCAAACTCAAGCTTTTCTCGAAGCTTACCGTATAGTGCAGGTGTGCGCCCGTTGGCCAGCATTCCTCTCCCTCGCGTCGAGCTGGCTCCGAATTCGTCAGACATGAGGCCGAAAGCCGGAAACCTAGTTTCTCCGAGTACATTTTGCGCCGCATAAGCATGCCGCGGCACCGTGGTAAATCAGGCTATACGTAGTATGAGAGCAATTACAGTACTGTACCAATAGCATCACCACAGCAAACGCAAATGGAAAGGATACTGGCGAATTGTATGGTTCTGATTTGGGAAGTCGGGGCCGATCACGCCGAGAGGCTTGACAATCTGAGATCACCTCGTCTTCAGTTTATCGTGGGGTTACCTAATTAAGTAACAATATGCTTTGACAAAAACTAAAACCAGGCCACATCCCTGAAGTGAATGGGAAATTAGCTGCCGAGGCGCGGGCTTCTCTTCACAATTTTACTCCTGCGAATAGGCCTCTAATTATCGTGTGCAATCAAAGTTACCTACTGGTACGTTTATGGGTCGAATGGAGCTGACCATGGCTCCTTGTGTAATTTCTTTCGTCTTCTGCTTCCATATTGTCTTGGCTACAGTTCTCCGCAGCGGGCACTAAAAGTACAAAAGGCGTTGATGTCGCTTCTTAGCCGAGATGACCTCGAAGGGTCCATGGCAGGAAAATTGCGTTTCGATTCTCTCTTGGCTCTTGAAAGAGAGGCGCTTTTCGGACCGCTCGAGCCATGTAGCCAGCGAACGCCGGCGACGCTTGGAGGTCGATGCACCATGCAGAAGGAGGTCGTCATTCAAACATAGCTACGTACTGACCTGCGGGGTGGTTGATGTGTGAGGGCCAAATACTCGATGCGAAGAGCTTACATGCCGCTGCCCAGAGCCGATCGCCATTCCTCGTGTTCGTCATCAATGGTAATTGCCTCTTTGAGCTGCAGTTATATTGGCGGTGGGAGAATTGAGAGTTCTCTGTCCCTATCATAACCAGTCCTTTGCAGCCGTTACCGATCCTTCCGACACGGAGAAAGAGCGGAATGATCTTCCTGTCAGTCCCAGAGATCCTCGCGCATATCTCCGTACGCTATATATCGTTTTCGCATCCCTGGTTTGATTGCTTATCTAACCCATTGTTAATTTCGCGCGGTGGCATGGGGGGAGCCGCTATTGTACTCGTAAAGGGAAGACGGGCTCCTTGGCATTTCCCGCGCTCAGGGACGTCCTCATCCCTGCGCGTTCCTCCACGAAAGGCGTTTCCCGTCTTTCTGAACCGTCTGTACCTCTCTCTGGCCGGGTTCCCCTGGTAAGGCGCCGATTACTTCCCCGATGAGCGATGACAAAGGCATTGCTCGGTCTCTGGCGCATGGCATCTTACTTTGGAAAGTGATCGTGCTAAGAAAGCATGCTGGCTACTTTTCATCCTGTAAACCATGCTCAACCGTTCTTCCCCATCATTCCAATCCGGGGAACGATCGGAGTTGAGATGAAAATCAGTGGCGGCAAAAAGTTTGAATGAGGTCCGGCCTCATCGATGCCACGCCACACAAAGCTTTCTCTAACGTGTTTGCTTCTAAAACTTTTCCTCGGCGCTTATCGCCCGTTCAGAGCCGGGAAAATTTGTAAAGGAGGGAATAGAAGTTTAAAAAGTTTGCGCTGCTATCGGGTACTTTTCTCTCACTGTCGCAAGCAGGTACTACTGAAGCCATCAACATTATAATTGGAGACTCACTACTCAAGGTAGGTAGAGTAGTGAGCTGCGCTGTTAACTATGCGGTATTTCTGCCGCTTAGTGTGCAGTTGTCTACCTGTATTAGGTAAGGTGCAACATGGCACGGATCGGGCGCTGCTAGACCAAACTGAATCCCTGGGAAAAGCGTTATTCCCCATCAATGCAAGTGCAGGAGCCCTATTGCAGCTTCGACGCGATCCTCAATGATATGACTCCACACCTATTTGGCGAGCAAGGAGGGAAAAATAAGTCAGCCTCAAGTTCTCAAACAGGGTCCAGAGGGTCCTTTCAGGACAGATGCAGGGTTCGGGTGCCAAAATGGAGACTACACTACTCACCGTCGCATTATCCCACTGTCCGGCCTCAATATTCTCCACTAGCCCAGGGAACGTTACCCCGGCATAACCCGTGTGCAAGCCAGGTGCGAACACGACATGTTTGAACCATGACCGCCCATCGAGACCGCCAAGGTAAAGAAATTGTCGCTCCAAATACTTGTATTTGTCGTTGGTTCGACGAATTTGCCAATACAGCCGGACCTTCTCCCACCATTTCCACCACGGAATGTCTTCGCCAAGGGATTCTTCAAGATAGGCCGCGTACGCGTCAAATTCAACCGAGGCGTTAAACAAGCGGTGCAGAGTGTACTCCAGATGGCGGAACGCGCCGCGGAAGGACGAGATTTCTGGAGACTCTGCTGACTTCGGTGCTGATTGGTCGGCCTTGTCCTTGGCGGCCTTGAGATAGTTCTGGAGGCCCGTAGCATAATTCGTAGCGTTAAGGTGCAGTAGTGGCTTCTCCACAATGGACGCGGCGAGTATCGACCAGAGTTTGCTCACGGCGACATGGTAATGGAATCCTGGGTCTCCAAATTTGTCCATCCAGTCAAAGCTATCGTAGTTTGAGTGGTAATGGTAGACTGCATCTTCTGAACCACCGGCGAATCCCATGTCGAGACTAGGAATTCCCGCAAAGTCCTGGAATGCAGTGAAATCACTACCACTGCCCATAGTGCTGATATGACCGCTCCAAGTGTCGCGGATGGTTTGTCCGCTCACAGTCTGGTTGGGGGACTGCACCAATGACGTAGCTTCATAGAGGGCCTTATTAAGGAGAGGGCTGGCCGACGCCTTAAAGCGAGGACCCGCGGTCGAGACGTCAACATTCAGATACGCCACTGCAGTCTTCGACAGCCACGGCAAATATTCCTCGACCCATTCCGTTGACCCAATAAGGCCATACTCCTCGCCGTCCCAGCTTGCCAGCACAATGGTCCGCAAAGGTTTCCAGCCAGCTTCGAGAGCGTTGCCAAAGCTTCTTGCGACTTCATTGAGAGTTGCGGAGCCACTGTTGGGATCACCAGCTCCTCCGGCAACCCAGGCGTCGCGATGATTTCCTAGGATGACGACTTCATCTGGGATCGATCCGTTGATGATACCAATAACATTCCACATAGGAGTCGTGACATATTCTTGTTCATTGACAAGGTGCAATGCAAGACCTTCCGGCGAAGGACCAATGTTATACTCGACGCCCTTGTAATCCAAGCCACCTCCAAGCCACCATTTGTTGATAGAGGACGCTTTGGGTCCGTGGCCGTTCAAGGCTTTGAGAAGGGGGAGAGCATCCAGATAGGAGATTGGGATTGACGGAATCGATGGGATTGAGCCATTGACCTCTTGGCGGGGTACCCCAGGTTTCGACGGGTAGCCAGGTGTGGTAGGATCACCCGGAGCAACACCTAGAAGGAATATTGTCATTACACTGATCGACAGGGGACAACGAGAAACAGGGGTATCTGCCAAGGCTACTTACTGAGAAACTGCGTGCTGCCTCTCTGGACGCTGCTAGGCTGCCGTGCTGGGCCGTCCGGATAAAGGGCATACCCGTTCTTTTCCGTCACTTCGCCATCGTCTCCAGGGTCGCTGTAAATAATAGTTCCAACCATGCCATGTTCTTGAGCATGCTTCACCTTTAACCCCCGGAAAATTCTGCCATACTTGGCCAGAGCAATCTTTCCTGCTAAGCTAACGTTGGCCTTGACGAGGTCATTGAAGTCCTCAAACGTGCCATAATTGACGTAGACATAGGATGCGGTGACGTTTCCGCTCGCAGAGTAGCCATGAAAAGTTGGAATTCGGTCCGCCAAACCGCTCGTATGATCCTTTTCAAGCACGTCCTCCTCAAGCTTGGCCTCGTACTTAACCTTCCAAGCGGCGGCGGTAGGGGCAGCGGCAGCTGCTCCATCGTTCCTCTTGTCCACAGCGCCTTCAGCAGAGGTATCGGACTTCTCCAGCAGAGCCAGACGGTGGCCCAAGGGGTAATTGACGTAAACATCATACGATACAATTTCGGATGCAATACCGAACTCTTCCCAGCGTTCCTTTGTAAAGATAGCTTGACTGAGATTCTTACCTGCCAGGTGGGGCCCAGCGGTATAGTATTGGCTCCATTCTCTGGCTTTGGCTTCTTCGGGAGTCGTCAATAGAATCTGTTGCAGCTCTTCGTAGGGAATGCCCTGGGTCAATGGCCATGCATCGCTGGGGAGCTGTGATGGAGAAGAGGAAGAAAATGAAGCCAAAAAAGGCCGGTGACGATGATGCCAATGAGGTCGAGGTCCGTCAATGGCAAAAGGAAGAAGGAAAAGGGCAACGATGATTATCAAGCTTGTTACAAGAGCAATCGTGCAGAAGCGTCTTAACGTGCTGTGAGGATATCGTGGTCGAGGCGGGGCCACGATGACCGTCTGCAAAAGCGGCGTATGCTCGCAGTTGGCCATGTCTTGCTTTTCTTTCATGATTTAACAATCATGTAGTGGGAACTGCGGTCGATAGCTGTCCTTCGATTCCTCCCCCAACGCAAACAATGGAGGAGACGACTCAAATTGATGCCTATCTCTAAGTTAAGTGCAGGCAATTGAGCTTGAACAAAGTCTGGCTTGTGTTGTTTTATCTGCGACCAGCTTGGATCACTTTACTCCACCTTTTGGGGAACATAAGCGCCCACGCGATGCCACTGTAACGTTGAGGTATCAAAACTCGTATCAGAGGGGAGCTCTTGTGCAGTGTGACGTGATGAGATCGGATTTGCACACCATACAGCTCAATTCCATAAGTAGCCGATACCTTTTCTGTGTTGCAAGGAGCATAGATGTCGCTTAAACATTTCGATAATACGAGGTACTCGGTACTTTTTCTAGTCAATCTGATAACGCTCACGTGCTCGGTAGAATAGCTAAGATAGGTAAGTGTCTATGCCTTATCTGCCCGCAGAAAGCGGACTTCACCTCGCACCTTCCTGTCCTAGGCAAAATTGTCGGCATCTGCGAAGTGTCCCTTTACTCCAAGAGGGCTTAAAAACGTTTCGATTCGGCATAATCATTCTAGATGTATAAGGTAATTATTATTGTGCAAGTGGAATTATGAACGTATTCGCTTATTTCTGGAAAGCGAACGAGGAGGAATGCAGGGACGGAGTTCTTCCGTTTCGCGGAAATGGTGCCGCCGTTAGGGAGTATCTGTTGCTGGGAGCTTTGATTAAATTTTTGGAGATGTAGAAAAGATACAGAACTCTGCAATTATCTCTCGTCTTACGATCAATATGTTCTTGATCGCAGAATTGCATACATTGCAGACAGACAATAGCGGCCTCAAGAAACTTACGTAAAAATTCACCGCCTTAGATGGGTGTCAAGACACGCGACAGGAGTCCCCCCACATTAACTTCAATCCATTTCGCAGTCGTGCTACGGAGAGTGATCACGGCGCGATGTCGGAGCAGTGGATCCTGTTATCCAAATTTGATCGAACTCTGTGCGAGGGTGGTAGCTCGACAGAGGTGATTAAAACCCAGGCCCGCTAAGGAACTCTAGGACCCCTGCTCTAAATTGACACCGCTGGTCGTTTACCGAAATTGCACTTTTTGCTCCTTTGCTTTTGCTCTTGTTGACGGGTGCGCGTGCTGAAAATAACGAATGTCCCCTAGACGGGACTTGTGATTCTTCGTACCCGTACAGAGGTAACCATGCAAACAAAGTAACTATCAAGGGTATTGAAGAAATCATCGATCTCTGGTAATTATTATTATTGGCTCCGAATCACCATCGCGCCCGAGACTGGCTGGTGATGCTCGTCTTCCACAAACAGCATACCGCGTGGCGCTCGCACCACAGTCTCACCATTGCTGGTCCCACTTCTTCATCCTCACCAACCATAGCTAGACCTTCAGTGTTTAGCCAGACGGCAAGGTCTTCAAGCACGATTGGATCGTACATCAGGATTTTCTCGTGCCAAGTCGGATTGTTCACGTTATCAGAGCGCGATTGAGCTCGAATGGCCAGGGTGATTTGCTTGAGCATACGAGCATCAGAGCCCGAGCCATGGCCATCCTCAGCCATGCCATCTCCTGCAGTAGCGCTCTTTGCTGAGGAAGCTAACGGCACGAAGGATCCCAGTCCTGTTGATAATGATGATCGACTCTTGACCGGGGAAGCTTTCAACTTCAAACTTGCTTGTTCGTCTGGTCCGCCGGAAATTCCTGGTATAGATCTTGTTCTGGCGGTAAAGGAGGGTGCCTTTCCCGCAGATTGGAGCAAATAAGTCTGTTCGGTGCTCGAGATCTGGCGAGGGGCTTCCTTCCCTCGATCTTGACGTTCCTTTGTTCGAGATAGACTCTCTGACTGTGTATCATTTCTAATTGCCACTGACGCGTCATTTGCAAAGCCAGTTACCTCTCGAGTAGCGTTGGAAGCACTTCCTTTCTGAAGGCTAGTTTTCGGGGCGATACGTGACCCTTCCATACCGACACTTTGAGGAGGGTTCTGCCAGGCGTTCCGATTTTTTCCCTGCCAGCATCTTTCAAGCAAACAGATCATTTGCTGCCGATTCTTCATCGGCTTGAAGCCATATAATGACAGCTCTTCAGAGAGCTGTGGGGTTGAGAATTCGGTAAAATTCGGTTTCTCGGGGTGTAATGAGGCTTCGTTTGACAAATTCGGCCTGTTGACCTGTGCCATCGGCCTGTTGACCTGTGCCATACGCTCGCAAAATCCATCTTCACCGCCGTTGCTGGCGTAGCTCGTCTCTACTTCTCTCCGTCGAAGGGATCTTGCGCCATCCAGGGCCACCCTACTCAGGACCTTTTCGTGACAAGCAAGCTGACTGCTAGGTACTTCAGAGAAGACTTCGTCCACATACCGTGGAGGTGATGGGGAATCACGAACAAAACCGCCGTCCAAGTCGAAGGTAATCTTTCGATCAAGATCCGATTCCCTTTCCGGGATTTTGAGCAACTGTTGTTTGCATGACCGTTTCCCATATGGTGACGAGCCAGTCAGATCCACTACCTCTAAGCCGCTTAGTAGCCCATTCTCATCTCTGGCAGCAGCCGACCAAAGATCCTTGTAACCGACAATAGGTGTTGACAAAGAAGAGCACGCGGAACGAGATCCACTGCTTGAAAGCGTAGAGGCATTAGTGTGGACCGAATTTTGTGAAAAGTCAATTTCAGATTGGTTAATCGCTCGTTGAAGATCCCGTATTAAACTCGGAGAATCCTCACGCGCCAGTTGACTTGAGGTGCCAAATAAGATATCTTGATCTTCCAATTTCCTCAGAGCTTCCTCAGGCGAAAGGGGCCGAGGCTTTGTCACTGCTTCCTTTTTCGACTTCCTCGGTGCTCTATGAGATCGTTCAGTATTGGCCTTGATGGACGTTGCACTGCCAGTTTCGATGAGCTTTGTGGGCGCGACAATCTCCTTGGAATCATCTAGCAGGTAAGCAGCTGTGGCCAGTCCGGTTATAGTCGTAGGTTTCTTTTTTCCTGGTTTTATTTTGAGCGATAGAGAAGCGTCCGACGACTGAGCGCTGCTTTCATCAAGCTAGAATATTGTTAAAATGATGATCATCTGCGAAAGGGTCCACTCTCCTCTCACCTCAATCTTTCTCCTCTTTGTGAAATCTCCTGACATCTTCGCTGGCGGGGCCGGCCCGCAACTAATCTTTCCAGTCCGTTGGAAACTATAACCACCAAGCATGTCACCGAGCTTCTTTACTGAAGTCTCGTTTGAGATGGTCTCTTTCTCGTGCAAGTCATCTTTAATGGCATAATTGTTTCGATTTGACGAGTCTTTGGTAGGGGTCCAGTCCAGCCGTCTTTTTGTCGCTTTATCGAGGACGAGTCCTTCTGATGCATCGGCAGTGTCAAAGTCCTCTGATCTGGGCTTGGTGAAATATCGCGACAGGGAATTTTCAGGTTTCTGTCTTTGTCTTCCTAAGCGGTTCTCTAGTGATCCGTCTACTCCAGGCTTCTTCACTTTTCCAGGTTTTATGGGTATCTGCCTTTTAGCTGCTCTATTTTCGCAAGTGTTATCTTTATATGCCGCAGAAATGTCTAAGTCGACTTGTATAGAGTCTACAGCAAGTTCCGAATCGCTGGTGGACTCAAAGTCCCTCCCCTTATGCATCGGCCAGAAACTATTGCCGATAGTATCCATTCTCTCTGACATGCTGTGGGCCCTGTTTTTGATACTCGAGACACCATTTTCTGGATCGTAAAAGTCGTCCTCGCGGCGAAACAAATTTGAAGGAGAAGGGAACGAAGGAGACGAGGGCCACTTGGACGGCGATAATTGATTGATGGTGACACCGGCAGTAGCCATTCTACGCCGCATCGACCATACCCAGTTGCGCCTTCTTTAATCCTAAAAAACGATAAAGAAAAAAGAAAAACAAAAGAGGTAAAATAAGTATTGTGGTTTCGTCTCAGCGCATTACCATTGCCGCTCTCGCGGTGTGATATCTTGATGATGTTTATCCTCGAAAGTCGGACAGTTGATCGCATTTCCCGGCCGGAAAAGCCTCGGTAAATCGTTGGGTATGCAAAACATTCACGGAGGATCCATGTCGGCAACCGTATGTATTCTACGGAAGCGCACAAGAGCCTTCTAACATATAATTTTCGTTGTCCAATGTTAGTGTTTCCGTTGAACGGTCTTAACGACCGATACCGTGGAAGATTTCCCAGTGTCTCATACTAAAGAGTTTGTGGATGACTGAAAGTGTTAGAGGTAGAGATTTGCCAACATATATCTCCATGCTTAACATCCCGATATAGCCTTAAATAACGCCGAGCCCCTTTCGCCTGGAAATGCTATATGAATATGCAAGGAATGGCCAGTAGATCAAGTGGCCCCCCTTAGAGCCATCAGGCCAAGTATCGCTACCTCTAATTCCTTTCTCTCCTTCAATTCGGCCTGGTTCCCATTGAGAACCATTTGACTTCCGGTCGGTGAAATATCGGATTTGTTCCTCTTTCCGGCACTGCCGACATTGTTGGAAGTTCCTATTTTATAGATCTTCTTTATCTTGGCCAGATCCGTCATGCTTCGAAGTGATTCATCAATAAAGGGCACAGCTGCACCGTCGACTGCCCTTGACAAATGGGTCCGCACACCGTCAGTCGTGATTTCGCCTCCAGTACAGATCTTGATGACGAGAAGATTCGTGGTAGTATCGTTCACGCCAAAACGACGAAAAGAATCCGCAATCTATTCAAACTTATGTCAGCGATATGTCCAGTCATGGACGAGTAGGAAGCACCTAAAATTCCCGTTTAGATGCTCCCGGAGGCGGCGACTTTAGGAGAATCCTACATTGTTATTTGGACTGAGGCAAAATACTGTCTCCGAATGAACATTGCGGCTCCTCAGCCGATTGTTCATGAAATCATTTGTCGCGCGGAATGCTGCCGCTAGAGCATGCATCGTAGAGATAATCTGGACGTGTCAATGAGCCTGGACCATTTCATAGAATTGAGGCCGGGGGATTTACGAACCGATGTGGCGTCAAGAAAGGCATATTCAAACTCAGTGTTTCCGCTCAAGAGCTGCTGGCGAAGAAATGATGCATTCTGAACATCACGGTATAGGGCAGCGTGAACAGCGTACGAGGAGGGTAGATGCGAGAGATGGAAGGTCTCAATTAATGCCATAGTGAGCAGCGATGTAAAATGAGACGTAACTTTGCCAATTTCAAGATGCTTATACAAGTAATGGAAGTAGCAGAGCACCGATAAGTCGATTATCAACAGGTGGTAATAAATGCATTCAAATAAAGGAGAGTATACCAAGAATAGGCTTCGTCATTTGCATGGTCTTGTATTCAGACGCGGGGTCAATCGATAGTCAACTCTAATAACACTGCTTGATTGTGACTGTGGGCCTGAAGTCTCGCTTACAGGCCTATCCTTTGGCGGTGTTCCTATGCTTCACTGTTCATCGCCACTTGCTCATCAGTTGGCCGCGCATTGACACTACCCGTATAGGTTGTTTGAAAGCACGACAGATATTAGAAAACTATTTGGTGGTTGCGTCGGCATTCAATCATAAACGTTTTGATCGATCTCGCGATATCCACGCGCGGCACCGACTCGCCAAAGTCGCATCTCCAAGGGACAGGCTCGAGCCATCCAACCGCACGGCAAGTTCCTCTACTCCATCAACGGAGAACGGAGAATGCCACCAAAACGCCCTTCGAGCGCGACTGAGACTCCTCACGCCAAGGTGACGAAGACTGAGCACTTCACGCCTGACGATTTCTCGAACTCGGTCAAGAAGAGGCTCCAGAGCTCCACCAGGACCGGGCAAGCTTGCGACCGATGCAAGGTATGTCATCATGCGAAGGCCATTTCAGGGGAAGCATGTCGAACGCGATGGCTAACACAAGCCTGAACAGGTTCGTAAGATTCGTTGCGATGGCCTTCCTGGAGGCTGTTCAGCATGTCTTCACAATAATACCGAATGTCGAACGACAGACCGTATTACCGGTCGAGCAACATCGAGGGGTTACGTTGAGTCCCTCGAGGAACGACTTCGGGATAACGATGCACGAATAAGAGAGCTGGAAGACCGCCTCATTGCCATGGGGGTTGAGGTCAAACCTGCTGATGGATATCATACTCCAAATGATGCACCCACTTTAGATTGGAGCCAGGCCGGGAATCCAAATGTTGCGCATATATGGGCACCTGCCCTCGCTGGCAATCCCAATGCAGGTCTGATGGCATACGCACCGGGGACGCCACCGGCCCCTGAGACTCGGCCTCAGGAGACAAACATTTTCCGTGCCTTGCCAGTTTTCCGCACCGGATGCAACGGAGACAATTATCTCGGCGTCTCCTCAGGAAATTCTTCCTTGAGTTCCATCCGCGGCACGGCCTTGTCAGTTCTCGGCATGGAGATTGACATTGCCGATTTTACGTCCAACGATATGGATGAGCCAGCTCCTTCTATATTTCAGCCGGAACTTTACAACAAGTCCTATCAGAGCTTCCTCCAGTCTGCGTTGAACATCAACACGAAGATTGATAAAGTAGAGCTTCCAGCCAAGATTGAGGGCGTCACCTATGTCGATTGGTACTTCAGGGTCATGAATCCGTATCTTCCGATCTTGCACAAGCCGACATTCATGACATTGGTAAGCGTTACCCCTTGTAAATCCGTAATATTAACGACTCAGTATCTAACTTCAATTTTCGCTCTTTAGCTTAACAGAATCTACGATGATCCGGAATTCAGGCCTTCGCCTGCCGAGACTGTCATGGTCCATATGCTCTTCGCAATAATGTTTTTCCAATATGCGGCCCGAAACTGGGAGGATGCTTCTCAGCAATCGGACTTGAACAGTCGCTCCAATCTGCACTATCACTATGCCCTTGGGTTTTTTTATCAATTGATGTCCGGGCATACGCTTCAGGATATCCAAGCGTTGACACTGATTTGTGCCCACCTCCGGACCTTTCCAAAGCCAGGGGCGAGCTGGATGGCTACAAGCCTTACCATGACACTTGCTATTGAGCTCGGTCTTCACAGATCAGCGAAGAGATGGGGCCAAACCGACCAGCAGAAAAATTTACTGGAAATTGAGATGCGGAAGCGCATATTCTACTCCGTCTTGGCCATTCTCGTCAGCCTCAGCGGCAAATTGGGTCGACCGATGCCTCTGCGTATCGAGGACTTCGACGTAGAGCTTCCTGAAGCAGTTGATGACGATCTGCTCTCGGAAGCAGGTCTTGATACCTCGAAGCCAGGTAGATGTAACTTTGCTGTAGGTGTCGAGGCCTTTAAGATCCTCCCAATTTTTATCGAACTTTACTCGCACATATATGCCGTTAGGCGATCGCCCCAGACCTATGTCGAGACTGTGCGACGATTGGAGACTAAGCTTCAGAGGTGGCAAGATCAGCTACCGGTCGAGCTTACGCAACCAGCTAGTTCGGAGAAACAGGAAGGTCGTGTTTTTGCTATCTATCTGGACATGTGGGCTCTAGAGCTTCGACTCCTCTTGCGACACCCTTCTGTCTCGCTCACTGCATCTCCTGAATTCAATAACGAAAATCTTGACGTCTGTCTCAAATCTGCGCGACAGATGCTGCATAACATGAGACAGCTCCAGAAGTACAAGAGCTTGGATACGACATGGTACAATAGTGCAGTCTACTTGATGGCAATCACAACCACCTTGTTCGTGGAATGGGAGAAGCGAGACCAGAGAACGGCGGCTGATTTGGCCTCTTTACGAGAGGAGATGAATTTTTCGCTAGACATCCTAGGCGATGTTGGTGGTGTCCTAGGTATGTTTCCTTGTTCAAGCAGACGTCAGTTTACGCAGTCTAATGCTCAGTAGGATCGGGCAAGCGTCTCCAAGAAGCCGTTCGTGTTGTCGTTGATGGTACCCTTGCAATGCTTTCGCGCAACCTTGCGACCAAGACCGCTTCCGCGGCGTCCGCTGCTGTTGCATCGGCAGACCTTAATCGGCCTTCTTCGCATTCACCTACTCAGGGACAAGCCACACCTCCCAGTGGTGCCCCTTTCGATGCGCAGGGCAGCTACTCACCGGGATTCCCGGATCATGGCGACGGAGCGAATACAGCTGCCAATGCCGGTGCTAGAGGAAGCGCCTACATTTCACCCGACGATCCGAGCATGACACAGACTCAGACACCATACCCTGCAGCTGCGACTGCTCAATATTCCTACCCTGAGCCATCCTATCCTGCCCAGCCAGGGCCGTTTGACGCAAGTCCGTATCCCAATGCGCCTGATGGAGGCTTGAACAACATGTCTTCAGTCCAGCCCTCAGCATCTCAGGGCTCTGCCAATGCATTCATGTTTCCAAATGCTGGTGGAAACCCTGCGTACCCGCCAGGCGGCAACTTTGGAGGTTCTCAGTCGTGGCGGCAGTGGACCGGTACGATGGCCAACAATCTCGAGCCGCAGGAGTATCTTAATTCAGCGAGTGCGCTGATGCAGCTTGGTGGCCGCGATGTTGGTCAAGCCGAGGGAGGCCCGAACCCAGCGCCGGTGGCAGACATGACTGGAAACATGGGTGGCGGTGACGTAAACGCTAATGGAGGCATGGGTGCGGGCGCTGGACAGCCTTGGCCACTTATGATCTTCGACATTGGACAGGGTAACTCTTAATGATATTGTGATACACTTATGTTTTACTTTCCTTGTTTCTGTCGGGCTGGCTGGAGGACGGCGGTAGTGGACGATAGACTGCTTTAATTATTTAACAAGGCCGTTCTCTGCGCCGGAGGTATGGTAGCAGCCTTTGCTCATTCTTGCTGATCAAACTCCTTCTTGTTGAGGAGTGAAAGTTCGGAATTTGTCTCCTTTCATTGCTTTTCCTTTCCCCCTCTGGGCTTATCTCTGCTATCATTTTTTCCATTTCCTTGGTCATTACGGCGTATAGCTTGATTCACTTCCTGGGCGGCTCGGTGGAATTTTATACTATTTCAGTGCAGTCTTCAACACGTGACTTGTATTCCGTGTAATGGACATGACGCTTATTAAGAAGCAAATAGTTTCATTGTAATACAAACTTGAAAATTTTCATGAGTTGGAGCAGCGCAGATGATACGATGTAGTACTAGGGCCCAGGATCTCCAAGAGGTGCATTTACCCCAGTTTCGCGATCTATCGTAATAGACCATGCAGCTCTCGATAGAGCAATTTAAGGAATTTTCCAAGGGATCATAATTATACCAACAGTGCCTTTTGGTGCATTTCCAATCGTGTTAACATTTGATGATCAAAAACGACGCAATGTATCCATTTTTTCTCACCGTCGTTGCCAAGCATTGTCGGGCCCTGTGTCTCGTCTCTTAATAGCGGATCGCGTGCCGCCTCCACTGCTGAATACAGTAGAAGACTAACTATTGATGGTAATCAGCTCCCCCCTCCCCCATGATCCCCCCCGTCATTCCCTCACCCCCACCTGAGAGTAACTGACTGGCAGCACCCGGGCTTGGCCCGAACCACCACCACCCAGTCACATTATCATAAATCAGTGGAGAAGGCAAACTGCAAAAGAAAGGCTTCGATCGGCTGCTTACTGGCCCACCGGCCCTCAGCTTCTGTCTTTTGGACCCCGGATTATCCAATCAATCCTCCAGTCAATCAATCTCCATCGAGCATGGTGCTCCGCAATCCTACCATGTATCAATGCGATATCTCCCCTTGCTATCGTTGATTACACGATCCACATCACCAGGTACGCCATTTTCCATGAGCCTTCCATGCCACTTTGAAAAGTCAATTGACCACTCTTCGTCACAGCTTGCAGCTTAGATCACTTAGTGGCACCGTCCACCCAGGCATCTGCCATCCTCAGGCTCCCCTCTCTCCTTCTCCTCCTCAGCCTGTACCGGCTCTGATTTATCGCCCACCATCGTCTTCACTCACCCGCGGAGGCCTCTTTTTTCGCCCCTGTCATCCGCTCTAGTTCCGAGTTTACAGTACTTATCATCCACTGGCTGCAACCGACGGCCTTATATCTACAAATTGTTTGACAAGCTCTGTCGGAACATTTTGTAGACACAATTACTTTTTGCGGCGGTCGGCTTAGTGTTGCTCGCGTGATAGGACCAAAAGCCTATACGTATTGACAGATGAGAGAGCTATATAATCTGATTGCCAAAGGACTGGCTACCGATTGACAAAATTTACTCATCTAGCTCTCCACGAGACTCAACGCCAAATTCTTTCCTCCTGCCATCTAGGAGCCCAGCGTGCGAGGATAATCTGGCAATCCGATGCGTCGGAACCCTGCGAGATCTCAACGCGGACCAGTTCTAACAGGATTTGCTGGACTTGCTTCTTCATGCCTCGGCATCACCGGTCTGGCGGGGGCGCCTTGGCCAAGGGCCATGTGCCCCCTGTGCCGGAAAATCTGTCCCTGATTAGGACCTTTAACTCGGAGAGTAATCCGGCGCGCCCAATACGGCCATCGCCCTTAACCGCTTCTCAAATTCAGGGCATTCCTCTTGATCTCCTCGATCGTATTCGCTCATTTCCGCTCTTCCTGTCGGCCCCAGATTCTTTTCTCATCGCAATCGGATCACACTTGAGGCCTCAAGTTCAGTCGGCCCACGATAATGTTGTGACAGAGGGGGATGAAGCTCGAGCCATGTACTGGCTGGTGCGTGGTGCAGTCGCTGTTACGTCGCGCGATGGTGAGAGCACTTATGCCGAGCTTCGACCGGGCGCCTTCTTCGGGGAGATTGGGGTTCTGATGGACATACCTCGCACAGCCACCATTGTGGCTCGTACGCGATGTCTGCTTGTGGTCTTGAAGAAGGAAGATTTGATGAAGGAGTTGCCTAAATTCCCAGAGGTTGAGCGTGCTATTCGCGAGGAAGCGCAGGAGCGACTGACGATTCTGGATCGGAAAAAGAAAACAAAGGAGCCTGCTCCTTCCATGCAAGGTACTGCGCCGGCCTCTCCGAAGCCGAATGGTAAGCGTACACGCGATGGTATGCTCGGTGAAGTCGTCATGGGGGACGAAGGAACAGTCAAAGCGGGTGAAATTGTTGTTCACAAGAGGCGGAAGTCACCAAGCCCCAGTCTCGCAGAAACTGCAGCCTCAAGCGCCTTGGGAAGCAGCATGGTGAACGTTCGGCAGCTATTGAAAGAGCTCCCTCTGTTTACAAGCTTGCCGCCTGAAATTCTTCACTTTCTGGGATTAAATGCCCAGCCGCAAACATATCCCCCATTTACTGACATTATCCGGCAAGACACGCTTGGGAGGGAGGTCTTTTTCATTGTTAGGGGGGAGGTTGAGGTTGTGGATGAGAAGAATGGTTTCGGTGCTACGAACGGAAGGGAGAGCATGGAACGGAGGGTTCATGTGCGAGCCCGACTCAAACCAGGCCATTATTTTGGAGAAGTGACAAGCTTGTCCCTTGCCCCACGAAGGACAGCTACGGTCCGCTCCATCACTTCTGTTGAGTGCTTGATGATTGGCGGTTCCGTGCTCGATGAGTTATGGGAGCGTTGCTCCCCGGACATTCGACAGCAAGTGGAAAACACGGCAAAGCAGAGACTGGAGGCCGCCAATGATGAGGACATTATTATGCCAGATGCCCCCGAAAGTACTCCTCCCGCTATTGACGAACTTGCCATTGCGGATCGCCGGCCACAGACGCCAGGCAAGCAGCAACCTCCGAAGGTAAATTTGCAGAAACCTGCCGCAGATGGCCACCCCGCCTCTGGAAAGACCGAGGAACCCTTCGACCCCGACCCATTTCTTAACCATGATCTGGATAACATCCGCTTCCGGTCTCGGCGAGGCTCATTGGCGCCTCCAGTGCCAGAAGCTGGGGCAGGAGATAGGAGAGATGTCGGCCCCTCCACTCCAAGTCGCAAATCGCTGTCTCCTTCACCTTCTCTGAACAAACATGCAATCACACCGCCAGAATCTAAAGCGACACCCAAGCGACCTAAGTTAGTCCCGCGAGTGGCAAGCCATAGAAGTCAAGGCATCCTTCCAGATGCGGTTCTCATTAAGATATTCCAGCATTTGGATGTCTATCAGCTCATGCGCATTCGTAGTGTCTCCATTCACTGGTCTAAAATAATTTCTACTTCACCAGATTTGCTTCATCTCCTTGATCTAACACCTTATAATCGCAAGGTCACTGACGACGCTCTCATAAACTATATCTGCCCTTTCGTTGGCTCGCGCCCTCGCGTTATCAACGTGAACAATTGCTTCCACATCACTGATGAAGGGTTTAGCGCTCTAGCCGTCGCATGCGGAGCCAATGTGCGCTGCTGGCGGATGAAGAGCGTGTGGGACATTACAGCCCATGCAGTTCTTGAGATGGCCAACAGTGCCAAGAGCTTGGAAGAAATTGATCTAAGCAATTGCCGCAAAGTGAGCGACAATTTACTTGCAAGGGTGGTAGGATGGATAGTACCTGAAAGCAGTGCGAGCCGATTACACAAGTCTCATGATACTGCCCGTGGTCAGGGCCCAGGAACTGTCATCGGCTGCCCCAAGCTGAGGCGGTTAACGCTGTCTTACTGCAAGCATGTCACAGATCGATCGATGGCGCATTTTGCAATCCATGCCGCGTCGCGTTTGGAGCAGCTTGACCTTACGCGTTGTACGACTATAACCGATCAAGGATTCCAGCACTGGAGCATGTACCATTTTTCGAAACTCCGTAAGCTCTGCCTGGCAGACTGTACATATTTGACGGATAATGCCATTGTCTACTTGACAAACGCAGCAAAGGAACTTCGGGAACTTGATCTGGTAAGTTGCAAATTGCACTTAATGCGACAGAGTTGAACCCCATGCTCAAGAAAGTTTTAATCATCTAACACGATATGCAGTCTTTTTGCTGCGCGCTGTCTGATACTGCAACAGAAGTGCTGGCTCTAGGATGCCCCCAGCTGACACACTTAAAACTGTCTTTTTGCGGAAGTGCTGTTTCAGATGGATCGCTTAGGAGTATTGGTCTCCATCTCCTAGAACTCCAGTCTTTGTCTGTTCGAGGATGTGTCCGGGTCACCGGCGTTGGTGTCGAGGCTGTTGTCGATGGATGCCACAAGCTCAGAGCATTTGACGTTTCACAGTGCAAGAACCTGCTAGGGTGGCTGAATAGCGGCGGGGTTCAGCGAATCGGGAAGCGGGTGAAGTTCGAGACTGTGGCTGGCCATGAACTCGCAAAATTGTGATTTGTTTTGATGTGCACATATTTCTTTTTGTTAAGCCTGGCGGATCAGCCTGGTCGGACGGAGTCATCGGCGCAAGATACGACCTGTTTCCTCCTAACATTTGACTTCAAACCTCTTGTTCCTTTACGACATCATTCGGTCCATCTGCATTTTTATTGGAACATTCCCTCACACAGCATCGGCGAATGCACTATCATCTATATCATTGCTTGCAATACTTGGGTTGTTGGCTGGTAGCGATGCGAGCCTCCCTTCTTCGTTAACCTGATGCGGGCTGTTTGTGCCCTGTCTGTTGCATTAGGAGCTCATCGGAGTTGGAATCGGAGTAGCTGAGATGACATTGCATTCTGATGCGACGATACCTCCTTTCCATGCACTTTTGTCCTCTTTTTGAGTACTGCTTCATCCATGGACCGTATGATGGGAAATATTCGAGTTCATGCACAGGGATGAATTTGCTGGATGTACATTTAGTAAATATTTGGTCATGCAAACTTGAATACTTTGGTCGCAAAATTTAATCTCTTTGATGTTTTCTAGTTTGTAAGATACTCAATCCAAATCCTTTTTTATTTACTGCAGCTCAAAGCCAATTGAGACCTTATAGATATCCAAGCAGCTATATCACGCGAGAGCCATCACTCTTCGATCAGTTAACCCCAGGAGAGTGCCATCAGATTCAAGAACAGGAGGGTAGCTGATATCGACGTGCTGCCATCCTCAAAGAATCAGTACAAGCGTTGAGGTTAACTTATCATGTGAAAGTACATGCTTACATAAGATGATAGCTTACACCATCCAGAAGCTCATTGGAACATTCTGGTTCAACGGACGTCACTGATCGGGCCCCTCGGGAAATAGCGAAGAGCAAACCTCCGATCGCCGAACAGTTGAGAACCTTCCTCGCCTCTCTACTCTGTACTCATCAACCAACAACTCACTTCTTTGCGTGCGTTGCAGTGATTACTGCTTCTCTCCGATCTTTTTCTTCCTCACCAACGTCAGTGTCATTGCAACTAAAAAGCAATTCCGACTCGAATTTCCTTTGGTCCCGCAAGGACAACTTTATCGCACGATGGCTACGTTCCTTCGGCGACCTTTTGCTCTCTCGGGAGCAGTCCTGAAGGAGCTCCCGAAATCCTCTCCTTCATCCGCAGCTCGATCATTCCATAGCGGTGCCTTCTTCACGGCCCCAAGACCTGCAACATCTGCAACTGTTTCTCGCAACGCATTTGCTGCATCCCGCTCCGCTGCCTTCTCGTCCACATCCAAGACATCCGGCGTCTTTTCTTCTCCTCTTGCCGCGCTCCGCTCCCGTGGGAACAATGTCCTCCAATCCACCTTTCGACGAACGTACACGAATCAGGGCTACCAAGCCTCTGCTCCTAATGCCGGTACGCTCACACAGCGTTTGCTCTATGGCGCGGGAATCGTTGGCGGTACACTTGTGGCCATCAACCTCATTTTCAACCGTGAGACGCGTGAGGATGGCGGCATGCCGCCTTTTGAGCGAAGCTTTCTGAATGAGACTTTCCTCCACACTGGCCTTGGCGTGGGTATCATTGGTATTGCCGCTCGTGCTCTGCACGTGAATGGCTGGAGTTACCGCCTTATGGCAATGAACCCCTGGATGGTCATGGGCCTCAGCTTGGTTGCTAGCATCGGTACTATGTACGGCACTTTTAACACGCATCCTAGCAAGTAAGTCATCACCTTTCTACCCTTTCCAGTTTAGTTGCCCAACTGTAGTGCTAACATTGTTCTCTCAACAGCTACGTCCAAAAATACGCTCTCTGGGCCGGGTTCAACCTGGCTCAGGCTGCCATTCTCTCGCCTCTTATGTTCATGTCCCCTGCTCTGCTCGCCCGTGCAGGTCTCTACACCGTTGCCATGATGGGCTCTATTGCATTCGTTGGTGCCACTGCTAAGCAGGAGAAGTACCTCTACCTCGGTGGTCCCCTTCTTGCTGGTGTTGCGATTGTTGCCGTGTCTGGTCTCGCCCCCCTCGTTCTTCCCGCAACTGCGGTTCGCACCCTGGCTTGGAGTGAGAAGATCTGGCTCTATGGCGGTCTCGCTGTCTTTGGTGGCTTCACCCTGTATGACGTCCAAAAGGTTTTGCACCATGCTCGTCTCTCCGAGCGCGGTCTTATCCCCCGCGATGTCGTTAATGAGAGCATCTCGCTCGAGCTCGACTTTTTGAACATTTTCATCCGCATGGTTCAGATTTTGGGTATGAGACAGAACAACCGTCGCTAAATGTAACCCAAGATTTGTTGATCGCTTTCGGACTCGGAGATCTATGGATGAAGATGACTGGGAGGGGAGAACAGAGAAAATATCAATTTGCGATTAATGCACTTTAGCAAGAGCTATGATAGATAGACTCTTTGCAGCGGAGTTTTGAGCTTTATCTGTCAAGGATTATATCATTACATTTGTACAGTCTTTTCTTTTCTTTTTTCTTTTCCCCTTTAAATTTATTTTTATGATCTAATGTCTCCCCTCTTAATTATCGCTTCAAGAAGCTCTCAAATTCTATAAATAGAAAATTGAAATTTGTCTATATTTAAAGTTGAGATGAAATATTACTTTCCTTGAGAAGATTTACTTGAGTCCACTGACGCCGAGTTGAGGAGTTCTGCATATTTGATTCAGTCAGTTCTGAAATGGTCATGAATCGACAGAAGTCATCCGCCATCCGGCTGTTCAAATGGATGAATGGTTTGATGTGACGCCCGTTTGTCTTTGTATGCCATGCCTTTGCTATTTTGCAACAGGCGAGAGTTATCTAGTGGGAGCTGCGCAATGCGTTGATAGCTTGTCGCTGACTTGGACCTTCACTTGACCGGAACGGGCGCTGCAGTTTCAGCGAGCATATCGCCCCCGCATCGGTACAAAAGGATACTGGAAGACTGGCACATGTCTATCGTACGAGGCGGTACCATTTTGCGGCATATTGCTCGTTATTTTGGCGTGAAAAGCATTAAGCTTGGAGCTCGACTGGGGCTTGTGCTTCTCTGATTGTCCATGTCCGATAATATCTATCAGGACATTAAGTCTTGCACGGAATCCACGTAGGAATAAATACGTAGACACAGTTGGGTATTTTGCAAAAGAGGTGCTTCTGCAAGCACTTCACGGGTGCTCATGCCCGTCTCATGCCAATTGCGTCTGAGCACCATCCGCAGTAGCTGCGGCAGCAGCAGCAGCTCTCCTCTCTTTCCGTTTCGTTCCCAGGATGAAATCCACATAGGCTAGTCGTCGTCCCTGCAAAAGTGACAGGGCGTCTTGAGTCAGGCCATAACCCAGACCGAAGAGGAGACCCATTTTAGCGGTACGCGCGGCTGTTATTACTGGGAAACGGTCTATTATTTGATTAAGTAGCTGATTAGCTGCTAGACTGATATTTGGAATATGGATTTTGATCGTTTGGCAGGTGACTTATGTGACTGCCATTGTAATGGCATATTTGCTCAGGCAAGAACAGTGCTTGGAAAGGATGAGAAACCAACTTACGCCATAAGCTGAATCCACCAGCAATGCCCAAGCCCGCCACGACTGTCGAAAAGAAATCCTTCTGTCCTCCGCGTAGTCGGTCGACGGCTTCTTCCACGGTGAAGAATCCGCCTACCCATACGCTCACTTTTGTGCCCATTTTCAGCCCTTCTCTCACCCCACCTAGCATCATATGGTAGTTCTTGCTCTTGTGGTAGAGGTACCATCCTGTCGGAGTCTGAGGGAGCCGGTGTGCGTTCTCGGCCCGGAACCGTAGTCCGGCCATCATGCTTCCCTGGGAAAGACCCATCCCGACTCCCGCAAGGAATGATCCTAGCATGCTGGCTGGGATCCGGAGGTGCAGCGGAAGACCGAGACGGTCGGTTTCCGGAAGCTCAGGGCTGGGGTCCGTTGGGAGAGTCATTGTTGCGGGGGGAGGAACGTTGGGCTGGGATGCAGTGGAGGTCATTGTCTGTGGTGGGGTTTCGTGAATTTTAAGTATATATCTCTTGTTGAAAATACAAAGATATAAAGAAGTGAATTATGACTTAAGAAGAGTTTGAGTAGAAATTAAAGACGTCAGTAGCTCCTAAGAACTCTGAGGAAATTGAAGGTGACTGTCATGTGTTGCTCAACAGCTGCGGAAGGTGGTTCGGGAAACGGAGTAATATATGATCCGTGGTCGATAAGCGTCACTTTGTGGGTTGGTTGGTGAATTCGAGATTCGCGTTCAGCGACGTGTATGCAATCATATACAGCGTGTCCCTTTTGAAGATTCTAACTCAAAACAAGAAACACTTGTAAATTGAAAGTTGAATTTAATAGAAAAAAAAATATGGTATGGAATCTCTATATGCGTTGATACCTTCGATCACAACTGACAGCTGCCGCAGCCGCTTTCCGAAGCAGATCAGAGCTCGTGGACCTTCAGGCTCAAGCACCACAAGACGACTATCCTTCTCTTTGTGCGACCATTACAATCATTCGATTCTATTAAGGAAGATCTGCTCCATGCCCTAAGGTCTACACGCCCTGATGGCACATTGAACGGCAACAAGATCCCTACAAGCTCCGACGAAGTTGTACTCGGTGTACCTATTGATAACAACGACTTAAGCAAAGGCTGGGTAGCACTCGAGATCCCGGAGTCAGAGATTCTCGATGAGCAAGGCGTCAAACGAAAGGTCGGCGGCAAGCAGAGTGTTCTAAATCAGAGCCCCCAAGGAGCAGGACTGAAAGATGGAGCGGTGCTGGCGTTCAAATTCCGCGAACCAGGCGCTGGAAAGACAAAGGACGAGGACAAAGATGACCTAGGGTTAGAGGATGAACAAGATGATGGGCAATGGGATGTATCGATTCCAAGCTACGAGGAGGAGTATGGTAGTCAGGCGGACTATTCCGAAGAGTGACGAGAAAAGCAGCGAGAGAAGGGAGAAGAGGGGGAGGGCTAGTGAAGCCCGGAGATTTTGTGTCATACTGGCGTTATCTGGAACTGCATCTGGAATCATGGTATCTATTTGATGAGAATGATGTATGAAATACCCTTGATAAAAGTTATTCAAATGAAGGGGACTAGTCTCATTAGTACAAATAACCTCAAAGGTGTGTTTACTACAGGGTCAAATGATGAATGACGAACGGACCCTTTTTCAAAGATGCCAAACGATTCGTCTTATTTTCTAAGGCATTACTGATGTATAGATCACCATAATATATTTAATTACAAGGCAAAAAAAGGTAGAATATTTCAGCATCGGTTTGCTTTTGTGAGAGTGGCTCATGAGTTTTATAGAGAGGATCATCCAATAGGTGTCTTAAATCCTGGTCACCCGAAGCAGCAGAACAAGAATAAAATGACTGATCAGCCAGGATCTTGTTGCACAGGCCGCTGTCTCTATGTGTCTGTTCTTAATTGTCTCAGACTCTGATGGTTGAGACCCTGAAAGTGAGCTGGTCACCGCCGTTGCCGGGTCAACCGGAGTTTACCGTTCACGTCGAACCCAAGCAGAAGCAAAGTGACTTGAGCAGCATCAACACGACATTTGACCAAGAGCGTGACAGCTCCACGACCTCGACATTGAGCGGTCCATGTTATACTAACCAGCAGGGAAATCAAAAGATCTGTTGTCGGAGATCGATCAACTGGCGCCGAAAAACCAACTGTCGCTACTACGGAACTGACGCGAGCGAGTAACTCGCTCCTTTTCCAACGTCAACACGTTGCTGAACCCAACGAGCAGGCATTTGGACCAAGATGGCAGCCCCAGGTGGCGCTTCTTCAATCTCTGTCACCGTTAGAGTTCGACCTTTCACTATTCGTGAAGCGGCGCAGTTGACGAAATGCGACGACACTCCCTTTTTTCTGGGCGACGGTTCTCTCGCGGCCGTTCCGACCCCGAAACTTGTCCAGAAGGGCATTCGGCCCGTTATCAAGGTCGTGGATAATAGATGCTTGTAAGCGGCATATTGAAAACGAGACGTCAACGGCAAATTTGGCTAATTTTCCCGTTAGAGTGTTCGATCCTCCTGAAGATAATCCCATTCAGCGATTCTCACGATCAGTCGTTCCTACTACGGGCAAAAGAGTCAAGGACCAGACTTTTGCTTTTGACAGAGTATTTGAAGAAAATGCGTCGCAGCAAGAAGTTTACGAATCGACCACGAAGGGTCTTCTGGACAGCGTGATGGATGGCTACAACGCGACTGTTTTCGCCTACGGCGCCACAGGATGCGGCAAGACCCATACTATAACGTGAGTTTCTGGCGGAGAGGCTGACAGTCTAGATTGGATGTAGGAAAGTGAGGCTGACTGCGTTTAGAGGAACCTCCCAACAACCAGGAATCATCTTCATGACCATGCAGGAGCTCTTTGAACGCATTGCTGAGACAAGAGATGAGAAAGAAACAGAAGTGTCCCTATCTTACCTGGAAATCTATAATGAAACTATTCGAGACCTTCTGGTTCCTGGAGGAAGCAATGGTGGCAGCAGAAGTGGCCTCATGCTTCGAGAAGATGCGAATCAGGCAGTCTCAGTGGCAGGCTTGTCCAGCCACCGTCCACAAAATGTATGGTATACTGAATCCCATTCGATTTGCGCATTTTGACTGACAACATACAGGTTCAAGAAGTCATGGATATGATTGTCAAAGGCAATGAGTACCGGACGATGTCTCCCACCGAAGCGAACGCAACGTCTTCCCGTTCGCATGCAGTGCTGCAGATCAATGTATCTCAGCGCGATCGTACCGCCGATGTCAACGAGCCTCACACCATGGCTACCCTCAGCATCATTGACCTTGCTGGTAGTGAAAGAGCAAGTGCTACCAAGAATAGAGGCGAGAGATTGATTGAGGGTGCCAACATCAACAAATCTCTCCTTGCGCTTGGCAGTTGCATCAACGCACTCTGCGATCCCCGCAAGAAGAACCACGTCCCCTATCGTAACTCAAAGCTCACGCGTCTTCTCAAATTTTCGCTCGGTGGAAACTGCAAGACCGTGATGATAGTTTGCGTGAGCCCGTCTAGTCAACACTTTGACGAGACCCAAAACACTCTTCGTTATGCCAACCGCGCGAAAAATATTCAGACCAAGGTCACTCGAAATGTCTTCAACGTCAACCGCCACGTCAAGGATTTCTTGAAGAAGATTGACGAGCAAATGAACCTCATCAATGAGTTGAAGCAGCAACAGAAGGACTATGAGACGAACGCTTTTGCAAAGTTCAGGAAGCAGCTAGAGAAGCGTGACCATGTCGCCAAAGAAGGTATCACCCGGATCCGGAGCGCTTTTGATCATACTGCAAGTGAAAGACAAGAAAAGATGTTGAACATGAGAAGATTGCGTCAGATCGAAAGACGAATCTCGATGTTATCTGCTTGGATTGCAGCTTTTGATTATGTGTGCGAAGCGAGGGGCGAGGAGAATCCGCCCGATCAATTGGCAGCAGTGCGCAAGAGCGCCCAAGGTATACTGGTAGAGCTGGAGAGTAGTCGACACCATTATCATCAGCGGCTTTCCAAATGTGACTGGGAGAGGTCTATGGACTCTGCGTTGCAAAATGCTCTCAAGCAATTAAAGGAATCAGAGGGCCCCACAGGTAGCGACCCCTCGGACGCAGCGCGTCTGATCAGGGAAGTAGAGCTTTTGAAAGCCAATGCTGAACGTGAGGGGCTCTCTGGAGTTTTGGAACAGGAGAAGGGAGGCGATGCAGGGATGGTCCAAATGCTTCTTCAAGCGCACTTTGATACAATATCTTCCTTGCACAAAATTCTGCAGATGGACGAACAAGCTGCTGTGGAAGCCGCCAAATCAAGCTTGGGCAATATCATTACGGAGTGTTCTGACGTAACCTCGCAAGTAGTCAAGCCTGATGGGAGTTTGCCGCTCCCTGAGCCCACCGTCCCAAGCTGGACAGGGTCACCGAAGCGAGGGACCCCGAAACGACCGAAGCAGGTCAGCCTGGTCGTGTCTCCCATGAAGCCATTGGCACCTGCGCTTGCGAGCGCAGCTCATCTTGCTGCGTCTCCAGTCAAGGGTTCTCCAAAGAGAAGAAAGGCTGCCGTTGTGCGGAAGGCCGTCTCCTTTACACCGAAGAAGAAGGCACCTATGAAGACTGCAAAGAGAGGAGTGAGATGGAAGGATGACAGCGATGAAGGCGGCATGCTTGCTGAGTTTGAAAAGACGCCGCAGCGGTACGACTCAACGCCAGAAGAAGTTCATGTCGAGGAGATTGCGGAGCCGACCGTCGAATCATCTGTCGAATCACCTATTCCCTCGGTAGGACCGATGCCAGACGTTGAGGCCCTTCTCGATTCTTCGCCGATTCCCACGCCTCCAAAGGCGTCCATTGACATCAAGCCAAAGTCAAATAGATTCCAGACGGGCTTCCTTTCCAAGAAGCACGACGGCTCACCAGGACCGGTGATGCATCCCCGGCGAACAGTGAGCGCAGGCCATTCTTCTCCACTTCGTGAATTAGAGCCCGGCAGGACATCCAACCGGGCCTCACCTACTGTCGCCAGCGCTGCGCTTCTTAACGACAGCACCCTAGAATCTGGTAGCAACTCGGGATCCGATGAAGAGAGCCGCAGAGTCAGGCTGGACAAGCTGGATGATATCCGTAAGCGCGCTGTCACGAAACGGGCATCATCAACGGCCCTGACTGGGGCTCCCGCTGGTCGTACTGGGCGTCAGCGGAGTCCCACTGCGTCTTCGTTGAGCAGTCCGCCTGGAGAGAAGTCCATGTTCACCGCTGGTCAGGCGCGGCGTATGGTTAGATCTGACAAGGAGAATGACAGTAAAGGAAGCGTCCTCAGCCCTAGAACTGCCCCAGTGATAAAGGGCGGTGCGCAAAGACGCACGACTATCGGTGAAGAAAGAACTCGGCCCAGCGCGGGTCTTCGGGGAGACGCTGTGCGGCTGGTGACAGCCGGGGCTGGAGCAGCCAGGGGAAGCTTGACCTCTACTGGAAAGAGCGCATGGAGGTAGATGCAATCATCAAACCATCATGCGACATTACATCTTTCATTTAGCGAGTCCAACATGCAAGGCGGAAGCATTTTTGGCCAACCAATGGCGGATTTGGAAGCGATTCGGATCAATCCTTTTATGCTTCATGCATTCATTCTACTCATTTTACCCTTTTCATTTTCTTTGGAGTTCGGAAAACAAGGCGTCACGGTCGGATACCTCTCTGTGTGCCGTGTTTTGTCTGTTTGTCTTGATGACTTGTATTTTAGATCTGCTTGCTTTTCAGTTTTGGGCATAGGGCAGCACGGTCTAAGCAAATAACTTACCGATTAATTCACAACATGAGGCACCATGACGACTTTTTTTTATTTCTAAACCTCGGCATGACGATTGATGGCAATTAGAATTTCACACTTTGTGCCACTTATTCTGATGATTTGGAATTCATGAGCGCATACAAGGTGTAAATGGACTTTTGTTGAAGCGTAGTCATGTTGTGTGTTGACATATACCGGAGCGGGTGAACGACTGCGCCACAAAGATTTGTCAAACGGACCGAACCCCCCGCCACCAGCCACAAATTGCATCAATGACGCCAATAGTCCCCAATATTAGTGATCCGTTATATATCCACAAAGGTAAAGCTTCAATAATTTCAAATACATTTCCACGGACCTTATAACCACCGATTTAGGCTCTTCCAACCTCTAATCTCAGATACACAGCACTATTATCATACCCAGTCAATCGAGGTCAATCAATTCGCGCCGATATATCATCTTCTTTGTCTGCCTTGGTCCCTTGTTGACCATGTTCGCCTCGGGCACCATATCCATGATGCCCTCGTTTTTGGCACGCCTTATTCGTCCTTTTTCCTCGAGCACCCACCTCGGCCTCACTCCCGACACGGTCGCGCAAAAATACCCAGCCAATGCGCAGCTCGCGACCGTTGCAGCGGGATGTTTCTGGGGCGTAGAGCACATGTACCGCAAGGCATTCGCGGGCAAGGGTCTGCTGGATGCTAAGGTCGGATATATTGGAGGAGATGCAAAGCATCCTAGCTACCGCCAGGTCTGCACCGGCAGCACAGGACGTAAGCGCCGCCATCAATGAATACAGCAGCGCCATATTATTCGGTTACAGAGAAGAGACTAATAACCTATTGCGCGACAAGCAGATGCCGAAGCTCTCCAGATAGTCTTTGACCCTGAGCAGGTCTCATATCGCCAGCTTCTCGAGTTCTTCTATCGCATGCACGACCCTACTACGCTAAATAGCCAAGGCCCGGACGTTGGAACGCAATATCGCAGCGCCATCTTTTTCTATACCGACGAGCAGGAGCGCATTGCCAAGGACATTACGGAGAAGGTTCAGAAAGAGTGGTGGAAGAAGAAGCTCAGTACGGAGATTATCCGTAAGTACTCCACATTCCTATACAGCAATTCACTTGAAGAAGTGAACAACCGTGCTGATATCGGTTGGACAGCTGCTGGAGAGTGGTGGGATGCTGAGGACTACCACCAACTCTACCTTGACAAGGCAAGTACTCATAAAAGAATCGGTTATAGACCTGTTGCTAACTTCGATATAGAACCCTTCTGGATATGAGTGCCCGTCTCAGTAAGTTTTTGACTCGTACACAGCTTAACAGAATGTGCTAACGAGAATAGCTTCCTACGAAAATTTGAACCCCTCTCTTCATAATAGGCTAGGGCGATTTATGTGTATCCTAGGATTGCACACATATTATGTGGTATGACTTTTACTTCTCATGTATTTTCATTTCAAGTCCATTTTGTTCTGAGGCCAAGTACTAGGTCTATGCGAATTCCTTGTCCTCACTTCTGTCTTCTCACAATGTGATTGTGACTTTCTTTGACAGTTCAAACCAAGTTTCAGTCTGAACAAAGCACTGTACCTTAGTTGTACATTACTCTTCCATTTTTGTCAAACTCTTTGTTCATCTAACAAAACCACTTTACCAATATATAAAAACGTTCCACATCAGTTGGCTCGACACCCTCAGGAATATACAGAGGTATTACTCGAACCAAGCTCCCGCACACAAGAAGAAACTCAATTCATCCATATATCATCTATCGAATCCACTAATCCAAACAGACCAAATCCCTGTTCAACTCAAATTGTGTTTTGCGTCATTGCACCATGTGTCAAGGAACGATCTACCAATTCTCAAAATGTCGCCATGTGCGAGACATTGTTGTGACTCAGCAATGTCCCAAGCAAAGCGGCACCAAGACGTTTTGTGTCTTCAGCACTCCATCCTTTACTGTGACCAAAATCCTTACGCCAAGTCTCTGCGAGGAATGTTTCCGCGCCGAGGAAGATGCGATACGCACAAATTACTACGCAAAAATTGGTTTTCTGTACAAGATGATTGCTTCCCTGCGCAGTCGTTCCCTCGGCCGTTCTCTACTAGGGTTCGCAATTGCAAACGCCGAACAAAAGATTGAAAAGTATGAACTGCTCACTATGAACTCGCTCGCTCTTTTTCGCGTCTTTCAGGGTGGCAAATATATTGGCAATGGTATCTTCATTTCGACCGAATCGAACGCGCCAGACACGAAGAAAATATCTGATCAAAGCGTGCACTTGCTAGGAGACAGCGCTGTGGTGGCTTCTCTGGAGGTTCCATTGCCTCAGAAGTCCTCCTTGAATTCGCATGCGGAGAAATCAGTGGTTAAGGTGTCCCAGGACATAAAAAGTGAGAAACTCGCTCCAAACATCTCGTTTCATGCTTCTCCATTGCGCTCCCATCCTGTTATGCCCGCTGATTTAAACATTGGAAGGCCTGTTCAACCCTTTCTAGATTCACTTGTCGATGATGGGGCAAGACGATCTGCGGCAAGAAGAGCTAACTCGCCTAGAAGAGAGGTGCTCAAGAACAACTTGCGGAGAACGTTAGACAAGTACGCTGAAGAGACGGGAGAGCTTGCTGATAAAGGGGTGCCCGCATCGGCTCCAGAATCTTCTCAACCACCAACTTCCTGCTCGTCTAGTTCTTCCTCGCTGCTTGATTCTTCTTCCTCTACTTCCACTCCAGTTCCCTCTGCCGCATCCGACTCACTTACCGAAACCGAGACGATTCCTCCCTCAGTCATCCTCGCTCTCGAAAGACAAAGGTTTCAACTTCGGATCCGGAAATTTCTTAGACACGAGTACTGGTCGGCGGAATGGGGTCCGAAGCCCAAAATCAACGATGAAGTATTTCGCTATGGAGTCATGTACCCGTTGCATCCCCAAATCAATCCCGATTTCAAACCGACTTCCAGCATGGGGAGCAAGCCGCAGGAGCATTCTCTTTCGACTTCACCCACGTCTTCAGTTCCAAAGTCAAAGTTCTGTACGCCTTCTCCGCTATCATTGTCACAGACTCATTCAGCATATTCCTTAAACCAGTCATCAGCGGCACCATGGCCTTTGAAAGTGGAAGATCTCGCCATTTCAACGTTCCCGCAACCATCAATGCTTCCACAACCTCCGCCACTCGTCGACCTGTCCTCGACTTACTCGAGAGATTCGATGACAAACCCGGTAACCTTGACGTTTTTCCCAGCCTTTCCATCCCCCTCGCCTCTGGAAGATCCAAGCCCACTTGCGCAGACTCTTGCCCAAGAGCAAAAGCTGGAATCGGATAACGCAGGCTTGGGATTTTCAGCATGTTCGTCTACTAGCAAAACTTGCAGGCACATGCCTGCTGGTTTATACGACAAGGACTACGTAGACGTGGATGGGAAAGAATGTACCACCTTTATGATTGAGCGGCCCGCGCATGTGGATGCTTATTATCATGATGAAGAAGAGAAGTAAAAGAAGTATACTCTGAGACAGGAGTTGGCCTTTGCTTATGTATTTTGGCTTATAGATTGTAACACAGACAATTTAATTGATCAATACCTGGATATGAACTCTTTAAGAGTCACTATCATACTTCTAATAATATATATTGGCTTACACGAAGATCTGTAGGTTGATTCACCACCTATGCTTTGTCTTTAATTGTTCAACTGAATTCTTCATCAATTAATAGAACGGAAACTCAATTATACTAATTTTTATCACAGAATGCACACATAGAACTTGAAGAATTACTCAGGGAGCAATCGTCCAAATTCATTCTGATTTATCTCACGTGACCCGATCTCCTTTAACACCAGCTTGACGCGTTGATATTATTTACATGGTTCGCCCTTACGAAAGAACTCATGATCAAAGGTCACATTTGGGCACATCCGCCAATATGCAAAAATTGTAATAAAATGCTTCTATCTCTAATCTCTACTTTGAGGTTAGCAATAAGGCCAGGGTTTTGCCCTAGGTCGACCGCATCCCTTTGCGCTTCCACTGGCTCAATTGCTCACACTCGGAGCATGTTCTATCGCAGCGAATCAGCGCAATTTGTGAGGGAGTAGGCAGACATTTTGACGAAGAATTGTTTTCTGTTGCTGCTGCCCCTGCTGCTGATTTCACGTTGAGTCCTGTGGCTGTTGCCTCTGTCGGTGTCGTTGCTAATACTGTTGCCGGTGTTGATGCTAAGCTTCCTGACGTTGAAGACGACGACAAAAGCGCTGATACAGGTGACGACACTGCTGGTGTTGGCATTGTTACTACCGCTGATGGCGTTGGGAGCGGCAAAGACGACGAGTAGAATGATGCAGACCACGGCACCGTTGACGACCAGCAAAATTTTTCTGCGGCAGGTGTTGTTTGGTCATGAGATAATACACGGTCTTGTCCAGAAGAGTCGATTAGGTTAATCAAGTCTTGAATTTCGTCGTCTTGGAGATACGGCTGTTTTTTCTGCGTCTCGATTTGGGTGCTATTACTCTGCAATGCTTGCGTTTGTTGAGCTTGCTGAGCTTGAACTTGTTGTGTTTCTTGACCTTCGTTGTTGTTATCCGCACTTTCATTTCCATTTCCATTTCCATTTCCGCCTTCACTGGGAGTTACAATTCCAGTTCTAGTTCCACTTCCACTTTCTCGCTGTTCTGCCTGTCCAACATATCCGTTCACCAGTCTCCTGCTTCCGACCGACATGTGACCAGTCTCAGCGCCAGACAGAACAAGTGCCGCAGGATCCACATACTGCTCCACCGGTTGGCGTGCAACTGAAGGCGAACCTAAAGCCGAAGCCGAAGCTGGAGCCAGACCCCCATCCATCAATCTCCTTCTATGGTACAATGCGCAGTCCCGCCGCGGGACAGAAAACGCACCAAGCTTACTCTTTCCTTTTATACAGACCGTGATATAGTCGGCCTGCTGTCCCGCTTGCCCGTCCTGCCCCTTCTGCCCCATATGTCCCGTCTGTCCCTGCACCGCCTGTCCCGTCTGCCCCATCTGTCCGGCCTGTCCCTGTCCCTGTCCCTGACGAAACGACACGTCTTTCAAAAAATCCGATACAGCACCATCAGGGCCACGAGCCATACCAATGCCAGCGTCAAGGTCAGAGACAATGTCGATATCCAGAGATCCAAAAACAGGGCCACGACCGCGATCAGTTCCTGAAATTGTATCTGTCCCTGACCCAGTCTCAAAGGGCAGTTCCCATAGTTCTCGTTCCCGCGGATCATTGATGCGCTCGAGCTCGTCGCGCAGATGCTGGCAAAAGGAATGTAAATATGGATTCGAGACGTGGCCGCATGTATGTAGGAGTTGGGCGTACCGGCACATTTATCAGTTTTTTTCTTTTTTTCTTCACTGGTCGTCGTCTTTCTTGCTTCCTGATTTTCCTGACTGCGTGTGGTTTTTAATCTCTTGACAGTGTATGTTTCTTGTCTCCCGTCAGATATATCACACCAGTCCTTTTCTCTTTCTTTCTTGGGTCGTGTGGCCTTTGAGACATATTTAACGCAACGAATGAACTGTATTGTATACTGTTACTGTATATTGTATACAAGCCTATGAAACCTTCAAGCCAACGAGCCTACGAGTCTGAGTCTCTGAATCTCTTTGTTTCAAACGCTCTCCGTTGATCTCTGACCATCTGCAACCATCAACCATCTACATCTTTCCAAATAAATGTAAACAATCGTTCTATACACGTCCATGTCAACGTATCTGTCCATTTCCTTCCTACTCTCTTGCCCAGGTCCATGCTGGACTTTCTAGAATCGTCTAAAAAACCAAGCCTCTTGACTATCCATGAATGTACGGGCAGCACTACTCAAAGGGAGTCAAAGGGAAAATGGTAAGATAAAGAGAGGAAGGATGAAGACGATGGTGGAAAGTGGAAGATAAACAGAAAAGTACAGAGCACACGGGGCTAGAACAAACCTGACCAAAGACTCTCTTTGACAGAAATATATTCTAGATCATACAGTACACTCACTTCCGGACGCTGCAACATGCAGCTCTCCGAAATTTTCAAAGCTCTGAAACGCTGGAGAGTGATAATGACGGGAGGACACATACATCCAGCAATCAACATGGGTAAATCACGCAAGGGAGAGAAAAGTGAAAGTGAAAGAATTTGTGGACTATGAGTAGAGCATGAGACAAATATGAAAGATGGTGATTTCATGTCACTATGTCCAACTGATCCAATGTATTCCAGACAAAGAAGGGAGAAAAGAAGCGATCAATATACAAAAGGTATTCTTTGCATTTGCACCAAAACCAAGGGAGGATGATTCAAGGAACAAGAACAAAGAAAAATGATGAGAAGAATAAAAAAGTTTTTGTATTTACCCAATCCCTTCCAATATGCGTCCAATGTCGTTATATCAATAATCATCAACAATAAGAATAAATGTGCAGACAAAAACCAGAACCGCATCGACAATTACAATTACAGACCAAAACATCATTTACAACCAGGACAGATTACAAAACCAAGACGGCGACAATGGCGACGAGCACGGCAAAGAAGCTTCCCTGAATGACCTTTTCGCCATGCGCAGGGGCACTGTTACCTTTCTTGCCATTTCCAGACGAGCCGCTATCGTCACCACCCTGGCTGAATCCTCCGGTTCCCGATGAAGAGGAAGAAGAAGTCGGCTGCGAGGAGCCTGAACTTGCGGTGCTTGAAGACGACGACGAATCAGATCCCGGTCGGGATCCAGACATGCCGGGGACTTGGGGCGCGGCGCTCTTTGTCGATTTTGACGAGGCAGAGGCAGATGCGGAGCTCGAAGAATCATCAGCCGACATGTTTGTACCCGTGGCGATGAAAGATTTGAGAATAGTATTATCGTTTGTGAGTGCGACAGTGTCGTTGGTGCCCGCAGGGGAATTGTAAATGTACGATTTGGAGCCCGTGACGTTGGCGCCCGATGGCGGCTGGTAGCATTCGACATTGACTTCTTTGACCATGGCATAATCGTAGCCAAAGTTTTTAATGTCCTGCGAGTTCCAGTCAACAAGACCGCCCGCCCATTCGATCGTGCCTTGGCCATTGGATGCAAGACCGCCAGGCCAGAGGGACAGCTGAATACGCGCTGGGGTCTGGGGAAATTCGTATCGGTTGGCGGTTGCGTTCCAGGTCGTGTTCTTGTCAAGCGTGCGGCCGACTTGTCCGTCAATGGACCAGGTAATGGAATCGGGAGTCCAGTCGATTTCGTACGTATGGTAGTCGTCAAATGTGCTCGAGTCGACAGAGATGTTCTTTTCGTTCCAGTCTGTGTCATGGTTGTTACCATACAATTTCAAAAATGATGAGGAAAAATCCAATTATAAAGAGAACATACAGTTGGGAATGCCCTGGAAGTAGAAATTCGACTGCGCAGTGACGAGGTCGGTACCAATGAATTCAAAGTCGATTTCATCCTTGACGTCCGAGAGCAGAATGAACGCCGTCACCACACCAGCGCCACGGCTCGTCTTCATCGTCGCAGACACTTTTCCGTACCAAAGATAGTGCGCGCTGGCGAGCAGGGTGCCCACGGTGTCTGGGGCCATGGTAAGCAGCACCTGCTGGCCCTGGTACATGATAGGCTGTCCGCTAGACACCCAGTTCGTCTGAGACGCATCGCCAAGGTACTTGGTATTGGCTGTCACGCCGTCCAGATTGGTAAACTTGAAGTCCTCGCTTTTGCACACGGGTGCGGGTGCGCAGGAATCGAGAGCAAAGGAAGATCGAGGATCGCAGCCGCCTAGACAGTATGCACCGACACCGCATTGACCGTATTCTATTCCCACATAGCACACATTAGCCTATTGTGAACGTTGATGTTTGGCAACAAGATGTCTTCAATCCAAAGAGGGTTGGACGTACGTGAACAGCAAGGCGTGTCAGAGGGGCACTTGTTATTCACATCGCAAGTCGTTGCCGCATAGACTGCCGTCGCAGACCAGGCAGCCAGAGCGGCGGCCACGCTGAGGAGTCGAACCATATTGGATGTGATGCAATGCAATGTACTGTACTGCGAATGGGATGATTAAGATATTATGCCGCTGTTGGTAGGATGATGCAGTTCTGCCTTTTAAAAATATGCAGATAACAATAACGACGCTTGGCTTTCGCTTTATCGATAAAAAAGAAGTCGCTGATCTAATTCTTATTTGAAATGCGGGACTGTGCTGATGAATGATGCTTCTGAAACCGCCGGCTCTAAAGGAAAGGTAGCTCGGGGCCTTCTTAAGGCGCGAACGCTGGCGATCGGAGCAGCGAACGATAATAGCGAGATTCAGCGAATGTGGGGAAGAGATGAAGAAGAGCGGCCAGAACCAAAGACGAAAGAAAATGTATTCAGACCGTCTTCTTCTCCTTCTTCAGTCAAAAGCAAGCTGAGCGAATGTCGTTAGTCTTCGCACCGTGAACCTGAGATGGAAGGCTGAGTGGTAAAAACGTGGGGGAGAGAGAGAGAGAGAGAGAAGACGGAGGAAGAACGAAAGGATGAACTAAAGGGAACGAGGGAACTAACTGGACGGAAAGAATAGACGGAGAGCCCGCGTCATATTATTCATTGTTGGTGTCAGTACGAGGAAGTAAAGTGGACACAGAGAAAGAGGGAGAGAGAGAGACAGACACTACCAATAGCATTATTCCTTTATTTTTGGTAATGCCAATGGGGCCTCCCGGCCCGATCAGCTAGAGCGAGCAGAAAAAGGTGACTGATCGGCCAAAAGTCCGCGTAAGTGAAAATATTAATACGAAGTAGTCGCCTCACTGATCTTTCCCTCTTTTAGCTGTTCCCCTAGCCCAACGCTACGGGAGTCGGCGTGGTCGGACCCTGAGCACTTCGCACCATGAAGAAAGAAAAGAAAAAAGTCCAAGCTCAAACACTTAATCAGTGTCAGCAGGTCCCATGGTACACACACACCTTCCATCAAGGAACCGGTGGCGGCAAACAGGAACGACATGTCTCTCATCCCATTCAGGGGCAAGACACCATCTTCTAGACTCAGGAAAATAAATTCTTCACTGTACGCTCGAGAGGGACATTTTTAAATCAAAAAGGATTTACAGAATGCAATCATTATCCTTTTTTATCCCTTCTTATCCACGCACATACAACTTTTCGTTGAACACGTGGGAGTGGAAGCGGCTCCCTTTCCACAAACAGCAAGTTTTCTCTGTCATCTAACCATATTTGTACTAGTTCAGAATATATGACCGCATGGTTATAATACCGACATTCTGTGACGCTTAGTCATAATTTAGTAATATTAACTTCGCGGAAACCCATCCAGGACACCTTCCCTAAGGAACAATCAAGTTACAAAACCCATGGAAACGGCGTCAATTTAGTCAAAGACATTTGTATTTCAATTGTATTTACGCGTTCTGCTCGAGACTAAAATATTCTTGTCAACGATGGTTGTCAACGATAGTTATGCATATTTCATTTTCCAAATCATCCTTTCCCCACCCTCTGTAGTCTCGATGCATCGCGCGCACATGAGCACTTCAATCTGGCCTCCCGCTTCAAACACATTGCGTCGTCTTTTTTGTAACAAACAGTTCTCTCAGACTTATTGATAATGCACCATGTCCAGACTTTCCACTGTTAAGATACAATTTTAAACTCCAATGATTCATGATTCACATCCCCACTCGTTTCTGCATCCACAACCTTCAAGATCTATCCCATAAAGGCCGAGATGAGTCGCATCTCAGCCTCGCAGGGGTCCTTGGAATAGCTAACCTCCACGTCCTTGTAAGGTCCGTCCCGAGCTGCGTACATTTGAAAATGTTTCAGCAATGCCTTTGCCACTTTGACACTGGCCAGCACCACGGTAGCGTTGCCCGTATTGTAAATATGGATCAACTCGACATTATCTGCGCCGGCAATGGCCTTGATGTCGCGCTCGAACCTGGCTCGAGAAAGGCCGACAAAGAGCTGCGAACGTACAAATGTAAGGCGGCGACGCGCACCATTTGGAAACATATTCATGCTCTGGATATCTTCATCCGCTGGGAAATTTCCGCCCATCTCAACCCGCACGCCTTTGCCATATTTGGACGTCTGCCCCTCGGGCGGGACTGCTCGATTGGCTTCATAAAACTCCTGCGCCGCCTCTGCCTTTTGGAAGATGACACAGGCCGCGCGACCCGGGCAGATTTCATCATGATCATCGACAAAGACAACAGACATTAGCGCACCCTCAATGATCTTCTTTGAGACCTCGCGAAGCGTCATCTTTTCCGGACAATTGACGAGCCATACGACCCTGCCCTGCTCAGCAATGGGCTCGCTTTGTCGTGCAACGCTATATTTTCTCGTAGGCCTCGCGGGCCCATTGCTCAAGGGGAAGGTGGCCGAACGCTGCGAACGACCAAAGGAAACCGGCTCAGTCGGCTTGATCGCTGCAACCTTTGCCCAGGTCGCCGCAAATGGAGCTGCGTTCGCCGTGGTCTTGTTCTGAGGTTGACTTGCGGTCCAAGTACCAGAATCGGCAGTCATTCTGTTTTCATCGTTGAGGCTTGACGGTCCAGAGTATTCCAGGCAGTCTAGATATTCGCCGCTGCCAAAGCTCTGCTTCTGTTCCTCCTCTTCTACGTTCGAAACAGACTGCATCGGTGGAATCGAAGTGGTTTTATGCCCGCCACAGCTGCAACAGCTTGTCTGGATCGTGTCGTTCCCAACTCCGGTTTCAAGAGTAGTCGTCATCAAGTTGGTCGACAAGGGAGGGAAAGGATCCAATGGTCCCTGCGCAGCTGGAACGGCCTTTCGTTGGCTGCCTCCCGCAGTTTCTGTGAGATAGGCTTGATACCCTGTCTGAACATTTGGTGCTCGTTCAGCCAGTCCAGCAGGGTTCGGACCACGAGCTGTTTCTCTGCGATGACTGGCCGGAGGGCACCGATGATTTTCCTGCAGATCACGGGGCAAGGTCACACCGCCACCTCTGGCTTCAGTTTGCCCTTCATTATGGATCAAGTGGGAATCATCTGAGCGCTTCGGGGACTCAATGAATCTCCTTGGCGAGTCGCACTGAAGAAGTGCCTCCAGCACAATCTCCGAGATTATGTTGATCTGTCTCGCCGCGCGATTGGCTTGAGTAGGAGAGATGGATCGGAGCTATGCATACTGGTCAGTATATGTTCGGCCATCAAGTGAACATTATAGGTCACGATGGCTCAGAAAGCCCAGAATTGAACCATGAATTGTAGGTGAATGCTCCAGCCATGATGCAGGTAAACTGAATGCAAGGCTGAATGGCAGAAGAGGTGGGTGAACTTAAGTATAAGCTTCCGCGTTCTTGTGCTTCTTTCTATTCACTATGACTGCCGCGTCCTCGCTCCGTTTCGACACTTACCTGCTCGATACCGCGATTGAGGTAGACGAGTGCCGTTTCGAAGGTTGAGCAGAGATCTTGTCTATCAGTATCTTGACCTCCTCTCGCCGAAAATGGCCCTGGTGTGGATGTCATGATTCGCAGTGCAGTAACTCGTTGTTCGCGTGAGCGATGAGATCAACTGCGAATAAAGCTTGTTCAAAGGCTGACCGTTATGAAAGAGGAAGAGTAAGTTAGACGAAGTATGGGGAGCGTGGACAGCGTGGACAGCGGGGAGAGTTGAGGTGGAGAGTGAATATGGCGAGACCAAGAGTTAAGTATGGCTTCCCCTTTCTGGAGGGCCGATGCTTCTTCAAACAATCTTCACTCAAGTCATTCGTGAGATTCTCTTTGAATGGCTTGGCAAGTGCACAGAAAGAGACAGAAGATTCGTGACCTTGATTCGGTCTAAATGTGGAAAGTGAATGCTCTGCTTCCCTGCCATGTTTGATAGCTGGTCAGCCCTTTCCTCTCCGCAATATCTCCTGTATCAATTGGTGCTCTCTCGTAAGAGACGGATGTAGAAGCTTCAATGCCATCAATTCCATCGTCTAATCGATTTTGTAAGCTTCGCTCCAAACACTTTTGAGAATATGCTGTAGATGCGCTTGTCGGTCTTCCATTCGGGGTCCTTGGTCTAGCAATTTCCACAATTTAAGATGCTGTCACTCTTTCATTTTCGGCATCGGGCGTAATATGCATAATCCCAGGCGGTCCGCTCATCAATGTTTGGGTTGATAAGAACAAAGCCCAAACAATAAGACGCGCATCGTAAAGTCTAGAACTAACCAAGAAAATCAATCAAAAGCAATCTTGTCCTCAGTCATCTGACGTTTTACAGTACGTGCCGTTTAGCGGCATGTTTTTTGCATTATGACAAACACTTCTACTTGAAACACTGCACAGAGGACAAAAAGAAATTGAGGGGGAGGACACTGTCTGTATTTTCGAGCGCTATCTAGAATGGCTGTTCAGATTCGATGTCGATACTGATGCAGACGAAGAGAGAGAAAAACAAAAATCCAAACAATCATGGGATATCAAAAAGAAAAAAACGCGTCCCAAGAGAAGAAGAAAAGTCTAAAACCCAAAAACAATGCAAAATTCTTTCGCTCCATAATGCAACGTTGCACGTCGTTAAAAAAAAGTATCCGCTGAAATGGAAAATGCAAGCACAGTACACGTCTCGCTGAACAAGAATAGCTATAGATCTTCAAACAAACTCCCTATAAGCCATCAATGCAGGAAATCACCACCCACACCATTTACTCTCAAAACCAAAATAAAGGTAGTAGAAAAAGGGAGAAGAATTCGGCGAGGGTCGTGTAGATTGCTCAAGTCAATCCAATCATAGCGCCGAAGCGTCTCCGGATTTCCTTGCCGAGCGCGAGTTGGCCTGCCTTTGTTCTGGTGACGGCGTCCCTGTTCTCCTCTGCGCGACGAAGGAGATATTTCATACACTCGCCGGTAGTACCCCAAGTCACATATTTGAGAACAGCGGGCACATCATCCTTTTCGCCAGCTTGGGCAGCCTTTTGCAGTAGTTCGCACGAAACTTCATCCGCCATGCCCATGAGCTGAGCGTAGACAAGGTCGATCCGTTTCTCTCCAACCTGAGCCTGTTCCGTGCGGATATATTGAGCCTTGAGCATCGACTCCCGGTTATGCGAGGCGAGAACAACACAGACTTCGGGGAATTCTTTGCTAGCTTCAGCTGGAGATACAACCATATCGTTATATTTGCGACGAATGAGAGCTTCGGCGAGAGTATCATATGCCTTGTCCGTATCAGATTTGGTGTCCCAGATGAGCGAACGAGGGTCAGTGCCGAGATAAGCACCGCGCACGAGCTTGACGCCAAGAGTAAAACCATCTTTTTGAGCAAGTGCCAAATGGACTGAGAGGGTAGCAGGTGCGGATTTAAGGTAAGATTGGTAAGTTCCGTAGACGACAGCTTTGCCCGGAGGACAAATGGAGTGATCGTTATAGCGCCGCTGGAAGAGCATCGTCCAGCTATCAATGCCAGGCTGCAGGGCGTATTGCTCAGCGTCAAAGGTAATGCGGACGCCACGTTGCTTGGCGAGTTCGCACATGGCGGTCATGGCTTGTTCGATACTGGGAGGAGGAGGAAGGTTTGCAGCCAGATTCTCAAGGGCTAGATTGCCTGCGCCAGTGAACTTGACGGCGACAAAGTCTCCGGTATTCCCCATTTCGATGGTCTTGAGCACTGCGTCTCGCCAGTCTTCCACTTGCTTGAGCGCTCGTCCCTTGGCAACCTCGATGTTGACATCCTTCTGGTCGATGCCGAGAACAACCTCCCGTGCATAATTAAACATGGAACCTTTGTAACCCATGGCACGAAGGCGCTGCGAGGTGCCTTGAATCTCGGTAGCCGTCGCGCCGGCACAAAATTGTGCATACATGGTTTTCTTGACAGCCCATCCGAGAAGCGGGTTGCGCTCAGGCGAAGTGAGCAGTGATTTGGAAGATGCCATGTGCCTCATCACGGCCAGTGAGGGGTTAAGCAGCAGAGGAGACGATGATACGGTGAGAATGGCATAGGATCTGAGCAAGGTCCACCAGTCGAGCACGGCAAGAGCGGGTGTGTCAGGGACAGGCTTCTGCACTGCCGCAGTGGTGGCGGGATTTGAGGTGATTGAACTAGGAGTTGAGATCCGTTGATATCCTGTCGGCAATCGTGATGAAGATGAAGGCCATGCCTGTCGCCATTGGGATGATTTAAGGAATGGACATGGTGGAGGCTTCATTCCAGGGCGCATGGCGTCACTTGGGTCGATTTCAGCTCACCGAGTGGAGCTACTGCTCTAGAAAAGAGGAGGAACTGGTTGATGGACTGGTTGAACTATTTGATAGAGAATGGCAAGTAACTAGGGAAGGTGAGGGTATAAATATGAAATAGTCTTTTTTCAAGATAAGAAATGGTCATTGTCTGGGATGAGAAAGTCACGAAGGGAATAAGCAACCTAAGCACACTGGGCCAACGAGACATGCCATGACGAGGGCGATAAGACACTTATCGCGGGAGAGTCCCTTTCGACAGCGAGAGTAACCGTCATTGCTCCGGGAAAGAGCGAGCCACTGCAAGCCTTACCGGCGCTCGGCCCTACGCCTTCCGACTAAGGCCGAGAGTATCCGAGATAAGATAAAAGATCAAAGCGGATCAACTCGCTTCGGCCATCCTTGATTATCCGAGCCCCTTCTTCCGTCTGTGGCTTCCTTCGGGTTTCATTCATTTTCCTTACCAAATCCTTTTCTCTCACTCCCCTTACAGTCCGGTCGAACCCGTGACAATCAGGTTGAGCCAGGCAGCTAGTCGGTATCCCGCTATAAATTAAAGGCGGTCAGTCATTTATCTACAGCTGCTGTTGCGAATGAAAGAGTGCATAAGGGAGAAACGCAGTAAATCAGCGATCTGATTTCTGCGACAAACTCACCCTGGGCGAAAAGCAGCTCAATAACTGGGAGTGCATCTTCATAGTACGAGCCTGAGAGATCAGTATCTTCGACAGCGGAGACACCGTTCGGCATCACAGTCGAGCAGACGTATGCGTTTGCATCTGTAGCCCAGAGCATGCTGCTGGTAATTGCGTCCGAGATATCCATGCCGTTAAGCCAGGATTCTCTTTGAGATGCATAAGTCCCCGATTTGATTGACGTTGTTAGCGAGGTCGCCCAGGTTTGGGCGTCGCTGAGCGAATAGCCTCCTGCGTACTTTTCCGGCATGTTGGTGTCCCAAATGTGATGAAGATTCGTCGTGGTGCCAGCACTGTATCGTCATTGGTCAGCCCTATATACCGGAGAAACTGGCGGTACGGTGAAATGCAGTATCGGCTTCTCAAACACCCGTGTAGAAAGACTTAGCAATTTGGGGATCCTTACAAGGTCACATCAATGTCATTTCCTCCATAATCTAGAATTTGCCTCTGTCAGCAAAGACAGCGAGTCAATGGTGCGGCCTAGCCGTTACTCACCGAGGTTCTCATCGTGCAGAGGCTGATGGATATCGCCGAGGAACTATGACAGAAATGAGCGATCTCGTCAATAATTTCTACTCTCTGTCCTCAAATACTCACATGAACAAGGTATTTCAATGCCTCATCGAGGTGAGCCTGACTTAATCTGCCATCACCGAGCCTCTGGGTCTGATCGATTGTCAAGTACGTCAGTTTACTGTCTCTCTGGATCAAATGCGGTCCACAACGAGTCAGTCCCCTACATAGTTGCTAATAGCCAGGACAACGCAGCCCCCCGCACCACAATCCCTGTCATAGTTGACACCGCAGCTGCTAGGAGGGTTGTCTTGCGCATCGATAAAATGGAAGGGCTGAGAATATTCGCCTGCCGATGTGTATTTGAACGTGTCCGCCCAGGTTGCAACGTTGGCAAGATAGCTCGTCGACGTGTCTGAAAGGATGCCCTGACAGAATGACTTGGTGGAGGATGAAACAAAATTCTGCGCGATATAAGCAATAGTTTCATGCCCAAGGTCACCCCAAGCGCTGACGCCGGAGATGAGAGCCAATGAGCAAAGTGCTGAAGGGAACAAGATATTCGTCTTCATGGCGACGACTCTCTTTCTACCCGTTTCAAAAGCGAATAATTTGACCTATATCAGTAGACCGACAAGATGCAATCCAGAGCGATAAAGAGCAATTGATCATCGAAATATGCCACAGATGATAGGATGAAGGTAGTCAATTTATATATTTTGCTCCCAGGTGGTTCGCTGTTCTAAACAGGAATTAAACCCGAAAAGCCACGCCAATAGTGCCATACATTATTACTCAATGCATGAGTCTCGGATAGGCGTGTCGTACTCTGCTTTGAAATTGCGCCGGCTGATCTGCCGGTCCGTCATACTAAGGCTTTTCTCTCCTCAATATTTGCCATCGAATCTGATCTGCTGGTCTGTCTTCCCAGTCATCTGCGGGGTCACAGCCAATATGTTATCTGGTCGGTCCCGCTCGTGGTTGTTTTTTTTTTTTTTTGGCATGGGCCTCACGGGGCCAAGGTCAATTTGAGCAGGTCCGTAAATGATATGGTCGATAGCAGGTGCATTGGTGCAGGTGCCAATTCAATTTTAAGCAGGTCCCTGAGCGACAGAGCATTTCTCGACAGCCACTGTCCAACGCCCCAGTGCGGGGACCATAGATGACATATCGATAAAGGCGCATAAGCCGTGCATGGGAGAGGAGCAGTGCCGACGCATGAAATGACGGATGTGGCCGAAAAAGAAAAAAGTTCCCTCTTTCTAAAGAAAGAATAAACAGTCCTGCAAGGAAAGTAAGTGCACAAGGAGATGATGCGGTGTTTTATTCGTGCAGAGTCAAAATGCGTTTAGCAATAAAAATTGCACCAATGAGGTATCCTTTACACCACGTGTCCGATGTAGTCTGAAACATTCGCTCGCCGTGAAAGATAGCTTGATCTGCTCTATCGCACATATGGTCTATTGACCTTCCTAAGTAGTCTTGACCAGGTGAGCCACAGGTGGTCGACTAACAGAGCGTGCATAAAACGCTCGATGTTGAATGTTTGTGGTGTTTGGGGCACTCATTGCACGTCTCGCTGCAAAGATAAGCGGGGCAAAGTATAACACAGGTCGAAGCCAGGTGATGGAGCAAAAGTAAGATGAGATGAAGGACCAAATGTTTCTTCTGAGACGAGCAGTAATTGCACAAAAATCCGCGAGTCGCATGTCGTTGCTATGCAATTTCTGGATTCATAATGCTGGCATGGTCTTGACATTGCCCTAATTCCTCTTCCACTCAGCTTTCCAGAAAGAGATGCTCGAGTGAAACTCAAAGAACTAGCGGACAACTCCAGCAAGCAAACTTTTTCATTATGGCGGCGGAGATATATCAAATCCACTTGTATAGAATCTATCAAGGCCAGACATACACATCACTCTGAGCAGGTAGGCAACTCTTTTTCATATAAGAGGGGACTCTCAGCTGCAGACCTCGGCCAAGTGCTCGGTATTCAGCGGTTCCCGGTGAGGAGCTGTCAAAGCCCACCTCTCACGTTGGCGTCTGGGCGCTCTCCTCATAGTGGGGAAGCAAGCATGGGGGTCCAGGCGGGATGCAAAACCACCCTCGAAAATTCAGTAAACGAGATACTAATTTATCATGGTACCCTCGGTAGCAATCAAGGATATTTCTGGAAGAGAGTAGTGTTGCAATTGGGTACTCCAATCACCAGATCAAAGGGTAGCATAGTTCCGAGGGGGCAGGGAAGGAAATGAAATAACTTCTCTTTCCAAGTTACGGTCAAGAGTTTGAGTGCCAAAATAAGTCAGGTACATGTTTGCACCGAGACTACCTTAGCCAGGTTGATCCCGTTCCTACCGTGGGCGTGGACTCGGTTCGACGTGGTTGTCTCGGCCCGAAGCCCGCCCTTTCCGGCGCATTGCGTGTCCCGTCCGTGTACTCTGCACTGTACATTTAAAATTCTTATTACTACGATACCATACGGAGTAGTGTCTATCAAAATAACCATTGACCATTTTCCAATTTAGTTAGCAATGGCACAAATGGCTTCATTGGCGGCGGTGAACAAGGCAGATAAATGCGGGTTCAGGGGAAGTAATAATTCTGCAAACCCAAACTGCCTTGCTATTCGTGTATGGTGAATGCAGAAGATGGGAAGCCAGCGTGCAATAGCGCCCTTCGTCTACATTAATCATGAGGGCCGACTGGTTGTTTCGCGCTCCACAAACCGTTTTCTCCTCTAGTGATTTTGTTCAATTCATAGCCTGATAGTCATTTCCAAGCGAGGGCCGAAAGGGGAGATGGTCTCAAACTTGGCGGGACAACCACCCCTGTAGGTTCAGGAAAAAGTTCCACCAGGAAATCGAAGCCCCTTAACCGCTGCAGATCACGAACTGGAAAACTTGTCCCGAAATTGTCGTTGCTCAGTGTTGCTTGTAGCAGAGATCGATTTGTTCCGACCTTGCACTCGTCGTGGTGATCAACATAAGCACCTGCAATCATTAAAGATGCAACGTGGAAACTTGACACGAGACTACCCCTAGTGTCCCATATTTCAACCACGGCGCTGGAACCCAATAGAGCTGCCTGCAACATGGACCAACAACACTGATATCAAAGGGATCAGGTGAGGAAACGCCGAGTGGAGATGTTCTCCGACCCAAGTCCGAGGCACCAGAAACAACAGACGATGCTCAGATAGAGGAGACTTGTCAGGGATCAAAGTACGGTTCATCACCAGGGAGCGCGAAAAGGAAGCCAGGAGTCAAAATGACGGGGATAGGCGCTAAAAGAAATAAGCTAAACAAGTGCATATTCCAAAAGAACCATCGAAAAAAGCCAGTGATCGGACAAATGTGGAGCGAAGAGACCCCACAGCAAAGAAGACGATCAAGCACAGCCACCAGGAAGAACCGCACACGGGACGTTTACACCACGAGTAATAATCACGAGCAATGCAGTACTACAGCCTGTCCAAGAAACTTGAAGAAAAAGGCAGATGAAATGAGCCCAGGCCAGGGCAAAGCGGGGACGCTGGTAATAAATGAAACAATGGAGGGCCCATAACTAACACAATCCCAACCGGGGTAATGTAACATGGACAAATAAGACAACTTCGTTATGGCAGCCGTGGATGTTAGTTTTTCAGTTGGAGGTACTTAGCACGATGCTTAGCAATACTCGGAGCCATCAACACGGTAGCAGCTTGCTTAGTGGCGGGGCAGACAACATGGCAAAAACATGGCAACGCGTGACTTGCCGTAAACGCGTCTTGAAGCCCCAGACTGCAAAATTCACCGCTGCAGCATCCTGAGCCGCTTGAAACATTGCAATTGACAGAAATTTGGCGCGAAAAGAAGATGTCTGCAGTTAAGGAGAACAATTCTGGTTTCGATAATGATTATGGGCCTGGCTTACATACACGAGGCTGCGATTCGACCAGATCGCCCAATTTTCAAAGTGCTTCCCCTCTTCTGTTTTCACACTTTGGTTCTCTCAATTCGGCTCGACCAGCAGACGCAACATCTAGGGTCGAAAGAATGCCTGATCGCTCCACTTGTTTTCATAATCTCCTAGGTCCTCTCTTTTTGCGCGTTTCTCGCCATTTTCTTGCTTCCGAGTCCCTAGGGGGGCATCTAAGCGGGGCTACTGCACTCCTAGACCGCTGGTTCTTCGCAATCAATAGGTAATGGTAGCAGTTTCTGAAGTTTCAACGTGAGGCGGTTAATCACCACGTATTGTCGCGACGAAGGCATCCAATATTCTTAGCTAATCCACTTGGATTCAATCATCTCACCATTGTTGCTGGATTTTGTACACAGATGTAGGTATGTTCATATTGAAGAGAGCAGATTCGCTCCGAAGACGGTTCGATCGAGAAACAGAAAACGACGGTAATATAGCAGGGGTGCGCTCCCTTCTTTGCCTTCCTATATCGTCAGGCCCATACACTTCCATTGCAAAGATGACTTCGGTCATCACCCGAGCCGACCAAAGCCCAAAATGAAGCCTGCTCGGTTGACAATGAAATAAACGGAGGACTCTTTTTTAAACAATCCCTTAGGTCCGCCCAACCGTGAAAGAGGGGGAAAGTACGGGCGGCGACCCATTTTGACGAATAGAAGTGCTGGCAGCCGTCTGTCCAAACACACGGTGCGGCTGTTGATATGTATGGTAGCCGCCTTCTCTGAAAATCTCTTTTGAGAAGCCACAACTTTTGAACCGTCGACGAGTATGATCCAAGTAAGATCAGTGATCATCACGCTCAGCCTGCGCTCACAGACTTTTATTCTGCCATTGGGTGTCATGATATTTCCTCGGCCTTTTCTTTGCAGGCCGTGGCCGAGAATCCGTTTCCAACTTTTGCTGCAATCAACCTCCACCTATCTACTTCGTATTCGTCCATGGCATCTCGAAGTTTCTGAACCTGCAGCTAGCGTTAGTCCTGTCAACTATAAACGTGAATACCCGTAGTCGCTGCTCTGGAATTCCCTTCTAGGTGATCTAGGTAGCGAATTCGAATCTTACCATGTCATCTGTCCATACAGCCGTTTTAGCCTTTAGTTTCGTACAATACCTCACTTGTAGAGTCCCTGACGTTCGTCCAGGAAAGAAGTCGGCGATTTGCTTCCAGGTCAACGCCTTGTTTTCCTTCAGGTCGATCAGAAGCTGGTCATCTTCCCGCGTGAATTTGACTTTTGGGCCGCGAGGCCGTGGGGCAGGTGAAGGCATACCAGCATCTCCTACAACAGAGGGCGCGGCAAGGTAAGCTGGTGGGCTACCGGTTGGATTATTTCCGGAAGGAGATACGTGCATTTTCGAAGACGATGGGGTTTGGGCCGGAAGACTGTGATGGTGATGATGCTGTGACGGTGGAGGAAGAGGGCCAGATGGCGAGTAATAGGAAAGCGCGCTTGCAGTTGTTGGCTGGGTTGTCTGAGGAGTAGCAAGTGTAGCTCGACGGAGCGCAGTCGCTGAATCTTCTGCGGTCTTGCGCATCTTGCCTTCCTCTTCGATATGTGTCCCGGATTCAAGGCTGCCATGCTCTGCATCCAAGTCCCGCTCCGAAAGGCGTCGTTTCGCTGAAGACACACTGGAGAACCCGAGATGGTCGTGCGGTCGACTGAATGATGGCGTCTGACTATGCGATTGGTGCGGTACTTGGTGACTGAGCAGATAGCTGGGTTGCTGATGGAGGTTCTGCAGAACATCCACAGTCGGAGACGTCACCAGTGGGTGATGGGGCCCTGTGGGCGGTTGTAGAGAGCGCTGAAGTGGTTGCGAATGGGGGTGCGGGTGCTGAGACTGAAATTGGCTCGAGTGCTGCCCGCCATGGTGGGCTATTTGCGTAGAAGCATCATATGTTCTCGGAATCTGCTCTTCTTCCGCATGTGGCTGCGGAGTGAAGCCAATGCTATAATCTCGGAAAGGACCTGCCACCGTCGCGGTTGATTTGGACACTGCCAGAGCTCTCTCGCTCTAGCAGGTCTCTAGGGAAAGAGTCCGCCAGCGGATGTTGCCTGAAAGGTGACGCGACGGCAGGCTCGTGACCCTCTCTCCTCCACGAGACTTAGCTTCAGCTACGATGCGTCAAGACGATTTTTGCGCTTTAGCGTTTGGGAGAACGCAGAATAGAAAAGTGAGATTTTTCTTGGTTTTCTAAGATTGTGGATAAAGCTTCGGTTTGACAAACACACAATGTTGGAGTCGGTGGATGGAAAAAACAATAAATATGACAGGCTCGATGATAGGCAGGTTTTTTTCACGGTTGACAAATGTTATAAGAAAGTATCCGAACTATAAGGTTGGTGGAGGGAAGAGGAGCACGGTGTCATAGGTATATAATAGAAACGGCGTCGATGATAATAAGCCTAGAGGGGACGCAAAGGGGGCGGAATATATTTTGGCGTCAACTTGTGGTTTCAGAGCCTTTTTTTTGAACACCACGGAGCATGGCGCCAAAGAAGTTCCCGAAGGCGAGAGCAACAGGTTCAGAAGCTATGTCTGCTTGTGGATAACACTTGCCCAGACACACCCCCACATGGGAGGTCGTGGACGACGCAAGGACACACTGGTACGGGACGAAGGACGTGCACCACCGGCCTCTCTGGGTGCTTCAAGGACGTACCCGGTCTGGTACCGGAACGTTAATGCTTAAACGAGGGCAAGGCAGAGGGGGTGTCCATCCCAAAAGGCTGCTGAGACGTCTCATTCAGGGATCTGGGCCCGTTGATGAACGTGCCGGCCCGAGGTGACAAGGCTGCTCTCCGCGACCCAAGGTCATGAGGAGACTGAAGCGGTCCATTGTCCGCAACATGACTGGCTACCACCAGTGTGATTGAAGGGCGACCACAGTTTCTTTGCTGGCTCCACTGAGCCACTCTCCGCATTTGTTCTAGAAGACAAGCGGAAACATGTCAAGCAACGGCCATCCTTAGAATGGGGTCGGGAGGTCCATGCGTCACCATTGGTTGCGCATGAGCTCAGGTAAGAGCGGAAGGGTAGAGGGGAAAGGGTATATCGGCAGTTGGAAGGATGGTCACAGTTTGAGATTGTGAGAAGATTCCAGCAGAGGCGAGATGGGGGTGATGGGGAAAGAGGAGAATGAGAAGATAGGGAATAGCAAGCTGCAGAGGAAGATAACCATCAGAAGAGCAGAAACAAAAACCACACACGCACACAAAAAAAAAAGTAAAAAAAAACCAGGAACAAGCGCAGAATGATCACCCGTCAGGGGGCATGGTGGCACTGGCGCATGGCTGGCGCCATTGTATCAAAGACCCACGCGTGGTTGAATAACACCCCATCAGGCATAGTTATAAGACCTACCGTCGTCGTTCACACCTACTGTGCCAGCAGGGATGTTAGCAGAAGAAGTATTCATGACCGAACACCATGAGGATCTTGGTCCAGAAGGATCCAAGTCCGAGTAAGGCGACCATTTCGAACCGAGGGGAGCCATGACAAGCTTGGCAAACCGGGGGGTGAAGGAGACCAAAAAAAAGAAATGGCATGACATGAACCATAGCCAAATGACGCTTTTTCATTTTTGGAATGATGTGAAGGTAAAGTCCGTGTTATTTTTGTCGATCCCCTTTTTTGTTCTCCTGTGTCTCTGCAATCAACGACAACGCTTAGCAGTTGGAGCGTGCTCTGCAATTCCTGTCCATTCGGAGGAGATGCTACTAGTTTCGATGGTCGGTATTTTTCGTTTTCAAGCTCAGTCGTACAGACAGCAGTCGGGTTTAGGAGATGTAAACAACGGCTGTTGCGGGTCAAACCAGGTTCAAAGGCCGGTGATCCGTCCGTCGGATGGGGCGTGCAGGACAGGCAGCTTTTTTGGTGCGAGCATGGTCAGCGAGAACGCTTTGCTCTTCGCACCAAAAAAGAGACTTGTCTCCCGCAGAAGTCGACATCCTGGTCGATCACCCAGTTGGGAAATTCCGTGTTTCAGCTAGGCCGAACCGTCGTAGGAGGCTTGTTCGCCCGGCCGACAATCTCCTGGTCGTGCGGCCGAGTCGTGCTGGGTGTGGGTGTCGCAGTAGGCGTAGTGGACGTACTGTTCAGTCAGCACGTCGTCTACCAGTGGTCTTCGCGCTGCAAGACGAATTTTCCGAGCGGCTGTCAATCGTTCTTCATCCCGCCTTGCTTGCTCCACCAGACGGAACAACACAAGTGTGAAAGAGTACAACAGTTAAAGTGGGTTCGAACGGACGTTCCAGAGCCTCCAAGGCCGTTGTCATCTCGGCGAGGTGGTCAGTGTTCAGCAAAAGTAGGTACCCTCGTAGTCGCGACTCTTGACCGTAGACTTCGCAAAGTATACGGTACCTATACTCAAACAGTTGCTACCAGTCATGCTGTACCTACAACGAGACTTTTGCGTACCTCTAGAGCTTCCCCATCGCGAAAACCGCTTCGACGGCTATTCGGGTTGTTTTCGTTGACAAGCACTTTTGCCTGCGGTGGCAGGGTAGCGTGGCAGAAACGTGACTGGTGCATTCTTTGGTGAGACGATGCTGCGTCTCAGGTTTTAGCAGGGGCAAGAAGCAAAACCAGCCTCGGGTGAAGAGGGCGAGACAGAGAAATCGAATGTCTGCTTTCAAATCCTGGTAAACCCATCAAAACATATCATTATTAATTGTATCAATTCATGGCAAAATCAAGCCGAAGAGTTTCCTGGCTTCCAATCGACCAAGACCATGTTGGTGCTTGCTATTGTTTACACATTGCTCTCGTTAATTTGAACCACATACTATGATTTTGCAGTAGAGCCCTCATCTCACGTGCATCAAATATCAGCATGACGCTGCCAAGCCAGATCGTTCAGAGTTAAAGGGTCCAAACAAGCAAACAGCATCGCTTGCTAAGACAGGACCAACCAAGTCATTTTGCGCGATACTGAATGCAATCTGCAGGTTACAGTGTTCATTTCAGGGAAGCATCAATGCACAGATATATTACTCTGTTGGCCGCATTAAATTGCGGCACCGTAACATTTACGCAAAAAAACTTAAAGATGATGATGAAACAATCCAGTTCAAGTACAGCAGAGACAAAAAGGTATTTCAATTTCCTCGATGTTGTGCATAAAAAATGAAGAAAGCAGCCAAGAAAGTGAAAGTGAGCGGCAAAGGGGTGGTAAGAATCTGAAGGTACATATGCTGCGAAGTCTTGCATATTTTGACATCAAAAATGCCAGAGGACGCAGAAACGCGGGGGGAAGGCGAGTCAAAAGAACAATCAAACAGCAAACGACAGAGCGGGCGTATCAAGGGCGTATCACAATCTGGTTTCAAGGTTCTCAAAAGGGTGTCCGAAAAGAAGCGAAGAAAAGCTGAGAAATGAAGAAGAGGTGCCAGGCCCTCTATCATCAGACTTTCCCTCCAAAATGCTCCTTGGCGTATTGTTCACACGCCTATGTGCCAAATCTTAGCAGGAGAATTCCGATAAAGCGGTGCCAAGGTGTGTACAAACCTTTGCCGGCTTTCCAACTTTTTGGCCGATGACTTTCCACTTGCTGGCTTCGTACTCTTTAATGGCGGCCAGCAATGCGGCACTCTATTTACCCTCAACAGGCATTTATCAGTGACGGTCCCAACGCCATGCAAATCTGATATTATAACTCTGTACGACAATGAAAAGGAAGGGTGGGGGAATGGAAATCTGACCTCGTCTTCGGCAAACTCAGCATAATGCATATCCTACAATTGTTGTTAGTCCATTTGAATGTTAAGAAATTTGAGACTATTCGCGTTCATCAAAGACGCGTTAGTTTCAACATACCTTGTACCAATGCTTCTTCACACTGCCCTCTGTACGAGTTGGAAAGGTCTAGAATAGACAGAGTCAGCAAGCGTGTCTCCTCGTTCGTGTTTTCAAATCTAGTCTCCAAAGCGAGACAAATCTGAGCTCACCTTGGCAATCTCACTCCAGCTGCTCCCCGCATCTCTCATAGTCTTGAGTCGCTGCTCTTCGGCGGGACTCCATGGCGTATTCGTTCGGCTCTTCTTCACCGGCGGTTGCGGAGCAGCTTGCTGCTGCGGTTGCTGGGGCTGCGAAGGAGGCTGCTGAGCCTGCGGCGGCGGTGCTTGCTGCTGCGGTTGTTGCTGCGGTGCTGCTGGAGCTGGGACTGGTGGTGCCTCCCCGAGAAGTCCTCCCCCTCCGCCCAGGCCACCCGGATCCGCGACTGCCGTCGTGGTCGTGGGAGCTTGAGTCGCGGCCGCGTTGGTCCCCGAAGCACGACGCTTCCTCGGATTTGGAGGAGGAAGAGCCGTAGGCAACGGGAGTGAGTCGAGGAAGTCCTCGGGCTGCGAGCTGATGACTCCACCGACCGGACCTGCTGGCTGCGGAGGAGACGTGGGTTGATGATAACGGGAGGACGACGGGGAGGACCTATTGAGGTGCCAAGCCGTAAGTAAGCTGTGCGCGCACATGGACGCAGAATGAGCACACTGTCTTGGATACCTCGTCTACGCAAGTCGCGTGAACTTTGAAGGGCAAAGGGAGGTACTCACGACATCGCGACGAGGTTGGAGTAAGTTGTCGGTTGTGGCCTCGTTAAAACGGGCGCCTGAAGGCGGTACCCAGGTCGAGTGGGATTTGGGGAGACGATCGGATAAGGGAATCTGTGGCGCGGGGGGGGGGATGAAGAGAGGGGTGTATAGTAAGGTCACGCCGATACCTGCAAGCTGATCAGAGTATACATGACAGCTGGGTAAGAAATCTTTAGGAGGGTGATTGTGGTGGGTGCGGGTTCGAGGATCGAAGCGGCAAAAGGTGAACGAATCTCGACAACGGGCAGTCCAAGGACGGTATGGGGTACGGGGGGGAGGATTTGCGAGGACTGGCGAGAAGAGGGGAGCGACTGACGAACCAATCAGGGCTAGGGGACGCGCGAGCCTCTTCTTAGAGAGGCAAAGCGAGCGAGTAGTAAGAACCAACGAGAGAGTCGGATGGGGGAAGTGGCGCAAGAATTTGTCGACTTACCTGAGAAAAGGTAGAGCGGGAGTAGTGAGAAAGGGAAGAATCAAGGACAAAAGGTGACTTGAAAGGTTCAACACGCTGAGGGTTGACTCGACGCGTACGGAGTACTGGCGAGTAGGAATTTCGACAGGGCAGGTCAAAGGCCCAAGTACGGACGGAGTAGGTAGTGAGCTAGGAGGTAGGCAGGTATCCAGCCAACTGAGGAAGGCTAGGTTCGATAAGTTGGGAAGAGAAGGGACACTTAGGGTGAACGTAATGCGCAATCACGGGCGGGACGTGGGCCTAGCGTCAAGGTATGGTGGGAGCGGGCGACGCTGGAACGACACTTGGGTTTCTACGCAAGCAGCCTTGAAGGATGCGTACTGGAGGCACTTGACCCGAGGTAACGAAAAAAGGGTAGATAATGAGATTAATATGAGAAGTGTGTGTTTACTCCGTAGAGGTGGGGAGAGTATGAAGGCTTGGATTCCTCGGGCGCAGAGGGATAGAGAAGAAGAGACCGAGGGGAACCCCCGAAATGCGACAAGGACATTTTTTCTTTCCCCTTTTGATAATCTTGAGACGTTTGAGAGCGCACGCCCAGACTACGAAGCATTTTACATTTCCATCCCAGCAGCAGCCGCAGTAATCGCCAAGTATCCCGTTAGTCATGACAGAAGTCAATCCCAATCATATTAGGGAGGTGCAGTGTTGAAGAGACCGAAAAGACGTCTCGCACAATCTCAGCTGATGCCGCTGATGCCGTGGCACATACCAAAGGAGACGTTTGGGGCTTGCCGATGGGAGGTATGTCCTCTTAGCGCGGTGCAACACCAACAAAAGGCATGCGGGGTAATCCTAAGAGAGCAAGAGAGCGAATAAGACAGGGTAGATGGTGTGGGTGACGCGGTCCAATGTGGTACTGGTACGGTTGCTCAAGTATACTGACGGGCCAGTGTTGAGAGAGGATGGCGGGTGATTGGGAGGGAAATGACTTGGCTGGGTTCCGAGCTGTGCCGTGATCAGCTCGCCGTGGCAATCTGAAGTTGCGTCTCTAAGCCGCTCCTGCCTTTGGCCCATCGGAAGTCCCGCGTCTTGCAATACGCCATGGCTAAGATTCGAAAGCAGGGAATATGTGGGGTAAGATCTCAATGTAGAAGAAAGAAAAAAAAAAAAAAGAGAGCTCTCTTTCATCGTGGTGTGGACGGATATTTGCAAAAGTTGCGTAAATTAGAAGTCGAGTCACCTAAGGGTACTTGAGCTCTTCTGCTGGTACCTTCCCTGTTCCCCCAAGTCTCGGGTGATGCACGACTGGGGAAAAGACAGCGCCTCGCCATTCTCTGGGGAAGTGGGAAGAAGCTAAAGATGATGGGCATTGTCCTTAATCACCTCAGGTTGCGGAGTACGAGTGTTTGTGTGTACGCAGTACGCCGTCTTGTTTGGGGGCTTCCGTACGAATACTTGGGCACTTGGCGTGTCCCAGAGTCTATCCGGCTTGGGATCAAAGTACCGACTACCTTTACAACACACAATATGCAGGTACTCCGTACTGTGGACGAATCTTTCGCCTATCCTCATCGCCAACACCAAACTCCCTCTTCTCCAGTTTCCTGATAGGGAAAAATGGTTTTTTGAGCGGTATGAGTGTACCTCCGTACGCCTGTGCCGGAGAGGTGCTCCCTGTTAAACGTGGAGATTGCACCGTTACTCAATCTCAAAGGAGCAGGGGCTCGCTGAAACTGTGAGCCCATACATGACAGGGGCTTATCACCTTCCTAACTTCAAGCCACAATGTGATGCCATATCTGGCGGCGCAGTACCAGTGCACAGAGAGGCACCTCTTCACGCTTAATTTGTCTCCTCTTTCGGAAAGAACAGTTGCTTGCCTAGCTTGTGTTATTCGTTGACCTGGTCTATCCTTGCTCTTAACACTGGGTCGTCTTAAGAAACATACAGGATTAAGCCCCCCGATCTCGCCTGGCAAAGGCAGAATAAGCGGAGCAAGCCACTTTGAGATGCACAAGCAAGCCAAAAGATGTGACTTCCCACCTCGAGAGGGCAGCTGCAGCGGTCGCCCTGCTGCTCTGGCTTACATACTGGGGTGGAATCCACTAGGAAGTGCTTGCCCATCAAGAAAGGCACATTCAACCCTGTCGGTCCCCTGTTGTTCTCCACGCGGGGAAATGAAAAACTTTGGTGGCGTGAATCCTTTTGTTCGCCCTGAGCCGTCTTTTTTCCCGGGGAAATTCTCGCCTGTGTCTCATGATACTCTTCGTGGCTTGAGCTGCGCCCAAACCAGCTCTCTTTTCTCTCTGGTGATTAGAATCAGGAGCGATTCATTCGCGTAACTTTGATCGCGGGTGCAGAGTATTGCTCCTGCCTATGGTCAAACGGCGGGAGCGGGAGAAGGGTTCCCGTGTTTTATTTTCCCATCTGGGGATGAATCCTACAGCTTCCTTCCCTTTATGGAAGACAGTTGATGCTTAGCTTGCGCTAGGAGTTTGGACGTCAGCTCATCTCCAGCTAACGCGATGTCTTTTCAACTGTGTTGCATCAACTTTTATGCATGCTGTCATGTGTGTAGTTCTCTCTTCACTGGGCGAAATTATTGTATTCGATATTGCAGTTTTAGCCGCTCGTCGAATGTTTTAGCACATGGCTTTATCAAAGCGCATTGCTCCATGGCAGCCGATTTAATTTTTCGTGGGCAACTTTTGTCGCAAGGTCATGTGTAGACGGGCTGGAGGCCCTTGTCACCTAAGTTCAAGAATGATGCAGAGAAGGAGTCGAATCGCACATGTCCAAAAAGCTTTTCTCGGGCTCACAGCGGTTTCGGAATCACGGGTTCTTATGTACAGCAGAAAGAGCGGATCATTTATGCATATGGCCTTTCAAATCGACAACTTTTTATATGCAGAAGCGCAATCACCCGATGCCCTTTGTCTGTGCCACTCCAGGAAAGAAAGATTTTATGCACCTGACAAGTAAGTATTGTAGATGCAGGGATGATGCAGCACTTGAGTGCTCGCGATCTCGCCGAGTCAGGTACGTCTGGCGTACCTTCTTTAAGAGGGGAAGTGCAACGCGCCAGTTCGGTTTTGTAGCTCGTTTGTTTCGGCTCGTGGAGCCATATCAAGCATCACATGCATCTATGCTCCAGATTGTTGAGCAGTCTTTTGGACATTTACTGCCCTGTTTATCTTGTCTAATTAGTCATTGCTCTCTTACCAATTCTCAGTTATCTTGCGATAATAATGAACACGACTCAGGCATTAGCTAAAAATTGCTGTGATTTTCTGCTGTTTCTTCTTTTATTTTCATATGCATCTATATCTTTATCTACGTACCTTTTATGTATAAAAAAAATTCTAAAGGAAGGAGAAAAAAAAAAAGAATAAAATAAAATAAATTGGGACAGAAATGAAAGAGAAAAAGAAACCCAAAGATGCAGAAGATGCCGGAACCACCAGCCTCGATGGCAAGCAAAGTAAATTCGAGAAAATTCTCAACTAAAAGCCGTCTCTCACTCTTCGGCGGGAGATAGATCATAGAACGCGATTCGGGTTTTGTCCCAGTAGCCGCCTGGGTCGGAGCTCTGCAAGCTGATTTGCCTACCGTAATCGAGTCTACCGCACGGAGAAGTCCGAAATCAGACATGCCTCTCTCGTGTACGGAGTACACAAATACCTGATCCACACGGTTTGGTCTGCTATAAGATTCTCCGACATAATCCAGAGCCTAAAGTTGAGAGCGCTGCCAGATCAAAGAACCTTGCTGAATTGGCGATGTCTACTAACACCTTACCAGCAGCGAGTCACTAGAAATTCGAGGAGGGTTTGAGCACAAATGAAGGGCATAGCAGATTGCCTTCTAACTCTTATTGACCTTATCTCATCTGAAGGAGTAATGCCAGCAACGGGTTTTGTTGGTTCGCGCAATTTTGCAGACTGTCTCAAATAGAATCGGCGTCATTGCTCGACTACCGATCCAGCACCTATTAGGCAGAATCATTGTCTGCATCATCCTAACATACATTATTATTGAACATTTCCTTTCTCTTCTTGGATACTGCCATTCACCGATCGGGTATTCCATCGTATACCTTCTTTTCCTCATCACACTCTTTGTCGTTGCTCTTCCACCATTCTTCCCCCCTGCAGGCGCCTCCCGCTAACGCGCCTTTGATCCACTTACGCAAAGTAGCGCAATCTACTCGTACACCCCTCAACGATATCAGACTCCGTTCGAATTCACTTATCGCGGACTTACAATTCACGAGCATTACATATTGTTCGAGGTTGTCCACTCTGAAATTGGTCAACTCCCAAGCTTCTCAAAACTCTCTTCGAAACAATCCTTTGAACTTTTAGATGACTTCCTCGCTTTCAATAAGCGCGACACTGATTCAACCATAGTGGCCAAGCCGGCCCAGCCTGCCCTGGGCTCCATCGCTTCACACAAATATATGATAATGCGAAACGGGATCATCTCTATGACACATTTCGATCACTGAGGTCGCGCAAAAGATACGTGTTTGGGCTGAAGTACTCCCGTTCCTTTCAAGGCTGAAGAGGGAGAGAGGAAGAGGTCAGAGCTGGACACTTGATCGGACCCAGACCCAACGTTCTGGAAATGATACCTACTTCCATTGCACAGCTGGCAGCAGGTGCACTCCCGCACAGCCTTATTTCAACACTTGGATCAGCAAGTCCCTCTCAACTGGATGGCCAGAGCGGCATACCACAAACAGCCAATAACGCAGGCCATGCAATTGTTGAGCCAGCTCTCACGTCGCCTGAAGGCTCAGTTATCCCGTTGGAAAATATGAATCACAATCGTGACGAGCAAGATAATGACACCCCAACGCCAAAAACATTCCCGAAGAATGGTATCCCGTGGACCCCTCCCTCAATACCACATGAACCCGCAGAGAAAGACCCAGCTACTCCAACAGCTGCCGTGAATGATATTACGGATAAATTTCTTGTTTCCACCGGTTCTGTGAATACGCAGCTTAACCACCGTAGCCCACCAACCCCAGATGATACTCCACCAAGGCGTAAATCGAAACTTCCTGGGTCCCAGGCCCCTCCTACCCAGCGATATCCCTCATCTCGTGCAGAGTCGTTCACTACAGCACAAGAGAACTTTTCATCTGATGATGAAGGCAATAAGGGTCCCCCGTCGCTGTGCGACACTCCCACACAAGCAATGCAGAACTGGTTAGATTCAACCAGATCTGCTAGGCTAGAGAGCACTGACCTTGGGTTAGGGGTTGAGCCTTGCAATTCCGACAATGAGGATAAGTTTCCGAAATTGGATGCGCAAGCTCTCAGTCATACAAACAGCAAATTTACAGAGTTTGATGGGGCGTGGGATCGCGAGCCCGATAAAGGTACCGAGGCGCCACCACGGGAATGGAACACAAACATATCGAGGAATGTGACGTTACGAAGAAAACCAGAAAAGCGACATGATAATTATGCCTTCAAAACGGAGGCTGAAATACAGAGACAGCCATTGCCAGAGCTGAGTAACAGATTTGAAGCAGACCAGCCTGGGCCCCGAGAGCCGAGTCTGCGAGACCGTATTGAAAATCATCCGCGTGGTCGCCAGACAGATTCAATGGAGCGTTTTGCTAAAGAGATAGAATGGCCGTTTGAAGAAGATAGTGCTTTGCACGGAACTCCTGATGTTACAACGCCAGGCTTCGACAACCGTCGGCTTTCTGCCATGTCTGCGACCTCGACCATCGTCGAGGCGATGATTGTGGATACAACCCCTCAGAGGCACAGGACGCTGCGTCATACAGGCAAGAACTTAGCTTTGCGGAGGTCCGATCCGGCACCACAGCTTCCCCGGGAAGGACGTCAAGAATTTGAGAAACGCTTGTCGCAACCTGAGACAAAGACTCGGAAGCGCAACAGCAGAGCTAGCCCTTTTTCAAATGGATCTCTCTATGGATCACGACCGGCATCTCTCGGACAAACGAAGCTGGACGATGTCGTTCCTATAGTGGTGATTCCAGAGAGAACGTCTTCCTTTAAATCTTCGACAGCCTCCAGCAGGGAGCAGTCAAGAGCGCAATCTCTTATCTTTCAAGACACGCCTGAAGATATCGGAAGCCCAGATGATCGGAACTTGACAGATACTGCGCTGGATGATACATTGAAAAACCCACTGAACCCGAAGAGCGAAGCTGCCGACGCAGGAAGGTCCCGTGAGAAGCGTGAGGCATCGACCGTCCCCGTACAAAGCTCCTCGCATGTCGGTCCGACGAACAGAAGTAAGCCGCATACTCCATCACTCATCCTAAATGGCTTTGAGATTCCAAAGTCCCAGAGGAGAAGCAAGGCTTTCTCGTCGGAACATGCCCCTATTTCCTCTCCGATCATGTCAGAACATGATGGAGAAAAAGGCAGCCTGCAGTTGTCCCCTGATGTACAAGGTGAACGATCGTTGTCCTGGCATACCAGTGCGTATCACACCCCGTTTTCAGGAGCCTCAATGACCTCATCGACTGAGGGGTTGGAAGTGAGGGAAGCGACGGCTGTCAGCATCTTCCCGCACCATAACCACTCTTTGCTGGTTGTTCAGCAGCTTGCGCAGCCCGGTCCACGTCCAAGCGTGCGTGCAGGTCTTGAAATGATTGATACAGGAGGCAACAAAGATACAGCCCTACATACCGGCCATCCTCTCAGTCTCGTCCAATCACCGTTGAAGAATCCGCGTGCAGCTCCAGCACCTCCGGAATTTAAGGTTATTCCACCCACGCCTCTAGAGGAACATGATCGACAGATTGGTAGCCGGGATTTATCCACTGGCCCGACTCGTGCATTTTCGATGGTCAGACGGGCACTAACTACACGACGGTTCTCTGACTCGATCGTTTCCCCGTTTGCCCGATTACAAACTTACAAGACCGTCACGAGTGATAAGAAAAGAGTTCCCAGCGTATCCGAGGATACAGACAATAGGCTGCACCCTTTCTGGAGACCTCGAGGCTTCTGGGACGATCTTGAAGATTCCGAAGCGGAATCAGATTCGGAAGACGAGGTGGACCCCAGAGAGCAAGCATTGCTCACTGCCGCGTCTTTCTCACGCCAACAATCTCCCCATCGGACACTTTCGCTACCTGGTTCATCTTTGCGTCGCAGATGGGGCACGTTCCGAAATAATTATCAAAACGATGGGAGTAATGAGCGTATGCCGGCGACTTTAAACAGAAGGACTAGCAGAGCAAGTTTACGTAGTACTACCAGCTCAGGCATCGTCAAAGCTTCTGCTAGACAACGAAGGCGACCCCGTGCGACAGCTATCCCGGCTCTAGGCATTCAGATCGAGTACGTTGGCTTCAAAGGGTTAAAGGAAAGGCTTCGAGAGCGCAAGGAAAGGAAAGCAGAAGAGGCCCGGGAGGCGCGTCGAGAGAAGATCAGGCAGAGCATTGGCCCTAGGATTATCACTCCTGACACTCGCTATTTTTAAAACCGGCCTACCCGAGCTGGTCTGCTGCCATGGCCGCGTGTTTTGCAACGGTAAAAAGACCTTTTATTTGCTCCTAATTCAATGAAGGGGAAGGAATTTGGACGCGATCTCGACCTTGATAGCAAACGAAACTCTATAAGTTATGAACATTGTTGACTCGACGACGATTTCAGGAATTATCAATGATGGAATGATAAGACGATACCTGGTCTATTTTCATTTTGTTTTCCTATTCTTTTGGTTCCTCTTTGTTTTTTCCCCCTTCTTGTCGATCGATCTCAAGCTCTCTGGGAGTCGATTTCTACCCTGCACTATCACATTGTGTTTTGCTTATTCTCTTTTGCTTTTTCTCGCGCTGCATCTTCTAATTGCTTGTTCTTGTCGATTTCCCCTACTTAATTATTTGACTTTGGGGTGGCAGCGGCCAGGCTCTATTCACACTACGTGGTACTTATGACCCCAGACTTAGACCATTGTTATGACTCACGACACACAGAAGAAACGACTTGATAGCTTCATGCTTTGTTACTAATTTCCTTTATGCATGCTTTCCCATTACCTTTACATCCAACACTTATGAACTTTGTCTGACTTGTTTACTTATCGTTATTTACCTTTTATTTCTTTTTTTTCTCTTTTATCTTCCAGATACCATCTAAACCTCTGCTCCCCCTTTTGGTTCTTTTCTCTCTCTGTTCTCTCTTTCATGGTCTTTTATTATTTTCTCTTTTCGTCAGGTTTTACCTCCCTTTTCTCCTGTTTGTTCTTGGTTTTTGTTTGTTCCTCCTCGCCATTAGCTGGCTATTGTTCTCTGTCTCTCTTCTCTACTCCAAGTTTTCCCTCTTGGCTCAACAATTTGTTGTGCTCCAGTTTGTCATTACGTACCTTTTATTTTCATATCTAGCCTGGATAGAACTTGCTACAACGACGCCAACGACAATAATGATGACTACGAGAATCGAATCATGGGCTTTTCAAGTTTTTCTTGTACACCTTCCCAAATGGGTTATCGCCTACCTCCGGTTGCTGTGCCTCTTGGAGTCGTTGTGTCATCTGTGTGATGGGCAAATGTATAAATGTTTTTGTGTGAGGGATTCTACCAATGACGATATACGAAACCAAAACCGATGGCTTCAACTCTCACTCTGTGATCTTTGATCCAAGGCATCAGATATAAACAGAAACGTTCTACTATTGCAGCAATACTGGGAATGGCCCCTCCCAATCCGCCCAATAAATCTTTCTACATACATATAAATACATACGTACGCACTCTACCCTCGATTATTTAAAAAAACGGACGCATCCACTACCTCCTCGAGCGCGAGGCCAACTCTTCGCTTTGCCCACTCTCATACCGAGACAACAGTCGCTCAAAAAATGTATCCTTCAAATAAAGTAAACACATCCGCGCTATAATAATAATTACAGGACGGAATTAGGGGGATAAATTTATCTGTACTCGGGCTTGACGAAGTCGGCAAAGGTCTTGGGCTCCTCGTAGCCGTGGTCTGTGGTAGTGATGACAGCGAGGTTAGCAATCTACCAATTCACGAAGAAGGAGATGTCGAGGAACGGGGCAAACGGAAGAGCGGAAGCTAATGGGTCTAGACTTACGGCCGTGGTGGTGGTCGTCCTGAGGACCGACATATTCCATCTTGTAGACGCTGCCGCACTCGGTGCAGCGGGCAATGGGCCGCTCACGGGACATCTGTAAAGTTTGCCATTAGCATTTTGAATATTGTTTTCAAATGTGGCCAGAGTATTGTGTCTGAGAGAGGACACCAGAAGAGATCGTAGGTTATATAAATTGACTGAAAAGACTTACGGTCAACCAAAGGGTGATGTGAGAGTCAGCAGGGTAACCAGTGCAGCCGGCATACTGCTCATCACCAAAAGACTTGACGATGATGGGGTTTTCAAGGGTGCCTGTTTAATTGCGAAATAGATGATTAGCAACTTTGCCTCGTTCAAATTGGGTTGAGCGTGTCGAGGAAGGCCAAGTCGGTGGACGGGTTCAAATCATAGATTCAGGTCTGGGCTTGTGGACAAGGTATAGGAAAAGGAGCGATATATAGGTGGACGACCAAAAACATAAGTGTATTCTTACCCTTGCGGCTGGCATCAAGGGGCTTCATGTCGAAAATGTCGACACCCTGCATCTTTCCGAGGATTTCCAAACGCTCGAGACCAGTTGCCTGCTCGAGATCGGTGGGAACGGTACCGGGGGCGGCACCGGGAGGGAGAAGGTCGGACTCGGTCTTGATCTCTATTGATTATCACACTTGTATCAGCAATTGCATGTCCCAATTATTATTAATTATCACGTATCCATCGCGGTTCCCCTTCCATTGACCTTCGATTGCGATTTCGTTGAACTCATCCAATGGCGCAGTCGACCCGATGCTGAGAATGAAAAGCGTGACCAAGATTGCCGATTGAACAGGATTATCGAATAATTCGAATGGCACGGTCGGGGAGGTCGCAATAATATCGCTACCAGGTCGGGATTGGATTTTGCTCACCGTCAAATGGCTTCACATGCTTGTCAGGCTGGCCGGGAAGGGGGTCAATCTTGTCCGCGCCTATCAATTGAGTATGTTAGTCGAATGTTGGCAGAAGCTTTCCTCGCACAATTGACGGCCTGCGAGGTGTTGAGCCGTAGAAGGGAGGGGGAGGGCATTACGGCGGATGAAGGAGGAGGTGAAGCTGCGCTTCACAATGGGGTTGAAGGCCGCGCGGCGGGCGGCGAAGGCAGAGCGTTGCAGGAACATGGCTGCGAGGAATCAATTGGGCTGGGAGTGGAGAGTCTCGAGGTGAAGTCTTGAGCTGGCTGCCAGGTTTGATCGAGTGATGGTCGAGCTTCGGATCTGATTCCTCTCGCTCGTGGGTGATGAGTGATTAGTCAGCATGGCACTGCATCCGCATCCGAGTTCTTCCCTTTTGGCGCCGACCAACCAGGAAAGAGCAATTGCTATCATGTCTATCAACCTCAATGCCTTCACCTGGGTGGGCGCAAGCTGAGCAACACATAACAGTCACATTTAGCAGATCAGAACATGCTATCATCCAAATCAATACCGAAATTGATTATTTAACTAATGATTATAATATCTCGCCCCTTTAGCTTATTAGGGTTACTATCATCCCACTGAAGCTGTGACTCCCGCTTGACATTGAGCAACAACTTCATTCTCAATCGTAGACCAATCATATTTTATCAAAATGTATCCTGAAGAGTTTATAGGATAAATTTAGATCTTGTCCTCAAGCTTCTTAGCTACCTTCTGATCGATTCGATGCATTCCTTTGAACGAACATGTCGGACCGTAGTGGCAGACTGGATGCGGACATTTATGGCCGTAAAGGCAGTAAAAGTCGCGACATTCGAGGCCATACGAACATGGGCTCTTCCGAGTATTGTATCTTAAGACCATTTTTTCTTCTTCAGTCAGCTTGGCATGCGAGAAGGGACAATTTGAACTCGTGCATGTCCCAAGTAAATGATATTTGTTACAGACACCCTTTAGCTTATTTGTGCGAAGGGACTGCTGATAAACAGCTGGATCATATTTTCCAAGCTCCGGCTCTACGCGCTGATCTTCGCTGTTTAGCAGAATAACTCCAAGCCCTAGCATGTCCATAGTAATCTTCGGTTTAGGAGTACTTCCTGAAACCTGGATCACTAAGCCGCCATTGACGGGACTAGATGTTTTTGCTGGGAGAGCAGTAGCGGCAGCTGACGCAAACGAGACCGGCTCAGAAATGCTATTACTTTCAGCACTAGGCTTTCGGACAGCAACAGGAGGAGCAATCGGCTTTGGTGGCGGCAAAGGCTCGGATCTGAAGACCGCTGGAAACTCTACGCTGCGAAACGGTAGTTCGATGAATCCACTCGCCATTGGCATTGCATTGAGCAAGCTCACACGGCTTCTCAGCTTCTCGTCAACCCGGTACTGGTCTAGAACCGGGACGTAACCGTTATCATGAGTGCATGCAAACAGTATATGCTTGCACTGGTGATTATGAATGAATAAGTCCAATAGATCTACACGGCACCTGTGCGTAAGCAATCTAGATGGACAAAAGCCCCATAAATAAAGAGCAGATAGACGAGCTGCATTCGAGCACTTACTTCTCAGCTTATGATCAGCGCGCTCCTTGCCCATGCCGACATCGACAAAGTCGAAGAGAGCATGATGCCTGGTAAATCCACATGCAAACGCTGTCATGTCCTCAACAGTTTTAATGGAGCCAATTTGAACCAATTTGCGTGCTAGTCCGCCTAAGTTTGCATATATTTTGACCATGATAGACCACTGGCCCGAAAAATCGCTCAGCTTCTGAACATAATCCTTAGCTGCACTTAAAAGGCGATGCGCAGCTTCAGCGCCGCCGCTCGCACAACCTTTTAGAAGCTCATCATGAAACTTTATTCCAAGACGCATTAGCATGTGATTCCAATTGGTATCCTTTGAGAATGGATTACGTCTTAAATTGCACTTACAATATAACCATCACCATCGATTAACAGTAAAGCGAACGGATTTTTCTCCTTCTCAAGCTGTTAGCATACGCATATCACGTGCCACTCATATCAGGACTTTCTCACCATTATCTGCTTTGTCCGTAAATGGTCTTCTCTTTCCTCTAGAGCCTGAGCTTGATAATCTCTACGGCATCTTAACTGGGCTTCATGATCGGCCTTTAAATTGACCAGTTCTAACTTCAACTGGCAATTTTCCTTGTATAGCCACTGCGTGGAAAAAATCCAATTAGCGCATATGAAATTTCACCAAAACTTTATCTCCGGTGGGAGAAACGGTGAGGGTTTGAACCTGAATCAATTCATTACGTCTTGTATCAACGAGTGCAAAAGCCTCGAAATTAGCCTGTAATTCGCTCTCCGCCAAATCATAGGAATTCATATTGAACAAGCTGCCGGATTGTAGAATGTCAAATGTTTTGGTGAGAATATTTCCCGCTATCCCCGGCTTTATTTTCTCGCGATTTTCAGCGGCGTAAATCTGGGGACCGAGCATGGTTAGTAAGCAAACATTACGGGAAGTGCGACGTTAGAGCCGCAAGTCTTTACCAGTTTGATCGACTTGAACTATGATGCCAAGAACAGCCTTGAAAGTAAAGAATAGCGAGGGCACTCGGCCTCCGGATGCGATCGAAAGATGCAATGGTAACCAGCGATTCTCGTTCCAAACGAATGCTTTTATATCAATATCAGCCTGGCGGTCTCGTTTGCCAACTCGCTGGGTTACATTAGGCTTCACTTGGAGCTTTCGCTGTTCTTCCCGTTGTGCATGACAATGACTGTGTCAGCTCTCAGTGACTGGTCTGTTCAATGCTGGTATTGACCAATAAGCGCCTGATATGTGATGCGCAAGCACCCAAACTGCCGGCGAGGCCTCAAAGCGCGCGCCTGCATGTAAGAGATCAATAGGTGTGGTGCCTTTGACTATCAAGTACAAACATGTGGCACAAACAAAAGGCTGCTACCGCAATTCCCACCCAAAAATGCCTGAAAGGAATAAGAGGGAAAAGGAAGAAAAATTGAGTCGTGGAAGTAGAGGGCAAGTACTCCGTCAGCTACGTCAATCGAGTCTCTGTTCGCCATTATGCGCTTTGCTGGCCCTTCCAACTTACGACCTGAGTGCAATAGAAAACACAATCGCATGAAGTAGTCCTCAATTGTGACGAAAGTGAAAGTGACCAGCGAAGGTAACAGACAGTACAAGCCCCACCTGATTTGAAATCCAAAGTAGATCCGGGAACCTTAATCGCATATTACGACCCTGCACCAGATCACCCTAAAAATACTTTTAGGTCGTCATCTGTTCTCATTCACATCTCTACGCTAAAAAAGATAGATTAAATAATACGTAGGCATGTTTGAATACCCCTTCTGCGTATCTATCCGTATCGATCAAGTATGAAATGTTTAATATCTCAATACCACTGTGTAGCTACCACACCCTAGAAACGGATCATCCGGCAAAGATGTCATTCGGTACGAAGCCTTATGTGAACTGTGCTAAAAGGAATGAATTCTTTTGCAATATTAGATAAAAATACAAGTGCGTTCGAAACATGCGAGTGCCAAGGGTCGCCCACAAAATGATCAGAAAACGCCACACTGCAAGCAGAAATTTTAATCGTACAAATATGCAACATGCCTACCAGAAACTCATCCGTTTGATGTATGTATATCAAGAAACTGAGAACAATATCTTCGAACAAAGCATGCCGAACAAATCAAATCGATCACTCAAAATTGTCAGACCGGTCAACCCAGATATCCTCGAGCTCAGCAAAGTTCTGGAAGTGCAGAGGGCGGTGCTGGTCGTCGTAGAAGCGCTATAGTGAAGAAAGCTCAGTCAGCAAGATAGTCATGGCAAGCGATTTAAGTAGATTACGGAAAATGAGGGATGGGGAATATTTACGAAGCAAGGGGAAAGATTCAGAGGAAAACTCACCAATGGCGTATCCATCTTGACATAGACTGGCTTCTTCTCGACAGAGCCAAAACTGCTGCCCATAAAGCTGTAATTCCAGACATTGTTGTCAGGAACGAGGAAATATCCTCTAATTTTGTCACTGAGAAGCAGTTGACACTTGTCGCCGAAGGCAGTGGAGAAGCCCTGCGGTTGGTCGGAGCTAGTGTCCTTGTTCTCAGCGCCCCACTTGTAGCCTTGGGGATTAAGCGCCCAAGCAGCGAGTGATACTGAGCCTGGGGTAAATGAGACGGTCATGGTTACAGTCTTCTTGTCCCATGAAGCGTGAGAATTCATGAGACGAGCATGCTGAGTGACATCCATCGCGCTCATGTAAGGCAGCTCATTACCAGAAACAGTGTGGATGACACCAAGGGGCTCCATCGTAGATAGATACTCGTGTTGAGGTAGCTGGTGAGGAAGCTGCACATCGCGAGTGTTACCCACTTGAGGGATCATGACAATGGTACGGACCTCCTTGACCTGGTCGTTGTCCGGAGGCGAAGAGCCATACAAGTAGCCTGCGACTTGGACGCGTAGATCGGCAATGGCAATGAACTTCTTGAGGATATTCTTGGGCATAATGTACGTGTAGTGGTCATCTTCGCGGATGTCATCGGATGAGATGTATATGTTGTTGGCACGAGTGCGGAGGTTAGAAGTTGCGATAGCTCGAGTTCGCCACTCGGTCTTGGAGGCAAAAGTCTGTTGTTCGTATTGCGAAGTGGTAGTGACAACAATCTCTTCTCCGCGAACATTCTGCGTCTTCGTAGTGACGGCCGTGAGTTGCTGCTGTTCTTGCTGCTGTTTCTCAATCTCGGCAGCCTGTTGACGCTGCATGGATGGAGCGCTAATCTCCATACCGAGAATGATATCGCGGACTTCACTGCTGGTCAAGCTGGATGTGTTGACATTGTTTTTCTTTCCATAGTCGTTCAAAATTAGGTCGCGCAGCTGCACTTCAACCTTGATCCAGTCTTCATCAGAGAGTGAAGGCCAAATGTGGTGCTCCTTAGTGATGATGGTCTTGTCGGGGCGTAGAAGCAGTTTGGTTTTGTCCTGGTTGACATGCAATGCTCGAAGGATGAGGATCAAACGAGAAAATGCAGTGTACGAGGAAATGGTCTTCAGCCATTCATCGTACAGGTTGAAAAGAACCATCTGCGGCTCCGTAGCACGAAGGATCATGTCGCCAAGCTTTTCAACCTTCATTGCGGCTTGGAATGGCAATTGCAGTTCCGAAGCCCGAATAGAGATATTGGGAAAGTCGAGCAAGTGCACTTCGAGGGGATCCAGGAGACCCTTTCGAGTGACAATGAGCTGCTTCGGCTGCTCCTCGACGGGCAATGATCGAATGAGGGCGGCAACCTCTTCAGCTGTTTTCCATTTTGCTAACTGACCGAGACGCTTCTGTCCAGCCCACACACTGGTATGAATGATCTTAAGGAACAATTGACCTGTTCTAGGGTTGAAGATAAAAATGGCACCGTTGATCGGCTTCGTAGTTAGGTTACCTTCAAACGTCTTATGGATGGTAACTCGATAGACGTTGGTATCATCAATGAACAGCTGGATCTGGTTGCTGAAGAGTTCCGAATAATTCTGCGAGTTCAGAAATTCCTGGTTGCTTTCAGAAGCGTAGAGCTGTAAACCCTTCCTGATTCGCTCCCGAAGGACATAAAGTGCCGGATTCGCTTTCATAATTTTCGCCATAGCTTGCTGAACAAGCGTCTTCAAGCCGGGGAAGTACTGTCCATAAGCCGAGTACAGGTTATATGCGAGATCGATCGCGATCATGAGACCGGTTGCCGACGGATAGATGCTCATGCTGTCCGTTGTGTAGTCGAGATATTTGGCACGGACATAACGCTCGATGTCGTGAGAATCATAATCACCGTATCGCAGCTGCACATCTATCCAGAACTTGTTGGTAGTAGTGGCCTCAATCGTGTCCTTAGTATCAAAGAGGATGGAGGGACGCGTTACGTTCCACTTGTGACTAGCGAAAAGAAGGATGTCGGCACAGGAGCTGTTCATCTTGTAAGACTTTCTCGGATGGATTGTCTCTTTCTGCACCGTCTCAATACCCAACGACTCGAGTTCCTGATCGAAGACTTGGCAAAGATCCATAACAACTGACTCATGAATCTTTTGCCACAAGTGAGCTCGGAAAATTTGGATCAAGGAAATCTTAAGGGTAGGAATCTTTCCGTGCAAGAAAATGCCCGTTAGATCGAGTTGCACTTGGAAACCAACGTAAACGTTTGCTCGATTGATAGTCGGAGACCACCAAAGAGTGAATCGACGATTTGGAATCTGATTAAGACCCGAGCGCTGAGCATTGGTTAACTTCTTAAACTTCATTGATTCCTCAAAACCACTGTTATGCAGCACGAGATGGTCGTGCCGCAAATAAAGCTGGTCTTGATCCACCCGGAAACCAGCCCATTCCGTTGCCTCCAATTCAAGGGAGATATCCTTGACGGTGAAGCTGTTGGCGTGAGGGTTTGCTGACACGGCCTGCTCGGGCAGTTCGAAGACTGGGGACCTGAAGAGCAGATGCTTGCCCCTTTCCTTCTCGTCAAGGGCAGCGAACTCTGCGGCTGTCATCTCGACAGTCTCAAACTTCTCGGTTTCGGACACTTCACCATCGAGATTCGCCTCATTGTAATCCTTACTCTTTTCCTCGTTATTTTTTCGAGCATTCTTTTCCCGATAGAGGACCAAGATATGGTTTGGCGTGACCACGAGATCCTCCATAAGGGCGCCGATTTTGATGCGATAAAGGCGGTCTTTGCCGTTGACGATGTTGAAGGCGCGACGATGCCCACCGTCTGGGCCCAGAAGTAGGTCCCCTTCCTTGACGTCTTCTACCGCGACTTTGGTGCCATTGTGACGCAGAAGCTGTGTTCCCTTGGCGAGACAAGCTTTCTCCCAGAATAATCCTTCCCACGAGGGGAAAGCCGTGGCCTTGAATAAAGTATGTTCAAGAATAGTTTCAACACCGCCAAGGGCTTGAATAACGTCCGTACGGTAAGCGTTCAGATTCCAAAGCTTGCCGTCATGTCGTTGACTTGTCCACCAAAATGGGTTGCTCTTCATTAACTGATACGTCTTGAATTCGGTTCTGGTCCGGAAACCCTTGTCGAAGCTGAGGGTACTCCGGTCCTTCTGAAAGAGTGTATTGATACGAGGCAATCCACGGTCCCAGCTATCTTCTAGATCCTCAAGGGTCAATCTACGGTTCTGCTGATTCGCTTCCTGGCGCTTCTGAGAATACTCAGTCCACACGCGCTGTGAGTCGATAAATTCAGCCTCCCATGGGATGATGTAGCGGAAGATATTGGGGATGAGCGTCTCTTCATCGTGCGACATACCGGCACGGTAGTGCGTTACGCCAGTGTCGGTTTGCTTAGACCAACGTTTATCGCTGGTCGGGATAAGGATGTGAGAGCCCGAAATCATACCAAGACCACCAAGCTCCTTCGGTGTGTAGAAGACTGCTGGCGGGAAACGAGACGGCATCTTGGAGTTCAAGCCGATCTTCACTCTTGTCTGGATCTTGGTTTCACACTTGACAATTGTGTCAAGCAGATTAACGGTCGATATAGCTGCTTCGCGATAATAGGTGAATAGAGCAATGAGTGCAGTGTTCCATTTGTTGGCAATCTTTGTGAAAGTTGTCGAGCCAGAGGACATAAGAATCTGCCGAATGCGGTTATTAAACTTTTGAATATCTTCCTCAGTGACCTGCAAAAAGGCATGGGCAGTGCGTTCTTTGGTCGCGTTGTCGACTAAAGACCAGACGCTGTCCTTGACCGGGAACTCTTCATTAAGGTTTCGAATCTTAGGTAGGATGCGGACCTCAAAACCACTCATGGAGTAGAGCAAGTTCGGGTTGTCCTTGCTGTAGACGCTGGAGAAAGTATCATCCCACTCAATCGTGGTGACTGATCTAGGCAGCCTATTCTTGAGATCCCAGAAGACAGCACGGCCAAGGTTAACATCATGCCTCATCAGCCTCATCCTTGAATCACGAGGCCAGCATTTCTTGTTGCGGTAGCCGATGACATTTTCAAAGTTGGGGTCGGGCTGCTCGGTCAAAAATCGCTGTATCAAGTCCCGGGACTCGTCAGCAGTGAATCGGAAAAACACCCAAATACGATCAATGTATCGGGAATAAAGTCGAATTGGGTGTCTGGTTTCCGTAGCGCGATCCCTAAATTGCAAGAAATCGTTGGGACTCTGCGGCGGTCCGGCAATCTCACTAGCTCGTTGCAATCCGAGCAGAAGAAGGTCAATAACAAGGCCATAGTATTGAAATACGAATGCAGAGAACTGCAAACCGCGAATCATACCATAGCTGTTGGTATGGTTCATGTCCTTGTAATTGAGCTGCACGTTATTCTTAGAGGTGATATAATCTGCCAAATTATGGTCCATAATAAGACGCAGAAGACGGTTTAACAGGGTCAGATCGATCTTCTCATAGACTTTAGAAAGCTCAGTCTCGATCATGACGTTGCATTCCCCGTCAGCAGTCTCCCAGACTCTGTCCAAGTTATTGATCCCTTGAGCCCATTTGTAGACCAGTAAAGGCGGCACTTCCGAATCCGAAGGCTTGATCCATGCCGGGAAAAGATGGCGTTGGTCAGCCTGGTACCATAGATATTGATCCAAGTACGCATCTGTGATTTTCTCGACTGGTTCGATATCGTAAACGGGATTGATGGTGCTGTAGTTGTCATTCATGTCAATGCCAACTTCTTTGAACGCACGTTGGGTGAGAAGGAACCGCTTGATCCTAGCAAGAGTTGTACCGGGAGAGTCGTAGGCTTGTTCGATAAGAGCGAGCTCCTCTCGCTGACTTTGGTTCAATCGGCCTTTGACCGAGTAAGCCTCACGCAGCCTCTCAAGAGCAAGGATAAGAATCTTGGTATCGTGCTTGTACGATACACTGGGGAAAGGGATCGGCGAAAACTTCCGGGACTCTAGCCAATGGACAGTGGTAGTGTAAATCGCGACCGCTTCTTCAGAAGAAACGTATGGGCCGTCCTTCATATAGTTGTGCTGTCTTTCTTGTTCGGCCTTCAGCCAAAGGCGAGTAAGTCTACCCAAGTTCTTCTTCGCAACAGTCTTGTCGACTGTGGCACCTCTCCTTATACGCTCACGGTTGTAGTGGGCAACAGAGACCCACCAGTCCGCCTTGCTCTTGACGTACCGAAGGATAATGTTTTCAATGGGCGCAGGGAGACCAGGAACTTTCCATGGAATATTACTCTTCCAGCATCGCCAAGCTTCCGACAAATGCTGAAGAACGGTGTTGACTTTACTCTGCTTGATGCCTTCAGGCATCATGTCCATAAGATCGGCCATGACAGACGCGCGAAGTTCAAGATCAAAATGCGATTCGACTCTTTGCTTGGTCACCGTCTTCGCAACACCCTTGCTGTGACGTCCTTCAAATTGACGAGACAAGAGGTTTCCGAGCCAACGCTCAAGAAGGGGAATGATACCTCTCAAGAAAAAGAGCCATACTCTCCATGCTGGGGCCCAGAAACCACATCCCGGACCTTTCCCAACAGGGCCAGAGTTAAAACGATAATAGATCAGATGTTTCAGATCCTTGCAGGATCGAATTTGATGCATTAATTTGTACTTGTACCGGTACATGCCCGTCAATTGACCAACATGGTTAAAAGCATAAAGGATACCGTCTGCAAGTTGGAAGGCATCAATGTTTCCAAGCCGGTATTGGACTTGTGCATCGACAATCAACTTCGTAAGACGAAGAATTTCCCGCATAAGATGGAAAGCGTTTCCAAATCGAGACTTCTTACGCTCCTTGGTCGTCAAAGTCTTAACGGGCTTGAGGTTGAAGTTATAGTCGAGATGCAAGTACGTCAGATTTTTCCGATGAATGAGAAGGTTAAGCATATTAAAGCCTTGTCGACAAACTTGAAGGCCGGCTTCGACCCAGTCAATCGTAGTTTGCTGGAAAAACTTTGTGCCCTTAAGAGATCTGAGGAGATTCTGCTTGCTTTGAGATTTGGGCGGCCGCTTATGGAGTTCATTCAACACGTATGTTTTAAGAAGCTTTTGGTACGAGACTCGCACCTTCACAGGTTGCCCTTGTGGAACATGCTCTAGATACCATTGCTTCACGAGCGGCACATCCTGTGCACGAACCATACGGCCTGATCGCCTATCGAATGGGAAAGGAGCCCACCACAACGCTATAGCTGAGGCAGTATCCTCGGTGTACAATTCTTGATCACCCAGGAAGGGTTCCACATCAGCAGGCAGAACAAACTCGTCATCCTCATCATTTCCGTACCCGAATATCTCATCTTCATGGCTGGTAGTGATGTTCTTCGGAGCTACCGATCGAGACGAGATCGGGTTGATGACCGGATCAAAGTAAAATGCAGGGAGATTAGGATCCTCGGCACGGACGTAGACGATTTGTGGGTGAGAGTACCAAGACAGCTTTACACTTCGAGGGAGTGAGTTGTAGAGGTACGGGAATGATACTCGATACTCGGTTCGGATCGGAGCACGGAAAATGATGCGGTCGATAGCATTGAACTCCCCGAAGTCTTCGTCATTAGGGTCCACGTCCTTGTAAAGCGGTTCAAACCGTGGACCGCCAGGAATGGCCACGTTAAGAGCCTTTGCAGTCAAAAAGCTGTTTAAATCGAACATGTGAAAATAATTCTCATCAACCACATCACTCAGCAGCTGGTGACTGAGGCGATACAATGTAGCCATTTGAGGTAGCGTAAGATTCCAGGTCTTATAGCTCGGGCCATTGACGTGTGGGGTGTCCAACAACGGTCGATGGTCGTAGAACCATTCGTAGACTGGGCTATCTTCGCTTTCGTCCAACTCCATCTGAATCGGTTCCAATGGTTCCACGTCCTCAATGTTCTCTGACCAGGATAGAGGAGGTTCCTCGTCATCGAATGGTGGGAATCGCATACGTTTAAAATGCCTCCGGTCGCTCTTTTCTCGTCGCATACACACCCACATGGTGGCCCACTGGGCGTGGAATACAGGTTCGATAACTCGAGGTATTTCGTTGACTAGCGTCAAGCAACCGTTTACATGATAAAGGACCTTGACCTCTCTCGCAGACTCCCACGGCATTGGCATATTCTCAAGCAGTTTCAGAACAGCATGAGGCATGAACTTTAATGCTCCAAGATAGCTCCGCTTATCACTGCTGAACTTTTTCTGTGAAACATCGCCAATGTCCTTGACAATTTTGCGCAAGTGTTCCGGTGGCATATCGGCCTTCTGTGTCTCAACAAATCCCCCCTTTCGCTTCTCTCCAAACCGATTCCTTTGAGTCCGCAACCATTCCTTTTTCTTTTGCGCAAACTTGGCGATCTGAGGATCAGCTGGCGGGCGATAACCCGGCGGAGGCGGTGCGAGTGGCATCGAGGGAGGGACTGACGCGCCCCATCCTGGGGGAGGCGGTGGGAGATTGGACATGATGTCGATCCGGGTGGAAAAACACGAACGCCAGAGGATATCGATTGGGGCGACAGGACGCCCTGGGCTGCTCTTTCTCTCACCTCTGCCTCCAAGCAGTCCAACGAAGGATGTCGAAGGCTAACGAAGGAAAGAACAGAGAAAGGAGTACAGTGGATCTAGCCACCCAGGCGTTCGTGATGAAAAGCCGCGCTCACTCCAATTGCGATGATGGAGTTTGTAGATTCTTGCCTCAAGTGGCGTTTCTCTGATCGAGCTCAGAGGTACCGCGATACCTGATCAGATTTCTTGGCGTCAGATTTCCAAGAGAGGAATAGCGTTGTTTTAAATCACATGATTTGAGCCTCAGGGTTGAAGCCCACTTTTCCACACAGCCAAGCGAGGAAATTCGAAGGTCGAACAACGAAACGACAGCACGACCAACGATTGCGGCGGATACCTAGGAAACGGCAAAATGGCTTCCACTAGATTGACCTACGTACGTTTGTCTGAATATGAGATATTAGTATTATCGATGCTGACGATTTATTCTTGAAATAGCGCCGCAGGCAGGCGTAAGTTACCCTTGGACGATCGCGATTATCTCGAATGCTCGATTATCGAAAGTCTCCCGTACTAATGTGGTGGAAATTTTCAGATACAACACCCGGTCCAACAAGGTCCGCGTCATCAAGACCCCTGGTGGAAAGCTCCGGTATCTTCACATCAAGAAGAAGCCCTCCGCGCCGAAATGCGGTGACTGCGGTATCAAGCTGCCGGGTGTAAGTGAAGGATTTCTTTTTGGAGGGTTAGGCAAAGGAGAACATCGGTCATTTGTGTCTGGACAGCACGTGTCGTTTGAGGAATTACGCCGGAGGAGTTCAACTGAAGGACATATGCGATACGACGGGTGGAATTACTGGATTGGAGATGGGACATTCTGGACAATTCGATAGACACGACCAATACAGCACAGAGACCGTCGCTCGACTTTGTCTACATACCTCGCTTTTGGAAAACGTCGGAATAGCTCGCTGACACGGACCTCTTATTAGGTTCCCTCTCTCCGGCCCCGCGAGTACGCTACCGTCTCTCGCCCCAAGAAGACCGTCCAGCGCGCCTATGGTGGCTCAAGATGCGCCAACTGCGTGAAGGACCGTGTCGTCCGTGCCTTCCTTATCGAGGAGCAGAAGATTGTCAAGAAGGTATGCAGGCTATGCATTCCCATGCTGGGAACCAAGGCCCTCTCTGCAGGTATACTAACGTCAATTTAACTCAACAGGTGCTCAAGGAGTCGCAACAGAAGAAGCGCTAAATTAAGTAGTGGGATTTGGGGCGTTGCAATTGTCTTGGGTGTCAATGGGTCGACATGACTCGCGGGCTGTGACTAGAGTTTCAGTCTTTGTTAGCACCGGAAAACAATCAAATCTGCTGTCTCTGGAACGCGTCTGTGCCGCTCGATTGATGTTGGCTTCTTGAACTCTGAATAATCTTTTGATCCCTTCACCCAACGTCGATACTCGCCCATTTTGCAGGATATGATTTGCTTCGACTTGCGGGCCATTGAACCTTCGTGTCGACGGGGCAAAGTAAATATGTGATGAGATCGACAACGTCGCCCTGTCCGAGATCCTCTTTACTAAGGGAAATTCATCTTCAATGCCATTTCAGATCGCCGAGTCAGCCGGAAAGTAACTTTCGTGATGCATTTTTTGACCAAAATCATAATCACTAAACGGGTTGGAATCAATGTCGTGCTTTGGACTTGATGAAAAAGTTGCGTGGAGACGTGGCTTATGGCTAAGATGAATGCTAGAATGCGATTGTGCGATGATGCGATGATGCGATGATGCGATGATGCGATGATGCGATGATGCGATGATGTGAGTACCTCAAGGCAGTAATAATCATGTTCAAAGGGTATCTCTAAAGTATAAAACATTTACTCAAATTTTCCATGTTGGGAATATGTGCAACGGGCTTTATTTAGCCACAGCTCTCATGCCATCACTAGACCTCTCTAGATTGTTCGTAATAGAGTTACATGTAAGGCCCTCATGTCCGCTGCGAGGCGAGTCACTACCTAGTGACATGTTATTTCCGCATCCGAGGTATGAATGTTGTACCGGGAAGCTGAACCAATCCCAAGCGCAACAAATATAATGACGTTCATCTTTTCCCTCAAAGGCAGAGTCCTGAAATGGGGAAGAAGCTCAAAATTTCTTCATTAATAAATAATCTCGTACAATTATATATATAGGTATTTCCCCAGTTTTGCCGCTGTTAATTACTGGACGTACGCCAATTGTAACAACTCTGACCTGTTATATTTGTACAGGCGATCCCAACAATGAGCCCAGCATGCAAGCAGCTTGCTCGGATTTCTCACAATGTCATTTCCTCGAAACTTCATTTCCACCCAAGATCGTTAAGCAGTCAGGGAGCTATATGCAGGCTTGGCGCACCGCCGCAGCGACATAGCGACAATGCAATTTCTAAGCCAATGCAACAAAGGAGGCCATACCACGACACAACGTCATTAGCTCGCACTTCTCCCAAGCCTCGAAGTACTTACCGCGGGCCTCAATCGCAGGAGGATACTCAAACGGACTTTGCAAGACTTGATGTTCTAGCGGGTACGAACGCCCCCGCTACAGCTATCGATGCTTGTCTCGACGATGGGTTCCACCTTAGCAGTGGATTGAAGATCACCGGCGGAAGTGGCTGTATGTTGGTCGCAGGAGAGGCGTTTGTTTGGAGACCATGGGAAGCGAACGATGGCACCGATGGTGAGAGAAGAGGTAGTCTCATAAATCGTAAAGGGCAATGGCATGCTTCTAAAAGCGCGTGGGGGATTTTAGATTTGATTTGGCCGAAGCCAGGTATGTTGCGAACACGTAGCACAACCATAGCAATTTCTACCTTCTCCTCCTCAGAAATTTTCACGAAGACTGATGCCCCACAAACATTTGATAGATCTCCTAATTTTGGGTTTGGGTGCTACGATGCGACCAATAACTCCCGAGACGAAAAGCTTTATTCAGTCGCTCGGCATTAGGGTTGAAATCCAAGATACTCGGAATGCTGCTGCTCAATTTAATTTGCTCGCAACAGAACGAGGAGTTGGCAATGTTGCAGCAGCGCTCATCCCTCTAGGTTGGAAGGAGCCATGCTGATATCTCCGTATCTTGTATTTTTGCTTTGATGCCTAAATTCGTCCAGCAGCCCAAGTCTCGAACTACATGAGCATTAAAGATTTACAGTACGGTGCGTTTTCATGGTATGGGGAGGACCGTACGTAGATGAGAATGCGCAAATATCACGGCTTAACTGAACGTACCTTACATTTCAAAAGAAAAGATGTCTATACTGCTCATTATATATATACTTTGTGCAACAGACGAAAAGCTCAGACGGGCAAGTATCTGTAGTGAGTCTCGATATGATTGGAGACCGCGAAGACGATCACCTTGGTGGTTTATCATGGGGCCGTATTATGTACCTGTGCAGCTTATCTTGACGTAGTGTGACAAGACTCGACCTGACTTGCATCCATTCCCGAAGCGAACTGGGGGAGCTCCGACGTCTCCACCTAGCTCAGTCTTTCAGGCCTTCCACTGGCCGCGATTGCTGTCACTGAAGCACTGTATGCAGTCCTTTCGTATGATCTCATCTCATAGGTTCTGAGGCCTTCAATCATACTACTTTCTTGATATTCAGAATAGACGGCTCCAGAGTCGCCCGAATAGCGCTATGGCGCCTTCCGAGCAGCCTCTTCTAGCTGCAGACCGGCCTTCAAGCCAGCACTCTGACGACCGTGACATTGCTGAAGAGGACGCTCTCCTCACCGGAGAACGTACCGAACGCAGAAATGGACCCAAGTCACGATGGGCTGTCTGGAGAGAGGTTGGTCTTTTTGCCTGGGCTCTTCTAGCGACGGCGGTGGTGATCATCTTAGCTGTCGTGTACCAACATGAGCAAGCCTCACACCATCGACCGAGCGCTGGTCCGAAACCTAGTGGGAAGAGGAACATGATATTCATGGTCTCTGACGGCATGGGTCCAACAAGTCTCTCTATGACCAGATCATTTCGACAATACGAATCGGGTTTGCCCATCGACGACATTCTCATGCTCGACCAACACCTCATTGGCAGCTCCCGGACAAGATCAAGTTCAAGTCTTGTCACCGATTCTGCTGCCGGAGCCACGGCATTCTCTTGCGGCCTGAAGAGCTATAACGGCGCTATCTCAATATTACCTGACCATTCACCATGTGGTACTGTGCTAGAGGCCGCAAAGAGAGCAGGCTATATGACTGGGTTGGTGGTCACTACGAGGCTGACAGATGCGACACCGGCATGCTTCGCCGCTCACGTCAACATGCGTGGCGAAGAAGACCGTATTGCTGAACAAGAAGTCGGGTACTATCCTTTGGGAAGAATGGTCGATTTGATGCTCGGTGGTGGACGGTGTCATTTCTTGCCAAACACCACCGACGGTTCGTGCAGGAAAGATGGCAAGGATGTCGTCGAGATGGCTAAGGAAAACGGCTTCAACTATGTTTCCGATCGCACAGGCTTTGATGGCTTGAACCTTGGCAGCTCAGTGAAGCTTCCTCTGCTTGGACTCTTCGCTGATACTGACATCCCTTACGAAATCGATCGCCGTACTCAGGATGATATCTACCCGTCCCTTGATGAGATGGCACGCACAGCTCTGAAGGCGCTGAGTGATGCCACGAGAGATAGCGAGAAAGGATTTTTCCTCATGATTGAGGGAAGCCGAATCGACCATGCTGGCCATGGCAACGATCCAGCTGCCCAGGTCCACGAAGTGCTTGCTTATGACAAAGCGTTCACCAGTGTCTTGGAGTTCCTGGAAGATGGTGTCGAGGGCGTTGTTGTTAGCACTAGCGACCATGAGACTGGCGGACTCGCTACCGCAAGACGTAAGTTGCAAACCGCTCCATGCTCCATGCTTGCCTCAATCATTCGAAACTAATTATGGAGTAGAGTTACACGAGACGTACCCTGAATACCTATGGTATCCTGGTGTGCTTGCAAATGCCTCCCATTCGTCAGAGTATCTTGCAAAGGACCTTCGCAGCTACGTAGCGTCAAAGGACGTGATTGCTCGTGGTGACCTTAAATCTCACATTCTCGGCCTGCTCAAGGATGGGTTCGGCGTTCACGATGCCAGCGACAGTGAGGTCGAGTCATTGATTGCGCATCCGACGAGTTCAGATTATATTTTTGCCGACATCATCAGCCGAAGAGCCCAAATTGGCTGGACCACTCATGGCCATTCTGGTAGGCGCTTTCCTATTCCCTCTTGCCCCTTTCAGACTCCTTGCCTCCGACACTGCCCGCCCATTTATATATTCCATACACTGTCTTTTTTTTAAGGATCTTGAACGAGGCCTAACATGACTATTCCCTCAGCTGTCGATGTGAATATCTATGCTTCGAGCCACGAACACGCGCGGCCTTTGGTCGGCAACCACGAGAACACTGAAGTTGGAGAATTCATCCGTGACTATCTCGGCCTTGATCTGGAGCCTATCACCAAGGAACTGCAGGACAAGGGCGTCTTGTACAATACCTTGGACACGGCTGGTGAAAATGTGAGCTGGACAGGCAAGCTGCCTGCTGAAGGAGTATTGCTTGACGAGTGTGACCATTATCATGGAGATTTCAAGCGTGATCTTAGCGCACATGAGCATAAACATTAGCAGCTTCGCCTTCATATTTTCTCCCATTGTATCGCATACCAGTCCAGCTATCTTCCCATTGGTTTCGCTTCAGCGTTCTTCATTCATTTTCCGCCCACCAATCATCTTCTAGCTTCTCCTTTTTATCGTTGGCGTAGCGTGTTTGGTTTGTTTCCCTTGTCATTCTCGATAACTACAATATTTTTCCTTCTGTCGTGCGGCGAATGGCTTACTTTGTTGCTAAGGTCTCGCGTTATCGCCACCCAAAGTAAAAAATTTCATACACGACATAATCGAGCATAATGTCGAACACCCCTTTATTTGATAATTTCGACCTAATATTCGCTATGATAATTGGATTTTAGCATTCCAGTTTCTAGATTATGAGAGGCTCGTCCAATCCTGGGTTTGAGGCGATGACATATAAAAAGCCTCAAGTAAATCCCTTTTCCCCTGCCGGGTACGCATAAATCGATATTGCGTGACATAATCAATGGATATAAGGGTGCTTTGGGGGTGATTTTGAAATGAATGAGGCCATTAGCAGAAACAGGGTATCTCGATCCAGTAAGAGACGAAAACATTGCCAATGTTCCGCTTACGTTCTAGTGATGTCCAGAAGAGCAATGCAGACAAGTCGACTTATGTTTAGAATTTGCGCTTCTTTTTCGCTGGAGCTTTTGCTCTCTCCTCCATCTGTTTTCTCAGCTCTTCGCGCCGCCGATTTGCTCGTTCTTCCGGCGCTTCTTCAGGAGGAGCTTCTGGTGGACTATGACTACGACTACGTTTGTTTTTCGCGTTCCCGACCCTCGGCTCTTTGCCACCTGTAAATTGTTGTGTCTTTGCCGTTGAAGAAGGAGGTAGTGGGCTCGAGGTAGGTGAGCCGAGCTCTTCAGTATGCTTGGACGATCGAGCATCAGATATTGCGGCTGGTCTACTTCTGCCCCCAATGACACCCAGCCTGGAACGACTTGGTTTGCTCGGTGGTGCAACGGCTTGATCCGAATTTGCGCTGGGAGACTTAGCTTCAGGCGAGGCGGCCTTTCGAGGACCTCCTATTGTGCCTAAACGCTGCCGAGGTGGGCTTGCTTTCGGCCTTTCAGACGGCATATCCGGAGAGCCTCTAGCAGATGAGGGCGTCCACTCGCCCTTGCTTTGCTCAGCCGGAGAGTGAGGGGATGACAGTGGCGATGCTGGCCGTGGAGAGTGAAGACCTTCAGCTTCGCCTTCGGTCTCTCCTTCAGTTTCGCTACCTTGATCTGTCTGCAACTCATCATCCATGTTTCTGGATTTGGATGGTGATGGACTTCTATGTTTGGAGCTTTCCATATGCTTCTTATCATCAGACTTCTGACCAATCGTACCAGATTTCTTAGTTCTGGGATGCTGAGGACTCTCTTCATCCTCCCACCCCGACGATCTTTCTCTTGTAACTCGGGTACGCTGGAGTCTCGCTCTCTGAAAGGGAGCTGATGGGCCACCAAGATCATCGTCATCCTCAGTGGTCTCATCATCAAGGTCAGATTGTTTGAGCACTGAATTTTGCGCGGAGCCAGGAGATGACGGTGCAGGAGAAGCGCGAGCCTTCGCTGGACGTTCTCGTAATCGCGGTGGCGTTTCTTGCCTCTGCATTAAAACATTAGTCTCAAAGAAATCAGCTAATATAATCAGGCATCGAACAGACTTGAAATTCAGCATCACTGTCGTTTGACTGCTCCGGAGATTGTGCGCTCTTTGTCTTCGATTTCGGTGAATCGAATTTTGTCCCTCGCTCTGAAAGTTTGTAGTCTTTGTTTGATAAATGACGCCACCAGCCATCAGAGTAAGTCACCTTGGGTATATGATGCACTGTTCGGAGTTCTAGTCCATCTGTAGAGAAGGTCTTTTCAAGAAGATCTTTCTCCGTATTCTCAGCTTCATTTTCTTCGGCCAAGTCTTTTTTCCATGTGGCTTCCTCGAACTCCCCCATTCCACGGACATATTTGGCCAGCTCTGCTCGAGAAGCACCGCGTTTGCCAGCTTTTAGGCCTATTGCCGCGGGGAATACCCTATTGATCTCTACCCCAGCGACGTCAAGTTTATCGACAAGGCGTTCTATGACATGATCCTTTTCTTTCAGGAGACCAATTAAAAAGTCAAGCTCACGACTTTGGGCAGAGACTGTGGCAAGCAGAGGCAATATAAGAGCTTCTTTAATAGAGGCCTCGTTTGCTGATACCAAGTTAAACTCCCATTCTAGAGGCCGCAAGGGTTCAGGAAGTGGTATTTTTGCTTTCGCAATAAGCTCGCCTTCAGCAGAAGCAGGCAGCAAGCGCAATGTAGTCCCATTGTCTGCACCAGTCAAAGGTATTTGAAGCTTTTCAAGCAGGATCCTTAGCTGGCTGGGGTCCTCGCTAGGGTCAATACTTGTGTCATTATTGAGAGCCCGCCTGATAATTTGTCGTCGACCTAATGATTCAGACCATACATTGCGAAGATCAGAAACAAGTATTGTGTAGGAGTCTGGTTCAAAATTACACTTTAGAAGTAAAGGTGGAAGAGGGATCGAAGCTGAGAGATTTTGTAAAATAGTCCACCGTGAAGACATCGCCTCTGAACCTTTTTAAGTTCACTCCAAGTCAGCTTGGAGGTTTGTTTGTGTCGACTCTGTAGAGCTTCATCAGGAGCATTTTGGTAAGGCAGCCGCTACGATCCAAAGATGCACAAATGACGCGCATCGCCGGGTAACCTCCCGTCTTCAGGGTCCCCTGCCAGCAAGATCTCACCAGTTCGATCCGCAAGGCGAGCGGGAGTCTGAGTTGGTAGAAAGTTCGGAGTATCCCTCTATTTCTGAACAGAAGGCTTTAACCTGGCTGCCAAAAGATGGATGGATCCGGCGCGATGAAGTCCGGACGCCCCGGTCAGCGAAGCACAGTCCCTGCTAAACGGTCTGCTGACGCCCAGGAGGAAGCGTGGGTGGCGGATGAGGATCGATTTGTGTTGCGTCAAGCCAAGAAAAAGGCAGAAATCCGTGTAAAAGAAGGCCGACCGAAACCGATTGATTGGTTAGCTGTGTTGTTACGGGTTGTTGAACCTGATCCCGTCGACGACGACGGTGACGACTCGGACCTGCCCGTGGTCAATCCCGACGGAATATTTGATAGTTTAGACGTTCAGCAACTCGAAGAGTTGGAGAAGGACATCAACGCATTCGCTTCACTGGAGCAACTCAGAGCCAATAGGGAATACTGGAATGTGGGTTCATCTTCTAAGTTTCCATTTCTTCCTTGCTGATCCTTACGTAGAGTATGAAAATTATCTGTGGCGACCGCAGACAAAAGTTGAGCGGTAGAGGTCCAGAAGGGCGCGCTATAAGCTCAGTCTCTTCTGATATCGATCGTACCTTCTCGAACAAGACATATGACGAACTGCAGACCCTCGAACGGCAAGTTAACTGGAAGATTCAGTCAAACGAACCGATTGACTATGATTATTGGGAGCAGTTATTGCGAACCCTACGAGTCTGGAAAGCAAAGGCAAAGCTCAGGAATGTATATCAGTCTGTGATTGAGGATAGGCGACAAAAGCTTCGGCACCAACAGGCGGAAGAGGCAAAAGCTATCGCAAGTAAACTGCAGGGCATATTGGGTTCCACAGCAGCCGCCGGATCATCTACGAATCCTTCGACCGTTGAATATTCGGCACCTCTAGACCCGGAACCAATGCTCAAGCTTCGATTGGAGGACAAGGCGTTGGAGCTGATCGAAGAAAAGGAATTTTTGAAGAAAGTTGTGAGTTCTTTCCAACACTATTGGTTCGGCGGCTTGAAATTGACTTTATGGGATCGCCCAGAATGCAGAAAGGCGCAAGGTTTTGACTTTGGGCTTTGTTCCAATGAAACAACGCCAAACGGAAAAGTTAGCGCCTGCCACAGAAAGTAGAGTCGGAGATGATTCTGCGAAGTTGGCTCGGTTTGCAAACACTTCAAATGAAGACTTCTCCCAAGCAACAAGGGCCCTGTATGAACGCGAGGTTGCGCGTGGTGTCGGGGAAAACGAGGAGATTTTCACTGGCGAGGAAGACGTGGTTTCCACTCGGACGGGATGGACCGACAAGCATCGTCCAAGAAAACCTCGTTATTTCAATCGAGTTCAGATGGGCTATGAGTGGAACAAGTACAATCAAACACACTATGACCATGACAACCCACCGCCAAAGATTGTTCAGGGATATAAATTTAATATTTTCTATCCTGACCTCATCGACAAAACTAAAGCGCCTACTTACCGCATTGAAAGAGAAAACGGCAGAAAGCGGGGTCAAACATTTGCTCCGGCCGGAGAAGAAGATACCTGTTTGATCCGGTTCATTGCGGGTCCGCCTTATGAAGACATTGCATTTCGAATTGTCGATAAAGAGTGGGATTATAGTGCTAAGAGAGAAAGAGGCTTCAAGAGCAGTTTTGACAAGGTATCTCTCCCAAGGAATTTTCTTTTTTCGGTTCACCCTTCTGGTGTACCCCGCACGTGGATCCCACGCAGTTTCATTGAAGAGCGGTCGGGTGACGCTTGCTCGGGAACGCCGCTTTGTTCAGTTCGCTAACGCACGTCATGTTGTACCTCTAGGGAATCCTACAGCTACATTTCCAGTTCAAGAAGGTTGTACCAACCAACCCCAGAACCTGCCATGCAAACGGCGCGAGCTAACCTGTCATTTCCAGATTTACTACCGCAAGTGAGGCGTCGGGTCTAATCCGATTGTATTTTGTACTTTCCCGTTCGTTCCTTGCCCGAGCTATGTCGGAGATGCATGATGGACCAAAAAGCGGTAAACGATGGGTCGATCGAACTCCGGAAATCAAGGGGTTACTGGCGCTGCATACACTTGACCCGCTCACAAAAGAGCCGTTCTGACGTTGCAGTGGATCCACATTCCTGGCCTGCACCCGTAGAATGGCGGTAAGGCCGGACCAGACTGCACGACCTAGACCCTTGTCGCGGCTGAGACCGGGGACGCTACAAGGTTGATGGCATCAAATGAGCACTAGGAGATCATGGCTTTTTTTATATGCTGGTGTCAACGGTTGACATGCAAGGCATTCACTCATGCTACCGGCGTTCAGCATGATGGAGGTTTGACAAGCTCCATTTCTGCAATTTTTCTCTCCTTTTCAACCGGGTCAGGCAGATGAATATAATAGACTGACCTGGATGGATTTCTTGTTGCCTAGTAGATCCGCGAGCAAGAAGATGAGGTTTGCTTTGCATTCTGTTTTTCTATTATTGCTTGGATCGGAGACTTGAATCTCATCGGCTTCATTGCAAAGGTGATTATCTTTTCGATATTCGGATATGACAATACTACGCTACAGGGCTCTTGTGGCTGCCGGGCATCTCCTCTCCTTTGCCTGGCATGGCGATATGCTTGCAGCTCAAACTTTCAGTTGCTATTGGTTCCACCGATGGGGCTCGCTATAGTTTATTTTATCCGTGTTATGTCGGAAGAATCGCAGGACCCCTATACTGTCTGGAAGCTTCGCCAGACCGATTGAACTGTTCGAGGAGATACTGCTGGTTTGTAGGGAACTTTGAGATATACGTTCTGCAGCCTGGACGACAAGTAGCCCTGCGCTCTGGCAGAAGCTAATCGTCTACACCATCACTGCAGCAATCCGCGATTTGGGTACCCATCAGACTCCACGCCTCCTCGCCAGGGCCCCTGTCGCATTCCCCTGTAAACAAGCCGCCTATCTCCGTAGGATCTGTGCTACCGTTTTAAGATCGCGCTCCCTTCACTCGTAATGAACATACTGTTGTTACAGTTACTGTTTCTGATAGAAGTGGTTGGAGCCTGTTGACCTGCCTCTGTCAGCCTCCTGGAGGCAAAAGATACGACGGATGAGGCAGGATCGTCATGCACAACTTGCCACTTTGCATCCCAGTATCATAGTCGTACTCCGTCTAGCCCACCTCTTCCACGATCTGCCATGCTTTTCCAGGCGAGATTGTCGGACATGGCTTTCCTCTGTAACGAGGCTTGTCCGCGAGTATCCCTCAAATTCACCAACTGTTTGCTTTGGCTTTGTTGTGTCGCATGATGACTGGTACGCTCTGTGTGGTGCCATTCTACTCACTCTCCATCCTCCTTGGCAGTGAGCTTCAATCCATGCATTACTGGGCTTACCTCCCCCAACTATATCTTCCCCAGACCGCCTTAGCAATGGATTGACCTTGAACTTGGATCTCCCACCGCCTAGGCTGAACATTACCGACGATTCCTGATCATCAGTCTCTCGTGATGAGCCTTCCAGGAGCCCCTTTTTATTTACATAAACGTTGTTCGTACAAAAATGACGACATTGCTCAAGACAACAACCATCGTTCTTCAATCTCCTCGGACTCCTCATCGGAGAGTCAGCCCCTCACAATCTCTCCAATCCTCCCTATTGTCAATGGGCCCCTATTTCATCAGCCCGGTGATCATGTCCAATCACAGTTCGCCGGAACCAACATGTCTTATCCGTCCATCTCGCTTGGTCTTCAATCGGCGTCGGGATACCTTTTTGGAGACGAGCTTTCCTCACATTCTTTCATCGACCCTAACAGCTACTATGCCACAATACCAGCTCATGGCCAATACATGGGAACGCCTCCCTGGCCTCCCGGCTACGGTTGCGTCCCTCGTTCAGTTGAAGGAATCGATTCGAGCCACGATGGCACGTTGGATTCTGCCATTAGAAGACCGTTAGAACTTCTCACGGAACGGTATCCAGATTTTGCTTGTTCGCCAGAATTGCCTTATCAGCAATCTCAAATGTTTTTCGAACCCAGGACGATCATGGAAGGCACCCATTTAGAACGTGGCCGAGCTGCATTTGAAAACCTCCAGATAGAGGAGCCGAAGGATGATCAATATCTACTGGGCTCTCCAGAAGAGTTTCGGTCACGAAGTTGCCTTGATAAAAACGATAGTCTTCCTCAAATGGGTCTGACTCCGCTGGATCAAGGAGAGCGAAACCCATTGGATGGTGGAGAAGAGAATGAGAGTGACGGAGCAGCAACCTCCAACGATACACCCTATGCGCAACTCATTTTCAGAGCATTGATGGAGACACAAGGACACCGTATGGTGCTTACGGACATTTACGATTGGTTTGAGAAGAATACGGATAAAGCGAAGAGCACAACATGCAAGAGCAAAACCGGCTGGAAGAATAGTATAAGACATAACCTGTCCATGAACCCTGTAAGTCGTCGCCTGTTTTACATGGTTCTATCCTTTACCACTATCACGTTCTCTTAGGTTGCCATGTTGTCTACTGACGAGGCCCAGGCATTTCGAAAGGAGCCGCTAAAGGAACCATTTTCTGATGGCAAAAAGCGGTATATTTGGTGCCTTGATCAACATGCCATTGATAAAGGCCAGGTTTCGCCCACAACAAGGTTTCGGAAGCATGTAGCAACTAAGAAAGCCACCCGATCAGGCCACCCTTCACCGCGACGGCAACGCCCTGGGCATAAGGGAGGTAAATCTGCTTTGACAGCAGCAAAGCAGCGTCGGCCGGTCAATAAGAGAGAGAGGGCGCAAGAGAACCGAAAGAATGACCGAGCTGATGAGCACGCCTTTATCTATCCAGAATCAAATCTCAGCGCGCTTGTCTCCTCTTTCCATTCGCCTCAGCTCGTACAGGACCCACTACATGGCAATATTCGTGATTCAGATTTTAAGCTGCCATCACGCCGGCCGGTTCATCACAGGAAGCCCGAAACACCTCCGTACGGACTTGACGATATAGTTGGCTGCACTCCTACTCTGCCAGAGGAGCCTCTCTTCTACGACAGCCCAGACACAGCGACGAGATCTTGTTCGGCGGAATACGATCTCAGGGGGCTATCACCTGGTTCTTCTTTTCTACGATTGTTCGACTGAGCCAATGCTACCGTGAAACATGAAATGCCGTGGATTAACCTCTATTGTGCTCTATTTCTTCATGTGTGCAGGCCGGGTTCCTTCTTTCATGTCTTTCCTCATATGGGTTTTTACAAGCGCAGCTATTCCTAACAATACCTCTTTCTACGAAAATCGAAGCGAGAACAGCACAAAGTGGCGTCGAGATGTTCCGAGAGGGCTTACACACATGGTGTTAAGGGGCTCCAGCCGCGCATTGGGAGCTATGGAGAAGGCGCTATGAGAGGATTGCGGCGTTTTGAAGCAGGGATGTTTCCAATTTCCTTTCGTTATCTGGCACTTTGGTTCCTTTCGGCTTTACATCACTCGGGGTGGCGTCATTACGGAATCTCTGCGTTCAGGTCTCTTGATGGCGCACGATAATGGGTTTTGCCTCTTTTCCTCTTCTGTCCGGCGTCTTTCATTATCAAATTAGTTCATGAAGGGCGGTGAGCACGGTTAAAGGGATTAAAAAACTCTACAATAATATTATTTTTGTCGGTAAGCCGGTTCATCTTGTCCTCAAAATATTTGCCGCGTTCCAGCCTCAACTCCGCTCTTCTTCCTCATTGGTCTTTGATACAATTTTTAAAATTCGGATTGACTTCTCATTGGACTGACAATGCTGAGAGCACATTACCGTCTCCCCACACAAGGAATCATCTTGACCATAATCCAGATTGCGTTAAATCGTTTCTTCTGCCAATATGCATATTTTGGCGGTCAAGTAGAAGTAGGATATTTCCTCCAATCAGGATAAAAGTTTCGGAAAACTAAGTTTACAACAGAGTTGTTTTTGATATCACATTCTTTTGGCCATTCTGCATATCAGTAGTATGCATGATCAAGGGGATTGCCGTCTATCAGTGCGCTTGTCAACCACAATTTATGCGTTGTGCTTACGGCGCGGTACTGTACATGCTCCATAGACCCGATGCCTCCTTCAATGGTTTCTATCTTATTTCTTTCGTTAATTAAACCATTGAAACAAGAATAATATTCGACCATCTTTTATGGCAATATCTACCCCTGATGAGTTCGTCCCGTATATGAGGTGATTATGTGCATTTCTCTCCTATCTTATCTGTCTTGATTTTCAATATTAACATTATCTTGCAGGGCTTCGAAACTAAGCCGTGAACTTTCGAGTGGGAGAAAAGCAGCACCGGGAATATATATGTATATATAAAATATAAGCTAAATAAAAGAAAATTAAATTAAATCAGTTATAATAAATCGTTCGTCTAAGCTAGAGATGAGATTTCCACGGCCATCTGGATACCGTTAGAAGGTATAGCCATGTAGGTCAATATGGGATCATGGCGTTTTGGGGTCGGTTATGCTGTGTACCCGCTTTTTTTCTTTTTCGTTGGACGGTAAACATTGGGTGTCGATTTCTGAGACGTGCATGTGCAACCTGGTAGATGATGACCTTTCATCCCGTTCCACATCCTTACCTTAAATTGTTCCTCGTTCATGAGCCAGTAATTATTCAAGCAGTGGTCAGCGGGTCGTCAGATAATGCTATAGGTAACAGAAGGCCCAAAGTGTATGGTGAAATTGCAACGCACGTGGCTGGACCTGTTCGCTATGACACGAATGGCACTTGTGCAACACTTAGAATTTACCGCGACGTATTTATCATGCACATTAGATTCCGTACGCGCATTAGTTGTTATTTCTGTAAGCCACACTGGGATACGGCATTAAGCCATCGAAACCAGAAGCAATCCCAAAGTTATAGTATTTCTATATAACGTATATAAATATTTTATACTTTTTTTTTTTTTTTTTTTTTTTTTTTTTCTTTTTTTTTTTTGGAGACTATAATGTAACTATCATGCTTAGTTTATATTGATAGAAGAGCATTGTTCTTGTGATATGATTCACCCATTGCATGTCCATAATTCCGTGAAATAATTATGCAATAAGCTTAGTGAGCAGCCTAAATAGTACAGAAATTTTACGTAGGCTTTGAGCATGCTGTTTACCATACCCGAACAACAACCTTCAATGACTGCCATTGGAACTTTGGTCTTCCAAAAGGGTAAAAGCGCCGTACTAAGTGTAGGGCCGTTTCTTGAGGTTCATAGACGTTGTTAGTTGTAAGTCTTTCAACGAACAAGGGCAATTGGTCTAGTGGTATGATTCTCCCTTAGCATGGGAGAGGTCCTGGGTTCAATTCCCAGATTGTCCATTTACTTTTTCTTTTTTGCCCATTCTTATTTTTCACACCTCTGCGTCGTTGCTGGAAATATTTTTTTAATGGTGCGTAAGGATATCAAAATTATTTTTGTTGGAATTGTGCGAGATGTTGTGGGTGGATGGAAACGTTGACAGAGAAGTGCCGGGATGCAAGGCTGCCATTCAGGGTCCAGATTTCGCGTGCAGCACTACGTAGTACTCCGTACACCTCGCTGCGGAGAGAGCTCTCGCCTCACATGCGGCCCCTGCGGCTTGCAAAAGGAACGGAAGGAAGACTGACTGGTAAGAAAATAAAGAAAGGGAACGGGTTAAGTTAATTGAATTCTCCTTTCTATGCATAAGTATCATCGGATGGCAATCCCTTATATTGACCTGACCGGTGGGGAGCGGAGAAAGGATACAGGAGACAAAACGATTTAACCGCCGGTCTACTCGAGTACCTACGCACCACGCGGGATAGCAAATTGCAAGTGAACGCGGTCAGTTTATATTACAATAGCGAACCCGCAGTAGTAAACAAATGGTGGCTGCAGGAGCGGAGGCGGGCGGCAAAACAGACCTTAGTCGTAAGTAATTGGGCTTCTGAAAAACCCATCATGTCCCAGTATATATCGGCTCGGCCCGTGGCTTGCGCTGGGGCCGGGACGATGGAGGTCGTAGGTTGCGTTGTCGCTCTGCTCTGTACTGTAAGTATTATACATCTGATGCGTTGATGCATGCAGCTAGCAGGAAGGTTGCTGTCAGCCGTCCGTGTCCAGAGGCCATCAACTGCACAGCGCCAGGGCATGCAAGTTGTAACAACTACCAAGCTAACAAAACTCTTAGGTTGTATTGCCGTGTGTGTGTGTATTTGTGTGGGCGTGCCTTTATGGGCGTGGCGCAAAAGCCACACTGTCTGCCTTGTTGCCTCGTTGCCTTGCTGCAGCTGCCCTTGCGCCTTTTTACGAATCCCTTTCCATTGCTTTCCCTCCAGTAGTAAGTCGTGGTTATCCTGCGTAAAGGTATACCAGTGGGTTCTCTTGTCCTGGCCTGCTCTGCACCGCTGGGAAAGTTGTCGCTGGAACTTCGGACAATTAGGGCGCCCCTCCCGGTCTTCGGTTCTAAATCCTTGACGCCGATCAATACGATCGTGGCAAGGATTTCACAGTTCATCTAACCCAGTGCGAGTAGATAGCGGTGTGGTTCTATGTTAAAGGCATGGGTTTTGGATCTCCTGTCTTTGTAACCACGACCCAATCATAGCCTTTGGGCCAAATCGAGACTCAGAATATGGAAATAAGGTAGATAGATAGATAGATAGAATCAGCTCAAAATTCTGATAGATGTACTGTACAAGGTACAAGAAAACGTAGAAGGACATTGCTTGTTGCATAAGGTGTACAATACATCCAGGTAAGAAAAATTCGACATAACTCCTACCGTGTTGTGGCTTGATTTCAAAAGGTCCAGATGGGAACAAGCCAGGTATCAAAAGACAAAAAACGATGTGAGGGCCACGGAAAAAGTTGACCCAAATAAGTTCGAGTACAAGGGGAATCCCATTTCAGACGCCAAAAAAATCAACCACAACGAGATAGGATACGCCCCAACACCATGACCAAAGTAAAAATATTTTGTGAAAAAGCAAAAGGGCAAGAAAAAAGAAAAAGCCAATATGTAATTGACGACAAAATTACTTGCTCTTGGCCTTGGGTTCGACGAGCCTGACTCTTCTATTTTGTGGACCCAGCCCGATTGGCCCAGAAGGCGCAAGTTTTGCGCGAGCCTTTTCAACAGCTTTACTCTCGCCGACGACCCAGCTGTCTCTGCGGGCGGGACCACGCTCACGACGCTCTCTCTCTTCCCAACCGCGTAGACGCTCGGCTCGACGCTGTCCCTTGATGCAGTCATGCAAGCAGCCTTGAGTGGGGCATATTCCATCCGACGCAGTCTCAGGATCCCACCATAGGCGAAGGCAGCCATCATGGCCACCATGACCACAGCCTTGACACCACCCCCAAAGAGCCGGCGAAGGAGTTGCATCCGCAAATGGTGATGGGGGGGCCGTGCGGAGATTGCAGACAGGACAGGGGGCTTGTCGGCCCAGACATCTTTCGCAGACCCATAAGCTGCGCTTCGTCTTGACATTTTCCAGCGGCTTGCCGCACTGGCGACAAAGTAAACCGATATAGGTTTCTTGAAGACCGTATTCGGAAATGGATGGGTACGTGGGGTGGCAGAGTCGACGTAAATGTGCTGCCTCATTGTGCAACTGGAGGGAGAGGAGCTGAGTATGATAGGTGGCGAGAATAGACTCGACAATCAGGGGATGAACAGCATCTGCAGGAGAGAGAAGCGGGTTAAGGAGAAGGACAAGGTATGAGAGGGTCTGAGAGTCGGCCAAAGACTCAGTGTGAAAGGATATGGCTTGGTGGAGCATGGCCGAAGCGCTCCATGGAAGTTGGGACGTGGTAGGTGCAGGGTTGGTGGTTGGGGAGATATCGGATGTCGGAAACGGCCATCTTGATACGGTCGCGGCTCCTTCTTGAGCTCTATTGCCGTCAGGCTTTTGTTCAGGTGAAGATGGTTTAGAATGGGCTTTCGTCTCGACAGCTACAGGTGAGCTTGAAGTTGCGGAAGATGAGCTAGCCTTTGTACGGTCGTCTGGGACAATAGTCCCACTGGCTTCCATTTTATTGCTTTCCAGTTCATGCTGTTGGTCGCTAAAGCTCGATCCATAGCTGGCAAAGTTTTCTGATTCAGAGCTCGACATGTTGATGCCGTGCGACCCAAAGACGCTGTTTTGATGAAGGCTTCCTAAGGGCATATACTTGTCGTTCCATCGTTCTGGCTTCGGCCCAGGTTCCAGTGAATTGGCACTCCCAGCCTGAGAGCTGTCTATAGATCGAGTGGCTTGTGAATCAGTAGAGGCCGAAGCCGAGAACATTGGAAAGCTCTCATCACTATCTAGTCGGTCGAGCTTGGGTGGAAATCGATCATGCCTTTTGCCCATGCCTGGAGAATCAAAACTGAGAATGGGCGTTGGCCGGATTTGCCAGCTGTCTGTTGAAGGCCGTTTGTCCGTCATGCTTCTTCGGGTGGTGATCCAATCTGATGAGACTGCTCTAGAGTGGCCTCTTGTGAATGAATCTGGTGGGCGATCTTCAATTCTTAGCGCCGAGCTATTTTTTGGGGCAGTCACTGCGGGCGGTAACATAAGCTTTTCCTGGCTATCAAGACGCGCAAGGTCAGCCTGCCCTGGACGTGGACCCGCAGAATCTGAACGGGGCCTGGCAAGAGGGGTAGACATATTAGATGTACTCTCGGGGCCTGGACTTCGAGAGCCTCCTTCAGCCGCGGCAATGGCTCGGGTCGCAGGGTTGAGTGTCGGATTTTCTGGCTTGGCTTTCGTGTTGGCATCTTCTGTCACCCCAGATCTGCCTGCCCGCTGTGGCAGGGCCAGCTGCTGATGAGGGTTCTCCTGCTGTTGAAGATGGTGATTATGATGTTGGCGGTGTTGCTGGTGGTGGTGGTGGTGGTGGTGATGATGATGATGATGATGATGATGGTGATGATGGGGGCGACCAGGTCCCTTCTCAGCTCGGAGTTTCCTATTCTCCTGCGCACGTACGTGCAGCTCCTTGGTAATGGCAAGACCAAGCATTTTCCAAGTTTGCGCGATTCTATAGAGACCAGCATCCCTTGCAATTGAAGAGTTTGCGTCAAACCCCCGCCAGACTAACTCAATCCCATCCGTCGATAGCAATCTTTCAGTTATAAATTGATAGTTTTCAGCAAGGTACGCAAATAGGTCAGCATCAAACGTGCCAAAAATATGTCCTCTTGCACTCAACTGTCCTGGTTGTGCGGCATCTCTTCGATCCAAGGCTTCGGTGAGTGGAATAACAGGACCCGAGGCACCCATTGATGGAGGCGTGCTGCCAAGAGACCTCGTAGAATGCGCGCGTGAAGCAGGTGCGGTGCTTCGTCTCGATGATGAGCTGAGGAAGCTTTCATCAACACCATCGTCGACATTCTCGTCCCTGCTTCCACTAACGCCATCGCCACTGCTTGTCGGTGCTGCGCTTTCGATAAATCCTCGTTCTGGAGATTCATCAAAACTCGAACGTCGACGGCGGTGTCGCTTTTGGGTGAAGTAAGAGATGTCACCATCAGGGGACCAATCCAGAGCGTGTAAACTCCTTCGATCAAGAACCTTGGGGGTAAAGTAGATGTCAGTCTGCGTAAACATTCCTTCTTTCCCAACGGTCCACAGCAGATCTTGGGAATGCCATAGCATATCCGTAGGCGCCCTGCCATATCTCCCCAGCTCTCTAAAGGGCATATGAGGCCGCCGCAGATCCCAAATATGTATTCTGGGATCAACTCTGTCCTCATAGGTTGTTGCAATTTGTGTACATAATAGTCCGCCCGGTTCGTGCGACTCGGGGATCCGACAAGGCGGTCGCCATCGCACATTCATCACCCCGTGAGGTGCGCGTAGGACCCAGACGGCCTTCTGGCGCCGATTGGTTGATGAAAAGTCCCAGACCTTGACGTTTTTGTCAGCGCTTGCACTGGCAAGGTGTTTTCCATCAGGATGCCAGTCAATCGAATTGCAAGTCTTGTCGTGCGCGTTAATCTTCAAGAGGGGCGCATTCTCTTTGCGAAAGTCCCATCGCTGGACCACCCCATTGTCCGTACCAAAGGCGAACTCCACGGCATCATTCGGCGACCATTTGACATCCCGGACGCTCTCCGTATTCCCCATGTATCGCCGGACGCTCCGGTATGTCAGGACGCCGCGATCCCCTGGCCGAACCCTCAAGTCCCATAATCGAACAGTTGTATCCTGGCTCCCAGAAAGTAACAGGGCCCCTTGTATTGGGCTAAAAGCAAGCTTATGGACCTGTCTGTTGTGCTCATGCAGTCGGGCCAGCTCAACGCCCGGTCTATTAATGTCGTAAAGTACAATTTTGCCATTTGCTACAGCCGTCGCAATTGTAGAGTCGAACATGCCATGCGACCATTTCACATCCACGGCACCCAGTTGATCCTTGTGCTTGGCCGACAGCACGTTTCCCGAAGTATTATGGGTCGAGGCATAAGCAATAATTGCGGAGCGCAGATTGAATTCCTCGGCGCATGTGGCATCTGACACACGCACCGTCTTCAGAATCTTTTGACCTGCCAAGACAGCATGTGTGCGTTGAGAAGAAATATCAAGCGCGTTGATCTCGAGCCCAGTCTTGTGGGCGGTCGTCTGGGATGGTATCGGACTGAGAGAAATTCCTTTAGCTAAGCTCGTTCCCTTCCTCGCAAATCATCATTTCTTTAGCTCACCCTGTAATCCTTCCCACACCAGCGGGTGTCAGATCTCTGCCCAAGTCCTCCCCTCGGCTTGCTCGGGCGCTGGCCGGACGCGAGCCATATCTGAAAGGCTGCGCAAATCTGGCCAGAGCCGTGGTGGCCCGATTAGCATACTTCGGGGGAGGAAGAGGTGGAGCTGGCGGCGGTGATGACTGTGAAGGCAGCTGAGGAATCGAGGAACGAAGATATTCCGACATGGCAGTTCAGCGCAATTCAGGTGTGTGAATCAACCCAGCGGTGCTCCACTTCTGCTCTAGCTGCGTGGCTGGCCATGAGAGGATCCCGGAGTAGTGTAACTCAGAATCCTGTCAAGGTTGTTCATTCAAGCAGGCACGGGAATTCTTCAACCCTCCATTCAGGGGCAGACACGATCAGGTTGATATGCAGCAGAAGTGCAGAATCAAACGTGCAGAGTGACGTTGACAGGGTGGATGCTGGGATTAGGTGAATACTGTAATGGGCAATATCAGCTATCCGGCTATCTTGGGCTGGTCGTGGCTTAACTGGGGAGCTGGGAGCCGAAGAAGAGGCGAGTGTCACTCTAACTAACGATAATCGCTGTGGTTGGAGTCATCTATTAATACCTACCGTATCCAAGGTAGGCAGTGTACTTCAGTGAAGCATCAATTTCCTTAAATCTTTAAAGTCACTGTTATAGTTATATCACTGTTAGGTAGGTAATGTTGTCACTGAAAGGGTGGCTGCATACAAACCTTGTTCGTAATATATTGGCAAGTGAATAAAACTCACTTCAAACTTTGAGCCACTTTTTCAACATTTCTTAAATATACCCTCGTGCCTCTTCCCTCAGTCTTCTCCTTCTTTAAATTATTTATTCTTCTCACTTTCCCCACTTTGTCACGCTTCTCCATATTTTTGAACTCAGTATTTGTAAGTAACAGCATGGTCCTTTTCCCTGCTCACTTTACTTTCCCTCGTTCTTATTGAGTGTTCAAGCTGCTGAAACTCCAGCTCCCCATACAAGGCCTGTATTCTCCACAGCTCGGCAGAAACGGTAAGCTTTTCCCGGCCCCCTTGTGTTCTTCTTATCAAAGGCGGTCAGCTCACTCTGTCAAATAAGATCTGACCTCTAGATCCTGGAGATCTTCGTTCCTACTGCAGGAGAGTCGCGTTAGCTCCAACTCAACGCGACCGCACACACATACGCACCCAAGCACTGCACTGCACCAAGCAAGACGCAACACCCTCTCGGCGCACCCATTCTCACAGCCCACGCACGAAATTTTACACAAATACTCGAGCACACTTATCGCACCGTTGTCGATCCCAGCAGTACGGCTTGATAAGCCTGTCGGCCTGACCATGACTGCTCCTTGATCTTTCACACTGTGCAACAAGCAAAAAAAAGTATTGGAGGGGGAAAATTGAAACAGCCATGGCTCAAACGAGCTTGACTTCTGTCGCAGCCAAGGCCCCCTGGGTCTCAAATCATGTTGCACGCGAGATCCTGGTCCGGATTCACTTCGCCTATCCGGTAGCTCTCTTGTTCATCTTTCTCATTGCATTTATCCTCCGCAGTGTGCTTGCTGCGAAAGTACAGCCTGAGCAGACTCCATCCACGGTTCTTAAAGGTCCGGGTGGAAAGCCTCTGCCGGTAAAGACCAAACGTTCTCCCAAGCAAAGCCTTGGAAAAGATGCTGTCAATCTCAGCCCAGCTCGAAAGGCTGCCTTTGACTGGCTCTCTGTTGGCGTCATCCTGACCTTCTTTGCTAACGCTGTTGACGTTGTTGCTCATGCAATATTCAAGCGGAACGAGGGCTGGTGGTGCGGCCAGTCTGTGGTGGTAAGGCCTCCGCATTTCCACTTTCACCTTTGGGCCTATTGTCCGAGCTTCACTCACTGACAATTATCTCAATTGGCAGGTATACGTTGTCGCCTCGTTCTTCGTCTACTCGCTCATTCTAATCTCTCTCATTGATGCGAAACCGGCACCAACTGCCACTCATGCGGTCACCTGGAGCGTGGGCTGGCTATTTGAGATTGTCCTTTTGGGAGCATCCCTTGCGCTGTACAATTCAGACCATAGAGAGCCCAAGGTTCGTGGTGAGGGACAAGGCAAGTTACGGCGGCATATGACCGGATGGGAGATTGCAGAAATTGCCATCGACCTCGTCAGAATCGTGCTCCTGTCTGTTCTCATCGCTCTTTACGTTTCCTTCATACTGGTCGAAACCTCAAAGCGACGCAAAGCAGCTGCGGCGGACCGAGACACGGAAGAAACCACTGGGCTTTTGAATGGACAACAAACAGGTAATGGTGTTGCAAATGGGCGATCGGCTGCTGATTATGGTGCGATCCCTGCGCAAAAGCAACCAGAGGCGGAGCCAGAGGCGGAGCCCGATGGCTGGAGCCGACCGACCACAGCTCCGGCCAAGAGTTGGTGGGAATACATTAGAGGCTATTCCGTGTTTTTTCCTTACCTCTGGCCGGCTGGCAGTCGCAGACTACAGTTCGTTGTAGTCATGTGCTTCTTGATGGTTGTCCTGCAGCGAGTTCTGAACGTTCTGATCCCAAATCAAGTTGGTATCATCACCGACATTCTTTCTGGCGAGGACCGTAAAGGTCGCACGTCTCCCTGGGGCCCAATTTGTGTCTACATCGTTTTTCGTGTACTGGGGGGCGGCAGTGGTCTCCTTGGCGCCATACGCTCAACCCTTTGGATACCCATTTCGCAGTACTCCTACCAGGCACTTTCTACTGCCGCTTTTGAACATGTACACGGTCTTAGCTTAGACTTTCACCTTGCCAAGAGAACGGGCGAAGTGTTATCGGCCCTGAGCAAGGGAAACTCCATCAACACCTTCCTTGAACAAGTCACATTCCAAGTCCTTCCGATGTTGGTAGACCTCGGGGTTGCCATAGCTTATTTCCTCGTTGCCTTTGATGCTTATTACGCACTGGTTGTGTCAATCATCACATTTGCATATCTCTACGTTACTATTCGCATGGCACAGTGGAGAGCGCAGATTCGACGTCAGATGGTCAACGCCGGCCGTGAGGAGGATGCTGTCAAGTAAGTCTCTTTATGCCCATCTATAGCCGACGTTGGAAGAGTTTGCTAATTCCAATGCCCAGGAATGACTCTATGGTGTCTTACGAGACAGTCAAGTATTTTAATGCCGAGCAGTACGAGTTCACTCGGTACCGGGGTGCCGTTCAAGCGTACCAGCGCGCCGAGTACAAAGTCTTGCTGTCTCTGAACATAATGAATGTTACACAGAATGTCGTCTTCACTCTTGGTCTCCTCATAACATGCTTTATTGCTGCCTACCAGGTCACCACCGGGCAACGCAAAGTCGGCCGATTCGTTACTCTCCTCACATACATGGCTCAGCTCCAAGGGCCTCTGAACTTCTTTGGAACATTCTATCGATCCATTCAGTCAGCCATGATCAACTCTGAGCGCATGCTTGAACTATTCAGAGAGCAGCCAACAGTTGTTGATGAGCCTCATGCCCAGCCATTGACGTCCTGTGAAGGTGACATTCGTTTTGAAGATGTGGAATTCGCGTATGACAAGCGTAAGGCAGCACTTACTGGTCTCAACATTCGATGTGCTCCAGGAACTTCGACTGCTCTTGTGGGCGAATCTGGCGGTGGAAAATCTACCGTCTTCCGTTTGCTCTTCCGGTTCTACAATGCTCGAGCTGGATCCATTAAGGTCGACGGCCACGATGTCACCGATGTCACCATTGATTCTCTTCGCCGACACATTGGAGTCGTCCCACAAGACACTGTACTATTCAACGAGACCCTGATGTACAATCTCAAGTACGCGAATCCCGGTGTGTCAGACGAAGTGGTACACGAGGCTTGCCGAGCCGCATCGATCCACGACAGGATCATGACTTTCCCTGATGGTTACAATTCTATAGTCGGTGAGCGTGGTTTACGTCTTTCTGGAGGCGAAAAGCAGCGTGTCGCGATTGCCCGAACCATCCTCAAGGACCCTCGGATCATCCTCCTCGACGAAGCCACAGCTGCTCTGGATACTGAAACAGAACAGAACATTCAGACTGCTCTCGCTTCCCTTGCCAAAGGGCGTACCCTGCTTGTCATCGCCCACCGTCTCAGCACAATCACCTCTGCCGACCAGATTGTTGTCCTCCACGCTGGAAAGGTCGTCGAGTGCGGAACTCATGAAGAGCTTCTCGCCAAAAAGGGCCGTTACGCAAGCATGTGGCGCAAGCAGATCCGCGCTCAGAGAGCCGCAGAAGAAGCTCGAGTCCTTAAAGATCGAGCTGAGAAGCTAAAGGAGGAAGCTGCTGGTGGTGGTATTGACAGCGCGTCCCAGAGCGAAGATGAACGTCAAGCTTTCTCTGGGAAAAGAGGCACTGGAGGAGCTCCTTCTGGTGATTCAGGTGATTCAAAGCCGCCTGGACACCCGTAATCACTTTTATTTTCATACACGACGATCAATCTTGTCTTTTTTTTTTTTTTTT